GTACGTTTGGCAATCTGTTCACGGGCATCATCGTCGGTATGCTGGCCATATGCTTGGAGTGCCTCACGCTTTGCAGCGTGATCGTCGTCAGTATGTTGGCCATATGCTTGCTTGATAGTACGTTTCTCGGCTGTCTGATGACTGTGATCATCGTCGGTATGTTGGCCATATGCTTGAAGTGCCTCCCGCTTTGCAGCGTTGATATCGTCGTCAGTGTGCTGGCCGTAGGCTTGCTTGATAGTACGTTTGGCAATCTGTTCACGAGCATCATCGTCGGTATGTTGGCCGTATGCTTGAAGTGCCTCACGTGCGTCGTGTGCAACTGGCACGGCGGAGACAATGGCACTGAGAAGCGCTACCGCCATAGGAATACGTGCGAAATGCATGCTGTAATGTGTTTGGCGGACGTTTTTTGAAGGTCTTTAATGGAATGAGGTGAAAGTGGAGGTTGGATGGGGAAACAATGATGGAGCTTTAGTTTTCTACTTGGGGAGAGGGGCTCTTTTATAAGGAGTTCGTCAATATACGTATAGTGTCCAAGCCTACTCCCTAACTAGAGGAATATGAATTCTGTCGCTTGGTACGCGGATCGAAGATCCTCCCTGAGTCTACCCTCCGTGTTTGCAGCCACATTGCCCCTTAACTGCCTGATTCGCTGAAATAATCGAAGTAAAAGTGCATAACCTATGTAACAATGCCAGGGTATGTACGCATTGCTAATGTCAAGGTGGCTGACACTTTTATGCCTCATGACTAGGATAATAACTCCTATGCCAGGAACAGGGAATAAGAATATAGCAATAGATAGCTGACCTTGCACCTAGAGCTGGATTCAATAGCGGCTGAAGGATTCATGTCCGAATATTAGCGCTTATACACTATGCTAGTAGTGACGTCAAACTTGTCTACGGCAAGCTATTGGAGAGTGAGGATACAGAACGAGGAGCAGTTAGGCAGAATGTTACTATGATGTCCGAATATAATAAGGATTGAAAACATAAGGCGGTATAGTAAAGTGTAAACTTAGGTCTACCTTTTGCGGATACTTCACACAGCCAGCATAAACTCAAGGTGGTCGGGGCAAGCGGTGAGTAGAGATGTATGCATCACTTCCGAGTTTTCCGTGCCCCTACCCCCATCAGTACATTTCATATAATGAGTATTGCAATAATTGTAGACGCTATTGAGGGTAGTGAGAAGGATTGCAGCAATAGAGGGATGACGGAAGATGGAAGATTCTCCGCGGTGTGGATGTTGATGTTACATTAGGATCAGGATCAGTTGGTAAAAGAGTTTGGTTCAGGTCCGATAGCTACTCGAAGAGCAAAGTTGGCACTTCATCAGCCGCAGCTGCATATATGCATATGCAACGAGACCGTTTGTTGCACACAACCGGGTATATCCCAGCCGAGAAGGCTGAAATCGTTCAGAGGTACGAACTTGCGACACTCGATCAACCATGCCCAGTGCTAATTCCTAGCATAGGGTCAAACTGGTAGTTCTATTCTTCTGCTTTCATACTTCCATCCTCTCCAAATTCTAGTTGTGAACGGCATTGAACAATGGCAAAAGAAGAGCGCTCGTCGTGGGATTCTGAATCTCGCTCTGAGAATTCGAACGACCTTCTACTCGGAGAACCATTGGATATGAACAGCGTAAAGTCACAAAGAACTCAGAAACGGCTTGCTCTCGCCATCACCATAGGAAATCTCTTTATTTTCGGTGCAACCTGCGCGCTGTGGGCAACTTCAAGGCTTCAGAATTGTGATACTCTTGATGCTCACAAAGCCGTCTCATTTTACTGTGAGATTCAATCTTCTGGTTCCTCAACACTGCTAACTATAAACAGCACCCATCTTCGACAAAGGCGTGCCTATTGATCTAGATGAATCCACCAAAAATCATACTCTGTGGGGGGACGACGAGACGACTTCCATCTACATTCAGGATCCAAGTCCCGAAGTAGATGCTGCGTGGAATCACATCGCGGCGGATGCGAGTCCGATTATCACTGTTAACCGCAAGGAGGCAATTCGTCTTGGAAGGGATCCAGTGGTCATTGTCAAGGCTCCCGAAGACTGGGGTATGGGCGATGATGCTTATCCTGCGCAAATTGATGTGTTCCACGAAATACACTGTCTAAACATGCTACGGAAAGAAATGGTACGCGGTGTCCTCTTTTACTTTCGCTCTCTCGCCACTAACATAGACTTTTAGTGGTGGGATCACTACTTTCGCCCAAAGTATGGGGACCCAGAGAACGCTGATTATCTCCACGTCCGACACAAACGACACTGCTTGCGGATCGTACTTCGCACACTAATGTGCCACGCTGATGTAGACATTGTCACGCACAATTGGCGACGAGGAAGCTATCGGCCGATCGCCGACTTTAACAACCCGCGGAAGTGCCGCAACTTTGCGAGCCTTTTGGATTGGAACAACGCCCACGCAGTACAGAATGATATGGAGAAATGGCGGACTATCAAGCGGCCGGACAACGCTATAATCTTACCCAAGCCCACACCAAACCTGTACACATCAGAAGATAGCGTGGAGTGGATAAACAACGTGTAGAGGCAGCTGACAAGGATTTTGCGTTTTGCCATGTAGCTCGTGCCTTGTATCTTAGAATCTTGGTACAGTCCACCTCATAGAAACAGAGAATTCTTTGCATGTCGTCTTCACGTAGACCGACCACCAGTGAACGTTCAAATAAGCTTAGCGCCTGTATCAAGGATCGGTCTCTGATTAATTGGCCTTTCTACCGTAGCATCAGCACCAGCTCGTACGTAGTATCAGCCACTCGACTGGCACGCGGCAGTCGCATGGTTCTCTGCCTCAACTGGAGAATACTTTAATAGACTCCATTGTTACGTGGCCGGTTCGTACCACCACCGGAGCTCCTATTCAGGTAACTTCAGGCTAATCCCCGATCTATTGCATTCGATCCTTCAACAATTGAAATTCGCCAATCAAGCGTGTCATTATCAAAACCCCAACACAGCGATCGGATACCATCTTGGAAGCGTGAGCCATGGTCCGTGACCGCCTGGCTGCGGCGAACAGAGCAGCTGAGGAGGATTGCAGACGCGAGCCGAACCAAAACCCCCCTGGGGTGCGGTAGGATACGACGTGGGCGATGTTGGCGATGTTGACGTTACCTAGGATCGTAGCGATATTCTAAGTGTTGAGTCTCCCTTATTCGTACTGTGAGAGTCCAGCCTCCGAGCTCCGGAGACCTGCAGCTGCAGTCGTATAATCGCCGAGAAATGCATCACTCCTACGAGTACAACCACAAACCACAACCACAACTACATCCATAGCCACGAAAGTTAATGTCCCAGATTGGCACAGAACGCCATAACACAATTGCCGACAATAGCGGGCCACTATCCTGGATATAATCCGCCATGGCAACACCGGAAAATGTAATGCACTGATCCTTCAGCCCCCGATTCAGCCATATGCCGCAACAATCAGTGAAAGTACATGCATGGGGATAGTGGCGACCAAGAGCCGAAGGAGGACAGCCTCTCACCCCGCATTAGATGGAATGGAATGGTCCAAGCGGGACCGCTGACCGATGCACGGCTCATTTGGAGCTTGTTGGATGTCTCCCTAATTCCACCGTCTCTTGGTGTCACCGTCCATGAAAGCCCTACTGTACTCTCAGCGGATACAGCATCAGCTTCTTTTCCGTCTGGTGTGCTCCATAACATAGCATCCAAACTATAGACCATCCGTGCCAAAAGGTAACAAAATGGGGCCAGCCAGTGAAGAGGTAAAATATACTCCGGTTTCAAAAGATGAAGGCTCATTAGAAGATATAATCCATGCAGTAAGTTGTGCTCCGCAAAACACGGCACTTGTTAACCATTGCCCATTAGGACAAATCCACCCCACGATCATCTACTCGTCGATTCTGTAATTCGCCAGTGATAACTCTTCTCAACGTCTTCCTCTTCCTCGTATCCCTAATCATCCTCTTCAATTCAGCAAATCCGATAACTCGCCCAAATTGGGCCTTTGAACAAACTGCATATTACTGTGAGTCCGAGATACTGAGCTCATTGTTAATTCGTTATCTTACTTGTGGCGATTGTTAACTAACCTTTCCATATAGCCCCTCTATTTCGACGTATCAAGATTCCTGTGGTGAAAAAGACTGTGCAAGGGACATTGTTCAATGAGGAAAATTTGATATTGCGAGCCTATCCTTCTCCCGAAGTTGATGCTGCATGGGAAGCTCTTACTGATGTCGGGGTTGTCATTATAACTGGCGAGGAGGTTTCAAAGTTGGGCAAAGACCCGAGCAAAACAGTGAAAGCGCCACGAGAATGGGGTAAGTCCCGTTCGAAGAACCTTTTTATATATTCTACTTATTAACATCTGTATTTTAGGGCATGGGGACGATGCTCATCTAGCCCAGCTTGATGGCCAGCACGCCCTTCACTGTTTAAATGCGGTCCGTCGCTATGCCTACCGCGAATACTACTTCCCGGCAGTGCAAACCTCGAACACCAGCAGAAGCAGCCCTTTCGAGCCTTTTGATCAAGCGCACCTCTCTCACTGCCTGCACGTTCTTCTGCAGACTCTGTCGTGCGACTTCAGTGCCGATGTGATTACTCACAACTGGATGGATACACAGAACTACCCATTTCCGGACTTTGCAATCAATAAGAAATGCAAGGACCATGAAAAGCTCGTGGATTGGCAAACCAAACATAGGATCTCGCAAGATCAGTGGATGGAGATGGGGATGCGGGGTGCCTCCAGAAGAGAACCAGGAGAATATGTCAAGCAACTCCCACCCATGATGAAGCACTGGGTAGAGCATGGAGAGGAGGATGGGCAGACTGGACATAATGGTTGACACTGACACTTGAATAAAAATCTATCCAACTACAAATTCTTATAATAAATGTTTTAAACAAAATACCAGTGGGAGTTTCCTGCCTTGACCTAGCAATGCTCCCCACTCGAGTTTAATCCAAGTTATTCCACAATAGTGTTTACAGGAACTTTCTCTAGTAAATTGAGTTCGACTCCTAAGCCACAACGTGCACAAGCAGGTGCGGGGGTGGTTGATCCGTAACACTGTCACACATCAGACGGAACAAACCGCGAAACAAGAACGATGCAACACTGGTAACCTTAGCAACACAAAATGCATTAGCCTGATATACTGTCGCAAGATGGTGCTAATTTTCGCAGTTAACTCGGCACTTGACTCGGAGTATTGGCACATTGTGGCGTTTGGTAGCGATGCATGCCGACCGTTGAATGCAGGTTGACAATAATAGTATGCATGCGCGGCTTGTGACCAAGGGTCGAATGGTTGTACCGAAGGAGCATCCTCCATACCAGCTGAAGGAGCACCAATTCAGCCCGTCTATCTTCCGAGCCCTGAAACCATAACACTCTGGAGAACTTGACCCTGGGGCTGTCACCTTTATCGTTGGGTATCTTGTAGTTTTGCGTTGGCGCATTTTGTTTCGGTGCTGCTTGAGAGTTGCTCCAACTTGATCATTTCATGATATTTCATTATGGGGGCAATAGGTGAGATCTTAAAGGAATGATTTAATAGCACTTACTCATGCATAACAGATGAAAAATACGACAGCACGCTTTCTCGTCCGCTTCTGGATGAAGAAGAAGGATCAGATGCACCATTGTCAAGGTCCTCGAGAGCTTCACTTCGAATAAGCAGCTTTTATCGGCCATATGTCTTCGGCTCACTACAGATACTTCTCATAGCCATATACACCGTGATCTTCTTCTACATAAAGCCCACATCATCTCAAAACCAAACAAATTCTGCTCAGTTAAGCGGCTTCCCACCCGCCCAGGAAACCCTAAAATACCAACCACAAGTCTTCTTAAAACACGGCAATCTCGTATCACCGTATGCGAAGCCTCCTTCACCAACAACATCTCGAGCCTGGGCAGAACTCATGCACGGTGGCAACATGCGGATCTCTCAGTCAGAAATGGACATGTACAACGCCACGTCTGTACGTCTTGCTGACGGGTCTGGGTATCTGGCTAAGATGGGCTTCTACCACGAGCTACACTGCTTATTCAAGATGAAAACTTGGCTGTATCCAGAACATTTCTATCCTAATGCCTCATCCGAGTGGCGAGAGGAAGAAAGAGATCACTTAGAGCATTGTATTGAGTGGGTTCGGACCGCGGCTATATGTCGCGGGGATACGACATTGACGCTCTTTGAATGGGTCGATGGGGAGTTGGAAACAAAGTATCCTATTCCTCATATGTGTGTCAATGGAGAGGAGTTGTTGGGTTGGAGCCGCGAAAGAATTGTCGATATCGACCAAGAAGGGGCTCTGGAGGGTCCTGATGGAAAGCCGTCGGCGTTTGGGCATGGTTGAATCCTGGCTGAAGATGCCAATTATCAATCTGAGACCGAATGTAAACAGACTAATGAAATTGACCGAATATGCGCATTCCCAGATTCTGCTTGTGATGTGTCATGTGTTTTGGTACCGCGGTTGCAAGGGTTGAGTATCAGATACTATGATCATTAAATAATCCGGCTCAAGCTGATATGCTGCAGTTAACCTAATATAAGTTCCACTATCCTCCATGACACCTATAATAATCCTAGAAATAGTTGAGAAGCGGATTGATCACGCAAATACCTCGCACATTGCCCTGTTGCTCTCCTCTATGTCGACGCCTCAAACTTCCAAGTTAAACCAGTTTAACCAGTCCAACCCCGTGCGATCATCCATTTGCAAATTGGATAGGTTCCAATCAAACTGATCGCCCGCATTATGAATTGCTTCGTTTATCTGATCATCGGACATGGCCGAGAACTGTAATAATTCAGCTGACATAGGAACAGCTGCCGAAGCTGGCCCAGGTGTCAAATCGAGTTGCTGATGAGGATATATCTGTGGACCCTGCGATTGCTGACGTGTATTGATAGGACTGTTGTTCTGGTCTATAGGACAAGAACTTTGCGTATATAGTTGCTGGTTATGGGCACGACTATCCCCTTGCCCTAATTGACCGATGGTGTTCGGCTGATTAAGCAAACTTCGCACCACTTCTCGCAGATGCCTACCATACAAAGCGGATGTTCCATTGCGATGAGGGGGATTAGATCCGATCCTCTCGAGAACACCAGCCGACTCCTCGATCAGCATTCTAATACTTGGTGCTAAGCTCAAGTGCCCTTTAGGCCCAGCGCCCATAGTACTTAGATAAATAGCAAAGCAGGCGGCAAAGGAGATCATGATACACGTATTGTTCGGTAAGGATTGCAGGCTACTCTCGCCTTGAACTGCGGCGCGCATAACATTAAGGGAAGATGAAAGGCCAGCAGCTCGGAAGAAGCTCTTCACTTCAACAGGCGCGGTGGGGTGGTTTATGACCGAACTATAAATAGACAGACGACCATGAATGACTAAAATCTCAACGTAGGGCGGGACGGAGTTATCTATCACATGAAATTAGAAGAGATATATGAGATGGGTTAGGACGAGGGAAGCAACCTTCTGTTCCACCAATTGCGAAAGCCCACGTCGCATACCAGCGGTTGAAAAAGCCGTCAATCAATTGTTGAAGGCTGAAATAATATTAGCAAGGTATAAACCTCTGTTTGGTAACGAAAAGAGACTTACGACTGGGCTATTATGACCCCATTGATGCTTTGAGCACGATTGCTGTCGCAACTCTTCTTGACATCTGAAATCAGATCAACCTACAATTGTTAGTCAGCATATTGATAACGTTGTACATTGTGGTAGCATACGAGGTCTCTTCTTAAAGCCGTTATACAAATCGCGGAGCCGTCCCAACGATCTGCAATTGAACATAAATGCCAGTCGTCACATGTCTCGATAAGCGGGGTCACTGGCACCGTGAAACTTCTTCCTCTTGCCAGGCAAACTCTGACACGTCAGCGCAGTTCAACCAATTTTGTATACAGTAACCTACCCTCTGTCAAGTATAAACAATGCAAGCCAAATCCTTTCCCTCCGGCGAAGGAGTCTTCTTCCGTAGTCGGACATTGGATCGACATCTCGGAAGCCATCCATGTCTAAGACTTTCCTCGCGGTAATGTACTCTGATTGTGTTCTACCAGCTTGGCTATTGCTGCAAGGATCAATCGGAGACGTGATGATGAGCTTGTCCAGCGAGCAATCCATTGCAATATTTACAGCCGTGGCCATATATGAGCACGTCTCGTCATCTGACCAGTGAGCTCCTGGGGCCATCCAAGGTATGTTCATCATGAATCCCAAAACGATCTCTGGTGATCGATGCCGATGGGCAATAATATTGCGAGCTAGGAATTTGCAATGGGCAGACAATCTTTTGGAGATTGCAGCGGCCGTTGGGATAAATAGTGCAGAGGCAGCGAGGATCGATGTGAACAAAAATGACGATTGCCCCTGGACAAATTGAGGAGTGTGTAGTACAGGATCCAGTCCCCACCTTGTATGTGAGAGGGTTTTGTGAAAACTTGACATATTATTAGCTAAGTTCATATCTCAAGGCGAGAAAACGAGTAGCTCACTAATTGAAGAGGGCATCTGTCTCTTCCTGGGTAACAAGACCCATCTCAATCGGATCGATGTCTTCCCCGACATCTAAACTAGGCCTAAATGGCCCGAAGAAATCCCGGAGAGCCTGGTCTTTCGGGGCATCCAGCCGAAGGGCAGCAGGAGCAGCCGGAATGCTTGGGATATCCTTTGCCGCACGGGTAGGACCGGAAAGATCGGATGCTCTTGCAAGCAATTGAAGCGGGTTTTCCGCATCGTCGACAGCAAAATGGTCGTCAGAATTCTGATTAATAGCTGCATCTGACTCTGGTAGGCTATGTCCAAGGGTATCGTGGCGAGGTATCCTTTCGGGTTGAGAAAGGTGGTTCTCCATCTGGAAATTTGATTCGACATCATGGGAAGGATGTCTGGGAAGTAGATTCTGGGCTTCATGTAGAAGGTTCTCTAATTGTTGAACCGTTTGCCCGTCTTCTGGCTCGGGGACGTGTGTCTTGCGCCGCTTGATCGCCTGCTCAATCCGGTATACGGCTTTTTCTAAACCGTCCCGTTTGCTAATTTATGAGTGTTTGCTCATATTCATTTCAAAGGTATACATCATACTTACTTCTTGATGCCTTTCTTCCGCCCAACCCGATATTCTGGTATGACACAGTCCAAGTTTGTCTGAGAGCACTTTTTACACTTGAGATCCCCAACATCTCTAAGGCAACGGGTCTTGCTACGTCTACAGTTCAAACAGGCCGCTTGCTTACTGTGACCCGACGTGTCTCCCTTCTCTGCCGTACTCGAGCTCGATGGAGACCGGTCTTCCATGTCAGCGATTCTGAGGGAAGGGATAGGGACAATGTGAACATCGCGCCGACACGGTCATCGGAGCTATCAGGTCCCAGAGGCGTCTTTTGGGATATGGTTTGCAGGGCCAGCAATACTCGAGTATCTCGGGAGAACGCGTGATGTCGCGGGTTACAACTGATGCAACTGATGGGTTGAGTCTCAGACCCTCGGCCATGCGACGTCTCCTTCCGGTCACACACGATTCGCGGAAGTTCGACTGTGCACGTGATCAACCTGGATGCCTCACCTTGAAATCGCTTAATTTCGCTTAGATAAACGTCACCAACCTGACGACCGGGACAACGTTTTAGTAGTTGAAGGTATCAAGTATAGGGCTGAAAATAAGAGGATATTATTCTCTTATTCGCGTGGATGACCTGCTAATTCCAACATTTTAAGGTATATTTGCTCTCAGGCTCTGTTTTGACTTTGTTGCATGGGCGCAAGAATAGGCTGTAATCCCGCAACGACCCAAACAGAGTCTACTCTGTATAAAGGGCATTTATTTGTCGTTGTGAAGGTTTCTAGTCCTGTTAATTACCACCTTATCCGTCGGTTAACCTCTACTTTTAGAGCCCTCGAGAATGCCAGAACAGAGGATTGTACGCCGTTATGCCGCACCCTTTTCCTAGTCAATAAATTCATAGCCCTATAGTAGAAGTAAGTATTGCTAAATGGATAGAAATACAATAGTCATAAGGGCAATTTATGAATGGACCAATGACTCTAGTGGACCGAGATCTGAATAAACCGAATAAAGACACACCTTATCATGAACCCGTGCAGTCGTAGGGCACGGTAAGTGGTGCCAGCAGCGAAGGCTGCTAGGCGATGAATGTCAGAGTTTAGGGAGCCAAGGACAACAAACATCATCTGGCCAAAACTTCGTATATGAAACTGTTAAACTTCTCGTCTAATTGGTGAGCCTAACCAAAGTAATAAGTACAAAAATTTGGTCGCACAGGATAGCCCAGCCTTACTTATGTGTTCTTCGAAGTAGAGCCGGTCGCGAATAGGGATTTCGGTGAGGTCAGCCCTGCATCATGCTGCATGTATTGGGCTGGTTTGGGCACCGCCCGCCTCAAAAAGAACCTCGCAAAACTGCTCCGACCCATAAACTGGGTATTAATCACAGATGTTCTTGAGGCTGAGAAATATTCCTAATACATAACTGTTTTAAACCAGGACTGTTGCCACAAGTGCGGCAAGCAACCCAGGAATGCAAATGTTCTTGGACATTTTGTTGTCACGTGCGCAACACCCGGCGCTGACTAGTCGCAATACCCTTGCTAGCCTTGCCAGATATCTCACAAGATGCAGCTGGCAACTCAACCCAACGGCAAGCGTTCAGCAGTTGACGCCTTTTCCACACTCGGCACCTTTGACTTCAACCCGGGGGGGCTCCAGAATCAGACATCACCCCACAAGCGTGCTCGACTTCTTAGCCCGCCGTGCTACTTGACGGACGAGTGCAGCTGGAGTACTGTGACAACGGATGATCAATACCAGCTCAGCACAACCGCCGCCATTTCCTTTCCCTGTGCGCCGTTAGTATCCTTCCCAGGCTATTACAATCCTTTTGAGGGGAAGGGGGATGCAGCCTGCTTGTTATCGACTGTGTCTGCCAGTGCTTCCGGTAGAGACGTTCCATCAATACGGGCCCGCCCAGTCCAGTCGTCAGATACGGGAAAAGGCACACCGATAAAAAAATGGGACCTTGAAGGTTCCTGTTCTAGACAGCCTAGCCCTTCAAACTCTAACAAAAATACTCATGGGTGGGCCCCTCGTCGTCGGCCTCGTCGTCGGCCGTTTCCAGGGGAGAACGCCTCTCACTTGGCGACCACGTGGGGGGAGACAACTTCCTCCAGGGGGGCAGAGAATACTATCAGTGGACGAAGTCAAGAACAATTAACCCTTGTTACTGCTTCCACGCCCAGTGTCTCATCTTCCGGTTCTATGACTGATGCTTTGGAGTTTTACGACTATTGTAATATTACATCTCGCAGGTCGTCATCCGCTTTGAATTTGAACTTTATCGAGGAGCAGTTAAAGGCAAACTGTACCGGACCCGGAGAGAAAATAGCTTATCATGAAAACGATCCATCAATCACAGAAGTTGATCAAGAATGCCGTGCCACTTCAATCGATTTTGAAATCTCAAGCACTGAACCCGTGATGGCCAGCAACTGGCTAATACACCCGGCGGATCCTAGCTTATCTAACATTTTCGACGATAGCAGTGTAATCGAAGGGCCACTTGAGGGAATTGGATCGATGAGCCATGATGCTAAGAATACATCCTCCTTTCAGATACCGCCAGCTGATACATTTGAGTGTTTCACGGACTTTACCTCGGCCAGTTTCGATTTCCTTCCTCCACAAAAGACTACACAACAACCACCCACCCATGAATTGGAAGCTAGAGGAAATTTGGAACGAGAAGACAATCATCTTGGTACTCAGGGCACTCAATGTAAGTGTCTTGTATTGTCGAGCAATACTTTGAGGCGCTAAGATTAATTAGTGAAAATTTTTCGTCCTGCGAATAGCGACCGTTTAACCATGGGACCTCCATTCCAAAATAATATGGGTCTTGGTTATGCTGACTTTTGGGGAGTTCCTTCCTTCGATGGCTGGCAGGTTGTGGAAAGAGAGCTTCCTCTGAGTTCGATGGCTCTTTCCACTTTGCAAGCTGGCCCATGTAACTTTCCACTTCTGCCAGCAGTGCCAAAAGAACAACCCCTGGAACGCAGCTCAAATCCGCATTCAAAAAAGCCTCCGATTGATGCGGCCATTCGACTGCTAGAAGCGATACAAAGTCATGAAAATTTCGACGAGAGTAGCGCCAAAGAATACTCAAGTCTCCCGCTTCAAAATCTACGAGAAACCCCTGCTGTAGGCAAGCCCCTGGCTAGCTCGCGTTTTACTATTCCAGATCTTAACACCAGTGAAAAGAACGAGTCCCCACTACTTGTTATCGTCGAAGACACCAACGATACCCAGCAAGAGGTTCAAGAATTTTTGGCAAAAGCAAATCAACCGTCCAAGGCCCGGAATAGTAGAAGTTCGAATGATTCCTCGACACGCGAAGTCGCGACGACCTGGCAACACACCTTTGTCCCGAAAACCCACTTCACAGAGGCTGGAAGAGAGTCGCCCCCAAAACGTACTGCACAAAAGCTTGTCGGGAGGACACGTCCTTTATCCGTGGATGCAAGGACAAAGGCCAAAGAAATGAGGAAGATTCGGTCCTGTTTACGGTGTAAAGTATCGAAAATTGCGGTAAGTTGTAAGACCTGGACTCAAGATTGTTTACTCATGTCTACAGTGTACCCAGGGTGAAATATGTGAACCATGTTTAAAGGTACAATCACCATCGTTTCCCAACAAGATCTGTTTCAGAGCCCATCTAAAAGATTACTTGAATCTCTTTCTACCAGGTCTGTAATATGCGCTCTTTAGCTGATGGTAACTAACGTGCCACAGAACAAGCAGTACGTCCATTCCAAAGGGCATCAATTGATCAACTCGTGGGGAAAAATATTTCTGGATATGGCGACAATCGATTCAAAGTCTCCTTATCATCCGGCCCTTGTTACCCACCAATTCAAGTCACTGTTGGTCGGTTTCGTACTAAAGATTGGTGCGATCCAAACTTTTCAGCAGTTAAGAAAATCGTGTCTGTTGACAAGAGTAAAAAATTGCGCTTCGTCGAGTTCTACTCCCCCCCGTTTGGTATCACCGATTTCAACCAAGATCTGGAAGGCAAACTCACGAGCCATATTCAAGTTATCGCTAAAGGCGAGAGAAACTATGGAGAAGTTCTATATGGCAACACGTCCGGACTAACATGGGATTTGTATGAGGCTGTGAGGTATTACCAGTGCGCTAATCCGACGGTAATATTTTCGGTCCTTTCCTTGTTTACCAGCTGAATTTTCAACCAGGATCAACTACTCCGAAAGGCGTTGATACTCTACGCCATGCAGTTTTTCATGACGAAAACTATTGTGCTGTTACGAGAAGAGTCTGAAGACGCTCTAGAACATCTTTCTGTCCCCAATGAGTTAAATATGCGGAGGCCCAACCTGCGCATGATCAACATTCAACTCAAGCATGTGATGCTCCATTTGATTCGCGACGCCTACGCCGAAGTCCTTGAGAAGTTAGAGAAAGATCTACGACCGAAAGAGCTGAAGTTATGGGCACCAACATTCTGCTGCATCCTGATTCTGTGTATGTGCGCGGAGATGGTGCAGGTTACCTCTGATCACCGAGTTGTATGTGCACTAGATGACATGTCGAAGTCCCGCGATGGGAAAGATAAGAATGGGAATGAAGCCTCTCGAGACGCCAGCTTTGACATCTGTCGTAAGCTTGATGATTTGCCTATTGCGAGCGCTGAGAGCAGCTTCCACGTGATCTACAAAACCATCAAGCTTAAGGACGGACCAGGCCCAAAACGTGAACATGGGTTTAATCCAATACGCGATGGACTTGATGCTGTGAGAAAGGCTAAGCTAGGCGCGGATGTGGAAGAGTTTGTGGGTAGGATTCGTGACGTTGTCGCCAAACACAGTGAGTATGCCCGCGCAAAACGCTCCAATGGTTATAGACATTAACGTGATCAAGAAAATGAGCTTAAGCCCGAAGCAACAATCCCGTCTTTCAACCGTCTCCCAGACGATTTTCTCGGAGATCATACTATCTTTCGAAAGCACAACTCGGGACGACTGGTATCTAGATTTCTACAGTCAATGCTCTGAAGTGTTTTCGAGGGAGTCATAAAGTCCAAACATGATAACACCAGAAGGCAAGGGCGTTATGAGGGGTTGCGCTATGTACGCAGAACTGTATGGTGGGATCTGAATAGTACGAACAGTTAAGTCCATGTAGCTATCCAAAAGCTTGAATAACTGCTTGATAGTAACATATACGAGCTTTAGCTAGAGAATTGCACTACGGCGGCTCGCAAGCTCGTGGGCGGTAAGCAGTGAAATATTCCTGTACTAAGCTCGCCCAGTGGGGCCCGTGGTGTACTGGGTAGAGGCTGACTGAGGTGGGATGATTGTTTTGATAAGAGCTTGGTCATATAGGTAATACCTTAGTCAAATATAACCGTACAGTCGGCCAGCGTGCCTACCTACCGACGCACCTAAATTAGCTATATTCCTACGTATCGAGCCCGTAGTTGCATCTATAATTGTGAGTGAGTAGCTTGCTTTGACCTGTCGAAATGGTCTAAATACGACGTGTACGAAGGCACAGCTAACCTGTGATCTGCACGTGCGTACTCGCGTGCGGATACAAAATGGAAGAGGCGTCCAGGGGGGCCTCCCTAGTAGGGGGGGGGGATATTATATAATTTGACTTTTTTTCGTATAATCAATGATCAAAAGGGGCTATAATAATGCAATATAGTCACGTGATTAATTTTAACCGTATTAGGACTACGATTATACAAATTATATAAGGCATTTTCCATAATAATAACGTAGCGGTGTCACTATTATATAATTATATATAACGAAAATATCCGATCCCTACACCTTGACCTACCCAGCCCCGGCAACACACAAAATGACACGTGCCCCATTCTGATCTACTGGTGGCTGGCAATATGCAGGATACCGATACCCTAGCCCCAATAAGGCAATTGAGCCGACTCGCGCACGGCTCACACCGAAATGCTCAGCTTTCATTTGCCGACTAGTAAAAGTCTTATCCTACCCCGTTTTGTGCCGGGCTGTACTGTATGGGGGGGTGGTTCGCCCTAAATTGCTGCATCGTGGCCGCCTGAACACTCTTCTTACCATCACCTGTTTCACCACCTCTCAAGTGGGTATGCTGTTACTGCGCAAGAAAAAAACTCTTTTGCCGATTCTATTGATCTTTCCAATACGTAGGTATATTTCACTACTTTCCATCCAAGGAAGAAACTATGTCCGGAACATGCGTGTACGAAGAATGCGTGCCTATGCCCAGCAAATTCCTTCCCACGCCCACCCACCTCGATCCTCGACGGATTCAATCACTACTCTGTACACGCATAGAGTTAGCGGTACTGCTGAAGGCAATGAACGGCGCGAACTATCCGAAGAATCGACAAAGTGTTTGCAATCATTGCAGAAGAAACACGAATGACGAGACGAATCAATAGCCAACCCATCGCTTTGTGCTGAGCCGAAACTGTCGAGATTGAGAGAAAGAAGTGTTCGCCAAACTGCCATCGAACTCCAGCATCACACTGAACGAAGGGACCTCTTCTCTGCCGTCTCTTGACACAAAGATAAATCCGGCAACTCCCAACTTCGAAGAGGCCATAACTATAACGGGCAAGGGAGAGAGGGAAGGGAGCGACACCCGATCCGCGAACACGATAAACAAAGGAGACTTTTGGTGGGAATGGCATAGTGCAATGGGATATGCGCAACGTACAGGTAATGCCCCCTCCTGCGCTTGAAGATAGCACGATATTTGTTTTTTTTCTTCAGTATTCCTGGTCGCCATCAGCGCTGTCGCTCGCTCCAACGGCATCACTTTGGAAGTCTCAATGTCTACTCACGGGGTCGTCATCGTTACCGGTCTCGCTCTCGCCACCTTCGCCGCGCTGCGAAACCGTCGGCGGAACGGACAGCTCCCTTGCGCCGCCCTGGAATCTTGGTTAGTCCTACCAGTCTCCATTTCTCTAATCAAAATGGCCTCGGATCATCCTGATCATCCCTCTCGCTTAGGCTCCATTTCTCGCCTGCAACCCCTTTCTCGCTTACAATCCCTTTTTCTTTTTTCTCGCCAACGTCACATGTGGGTCACACGGCTCCGAATTTGACACCTCAGGCCACGATTTCTTGTCCAGCTACACCTCCGTTCCTTGCACATCTCCCAGCGCGGTGGAAATTGGCAGACCCGCCTGCCCAAAGGAGCAGCACAAAAGCAGAGGAGATCAGAGGGAGGAAGGAGTGGAATACGTACCCCGATTCTTTCCGTCTTCGAAGCCATGTCACCGAGCCCAACACCCCTTCCACCCTTCGCGCCAAAGCCGAAACCAAAGTCGAGGATACCCTTCACCATCCCAACTTCACGGCAGCCAAGTCGTGTAGGTAGGTTGGCGTCTGAAGCGATTATAATTGTTCGGGGCGGCAGTTGCAACGGAGCCGAGCGTAGCCGTCAGGTTATCTCGCAGAAGCTGGGGTGTTGGAGGTAGATGCTCGTTGCACCTTACGGGCTGCCGACGACGGAGGATGGAGGAGTACTTGCGGCTCCTGATGTGGCGAGATACAGTATATGGCCGTCGAGTCTTCCGGGGTGACGAGTGTTGCCTCAGTGGTGAAGCGGAAGGGTCGAGAGCTTTCGCCGTTGATCTTTTGGCGTGGAGGAGTATGGTCAGGTAGGAATGCAGAATACGCTCGATTTCCAGGTCCGAGCTATGGAGTCGTCAACTTCACCAGTGTTGGAGCCGTGGTGAATCAGCGAGGTCGAGTTGTCGTTGCTGGTCGCTGGTTGCTGGTGGTTTTGTTTTTAAATATAACGAGAGTAAATCCAGGGTCCGAGCTGTCGTTACACACCGTCCTTCGACGCTAAAGTGAAAGAGACTCGGGCACTAGTGGTGTAGCAATTCACGTCCGATAATACGGTATAATCTTCAAGCATGTTTCTTGAAATGTAAAAGATATTGTCATTATAGTATTCAGGAAGCTCTCAATCACTTGCACAGTTTTTTTTTGGGAATAACACCTCGTGGTTGTCGATTCTTTGTAATGGACTGCTATTTGAACCCAAATCGACCAATTCTCTGCCATATGCGGGTTACCCCGCTGCTTAAGGCTGACTGTCGCCTGCGCCCCTGAAAAGTATGGTATTTGCCACCCAGACCTGAAAAGTGATGCTTTTTGCCACCCGGACCTGACGCCTTCCTTGGCATTCTGGGATACGGGCACCTAGATCAACAAACAGACAAAATAGATGTTTTGATTTAACCCGCCTCCTAATAGTTGGGTATTTGTACGAAGGTCGCGGTCATAAGTTTGGAGAATACAGGCCCGAGACCCTGTAATGCCCTGTAAGAAGCCTGTAAGGTCTCACCCCCTAAAATGTAAGGCCTTTGCCCCTAAAATTCGCTGCCGTTAGGTCTTTGATTGGCTGGTTAGGCCTATAATCTAAACCCATCGCCCAAGCTTAACCAACCAGAGGCTCTAGGGTTACATTTTCGCCTAGCCAGACAATCAGAGGCCCTGAAGCTTGAGAATTTTAGGGGCAAAGGCCTTACATTTTAGGGGGTGAGACCTTACAGGCTTCTTACAGGGCATTACAGGGTCTCGGGCCTGTATTCTCCAAACTTAAGTTATGACCACGACCTCCGTAGTGGAGTTTACTACTCGTGCGGCCAGTAAGTCCTAAAATTAGAATGAAAGGCCCAATTCGGCAATTTGTTAAGTAAGCAGGTAGCGAGCCACTGGCAGTCCAGCTTGCCGCTTAACTATACAACTCCTTACTAAATATTTGACTTATACTAAAATTAAAATATATTAATTAATATTCCTATTTTTAATAGGCACGTATAGTATTATAAGTCTATAGAATTATAATTGAGGTATAGAAAAAAACACCACGTCATATAATCATGTGACCCCCTTTGATTCTCGTCCCGCCAGCCAAATGAAATTCGTAAGCGTAGCGAATGAAATGGCTCGCTTAACACTTCTTCCACACGATCATTTAAAATTTAGAATAAGCAGAAACCACTCAATAATTGGCCTGATAGTTCAGTGGTAGTGCGTTCATCCAGCCCTCAAACCCATTATCGCAGTGTCTAACAATCAATTCAGGAATTCTTGCTTTGGGTTGTCATTACTCATAATTGTAAGAGGTCTCCGGTTCGATCCCGGATTAGGCCCTAAGATATTTTTTTCCTTCTTTTTTGCTTCCTTTTTCTTTTGTCTACCTGGGTAGGTTTCAATTTGATTTAGCTGCGCGACGAAAGGGAGGTGCTCGACTCTTTTGAACTTACTTCTAGTGGTAAAGTCTACTACTAATAATACTAACGATTCACTATATCCCCCATCCGCAACCCAAGCGGCGCTCCTCCAGGCTGCAGGCATGTTGCAGATGCCCCTACTAGCACCACCTTCTCACTGCTCTGTGCCTGCGATCCCAGACCTGCAAGCCACCCATCCGGACATGGATTCGCGACCTTCTACAAGAACTGAAGCATATCTAGCAAGGCTTTCTCAACTCGTTCATGGCTTCCTTTCCTTGGAAGCGGAACATACAACCACTGTGTGGAGGAGCCTCTTACGCAAACGATCACCTGAGGAATGGGTCGCTGCTATTGATCATTGCACGACGAATGATTTCAAGCTTCTGCTAAGCTGCGATGCCCCACCTACTTTTGATCAGCTGCAACGATTAAGCTGGAACGACACAACTAGGCCTGGGGTTATCTTGGATTAATCCAAAGGACTGATGGTACAGGGAGTAAGTTTGTCTATATTGGCTCGGCATCAAGCCCAAATGGTGGCCTCAGATATCGAGTTCGCCAACATCAGAGTCCCCAGTATAGTACTAAGGCTGCGTAAGTCTCTTAATACATCGGTTAACATTGATACTGATTCTACTATGTCTAAAGTGCAAAAGGCTCCTTCCATCACGGCTTGCTCCACCAGAAAGGCGTCCCACGTGTTGAAGCATTTTTCACCCTTGCTATCAGTAGCTTCGAAAGGAATTCACCAGATTCGGTACAGCAGGCTCGTGTACTATGCCTTCTCACTGAGGCTGTCTATACTCATTGGCTGCAAGCTATCTGCCTCAACACGATCCAGGATCATAAACCATACCTCCTGCTTTGCCCTTGGCCCCTAGCCTCTATCACATATCTCGGGGCCTGTAGAGAGAGGCCATTGCACCAAGCCTTCCATAGCGCGCCCCACCGAATGCCACAAAGTCAATAGGAGATGCGGTTAGCTAGGAATGAATACCAGAAGCTCGGGAATATAAGTTCTACAGTATATCAAAAGAAAACAAAGTCGGAAAAGAAGCAAGTTTATCGATTGTCTCACAACGAGAGAAGGAGGCAATTGAGAAAGAACGAATCTATCCAGGAAAACCGGAGGCGCCTACAATGCAGGTACCAAGAACCAAAGTACACAGGAAGAAGCTCGACTAAAGGTACACTAATGACTTGCCACTATTGTGGAGGAAAAGGCCACAACAGAAGGTCCTGTCCTGACATTCCTGATTCCAAGCGGGACAAATCGCGGTGTAGCCATTGCCACAATTCCGGCCACAATATGCTCTCCTGTGAAGTTATTAAACTAGCATTCAATAATATGGAATAAACTAGAGGGCACAGGATAACTTGGGAGTAGTTATCCATATTTTTGCAAACTGTGCGTACGACCTAGTACCCGGCATGTGTAGGGAAGGCAGAAGAAGAGCCAGGAGTCAAAAGCTCAGCTGGCCCCACTTATCCTCCTGTTCTAACAGCAAATCCAACTATTTCCTAATGCTCCTAGGCAAAAATGAATCCCCGGGCTGCCCCGCCACAGTATATCGGTGCTACCTTGGACAATGTCAATAACCAAAATTCCCGACGTTAAAGCATCGAGTTCTACTAGATCTAGAGATAAAGATCAGGGTCCAAGGCTCCAAGCTGTATAACTTTGCGTTCCCGGATTCGACTCGTGCATTTGCACATCCTCTTAAGTTAGTTGTCTCAGATAGTCTACTATATATGTACTGTAGGTTTGTATCATTGCTCATACAAATATGACCTGCCTCAAATAGCAGCTTTCCCGGGTGTCGGGTATTATATGTGCAGGTTAAATTGTTAAGATATGGGACTCAAGTCGAGTCATAGAGTTGAATGTATTGAATTAGTTACTTGCTACAAAAAGTAGCTGAGAGTAGTAAGTATGTATATAGCGTTGTTAGAAATACGCATATAGACTAGAATTGCTAAGTTAGGCTTACACGTCTTATATAACCGGCTACACGGCTTACACTCTTGTAATTAGATTAATCGTCTTAATCTATACTTTGGGGTACACTTACGTTAACTACATCAATTATTAGAATCCTGCAATACCGCTGATGCTTTCTTAGCGGCAAGATGTGTAATGAAGCTCTTTAATCGAGGACCAACTTCCTCTTCCTAGGGCGGTATGCTCTTGTACGGAGTATTACGGTTGATTATATTATAGCGTCTAAATGCTACAATATTTAACAACGTATTAGCGACGATAAACATTAGGTTAAGACGGTGCTTCGCGATTGGCTACAATCCGAATCCGAAACTGCGCTCTTTTACGAGTGCTCACACATTATAGTCTTAGATATACTAGTAGTAGAGTTTAGTGCTAAACTAACTAGCTATTTGGATGATAATGTGATTTTCACATCCAGTTACTAGCCAGTCTTAACCGACGACACAAAGTAGTTGCTCGTCGTCGTAGAGAACTTTATAACCTTAGTCGATATTAACAGGCTAGAGCGTGGGTCAGTAGAGTTACTTAGGGGATATGTCACAAATGTGCTTCCCGATGAAAGACCAGCTTACATTTAGGTACCACAAGGAGAGCCACGAAGCTAGATGGTGGAACTGCTGCATCGCGATAGGGCATCTGTAGGTGCATGAATGGAGGGGTTTCAAGCAAGGCTAGAAAGATCAGAGGAAGGCATTTTTGATATCTGAGCCTGACCAGGGCATCAAGACCTAATAAATGCGCACGAAAGAAATTGGCAAGGGAAAATGGGCTTGAAGTAAATAGGCTTGATTGTATAAGCATAGGTGCCTTTTACTATTTTCATATCCCTCATAGAATCATTTAACCCTAATGACCTATCATCTAGCAACCCAGCCATCCATCCATCCATCCAGCCACCCATTTGTCCACCCATCCGATCTTTCTTTTGTGGCGATCTATTGGGCAGCCTTGATCTTCTTGGTGAAGAAGGCAACAGCCTCTGGGACTTTGCGAACATAGTCCAAGTGAGGAGCTAGGATGGTAAGAGTACCGGAACAGACCAGGTCGCCGACGTTGCAGATGACCAGGACCTTGTCCTTGGGGAAGTTGGGGATCTGGCCACGGTCTTGGAGGTTCTGGGTGTCACCGTAAGTGACGGCAGCGGCGATCTTGTCCTTGACGTTTTGTGGGAGATCCTCAATGGCGCGATGGGTAAGGGCGGCTCCCTGACTGTAATGGCATTAGCAATCTGTAGAAGTAGAATGAGGGCAAGAAAACAGCATACCTGTAACCACCACCGACGAGGATGGAATCTGGGCACTTGGAGGCAGCGCTGATGAACAAATCCTTCATCTTCTTGATGCCAGCGAGATCAGCTCCACCTGGAAGGAAGTTGGTGGAGAGCGCGGCGGAATAGTCGATTCCCTCCACAGCAACGTTGCCACCGCCGAAGGCCTTTTTGATTCCCTCTCCAGTTGGTGGTCCAACGGTGCTTCCCTATAGCGCCAATGGTTAGTCTGAAAGCTGTCTTGTGCTGGGTCGTCAAGAACACATACCATGTTTCCGATTTCAGTGGATCCTCTGGCGAAAAAGAAGATAATGGGCTTGCAGCCACCCTTGGTGAATTCATTGGCAGTGATTCCGACATTGGTGCTTTGGCGACCCTCGAGAGGAGAAGCAGTGGCAAAGGTAGCCAACAATGGCAGGAGGATTTGAGAAGTCTTCATGATGAATATTTAAGAATCGAAGTGATTTGCAGCGGTGCTTGAGCAAAGAGGAGTATGAACGAGTTCAGGAAGACCGGATGATGATTGTGAGGATGATTGTGAGGATGGCTGTGAGGATAATACTTTATGGCGGATGGAATGAGGACTTATATACTTGAGGGTCCCGGGGATGTAGACAGGAATTGAAATTGTATTCTATCAACATTGAAGCTGTCAGATGTGGGGTGTCTCCAGGAGGCAGTCACACAAAATCCGATGTGCGGCCCAAAGACCCAGAAACGGCTTGTTTTGCGGCGAACTCAAGACTTGGGAAGCTTCCGGCCGTGTAACTGAGGCGGCCAAGAGGTACCATCGAGGCTAGAAAACGCCATTCAGAAAACAATTTACGCTAGGATTCTTGGGCTGAGCTTTCCGCAGATCGGTTTTATAGAAAGAGCCACCGCGATTGGTTAGAAATAGCCTCGGACCATTCTGTGGGGAAGGAGATAAAGGGGGTGGACCAGGACCATCAGGCCCCGAGATCGATGCGATCGAACTCCCGTTACGCCCAGCAGCAAGCTACCGGTGCCAAGAATAATACCAGTAGAACGGCTGATGCCCCGTTTCAGGGGAAAGAATAGTTGCGATTGGCAGACTCTGTATATAGAACAATCTGCTGCTAGAAGAATGCGGGGAATCCTAACATAGCTCTATAACTCTAGAGAAGTATGAGATGCGATTGGCCCCAGAACACCTCGGTATCTACTCTACTTCGTAGGCACCGCGACCTGGGGATAATATTTATACCAGTAATTGGGATAATGTTTATCGCAATGCGGGGTACTTCCCTATCTTAGCGTGCAGGAGATCTTCAGATGACTTCTTTTTTATCCCTGCTGAGCAAAGGACACAACACCACCTCAGAGAGTTCTCCGCAGCAGCATGCATGGCATACCGAGGCCAAAAAACATGGTCTCTGATTCCAAAATAACAGGCAGTACAACGTCCCCCTCACGAAAACCCGATCAGATCTCTGTCTCAACTTGAACTGCCGTCATTGCGTAAGAAGCCATCAAGTGGGAGTTGCGGTGCTTCGAACAACGTTATCCGGAAGCAAAACTTGCGATAAATGCCGATACAACCAAAGACAACAGCTCCATCAAACCCAGTACTCAGGATCCTGATACATCCCACCGCTAGAGGGTGATAGAAGTCTTATGGCACTAAATCCTATCATCAGCGCGAAAATCCCCTCGTGGGAGACAGCTCATCGACAAATTCATCGCCAAAGGTGGGACTGAGAAAGCCGAGAATAGTGAACATAGTCGATATGAGAAGGTAGATAAGCGCATCGAAAACGCCAACATGGCGGCGGTACTTTGCACTGCAACCCAGCTCTGAACGAGTGGATCCCACAGTAAAATCTGTTTTACAATTGACGGTGATGTAGCCGTAGATAGTGCGTTTAGATGGTAGGATTGACTGCAAAGAAGAAGAAGAAGAGGTGAGTAATAGCGGAGGGAGAGATCCAGGACTTGTCCATCCGCACACTCGCCCACTGACTCAATCCTTCGGAACGTTCATGTTGCAATTGTTTGTTTTCGGCGTCGAGGAGGTGGCTGGCATAGCAGAGCGCACATACTAGTATATAGGAATAAGATCAAGGAGTGAGTGGTTGTTGAAATGGTGCCGAAAGCACGCACTTGTGGGTACTAGCCATAACGCGTAGGGGTCTTGTAAGGCTATGATGAGGCGCACTTTGACGGTGTTAAAGGCGCTGAGAAGGTTGTAGCTGAAAAGCTATATTTATCGAAGATATGTCTTGGGGGGATAGTGGGGATAGTGGGGATGGCAGCTTGGTGGACGCGTTTTGTGTTTGTTTTAAAAATTCCACCGAAAGTTCCAAGGTTAACTACGGACTATGATACGGAATACGTCGCTTAGTTCTGCCGAAGTGGCGCCCGTAAAAGGTCAGTAACGTGACTTTTCGGGGTCTTTGCGTACGAGTAGGGCCCCTAATTTATTTCTTGAATTTCAGGGGGCTTTACTGTAAGACCGACGTTCTCTTCTCCTTTTGCTCTACTTTGTATAGCCCGACTGGAGTAGTGCAGACTCTATAACACTGACTTTGATTATATCTACCTAGGTACTTATAGTTACTAACTTACGTACCTTAACAGGCTTCTCTTGGTCAGACTTAATACTATTATATACTTGATCCTACCTGCAACTTCGCTGAAGCACAAAACTCGCTATTTTGCTATCAAGCACTCTTCTTCCCTCGCCTTTCAGCTCTATTCTTCACTGCCCATTCCACGCCTCTTCGAGCCCCTTCCTCCAAGCTTACCTTCGGCTCCCACCGCAACCGCTCCTTTGCCTTTGTAATATCAAACGTCCGATCCAGACTACAATTCTCCATTTGGCTTTTGTTGAACTTCTCTGGCCGCTTCGTTCCCGCGCTCAACGCCCACACGGTCCACTCCGCCATCCATGCCACGAAGAATGCCAGCCACATTGGAACCACGATGATTTTCTCTCGGGGGGTGCGGTCGCCTGCAAGACGCCATACGAGACGCGCGAAGCCCCAGAACTCGATCGGCTCGCCATTCGTGATGAAGAAAGCCTCCCCAGCGACCTTCTGGCCCTGAGGCCCGCCTTCCATCTCGGATGCCTCCTCCTGCTCTGTCTCTCTCACCATCGCCTCGGCGCAGCACACACATGCGTCGGCCACGTTCCCAGCATAGACAAATTCAAACTTACTCTTCCCGTCTCCAAGCTGGATGCGCGCCATGCCTTGCCCCAGAGCTGTCAACAGCCCGGGAATAACCTGAGTGTCCCTCTCGCCGATAATCCCAGAGGGCCTGAGCACGGCCGTCCGCAATTGCGGAGGGTGGTTCGCGGTAAGGACCATGGTGTCGGCGGTGGCCTTGGCCGCGGAATATGGATCATGATGCGAGGCGGGATCAATCAGTGTTGCGGTGGACTCGGTGAGGAGGGAGAAGGGTGCGCCGGTCACGATAGAGCTGCTCGAGATGTAAATGTAGTCTTTGACGGAGGGACACTCAGCCGCGCAGGCGAGCGAGAGGCGGGTGCCCGCGATGGTAGTGGCCGCGGAGGCCTGCCCACCTGCCTTAGCCAGCGGAGACGCAGCGTTAATGATGATAGTTGGGCGGAGGGTGGAAAGGATCGCCTCGAAGGCAGACTGCTTGGAGATATCGCCCGCGTGATAGTTGGCGCCGTCGACGAGGTTACGGGTGGGCGAGCGACTCACCACAGACACCGTTGGACGTGAAGGGTGCTCGAGCAAGGCGTGCACAATGTGTGAGCCGAGGAATCCACAGCCCCCAATTACGAGTACATGGGGCAGTGTCGGCGAAGCTACGCCTGCCATATTATCTCTGGAAGAATTGGTATACGAAGTATGTGCAGGAGTAGGATCAGAATGGTGGCAAGAAAATGGTGCTTGCAAAGTTGCACTCTCCAATCGCCCATGTTATGTTATATATGTTCAGAGGCAGCCGCCGGAGCCCACGGCGTTGTATGCAAGCTGAATATCAATACCACGTTGTGCAAGAGCAAGGCAATAGCCGGAGACATTGGGATGTATTCTGCCGGAAGGCTTAGCATGGAGCAAGGTACCTAGGTCCAACAACTCGGTATGCAATTGATTAATTAGTACCTAGGTACTCTAGCTACCCTGTTTGAGTACCGTACGTACATTTTGATTGGATAAGTGAAATCGAATCAGTTGATCCGGGAGCAGATAAAGTATAAAGCGCCATTGGAATATTTAATCCCATTTCTATGTCGCTCATATTTCTACCCCTTCTTTTTGCAACGAAATTAAAGGTTGTCTTACATATTCCTTATAGCAAGAATGACTTCTATAGACTGGAGTGCCGTTCAGGATGTCTGCTTCAGCAATGGCGGCGTTATCCTCGGTATTGCCTTCTGTGCTGTACTTTTGGGCATCTGGATTCACAGAAATATTCCTGACTTTCCTAAAGCTCCTGTATGTTGTATGTCTCACTTACTCTGTGCCACAAATCTCATGGCAATACTAACTCACAGCCTAGAACGATCTGGATATCACAACCGATCTCTCGCTCGCCACCCGCTGGATTCAGAGCAAGAAATGGCTTCTCAGAGGGCGGGCTATGTTGATTGATGCACATGTAGGTCCCTATGGGACTCTTCCAACATGCAGACGATAATACTGATATCTGCGAAGGTGCCTGGGAAGACGTATATGCTCCCAACGCCAAAGAATTACTGTGTGTTCATTTCCGCCGAAAATAACATCAAAGAATTTGCCTCGTCGTCAAACTTCTCCCTACACCAAGCTTATGATGATGTACGTTCTGGGTGTGGCTTTGAATATTGTTCTGGCCCTGACTTCTTTGAAGCTCTTCTCGTATAGATACAACAAACTCTGGCACGACGAGGGCGAGTCCGTACACATGACCCAAATCTACTACTTTCGAGTCTTGCGGGAGGGCTTGACAACGAAGTTACCAGTATTGTACCCTTATATGCATGAAACACTAGTCAAGGGAGTTGCCGATCATCTTGCACGCAAGAAAGCGGTAGACGGTGAGTTTAGCATGTAGCAAGGACTTAGGAACACCAGGACTAACATTAGTCAATCGCCAAGGGTGGAAACAAATTCATCACTACCCGTTCCTAGAGTATATCACAGTCTCGGTGATTGGCCCCATATTCTGGGGCGAGTCGCTGTGTAAGGTGGCCCTCTTGCCTTTGATTGTAGCAGCGGCTAATATGTGCTTCTCATTAGGGGCTAATCCAGAATTCCAAGATGCTGCACGCAGATTTCCTGCACAATATTTCGCCTTTGGAGAAATTGTGCAGCATGTACCGACTTTTGCAGTGCCGTAAGTGACTGTAATAGAATTGCCGTCTTTGAATCTCCGCTGATATGAACAGACTTGTAAAATTCGCCGTCACGAAGGGCAACAAATATCGCAACATTCTGATTAAACACTTGCTACCTATTGTTAGCGAGCAGATGGCTGAGGCAAGAAACACGCCTAAGAGTGAAGAGAATCTCCCAGTATGAACCGTTTACCCCGAAGATAGGACTTTTTCTTACATATTAGTTTATCAACTTTATCCAATACACGGTACTTATGACCCAGGGCAAACCGTACTGGACCCAGGAAAGGATAATACTCCTGCTGGAAAGTCTTTGGCGGGCTGGTGGTCACTCGGTTCCTATGGTAAGTAGCTGCCAGAGTTGATGCAGGTTTTTTTCGAAAGTTGATCTCTAATACTAAGTTAGACGCTTACACATATCATGAACTCTTTGTGCCAATACCCGGAGTATATGGAGCCCATACGGGAAGAACTTGACCAGCAGCCGCAGATGAATTTCAGCGTTCTCGAGAGCCTTCCGTTATTGAATAGCTTCATAAAGGAAGTCATCCGAACAAAGCCATTGGACAGCGGTGAGATATCCCAGTAAACTTACATATGATCTAATGCTGACATGGCCGATTCGCAAGCCTCGACCCGCCGCAAAGCTCTCAAGACACACACATTCAAAGATGGACCGCACGTTCCTGCGGGAAATCTGGTGTGCATTCCGTCCTACGGCATCATGAATGACGCCGCCCTTTACCCAAATCCGGAAGTTTTCAACGGCTTCCGCTTTACAACCCGGCCAACTTCCGATAACCAAGAAAGTATCAAGGGGAAACAAGGGGAAACAACAAGGAGCAAAGTCACGGATGTGGATCTAAGCTTCCCATTTTGGGGTTATGGAAAAGAGGCATGGTACGTATAGCACAGTCACGCTCTATGGAAGTGTCCATCACTGATATACCTGTTCAGTCCCGGTCGTTTCTTTGCATCGTTCGAGATGAAATCGGTGATAGCCCTTTTGGTTAGCCGATACGATTTCAAGCTGGCGAATGCAGACAAGCCTACAACCTGGCTATGGCGTACATTTACATTGCCCCGTAAGGATACTGTGCTCTTAATACGTGAACGTTCTGAACATTAGGGTAGCGCAGACATGTTAGGAGTGGATTTACAATGTAACAGAGTTATAGAGTGTGGTGTTGTAAATTTTTCTTTAGGTTGGTGACGAGTTTTGTACCTTGCTTTTTGAGCTCCAATGAAGTAATTATGACATATCTAAATATAACTAAAGCCTTCTTGTTCTGTTACTATTTTCAACATCTAACCAGATATCTTGATGTACACCAACTGAGTGGTTCTCTTTACCTGGAACATAGAGTAATGGGTTGGGAACTAGGTTCCCACTCCTAGGGGCCCGGAGCGCTGGCTCCGAGGAATCCTTATGTAGGTAACTTTGTAACTCAACTATTGCTATAGACTGCACTAGGATCCAGCATCGCAATCTTTTCTTTCTTGTATAGCTAGCCTATATGCACACATTTCTCAATCAGGAGTTTTACGAAATTGCATATATCACTTCATAGATTGTGTAGCCGTTCTATCCCAAAGTATGAGTTGATCGTCGACTCTCGGGTAGCTCGGCGATGACTTCTAAATAACACATACGCGCTGAAGCGGCGTGGTTGAGTGACCACACCACGAGAGTCGAAGTGCATTTTGGAGCAATGATTTATCCAAACAATGAGGACCACTTAATTGGTGAGAATTTATCATGAGCCATGTTTTACATATATCCGCGAACGCCTTACAACTCTCCAGGCCAGCTGAAAACCCCGGTATGTCTAACACGCCGCACACCTACAGCAATTTATCCAGTCCACACTAAAGTGCTCATGTACATCGCCCTCCATCAACAATGTCAATATGTTTTATACCCAGCGGCGCAGCAGAAGCATCCTGCAATTGCGGTTCGTATGGGTGCTGAAGATAATGCCCAGCAGTTGCCAGCCCTAGGCAGTGGGCTCTAATACCAAGTTCGCCTCAAGGCCGTTACAAAATTATTTCTTCGCAGTTCTTGAATTGTAAATGCAAAGATTATGCCTTCGCTGAACATTGACCCAAGCCTGTTGCCGTTGCTGGTCGACCTCCCGGCTGGGACGCCTCCGAAGGGAGTCGAGGCCAACTTCGAAAACCCTTTTACTTTGGCTCCTCTCGTTCACTCGATTGGTTCCATCTTTGTATTTATCATGCTTTGCTTTGTTACGGCGCGGTTTTACTACAAGATATTTCTTATTCGACGCTATACATGGGATGATTGTGAGTCTATTCACTGCTTTATTTGTTTCCAGGACTAACTCTCCTCAAAGTGACCTGTCTAATAGCAACGGTATGTGGCCCACATTTTAGTGTGTCGAAATAACTCCAAGATGTTAATATAATGAATATAGCTAGGCACAATCGAACAGCTGATCACGGCCAGTATAAGTGAATATGGAATCTACTTAGCCTTCACTGCGGTTCGTTAACCAAAATACTACAGTCTCTAAAGCCGGAGCCGGCACTCATCAGTGGGATCTGAAAATAGGTCAGATAATTACCAACGACTTCTTAATTGTCAGTCCGCTCTGAAGGCCTGCCTGTGTTCAAAATTAATTCCCATCATCTAGGGGGGCGCCGCCTTCGTCGTATCAACATTGCCAACCATGATGTTTGCAAAGCTCACATTCTTCATATTCTACCTCCAGATATTTCGACCACGGCCAGCCCTCGCGCGCTGGATCTGGGCTGGCGCACTGGTCTCCACAGGCTTCTATATTGCCACTTCGATAGTGCAATTTTACTACCTGATACCCGGAGCTGGGCAAACATGGATCAGCAAGATCGATCTGAATCCAAACAGCCCGTCGGCCACAGTGGGAATAGTTACTGCGTGCTTTGGCATGGCAAGCGATTTCTATTTATTCTTTTTGGCTGCAGCGGGAATATGGCAGCTACAAATGCAGAAAGAACGCAAGCTGGGAATCATTGGTGTATTTGCAACCGGGCTGTTGTAAGTTTTTGCTTCCTCTGTCGGATATCCTAAACGCTAACTCTGTTCCTATAGAGCCTGTATAGTTAGTATCGTGGCTCTTATTTACCGGCTCCAGTCGAAAAACGGTTTGGATGGAACCTACCAGTTATTGCGCCCCATCTTGCTCATGTAAGTGGTGCCACGCGGTCCTTACCTAGGCACGTTGCCAAAGACGCTAACTCTCTAATTTAGCATTATTGAACTCGCCGTCGGCGTCTCCTGCTCCTGCATGCCCTCGGTTGGGAACTTGACCAAACGCTATTCTAAACAATTCTCTGGTCTCACGTCTTATTTCTCACTACTTCGAAGTCGAACATACCGTCGAGGTAGTTCCCGCGATGAGAGAAGTCAGCCGGAGGAATACAGCGGCCTGCGTGGTACAGGGGACAGCAATATTCATGTGGACCAGTCAGCGCAATACTCCAAGCTCGAGGGAGGGGAGCTTATGCAGTTGCAACCTGTCGTGACTTCAGGCAATCGGAGTAGGAAATGGGAAATGGAGGCGGCTGTGATCAATGTGCAACAGGACGTCCTCCAGACTCGGGAGCCTCGACCCGTTCATGACTCTAGAAAATGAGGTAACTCGTTGAGGTTTGATAGGGGTTAAGTAGGCGTGCGACTTTCATGTTTAGACTTTACGTAGATATACAGTCATATACTTTGTTGCTCACTCGCAATTGGGAGCATCACATTGGCCTAGCCATAGTCGCTGTAGGTGTGAACAGGGCAGACTTTAGCCTTTCTACTCTATATACCGCTATGTTGGTGTGATAGGGTGTTGTAGGCTGTGATTTTGCAGGAGAGCGACAACACTGTACATAATCGTAGCACCATGGTAAAAAGGGACAAGTACTCCGTACATATCTGAAGAATCCTGGCGCTAATATGCCTGTAGGCCATGCTTGCAAAACACCAACATACAGCCTGTGCTGACATGCACGCAATATCAGACACTGCACATCGGTTGTTCCGCAGCATACCTTCGTACGTATACATTTCCAACTTATCCAGAGATGGACTACGAAGTACTCGGCATTGTATCTTCTATGGCGAGCTGGCGCCCCAATGATCTACCGCCTACTGGTAATGCTTTACTTCAATTATACGTTCCTTAGCCACGCCGCGTAAGGGCAAAATCATCGCGGGTACCTGGACAATATGAGCGACCGGGAGAAGGCCTCAGGAGCGGAGGATGTGGACAGCGTCGACTTTAACGGGCTCGATGACCCAGCACGAGCTCAGAATTGGAATCCATTCAAGAAATGGATGATGATAGCGGTACTTGCGCTCATGACCTTCATATCGTAGGTATTCCGCACCTCCTATTCATATTGGCTTTCATCAGTCGTTCTAATTCAGTCATATATTTCACAGCACCTTAGCCTCCACCATGTTCGCGCCTAGTGTTCCATCAGTCATGATGGAATTTCGGTCGAAGAGCTCGACTCTGGCCACTTTCGTGGTGTCGGTATATGTACTGGGGAACGCCGCCGGCCCTCTCATTCTCGCGCCGCTATCAGAGGTTTATGGGCGGGCGCCCGTCTACCATGCCACGAACTTCATCTACGTCGTTTGTACGGCAGCATGTGCTCTCAGTGTAGATCTGCCTATGCTGATTGTGTTTCGATTCCTCGCCGGCGCGATGGGCTCGGCAGTCTTGTCTCTGGGTGGAGGCACTATCACTGACCTCTTCGTTGCTGAGGAGCGCGGAAGGGCGATGGCTGTGTGGTCGCTGGGCCCTCTGCTGGGTCCCGTCGTAGGACCAGTTGCAGGTTGGTTTTCTCGATGATTTGCCTCTACTGTAATACTGTTAGTATGGAGACGACGTTGACGACGAATAGGGGGCTTTATCGCTGATGCAAAAGGCTGGCGATGGATTTTTTGGATTCTCACTATTGCAGTATGTATTCAAGCATTTCAGACCTGCGGTGCAAAGCTCAGGGACTAAAATCCAGTCCAGTCCGGTGTAGTGACAATAGCCTACTACTTCTTCGTGCCAGAAAGCTACTCGCCCGCCATCCTGGAGAAAAAAGCGTCGCATCTGCGCAAGACAGAGAATCCAAATCTTCGATCTAAGCTCGCGTCTCCTCTCCCCCCTGGCTTGACACTTTACAGAGCTGTTATCCGCCCGTCCCAGATGCTGCTGTTCTCCCCAATCGTTACCCTACTCTCGGTGTTTATCGCCGTTGTCTACGGCCAACTATACCTCCTCTACACGACTATCACCTTCGTCTTTGAAGCCCAATATCACTTCGCTCACCGTGTCACAGGTCTCGCCTTCCTTGGTCTAGGCGTTGGTATGCTCCTCGGAGCCGGAGTATTTGGCGCTGTATCAGACCGTACACTGAAATCCAAGGCGAGAGTAAACGAGGGTGGTGAACTGAAGCCTGAGTACCGCCTTCCGGTCATGGTGTATGGTGCCATTCTCATCCCTATCGGTCTATTTATATACGGATGGACAGCAGAGAAAAAATCCATGTGGATTATCCCTATTATCGGAACGGGCTTTGTTGGCGCAGGCATGATGGCTACCTTTGTGAGTTCCAGGTCAAATTCATCCAGCTTTGATCGCGCATGACGAATAGAAGCCCACTAATTGAATTACAGATACCTACACAAGCGTACCTTATAGATGCCTTTCCATTGTACTCAGCCTCTGCGGTGGCGGCAAACACTGTTCTTCGGTCTATCGCTGGAGCGTTCTTACCACTTGCAGGCCCGCCTATGTACGCTTCCCTAGGACTCGGCTGGGGTAATTCTTTACTGGGATTCATTGCTATATCATTAATCCCATTTCCCCTTTTTTTAATTATATATGGGGAGCGTATTAGAAAACCTATTTCCACATTGAGTAACTCACTCATGGAGGTTCGTCCCTAGTGGATTATTTTATATATTTGGTTGGTGTACAGAAAATATCAGAATATAACAAACTTTTGTATAGATAAAGTACTTGGATAATATTTTTTTCCGTAAGGGTGCGCGTACCATGTTGTGTGTTGATTCTAGCTACCTAGAAATAAAGGTGTAATTTAAAGTACAAGTGTAAAACTATACGATAGGCAGCTCAACAGAGTGTTTTAGACAAGTAGAGTGGTAGACTTATACCACGACATCCACGACAACGACCCCATGCGAGTATAAAAACTGTTCATTAAGCTCGGGCTAGAACTGCTGTGTGATAAACTACATCTTAGTTTAGAAAGGGACTCCAGAGGAAAAGTAAATGTTATTGTTATTCTGATTATAAGTAACAAAAAAGCCAAAATAATAACTATAAGTAAGGTAGATATAGTAAGAGTAAGAGTAACTTAATATATAAATACGAACGATTAATCTAGTTATAAGAATATATACCTCGTAGGCGGTTATATATAACGAGCTTAGACTAAGCGTTAGTTATACTGCTATAGCTAGTATGGCGGATCGAAACTAGTATAAGGTTGTAGAAACTCTGTAAAACTAATACTAAGATAGAATTATTCGGAAAATCCAACATAGCCTTGTATTAACTTCACTTATACTATTAACAAGCAGGTCTCCTGCTACAATTGCTCAGATTGTATATCGCAGTGTCGATGCACACCTCCTTGATCAGAGCGCCCAACTTGATCGACTTTGTGAATGACATAGCGGGGGAATTATTGGAAGCTTGAAGGAGTTTGTGACGCACGAACACACAAGACGCGCGGTAAAAAGGAGTATAATAGCAAAGTAATGGGTCTTTCGCCACATTATTAATTGAGCAAGTTATGATTCGACCTAGCCAAAGAGCACTCCGTTGCAGCAATCTCAGTATTCTCCCTAACTTTTCTCCCTCGAGTTGTTCCCCGTTATCAACCGACGTCTTATTCTTCACCAATCTTTGCTCAGGGGAGCATTTCGGGGGCAAAATACCCTCATCCGGTTGGAACAGGGCCGCACCCATAACATTGCGTCCATCCACGCCTCGAAACGTCTTCTCAGCTTCTGGGTTATATGGATCTCTATCAAGGAACTCTTTGATCTGCGCCTGGCTCAGGCCTCACGCATCGAGAATTGAGCGGTCGGCTGTGAATGTGCGGAGAACCCCGTCCAAGCCAATCGAGGAGAACCCCTTTCGTGTTGAATCGCGCTTCATGGGGTCTAGTATTTCTCTAAGTGATTGCGAGCCTTCGTTTCCTTCTACCACGGGCTAGGCTGGAATTAGATGCTACTTCCTGTAGCTATTAAGAAAAAGGTAGTAACTAGATACTCACTGCTTACTATTTATCAAGTGATCAAGGATCTGCCTGTGAGTGCTCAGGCAGGTTGTTATGGCTACACGTTGGAGTGGGGTTAAATACAGAAAAATCAGGTGCGAGTATATACATAGTAGTTGTGCGAATATTACTTTAGGCATGATAGTAAGACCACGTCATAAACCTTGTGCCGACCTAGTTTTCAAAAATTGTACATACGTAGCAACTAATCCGACGGGAAGGTAACTGTACAGCAGGAGATCTGGCTTTCTACTTTCCGTGTTAGCTTACCTAAAGAATCCTATGTGGTATAATTGTAGAATGGGGTGTTGGGACTGGTAGCCGGGGAACTACTATCGTTGCGCCTGAACTCGCGAGGATAATTCCGAGGCTTGTAGAGAGAAAGAAGGGAGGATAAAGGGTTCTAGATCGAGGGGCTTGTCACGAGAAGTATTTCCAAGGTCGTCTTTCTATTGCGGGCCAAAGAGATGCTATGAGTGCGATTTCTAGAAGCTGCAAGGGGGTTCTAGTAGGAATTCACCATAATAAAACTTGGTTCAGTTGTCTGTATTAGCACTAGACTCGTGTATACCTAATACCTTAGGGCATCCTGAGCTACTTCATAATCGTCGACCGCTCTATCATTACAGATCCCACCCTTCAACCTCCCGCTCCCAATCATCCACCGCCTCCTCGTTCTTCATCTTCTTCGCCAACTTCGTGCCCAACACAGTAAACGAACTCTTAACTCCAACTTCCCCCACTACAGGTGCGTTCCTGCTACGGGCCGCTCCTTTCGCTACTTGACTCCACCCCCCAGATTCAGCTGTGCTCTCGTCCTCCCTGCGCAGCACGTTCAAGTTCCCATCAACAGTACAAAGCGTGGTTCCGGTAGCTAGGCTTAGCGACTTGATCTTGTTCGCCACGGCCACTTGCATGCTCAATAGGTTCGCTTCCAATTTCTGGCCGGGTAGGAAGTGGGCGGGAAGTGGTTGGACCACCACATCGCCTGAGGGTAGGAATGATATGTTAAATTCATGGAAGTCGCCGGCAACAAACTCCGGTTGGATATCTGAGCGCAGCTCATCAATTGTCAAGCCAAAACGTGGGTTGATGAGCAGAAAGGCATTATAAGGGACCGCGCTTTTCACAAGTTTGGAAGACGTGGAAGGTTCCGTACTTGTAGAAGGCACAGGGCGCACTTTGATGCACTGCGAAAGCGTCTTCATAGGAGCAGACACGAAACGGGGTGTTTTGAAAATACACACATGTCGATGGGGTTCCGGATCCTGGCTCTCACTGTCAAGGCCGAAGTCCTCGGCCAAAGAATGTATGAAGGCACGTTGCTGTGGTTGCATGGGTTTGAACCGGATACGTATCTCCTTCTCATCGGCAGCGAAGACGCGGAATTCTCTTTCGTACTGCTGGCCAAACTTGACGTTGTCCTTGAACGCATCAAGCGTCTGTTGAGAGTATGGAATGTGGTCATCCAAATGGGTAGCCGGGTCAATATTAAGCGCTGCGGCAAGTTTTGCGTTGCGCTGAAGCTTGAGGCACTCTTCATTGCAACTCAAAACCTTCGTCGAGTTACCCTCGCTAGTCTTGGAAGCAAGGCATTTGATGGGTTGCTTCTGGTTCTGGCAAGCACAAGTGATAAAGGTCTTCGCTTGACATGGAGTGGTCTCTTTGCATGGATATGGCGCGTGACAAGGATCGGAACAGGTATGTTCACATACTGTTTTCTTCCGACCGCAAGGTTGAGCACATGGTGACGTTGCATCTTCACACTGGCCGGTTCTGTGGCATGTCTTTTGGCAGAAATGGATGCCACACTTCAACTTCTTACCACAAGGCAAGCCACAACGCACTTCGGTGAACCAACATGGCTGGTTCTTCAATGTCTTCTTGCCGCAAATGCAAGGTTTCTCAACTAGGAACGGGCATTTAGGGCATTCTTCGGTATCTGGATGGCATTGATGCTTGACTTGAGGATGACCACAATTCCGTTGTCGAGAACAATCAAAGCGGCACTCGGGGGGTTGGGTTCCACAGGGCTGTGGTGGCTGCAGGATTGTTCTGCCGCAAGCACAGGCAATCTCCTCAAAGACAGCCTCGAGGCAGCTTGTGCAAGGCCCTTTGTGGCATAATTCCTCACACAAATGATTTCCACATTTCAATGGACGGCCACAAACCCTAAGGCAGATATGTTCCGCCTCGACGTTCTCGTCGGCAGGGCGGGGCCCAGAATTCAATGGGCGATGCCTCCGCTTCGAGGATTGCCGCTCTGCCGCTTTTTTCTCTCCAGGGCAGCAATGCTCTCCGCACTCGTGCCTACCACAATTCATAGTAGCCCGACAGATCCGCATACAACTAGGAGGCTCGTCTCTACCCTGGTGACAGAAAGTATCCGTTGTCGTCCTCCCACAACGACAGGTTATCTGGGTTGTTTGGAAACAGGGCCGGCAGTCACCTTCATGACATGTCTCCTGGCAAAGATGTCCACAGGGGAGTAGTTTCTGGCACTTCTCTCTGCAGCGAGGAATAGGTGCCGAACAATCCTTCCGCGGCTCATCGAGAAGATCAGACAAGGCGGCCTTTCCACAGGGGCAATGTGTAACAACGTCGGGAGAATATGGACAATGAGCGGGCTGTGCATGCTGCACATGGCAAGTGCTCTTGCAGAAATGATCGGGATTCCCACAATCGAAATGTCTTCGGCACTCAGAACCGCAATTAAACGATCCTATCCAAGTCTCATCATCCAACTGACTCTGAAGTTCGTCATCTCTTTCGGAGCATGGTACCACTTTCTGTGTCTTGCCGCAGTAGCATCGAGAATCAATGGGCACTTCACAACTGCCACACAGCCCCTCATGACAGCTTCGTTGGCAATTGTGGTCTCCGCAGGGAAGGATATCATCACATATCTGTCCGCAGCTCCATCCACTATCATAATTCGTATCAAGGCATCTCCGTGTTGATGTCCCCTTTCCGCAAAAACAAGGTAGAGTAGGCCCGGTATGGCCACAGGGCGGGCATGGGCCAGCATGGCAGACAAGCTCACAAGGATGGGGACAGTGGCCCGCCCTTAACTTGGAGCAGGTCTGTCCACACGAATGTGGAGGTAGGCCAGCTATAGAACGAGGTTCTACTTCCTTAGCACACCAGCAGGTATAAGTTTCCGGTAAATCAACCTTCGGTAGGTTGCAACCGGGGCACCGCCATTGCCTTGGGGGTGGCAGCTCTTCATTCTCTGATGCCCGTTGCTGATGCGTAGAAACATCATTTTTCGACCATCGTTTTACACATGATAAATGTAGTACCGACCAGCACGATTTGCAAGTCCATATTTTGGAATTCGACAGAACTTCATTGGTGCAGATGACACACTCGTATTGACGGTTTGCAATGTCTTCGTGCGTTCTTGTAGCTATATCCGGTGCTTGTGATTTGGACATTCGTCGTGGGCGGGGTGCCTGGGTTCGAGGCCTCGAGGCAACTGGTCGACCAGGCACGAAGACCGGAGCGTCGCCAGCTAATGATCCCTCGCCGTTAACGGATGCAGCTGGGGAATTCGCGGTGAGCTGTCCGCCAAACGCTCTCTGTCCGTTGACCATTGGCTGCATTCCACCTCTCCTCCCACCTCGTCCTGGTGCCCCGCGTCCCCCACGCCTGCCACGATTTCCTCTGCTCGGATTTGGATTTGGATTTTGAGCTGGTGCAGAAACTGGAGTCGATCCGGGTTCTGCAGCAGCGGGCCGCAATGGTAAAGAGCCATTGGGATCTTGAGTGGCGGTAGTAGGAGCCCCAGAGCCTGCAGCCCCTCCACGGTTTCCACCTCTTCCACGACGATTGCGGGGAGGTCGGTTTCGTACCGTTGGAGCGGGAGTTTCGATAGTCGACATTGTGCTTGGAGAGTGCAGCAACTCGATCGAGAGCTGGGAGGCCGTTGTGATAATGTTGCGAGGTGTCTCTCGCAGCGTTGTGAAGGGCGATCCTTTGGTTATTTTGTGGGGGGCGTTGATTGAACTCGATATAATATCGGGCAGTTCCACACTATGCGTTGAATCTCGTGTACGTCGGGGTACTACTTAGGTGCGCCTTTCAAATACGGCGTCTTCGAAGATATAAATATAAAAGAAAACTCAGAAACGAGAGGTAGACGGTGTTTGTGTGTAGAGGGAGGCGGAGGTGAAGAAAGTGGTGGTGGACGAGGCTGACTTTATTTATTATAGTCAGTGGCGACGGCGGGAGGAACGGGCCAGGATGATGGAGACTCACACACAACAAGCGAGGGTCAGCAGCCAGAACTCAAGTATCGCTGAGTCATAGTGGGAAGATCCGTTGTTCTGATTATTATTAAACATGCATGAAAGCGAAATGCAGCATGCACGGGGAACGTTGTTTGGGTCGGCGATAATAATGTCAATGTCAACGTCCAGTGTCAACATTATGTGTCATCTAGCACTGTCGATCATCGTCAGGGGGCAAATTGTTCTGGATTTCTTCTGGCTTTCGTCGTAGCCGGAGTATCTAGGATGCTTGGGATGGTCGATATAAAGAATAATAAAGCGACCGGTTCTTCAGATATACCCAATAACATACGAATCACCTCTGTTTAGCCCGAGTTAAGTCACCTTAGGTATGTTTAGAAAGATGCTGCCTTTTATTGGGCTTGAGTCTACTTGGTAACTATAACTTATTCGTATATACTGAATTAATTAGCTCCCACTCCGGTGGCCAGCCAGGAGCTCCTATACTTGTCATGCTCAGATGCAACCAGATGCAACCAGATGCAACCAACAAAAACGGTGCGATGCAGATGCAGATGCGCCCATGTTCCTGAAACCTGACAAAATAAAAACCCTAGGGGTATCATAGAAATAGAACGATTTCTCCTCGGTCATTCCGCTTCATCCTCAGACTCCTCCAAAGCTCCTTCTCCTCTAACCCCTTGGACATCGCTGAACCTGTTGCGTTTCTTTCGCGATGATATCTCTTTAATGCCTTGTGCATGCTCATACCTCTTTCGCTCTCGGGGCCTTTGTTGATAAAGCTGAGTAGCAAATCTCCTCGAGGCTTGTAGACAACCATTTCCTGTTGGCCATCATAATGCTGAGTTTCGTCGTCTCCGTTAGGCTTGTACTCAATCATCTTCCGCGATGGTTTCTCAGATGCCTCCCGGTGTTTGCGGTGTTTCCTCTTTGGCTGGTCCGCGGAATGCTCACGGGATGGCTTGCGACTGCTTATTAGCGACATAATATTGTTTCCGATTGTGTCAACACGGCTTCGGCCCCGCTTCGAATGTTTCGTCTTCTTCAACGGGCTACCGGGCGAGGCATCAGCTACATCCCCGCCAGAATAATCGGGAGAGGGCGGGAACACCGACGGACGAGACAGGAGTCGGTTTAGACCGCCGGTCAGTCCAGAGTGAAGCACCGGTGGAGCATCGGTCATGATCTCGTCGCCTTGGCGCGGTGATAGGTCCTGTGTGTCGACATGTAGCCGTTTGCGCTTCTTGTCCTTCTTCTCCTCCCTGCTTAAATCGCGATCCCTCCTCTCCTTCCTCCTCTCGCGCTCACGCTCTGTTTTTGGCACTGGTGTTTCGTATGCCGAAGTGGGCACGGGTCCATTGCCATATTCCACTAGGTCCGTCACGCTCTGGCCGGCATCCTCGAAATGGACACGAACCAACTCCCGGCTCTGATTCTCTTCATGCGCCTCTTCGATCAAATGCATAGGTTCGGGGGCGGGGAGCTCGAGTTTGGAAGCATTCGGAGTCTCGCTATCAACAAGAAAGTCGAAGACGTTGACGTTGGCAGGGTCGGACTGCATGGTGAAGCCAGGAGCTGCCGAGGGCGGCTCAGGGGCCTCTGGCATGGGTGGATCGACGATAACAATATGCGAGTTGTGATGGTACTCATCCTCCGCATCTGCATCCTCGACATACGCGTTATGGGGGACGAGGGCCTGCGAATTCGAATGGTTCTGGTTCTGGTTCTGGTTCTGCCTGTTTTTCTTCTCCTTCTCCGGCCTGTAGAGGGCACCTTGGTACTTCTGCGCTTCACTAATGCAACTCTTGAAGATTATTAGACGATGATATTTTTTTATGGCTCGACATGCGGCTGCTCGGCATGAGTACGTACGGTGTGGGCGCGATACTCGTTCCCTTGAAAATGGACCATGCAATCCAGGCAGGTGAAGGAGGCGCCGCGACATTGGTTGCGATGCTGGTCGAGTTTTTTCTTCGTGAGGACGTCTCCGCAGCCCTAAACAGTCAGAACAGAGGCTTCTAGCGCGCAAATGTGGGCATCCGCGATGGGTTTCACGGTTCCACGGCGCGTAGCGGGTGGGAACCAGATGTAAACATACCTCACAGGAAAAAGAGACCATGGTGGGTGCTGGACGAGCGGAAAATTGATTGCTGCCCGATTTGTGGGATTGTTTGCTGCGGGCCGACGATGTTGTTTACGCAGTGGATGCAGAGGGATAGCGATGGTTATGATTGCGCAAAACAGAATCTCGTCTCACAGCAGCGGGGGAGAGGAGGGCGGCCTTGTATGGCAGCCGTAGGGGGGGGCGTAGGGGGAGTCTGAGGGCGATGGATCTCCGTCTGTCAGAGGATGTTTCCAAGAGCCTTCGAGCCCTATTTTCGGAATGCGAAATCCTGGGAGCGGGCGCTGCTGCAAGGTCGCGTCGCCGGAGTGCATGAGCTGATCAGCGCCGCTGTTTGGGGCCTGAAGCCTGAAGCCTGAGCCTGAGCCTGAGCCAGCGGAAGGGGGCGGAGGGCCGCGGGCGGAGGGGCGGTTGGTTGGTTGGACTGCGCTGGCTCTGATGCTCTGATTAGCCCGGGATAAGGCCAAATGCGTGCTCACTAGGTGGATGCTGCTAATAAGGGGTTAGGGATGAAGTGGGAAAAGAGGCGTAATCTTTCTGAAGGAATGCGACATGCTAGACATTATGGTGGAAGGGCATCCGGGGTATGTGTGTGTGTGTGCGTGTGTGTGTGTGTGTGATATGTGAAGGCTTGCGAGTTGTGGCGGTGGTGGTTCATGGTTGGTGTTTCGTGGGAGCAATGGTCGCTTGCACGGCGAGTAGCAATTAATAGATGATGCTCTGTAGGCGCCTGTTACAATACATGAGGGTGCGAAACACCGCACTGGATCTAATCAAGGGGTGCACCGCTGGTACTGTACAATGATGCGGTACATGTACATAGCAGTTGAATACATTAGGTTGAGGAACTAAGAACACCGAGTGGAGGGGAGCCAGATACTTCCCGCCTCGCCGCCTCCAGGGAGCAAGTTGGGTAACTTGGGTTGTATTATTGTCATCGCAAGAATGGATAAGGGCGCGTTGCGGCCCAATCAGGAAATTGGGCGCACAGCCATCGTCCGCAAGGGATGGAGGAGAGGGCGGAGGGAGGATGATGGATGGAGGAGGAGGTTATAGGTATGAGAGAATAAGTACCAGGTTAAGATCCCACTTGGATACAGAGCAGTCCCTACTACGTAGTATGTAGAGTACAAGGTGGGAGGGTTTTGGGTGAGAAGTTACTTGTGTAGAGCACTCAATAGCTACGAGATATACATTCAAGGCCTGGAGTTGCGAGTACTCTCGTAAGTACCTATCTAACAATCTATACTTAGTAGTTGTGTAGAATGAAAAGGGGTAACAGGTAACAAGGCATTGATTGGTACTCGTACATGTACTGTACAGCTATCGCTATGCCTTGCTGAGATGTACAGTCAGTACAGTAGTACCAACTTACAAGTTACACAGTACTGCCATACTCGGGCAGGCTTATCCCCAATCCATGTGGCCATCTCCAACCTCTGGGATCGTCCTTATCCGCTATCTAAGGTACTGTATCTTGGTGACTTGGTCACGTACACGGTCTCCCTCCACATGCCCTCGGGCAGAATGCTTCAGCCCTGGGTAGTAATACCGGGACGCAGGTCAGGCTACTATCTACCTTCACCTTACGGTATCTGCCCGGTCTTCCGGATGTCTTGGAAGAAGTTGTTCAAGTTGTCAAGTTGTCAAGTGGTCACACACTCTTCTCGGGCCTCAGCAACAAAGGATATCAACCTCCTACACGTAAATTACACACGAGCAGAGAGTCACGGCGTTCGTACAGTGGTAGGTACCTGACGTGGAACGCGTTGTCGGCGTCGCACAACACGGTTCTTAACTTCTTCGCTATCAGCCACCTGGATCGCCGACCCTGTGGCAATCAACAAGCATGGAAATACCCGCATGAACCCACTCTCGCATCTGCCCTGATCTTCGTCGTTTCTCATGCGTCGGAGGTTAAAGACGAGAGGGAGGGAGAGAGCACGAGCAAGAGAAAGAGAACCCCCAAGGTAAGGAAAGGCATAGCGTACGAAGTTATTAGCTCTCCCTGGCCGAACTCTCCCACCAAATAATGATGCGCCGCTGAGACACCTCGGTCAACCACTCGAACTTGCTGCCGCACGGTTGGTCCACGAGACAACATCACCAGCGCAGGCTTATTATTGTTCCAGGCAAAACCCCGATTTCGAAACATCAACTTCGCCGGCTCTTTATCCCTCGCCTTGGACTCGTCGAGTGAGTCTTGGGCTCCCTTCCCTGCTGCTGCAGTTGCCGGAGTAGTATTACAGACAGTCAGAGCAATTGCCATTGCCATTGCCATTGCCCATCGCACCGAACATGTCCTCCCAAGACACCGCCTCCAACACTTATCTCCAGCAGATGACCTCCATCCTCAGTTCGGTCGCAAGCTACATGCGCCTCCCGGTGCTGATCTCGTCGGTACCTTGATACTCTCCCTCCTCCCTCCAATATCAATCAATATATTTATTGGAAATCGCTACCGCGCATGTCAAACTTACCATGGCGACAGGGCATTGCTGCGATCCTGAGCTCCCTGTTGTATTTCAAGCAAAAGCAAGTTCACCCGTCCCCACCTCCCACCCACCCATTGTCGCAGTCAACTGTCAAACACACCTCGCGCACTCCTACTTCGTATTATTAACAGTTCTTTTTTATTCCAGAGCTCTGATCTACCCCTCCCACGTCCCGAACCTTGCCCGCACCGATGTCCCTCGACCGTCTCAATTCGGGATCTCAGACTTTGAAGAGCTGATGATCCCGACTCCTGATGGCGAGAAGCTCTCCGCATTCTATATCCGAAGCCCCAAAACCCCGGCCAAGAAGAATATCACTGTATTAATGTTTCATGGAAATGCGGGGAATATTGGGCACCGAATACCTATCGCCCGCATGTTTATGCAGCGCATGGGCTGCAGCGTGTTTATGTTGGAATACCGTGGCTATGGGCTCTCGACGGGATCCCCGGACGAGGCCGGCTTGATGATCGATGCACAGACGGCTTACAACTACCTCCGGAAACGCGCAGAGACGAGGGATAATGATATTGTCGTGTTTGGACAGAGTTTGGGCGGTGCTGTGGGCGTGCAGCTGGTGGCTAAGAATCAGAACGATAGCAGACTGATTGGCTTGGTGCTGGAGAATACTTTCCTGTCTATGAGGAAGTTGATCCCTTCGTAAGTCTTTGCCCTTTCGACTGTTACCATTTTTAATACTGACTAACTGGGCCAGTATCATACCACCAGCAAAATACCTCACCCTTCTCTGCCACCAGGTCTGGGCGTCTGATAACTATATGCCATCCATTACAGAGGTCCCAATTCTTTTCCTCTCTGGGCTGCAGGATGAGATCGTACCGTTAGTCTCCCATCACCCACTCTCCTATGATTAATATACTTACGGAAATACAATAGGCCGTCCCACATGGCCCGTCTCTATGAAATCTGCCAGTCACCGACAAAGATCTGGAAACCCCTTCCGGCCGGTGACCACAATTCCAGCGTTCTAGAAGACGGGTACTTTGAGTCTGTTGAAGATTTCGTTGCAAATCTAGATAGCAAGCGTGAGTAACTGCTGGGGGGTTTAACGCAACTACTTCACTACGAGTTTACGAGTTTATGCACCGGGTGGCTTGGAGATCATTCCTCTTTCTTAGCATTTGGCGTGGCGTTCGGGGAATTGGCATATTGCAAGGACTGGAAACTTATGTTGCGAATAAAAAGCGAATTTAGATTGCGTTGCCATGATCAGTGGCGTGTATAGTACCCGGAGCTTCGGTGGTTCAATTCAATATTATATCACGAGTATAGAGGGGTTTTATACGTTGTACAAAGCCTGATTCCCCTGCCTTTAGGCGATGGAGTATATGGCCACTCTTATATATGTTATTCTACTTCGTAACCGTTTGCATTCTTCGCTGGTACTATAAACTCCTGAACATACCTCAATGACATCTCACATGCTTTGTAGTAGCCGAAAGCTCCCGGAGAGATTACAGGCGGAATAAAGTCGCAGGCGGGGCGGATTCGATCGAGGCAACTGAAGCAGTGAAATTTAACTTTGCACTTGATATAACCATTCGAGAGGAGAGATACCAAAAGTACCTCTAGCCACAAGTGACCATAATTGTTTGTTGCACGTCGACTGCTTGTACTTTGTACTCCCTTTATACCGGCAACCAGCCTCCGAGTTGCTCCGTCCACTCCCCGCCATTTAGTGGTTGTGATTCGCAACACGCGCGCCCTGATTGGTGGCTGGCGGGCAGGCGAGCTTGAAAGCTCACTCGTCAAAGTTATTCCCGAGGTCAATGGAGAGTTGCCCATCAACGGCTTCAACTTTCACTTCCAACTTTGCCTCTTCAATTGATCCGCCACCACAACATCTCGTCCTCCCTCTCCGCGCAGTGCGCACAGCCAACGTCTGCCGCTCTACCGCACATTGGAGGCATTTAGTCACTACCCGGCATCGATTTCCTTCTTACGCTCTGCACGCTTCTCTCCACTCCACCCGTCAAAATGGCAGCTCTTCGCACCACGTCACGCCTGTTCACGGCCACACGCCCCATCTTCCGCTCCCAGTTACGGACAATGGCATCGGTGAGCAATGCGCCAGCCGCTGCTCCGGCCGACGAGACTGCCAAGATGAAGTCTTTCAGCATCTACCGATGGAACCCGGATGAGCCGTCAAAGAAGCCGCACATGCAGAGCTACTCCTTGGACTTGAACAAGACGGGGCCCATGATGTTAGATGCGTTGATCAGGATCAAGAATGAGGTTGATCCCACTCTCACATTCCGGAGGAGTTGTAGAGAGGGTATTTGCGGAAGTTGCGCAATGAATATCGATGGCGTCAACACTCTCGCTTGCTTGTGTGCGTAAATTATTCCATTACCCTTCGGAATTGACTTTCATATTGATGGCAATCATTTTGTTCAATATGAAGGAATCGAATACTAATCTCTGATACAGGCCGCATCCCCACCGACACCGCCAAAGAGAGCAAAATCTACCCTCTCCCGCACACCTACGTCGTTAAGGACATCGTTCCCGATCTCACCCATTTCTACAAGCAATACAAGTCAATCAAGCCATACCTGCAGCGAAAGGACCCCTCACCAGACGGAAAGGAATACCGCCAATCGAAGGAGGAGCGTAAGAAGCTAGATGGTCTCTACGAGTGCATTCTCTGCGCCTGCTGTTCGACCTCCTGCCCATCGTACTGGTGGAACTCGGAGGAGTACCTAGGCCCCGCAATCCTGCTACAGAGCTACAGATGGCTAGCGGATTCCCGAGACCAGATGCACGAGGAGCGGAAGGAGGCGCTGGATAACAGCATGGCATTGTACCGGTGTCATACTATCTTGAACTGCTCGAGAACGTGCCCCAAGGGATTGAACCCTGGATTGGCGATTGCGGAGATCAAAAAGGAGCTGTCATTCTAATTAGCTTGTTGATGGTCAAAAAGTGGCAGTAGGGGACGGAGGCGGAGGTAGATGTGGAAAAATGAGGATCGCTTGCTCTGCGTGAGTGATTGGGGTGTTTTGCACCGTGGGCCAAGGTTCCGGCCTGTGTAGATTTGGCATCTGTTAGCAATATCAATTTTCCTATGTTATGTTTACTCATCTCGGCTGCCCATGCGTTATCTTCTTTTGGAAAGGTAAGAGCCAAAGAGTGCGCGGCTGGAAAGTGCCTGGGGCTATTTCTGCCCATATATATCGACCCCCTTTTCCGTCCTTGAAACTCATTCTTTCATTCACAGCCATCTCAAATCCCCTACCCAGCCGCATACCCTCTTCCCTTCAAAGAACAACGCCCTATCCACAATAGTCTTTGTCTCCCATATATCCCTACTCTCCCCCTCAAACAAACAAACCCATTGTCAAAGCTTGTACAAGCTGATTTCCACTGTTAGCCATGAAACAGATAGTGTTGCCCCGTAATTTATTACTAGCAAATACCAGTGAACATATATATCCAAGCACCATCACAAAATAAGACGCTCTACATCGACCAAGACATCTTCACCTGCTATCAAAAGCAGAAGAAAGCTACAGATCAACCACCAAAACACACCCATCCCATAACCAAAATCAACAAGTATACTTACTCGCTCCCTCAAAATGTGCCAAACAATCAAAGTGCTATACGAGGTGTGCAACCACGCCATGCTCGAAGTCTGGGAGTGCCCCCGACGCGATCGACGTACACAAATGGACACATGCCCGGACTATAAGGAGAAGCGCAAGTACCTCCTCCGAGAATGCTCCAACTGCCAGCAGAGGGGATGAAAGTACTTTCCTACTTCCAAGTGTCTCTCCTATCAAGATTTTGTGCTAATTCCTAAGCGTAGATAGCTAGCGTAGATTCTGCGATTATATCTCAGGATGTTTGATATTCTAGGGAGGATGAACTAGCTGGAAATGCCCATGTAGATGTTTCTTTCTTCAAGGGAATTTTTTTTTTTGGCTTTGATAAGAAGGTAGTTCCTATTTTATCTAATACAGTAGAGCAATAGACAATCATTTTAAAAATAAAACTTGCAAAGAATTATAAACTTACAATCTACCTAGTTATCTTTTTCTGCTAATTAACTAACAAAATCACACCTATATAGCCACCATAGCCTTTGAACTATAAATACCCCAAGTATACCTTTATATATCTTCCCACATTCTCTCGTCCCACCTTCCATCTGCTGTCGTCATTATGGTCTATGTAACCTTTATACCTCAAACACACAATCTGAAAAAAACTTACGTAGTAGTACTTACCAGTAGATGAAATATTAGTATGGGCTAAACCGACCATTAATACATTGAATCAGGAGTGACCGAGCTAGCGGGGCCGGATGAAATGTGGATAGCGAGGTTTAGTCTTGTATCGATGTACGTAGTATACCTAGGTAGGTACTTAAGTACGTTTCTTCCTGGCTATGAAACAGCACTTGCTTGGTTCTAGAAACCGCAACTCATACACTGGTTGCTACTGCGGGGGTGTTTCTGACTATCATGGATGGCAGAGGATGGCGCCATATATAATCGTATGTTTTATATGTACCTAAGGTACCTATGTGATGCACGCCCAAGCAATCAAAAAGCAAGTAGTTACGAGTCCCGCACGACGATAATGGTATTTCTAAAATGCTCTCAGCACATCCTCATATTACCATGTCAGGCTTCAATCCACAGCTGCGTGTCCTCGAGAGTTACATGCAATGTCCTTTCCCATGTCATGCTAAAAAATCAATCAATCCAGCCGCCCAATTTCCATTTCATGATGCATCGTGCAGGATACCTATTCCCAGCAGGAAAAAAAGTTCACTTGTGGATAACACAAACACCTCTGGTGCGACTCCCGAAACGCCTGCTTTGCGTATTTGGGCTAACTTTGAATGTGTACCAAAATTTCACGCACTCCTGCCGCCAGCTAAAAATAAAATAATAAAGTGAAAATGAAATATGCAAAGCCAGCGTATATGGTATTCCCGGTCTATCCCAAAGTAAACCGCCGAAAAAAGAGGAACAAGGATTCAATGCGTTCAATGTCACAACTAATCATCCTCGTACTCCTTATCCCGATCCGCTCTAGTCGGTCCCTGACCGTCCTTGCGGATTGGGATCTTGATCCCCTGTGTTGCAAAGCACTTGCTGAGGTTCGTGCTCTCGACCACACCTGGGAATCGTTTGGCTGAATAAACGGTAAAGCAATCCGAGAAACATGCGGCCAGAACAGGCGCTTTGCCAGTGTTGACTTGTGTCATTGGCTGCATACCATTTGAGGAGCCAGTGGCGGATGTGGGCGAGCTGGAGGAAACGCCAACATTTACGAACGAGAAGCGGAGTCTATGGGTATGTCAGTATGAGGAAGACCGGGCGGAAGCAGAGTAGAAATACCTGAAAGTGCCTTCCGTTCTGACGGACAAATCCTGTAGAACAAACCAGATACCAATTCGATCATCCGGGTCCGTCAGCCTAAACGCGCTGGCCGCGAGGCTTCCAATGAGGTTTCGGGTAAACATTCCACCAGGCTGAGTGCTCGTCACAGGCATGCGGTGCAGGTTCATATCTGCAGGTGTGTACGGACGGCCCCCATATGCCGCTGACTGGGACGGGAGTGGTTGCGGAGATGGGGCATACTCAAGACCTTGACCGCCGTGGATTTGTGCTCCAGTGGAAAAGTATACCGGTTGACCAGGTGCTTGACTGTAGCCGTTCTGGGGCGGGTATGCTTGCACGGCGTTGGGATTATTGGGATAGGCGGCGTGATATTGAGGGGCACCACCGTACGCAGGAACTTGAGCGGGAGGTGATTGAGTGTAAGGGTTTACTTGTGGGGGCCCAGGATATGGATTATAATTTGACGTTGTGTAGGAAGCGCCTCCGCCGTGTTCGAATTTAACATCCCTTGGAATGGCACCTTGGCCAGGAAGTATGTTCGAGTATGCCGCGCCACCCGCATCTTGGACTTGGGCGTAGGAAACAGGTGTAGTCAAGGAAATTGATGGCGATGTTTGCGAGTGCCGGACAAGATTCACTTCTCGAGTGCCATCTGCGGACCACAGATCAACATTCAAAACGAACATCCCATGATCAATATCACTATGAGAGGTCAGTGGGAGAATGTGCTTCGGCAAGCCGTGTACCACTCACTTGACATCACACTCCTTTCCGGTCTTGATATCAGTGATGATAAGTCTGACACATGGCGGAGGGGTGATTGGCCGTCGGTCCTTCAAATTGTCAGCTGTTGAGCTAGGCCATTCCAGAGAGCTGCACCTACCTTATCTCCAAACCCGCACATTCGAGCTCGCTGAGGTTGTTGTGTCACGCAGAGTCTGGAGCAGAATTAGTCTTTCAGTCCCTTCAATTTGACCCCCACGCCAACCCCACCACAGGAAGTACATACTCATATTTCCATCCATTCTCTATGCAAGATCGAGGCAGAGGATCTGGGGCGGCCGGCTGGGTGCCCGGCACCAACGGAGCCAGCCCTTCTGAGGGATGCGTTTCGGGTATAGGAGCTCTTGTGACTGCCATCGAGTTGTATGGATCGCTATAGCCTTGGGCGATTTGTGACTGTGATGGGAGAGGCATGGTGTGCGAAACAGGATAATGGGGGGCGGTCGGCGCACCAGAGCGGTAGGCCGCCTCGTGCATGTTCGGTATCGACTGGCGATGCATGTTCGAGGGCGAAGGTGGTTGTTGAGCGTAGGCAGTATTCATCTTGAATCTTTCGCGACTGGAAGGGCGGCGGGCAGTGAGGTTATGTGGGGTTCGCGCTGCTGAGAAGCTACCAGCTACGAGCTAAGCCTACGTAAAGACTCGCCGCCGGAAGCTTGTTCCTAGTGGCTTTGGGCGTACTCGAGTACTTCGGAGCGGTCAATGACGGATTTGAGGATTTGAGGGTTTTCGAGCCTCGCCTGACTTGGTACTAAGGCCACGCATTCAACGGACGCAATGCCAAATCCAGGGACGCGCCGGGCAAATATGACGAGCACCCAAGCCGGAAGAGGTGGTAGTGGGCCAATCAGCGGCGGAAAATGGGGCGATGGGAGCAGAAACTCGAACAACGTCGGGCCTGATTGATATACTGGCAGGTCAGGCAGGATGTACGGATGTATGGTACTGCACTGTACGAGGGTGGGCGGGGCAGCGCCGAGTATATAGATAAAGAAAATGCGAGTGGAATGGGATGCTGGGATTCTGGGAACAGAGCGTCCGCGCAGGCGAGGTCGGGGAGGGGAGCACAAAGGCTCTTCTTTGTAACAACGGGCGAGGCTCGAAATGGAGCAGCGAGGAAGCTCGAGGCAGCTTGGCAATGGGCAATTGGGCGGAAGAAGGGATTGAAGGGGTTTTAGGGGCAGAAGGGGTCGAGGACTTGAAGGGGCATGGAACAGAGGAAGTGGTCTGTAGCCAGCACGCTCACTGCTTGCAAGTCGCAAGTCGCAAGTAGTCAGGTTGCAGGCCTGTCCGAGCTGTCAGGAGGCTGCACTTCGTAGCTCTGGGGCCTATGGCAGCTTTTGGCTTGTGGTCTCGGGGGATTTTTAGGATTCTGGGATCCTGGGACTCCAAGGATTCTGGGATCCTAGGATCCTAGGGCAAGGGAATCGGAAGCTTGGATGCTATAGCGCTGGGTCGCGATGTATAGCGTTGTATAGCGCTGTCGTGGTGCAGCGATGCCCTGGAGCGCGATGCTTGGTGGTGGACGGTTTGGCCATTCGGGGCGGGCGACCCGATAGGCACTGGGCAGGCCTGGCACCCCCGGGGCTCAGGGCTGCGGGCGTTGGGAACCTGGGATGACGATCTCCCGGCAGCTCGATGTACATGTACGAAAGTACGAGGGGAGGAAGGCTCCTGCAGATGCAGAGGAAAAAAATATGATGAGGAGGGCGACAAAAGGGGGCCCGTCCAGCTCGGTGGGTGCTATGGTATTGCTGCTGAGCCCGGGTGGAAAATGGGGGTTTAGAACAAGTTATATATACGCAGACTGCGAAAGTAGTAGCATAATGGCATAGAACAGCACCGCCCACCACTCAACCCCGAGAGCAACACCCACGATCAGGGATATCCTGTCCAGTTCGCAATGTAGCTTCCAACGATGGCTGGCGATAAGTCGTAGTGGTAGCACTTCGTAGCAGCGGGGAGATCTGGCACGCCGCGCCATCCCGCCCCCCATGCGATATCTCGCCCCTCTAAGCAGCCCAGGATCGGCCTTGGTTTGTTGATACGTTGATACGTACGGGGGTACTGGACGTCCTTCGGACTGGATTGATGAATGATAATACTTCCCACAGTTCCCTCTCTCCCTCCCTCTTAGAGTCTCATCGCCGCCCCCACCATCCATCGTCCGTTCTCCCCTTTTAGCTCCTCGCCGTCCTCATGCGCCGGCTCAACCTTCCTTCCTGCCTATCCGATGGCTCCCCGGTGCCGTGGACAGACTGTCGGTATGCGCTCGTTATGCGCTCGTTCCGTCTGCTTGGAGAGTAGGCAAGCGTCGGACAAGATTCCACGCACGCGGTCCACCAAGTCCACCAGAACGATTCCATTAGATGTACACAGTACGCACCGCAGTACTTTGCAATTGCCAGCTGCACGGCCGTTGGATTTCAGAAGCTTCCATCGCACAGGTTCCGCTGAGTCGGCCGTCACTCGTCACTCGATTGGCACGGATATTCTGGATAAGGTTGGCCCGTACGGAGCATCGGTATGATATGATATTTCTCCACGGCAAACTGCAGACTGCAGTTATTCGAGCGCAGGACGCAGCAGGATGAGATTGGCACCAGAGCACCATCCACGGCAACTGGGCGAAGAGCCCACCCCTCTAACCGATCAGGCAGTTGGACAACCGAATGTCAACCTCCATGCTTCGAGCTGTAGTACCAAGTGTACCAAGTGTACCAAGCGTCCTTGACCAACCAACCTTTGTTCGGGCCGTGCTCGGCACTGCCTCTGTTGGCTTTGCCGCTGCTGCTTCTCCATTGTGCGTGGCAATCGCTCCTTAACTGGAGAGTTTCTCCTGCTCCGGGTACGAGTAGTTGTGGGTTTCGGCCAACAATGGCCCTCGGGACTGGAGTCGCTGGCCTCGGATCTGCACTGCTCTCGAGTTTGGACGGGTGTCTCGGTCAATCTGGATTTTCGATCGACGATTCTCGATCCCGTGCAAGTGGTTGTGCAGTGCGCCTCCTGCACGCCGACGCTTTGAATATGCCCGTCCTTTCAGGGTGTAAATGGTGGCTTTTGGCGCTACGGAGGGATGGACCACCTGGGCTCCGCCCGCATACCTGTGGTCTGGGCTCGTAGACAGTCTAATCTGTATGAAGTATGAAGTACCTTTACATATAGGTACCTTACGTACCTTACGGGCGAGTACTTCGTACCGAGACGCCGCCGATACGACAGCAACTCTCTCGAAAGAAAGTATTGCTTCCCATGGACGTAGCGAGACCAGCCTCACAGGAGATCGGAGCGCGTACTCCATCTGTCTGTCTGTAGTACGAAGTATTGCGGACACAGTTGATAGACTATAAAATCACTAATCACTAAGAAGACAAACAGGTTGAATATAGACGAGAGACGAGAGAATTCAGGGTGATGTTGAAGTTGACGACCCCTCGCTTAGAAGCCAGGCCCGTTGCCCATTTCCTCTATCGCCAAGTTACTTCGTACTCATGTGCAGGTTGTCCCATCCCATCTCATCCTATCGCACCTCATCTTTCCCATTGTCACGCTCTTTTACTTCATACCTCGAGTTTTATCGGCGTATCGACGCGCGAACGGACAATGTCAATGTCCAGGAGAGCGCTGCCAGCCTTAAGACCCCCGCGCTATACCTCAGGGTGGCTGGCCGGGTCAAGTTCCTAGCCCGTACAGAGGACTTCGTATTGCTCGTTAAACGGCGTGTGCATACCACGTACTACCTAGTTCCTCAACGCCAGGACAAGGTTCGGAGGGACATTCCCAGTATCATATCCTGCACCGGGCCCCATTGTTCGGATATCCCGCTACTGCTGCAATTCCAAATCAGAATCCCGTTGTGGTTGTGGTTGTGGTTGTGATAATGACATTGCGGAGGAAAGCTGCCACCGGACATCAACGCCACTTGGATGTATTGCAAACTGGATAGGGGGAGAGGAGGTATTGGGGGGAAGCTTGATATCGGCGACATGACGATCTACGTTTTTCGGGAACGCTCGGATGCTGTATTATTAAGGGAAAGGAAGGATCGAATCCGGCGTGGTGGACTTCGGTACCAAAGGCTGGCCGACTCTGGAGTGAATACGCTTCCCACATGCATTTGGTGCGTGACTTAGCAGGACGAGGTCAATCTACCTACACGACATTGCGCTTCCTGCGGAACGAATTTGGCCTCTGCCCAAAAACCAGCATTGCCACACTGAAAGGGAGAATTGATGTGCATCGCGCGGCCGCAGCGGCAACCATCGTCAGTTTCAGCATCTGCACGTCACCCTCTGCTGGGGGCTCAGTGGACCTTCGAAGCAGGTTGAGATGGCTCACAAAAGGAGATCGCCAAGGTTGAGGTTCTCCAGCCCATTATGGCACTGCTCTCTATGCATTGGATGCAAATTCAGTTCCCTTGCTCTGATTCCCGTGGCTGCCTCTGCTCTGCCGTCCCGTGTGCCTCTGGCAGCGTTCCGGGTGGCCCAGCAGCTCGGGGCAGGGTCCTGAAGGGACGCATCACAATGGCCCCCAGTAACGCCCCAGCCCCAGCTCTCTGTTTCTGGCATTCTGCCTGAAACATCCCCCCCGTTGGCTGTGCTGTGGCTTCCATGATGCGGGGGGTGGTAACACAGCTTCTCTCCCACAGCCTTGCCTGCAGCCTTGCACACCAGTCTCCCCACCAGCATTGTTGTCTTTACACCAATCTCTACTTCATTTCTAAGAGCATTGCTTGTCCATACATGACATTGCACCTTCGGTTGTATTGCATTGTCAGCGGCTAAGGAACCAATGCTTCCCCCTGACTCGGCGCTACAAGCCTACAATGAGCAAAGTACTCGAGTTGCCAACCAACCTTTTTTCAGCCGTGAGAATATTTTCTCTTTGTTTCAGCAGTTTGGGGTCTGGCCAGTTTATCCACTCCAATGCTACCGCAATCATGGCTGTTATTCCAGCCTTCTGCACGCAGCGGGCCCAAGGATAGAATGCAACCCAAGGGATTGGGAGGTGCCTGCCTGTCTGCACGAAGTCATGCAGGGCTAATGCAAACGCAAGACACGTCGCCAGTCTGTAATTGCGTTTTACATTAGTTACCTATAGGCAATGCCTGAGAGAACAGCCAAATTATGCTTATATGTCGATCTAAACTTATAATCATGCTTTTCATGCTCGAGTTTTTATGTAAAGAGTTATTCCACCAGTTGCGTGCAACCAAGTACTTCGTAAGGCAGACTTCGGCTTATATAGAAAGGCCGAACAAAGCCGGTTACGGCAACTGCAAATCAAACAGCACATTCTCCAGCTCAGCTCTGAATTTGTTCATCAAAGTAAGACTTACCTATTAATGATTCATAGGCATTAGAAACAAACAGTCCGTCCAGCCGCCGCTCCAAAGGAATGCAACATTAAGTTGCCAAAATAAACATCCACTGGAATCACCAACTCCTATGCTTTCCAGGAATCACACCTTCGGTACGTGTCCCAGTATCTCGGCCTAGGAACTGCCACTGCATAGCCGGCCATGCGGCGAGTTCAGTCCCGATAAGCCGGCAACGTGGCTCATGGTCACCACCAACACAAGAGCACCAACACCAACACCAACAGTAGCAAGTTTAAGTTTATTTTCATCGTCCGCCTCGTTACACACATCCACATCTACATCGACGGTATCAGACCCCATGATACGCCTCAATCTCGTATATAGCTCCTTTACCTACCCAGCATATGGGGCCGGCGTTTCTGAAGCCGTGGCTATGGTTGCTCTCTATGCGTTATCATCAAGCACGATTGGAGGGCTTGGTGTGGGGGTTAGTGTGAACAAACAAACATCTATGAAGTAATAATATGCTTAGGGAGTCTTTTGCCGCGCAGGCCATACATAGCCACTGTCCCAACGCCCCAAATGACGAGCTACCAACTTCGTATAGGGCTGAGTCGTTTGATGAAACACCGAAGGCCAACATCAACATCTAACTATGGCCGCTCCTTGTCTTTTGGATTTGTTCTATATATTCTATATAATAGCTACTTCTGTTAGCGCCGGCACCCCTGCATGTTGCACCTACCTCGTTCTTATAACACTAAAACAAACATATATATACGCTTTACTAGGTTAAGTTTCTATTGCCATATAATATAATATAAAATTATTATATCCCACCGGCGAAGCCTCGGATAGTAATTATAATGCTTATAAAGCTCCGGCACCAATTTAACTTATTTAATGCCGCACCTTTCGTAAGAAAGTACTGTATATTATGTTCCCATTAAATCAGTGTGGGCATTGATTAAGTTAAATTAAATTATTACTAGTGAATCTAATTCACACACTAAATTTTTTAATTTAATTTTACTAATTAACTTTGCCTACACTGCGTTAAATACTTGCCAGCTTGAAATACTTTTTCTCCTCCGCTAATACAATAGACATAAGCGTAGGCATTCTTGATTTGACCAAAGTTCATTATTATAAACTTATTAGCGGACGTAACGGTAGGTGTTTGCCACCCGTCAACCATTCGGCAAGAACCCACAGCAGAACAATTGTAGTATACACACACCCAATTTCCACCATCCAAGGGCTCCAAACATACACAGGTAAACAGTTACAGTAACGCCGGATATCATCCCCCAATCCCCCCATCCCAAGTTTTCATTTTCACGATTTGTCTGAATCATCCACCCTCGGCACTTCCTCATTTCTTCCCAAACAACCACTCTTTCCCCTTATCCGCCAACCCCTTCTCTGCAGCCTTCGACTTGCGGTGCTCATCATCAGCCACTGGGCTCTCCCAGCGAGTATTTTCCCGCGTAGCCTGTGCGATTTCCTCGGGACTGGGCCGGAAAACGTTGGCTGCGCCGCCGCGGCCGACGTGTGCTGAGGAGTTGGATTCGCGGCGTGGGTGTCTGTGGGATACTGTTAGCTGGTTGTCTGTTTTCCTGTTTCTTGTTCCTGCTTGGGATGGGAAAGACTGGGAGGAATTTGTATTTTGCAAATTCGCTTTGGGGATGTGTCATAGATGGAGATGTATAAATCGACATACCCAACCACATCCTGTGCCCGCCGCGCCTCCTCCGGATCATCGTTCTTGGCCATGTTGCCGCTGCCTCCTCGACCTGTTGTGTATACATCGCTCTTGATAGTAGGCGTCTCCAACGTTACGGGGTCGAGGTCTGCATTATTGCTGCCGATATTGCCTTTTGCAGTTAGTAATTGTTGCGCTTTTCATTGTTTCTCTCTGGTTCTTTGGTTTCTGTGCCAAGTCTGGCAAGCAGGAACGGGGAATTCAGAAAGAGAATATGAAGCAGTAGACATGGGCAAAGGGAAAGAGGCAAGGACATACCAGCGCCGCCTCGACCATGGGAGAGGGGGACCTGTCGCGACGCTGAGGAGCTGCGACTGGCGGAGGGGTCGGTGAGGGAATGCGGGACTGCGGCCATCCTTCTGGTGATTATGATTCTTTGGTATCCTTGGCAGACTGGAATAGGTTCCTCGCAGTTCGTTCTTGGTGTCTGCTTTGCGCGTCCAGAAACCTTGGGGTTCTGGGGTCGGTAGTGGGGTGTAGGCGTAAGGGTCTTGACGACGTTGACACTGAAGTCACCAATCGGAATGTGCAAATTTCCAAGTCGGAGGGAGGGTACGAGGCACTGGAGTGAATCCAACCACCAATACCTATGAGAGCTAAGAAGAATACGTTGGCTTTCAGTTTGTCTTTTCCTGTCGTTTTGTTCTGTCGTTGATCTCGAGATGAAGATAAGGCGCCGGGGTGGCGTGGTGGGGTTGCTGGCTGGTCTTCAACTAGCGCGTGTCCCTTTCCCATACAACAATCCGGCGTGATCTCAAGATTCGCTTCCCTCAATGCATTTTTGTTCTTCTCCCTTACTAAGGCAGCTAAAAAAGTCAAAATCAATTCTTACCCTTGGCAACCATGTGGTAGCACAACCATTTCCCGGCCGTACCATGGATGCTTCCACCCAGGTCCTTACCTAGCTTCGGAGACTTACGAGTACCAAAGAGAAGACAGTATATGGCTTACTGGTGCAGGATGCGTATGTACATTGCGTAGTACCCGCCTCCGCCGCCTCACCACTCGTCCAGAGCACGAGATGGACTGTTTCGTGGACATCATACTCGTGCAACACGGCCAGGCCCGGGCGAGCAAATAAACGTAATGGAAATCCGCGGCTTCAGACTTTCGTTGATCCGCTGATCTGATGTGTCGGTACCGAACGATGGAGTCAACTTGCTAGTGTACAGTACAGCGCCACCTGTGGAGTACCGTGTGGTACGGCGTCTGCAGCCTTAATTGGCAGCCGTGGGGGATTTCGAGTGGCTCTGGCCTGCGCTGAGAAGCATTTGTTTGCTTCTTTGGAACCTGGAGCTGGCCGGGAACGAGGAAGAGCGTCTTCGAGTGGAGTGAGGCTGTTGATATCCCGCTACCGGAGCTCTGGCTCCTGGGAACAGATGAGGCACAGAGGGCCATGCAGTTGACAGAAAACTCAACAAGATATCAACCTCCACGCAATCAAATTCGTTCCCGCCGTGCCTCTGGATCAGGGTAACCATCACGCATTGCGAAGGTTTCGCTTTGACCGTTTGCATTATCCGTACTTCGTACTTTTGCTTATCTTAGGTTTGCTTATTTGCGCCGGCTTGGCATGCTGTATGTCAACACTGGCTTGTTCGGAGTACTTCCGTATGGAGACCACGGGGGAGACTACACCTGCAATGCGGGGTCCGGCTCCAAGGGAATGGCCCTGCATGTTGGCATTATGATATGTTTTCTTCTGAAAATGATATCTTCAAGCCCGTTGGTATGTAGTGTAATATCAAGATCTCGTTGTTTCTACCGTTGTTGGCTCCAATGCTTGTTCGTTGGCTCACACGTGTCCGTGGATCGTGGACGATATCTACCCGCCCTATGGAAGGGAAGCATGTTAATATATGTTAATATGCTTAAGGTATTTACCGGGTCTAGTATGCAGCTCCAGAATTCCAACACTATAATACCTTTGGTCCATGTTCAGAAGCGATGGCAATTTTGGGATAGGAAAGGTCACACCTGTATCTCCCCGACATTGCAACAAGACCAAGTTTATTTGAATTGACTTTTCGGACGGTGTTCAAAGTAAACAATAAAGTTTGCTCTCCTTTGCCTATCTCTCGTGTAATTTTACAAAATACAGTATATTCCCGCATTTCTATATCCATATCTATTTCCACAAGACCCTCTCAAACATTACCGCGCCTTCCAGACCATACGGCCATCCCTTGACGAAAATTTTCGCTCCTTGCTTTTCTTACACCGTTCCTCAGTTGCCCAAATGCAAAGTCATCTTAGTCGTCATCTTCCTTCCCACTTCCATAGTCCCCCAGCAGCACATCATTCTGCCCTGGCGACCCCAAACCACCAGTACTTGTGCCCCTCACCCATTCCGTCTCCACACGGAAGAAAATCCAGATCCAGCGTCTCACTACCTCTAAAAGCCCCAAGAAGAAAATTCCGCTCTCGATATCGGCGAAGTGGTCTAGGCTTGAACTCAATTTTAGAGACCATGTACAACGGAGGAGAAGGTCCGTGACGATGGCGATGTAGTATATGTTTGGATGCGGGAAGTAGAGGCGGGGACGCAGGCCGAACGGGTGAGAGGGGCAGTTGCGTTCATGAGCTGGCGAAAAGAGTGTCAAGTCCCAATCTTTTGCAACGTCCCAGTAGAAGCTGTAAAAGCTATTAATCATAGCGGCAAGGACCCATAGGCGGAAAAGAGATGCTTCTGTGATGCCTCGCTCGTCAGGGCTAGGGCTTAAATTTCGTTGCATGGCTGCAAGAATGATGACAGGGAACGCAGTGGAGTATTTTAATGCGTTTGCGAGGTGCTGGCCTCCCCATCCCTGGGAACCAATGCATCCATTCCGTCTATTGCTGTCCTTAACTCGGAAGTATTCTATCATGCATTGCCGGAATCGGATGAGTGATGGGATCGCGATCACGATCGGCACTATATATTTCCCCCCACACCCGCGATCTGGTCGTTTTGTAGCGGAACCTTCGCGGCTGAAGAACATGCACAGAGCGACGAAGAGATCCGCAATGATCTTTGCGTACGAGGTCAACACGTCTGCCAATATGATATCTCCGAATTTCCCTTCATGGGCATGGGCGATTCCGCCAATGGAAACGCGGCGGATGGTGGTGAGGAAGCGCCTCCGTCCCGCGGAGGCAAAACGTCGGAGGGGGAGTAGGAAAACAGCTAGAATTATGCCGAGGTAGGATATCGGGAGGAAATCGTAGTGGATGACCAGTGTTGGATCGCGGTGGGAAACGGCCCAGAAGAGGAGGAGGGAGAGGCCGAGAGGAATACTCAGGAGGGTTGCGAGACGGTATGTTGAGAGATGGAGTGAAGGGTCGGTTCGAGGGGACGACCGAGCCGGGTATTTTATTAATGAGGCAACATCCTGTGTGATAAAGTGTTAGGTTTCGATTTGCAAGATAAAAGGGTGGTGGACGAGGGACAGACTCACGATCTTAACCGTGGAAAGATAATGCAGATTCACACCCCATCCCCAAACTCCTGTACGATATTAGGAAGTGAAAACAGGAGCGGGAAAAGTCAAGCAGTGCAGTACCTAAAACAATAACCAGAGCAATCCGATAAGGAAGAGGAAGAGAAAGACTAAAGGAGTCGAGCTCTGGCTCCACAGCCGGGTCACCGTCCATTATTACCGCAGAATATGTTATGGCACTGCATCGAGGGAGTGCCTTAAGGAACGACTAGTACGGGACAGAGAAGTGAAGTTGGAGATGCTGGGTTTCGTTGGAGTTCAAGGAGGTAATTACTTACTCAAATGTTCTACAGGGCACGTAGATGTTAACCCAAAATAGAAAGATGTGGCTTGACCCTTTTAAGTGCGCAATTGATATAGCCACATTCCCCGCCACATTTACCAGCCACACCTCCCGGCTGGATAACCCCGTCAATTGCGGAGGGTTAAGAAGGTTAGGAATAGACATGACTTGAGCTTATAATTGATCTCTTTTAGCGCGTTTATCGTCAAGTATTACGCCTAGATCAACGTTCTCCGGCTTCTTGATAACTTTCGATCGCCAAGAGTACTTCCTTATTGTAAAGGAGGACACATCTTGATCCAAGGCTCAAGCTTCTTAGAGCCAACCGCGTTTGTAGTTAAAACAAGAGCAATCCTATCTTTTATTTTCTTGCTACCACTTCCTGCCTCTATTTCTAATGATCGTATAGGTGTAAGCTTCCAAAACAGCCCTATTTCATCCATATTAAAGACATCGCGATGTAGGTATTTAGCACAAAGTGCTTAGACATCGTTTATCTAGGAAATCCTCTATGGGTTATTAATTTCAGTAGACGCGGCATTTCCATATTGAATAAACTGTCGAATGTTGTATCTCCTCTTGAATCCACTTTGCTCATAATACCAAGATGCCAGAGATGTCAGGGAGCCAGGGTGTTTAGTATTGCGCCTACGAATATTTCGACGATCGAGATCAGCCAAGGGGCGTCTCTTTTGAGGAATATTCGAGGACTTTGGAGTGAGCTCTGGCTGTGCAGTTGGCATGGCTGCTGTAGTATACCTATACGCATATGCCCATATAATTGGTAGTATCGGACTAGGATCTGTAAGCATGTGCTAATAAATATCGGTTATGGTTAATTGCCTACGCGTACAGGTTGTGCTTACATCCAGGACGCCTTTTGGGAGTTTTACTCTGCCCACTCTTTAAAACCAACATCGTCTCCTGTGCAGCGCTGAATCTCAGCTTCAGCTTCATCAAGGTCTCAGAGAGAGCAAAGCGTGCTCAGTGCCAGATTCATGTATGCTTTCAGGCTATTAAGTACCCTAGGCTTCTTCGCCATAATTAGAGATGTGGCCGCCAACAGCCCCTCCCCCCTCCCATCCAGTCAGCCACCTCTAGATAGCGGCCAACTGCTATCGAATTCCAATTCCATTCAATACTTCTGCATTCTTGATGGCATATTTACAGCCAATGCGACTATAGCCGCGAAAGGCTGCAACACCACGCAGACCACGCTCCCGCACTGGCTGGCCAATCTATACATCGGATCGGTGCAGAACGGGACCCAGTCATTCGACCACAACCCATGGGACTTCGTGGTGCAAACAATTGTATCTCTAGATGGCGATTTTTCCAACTTAAAGCTGTGGGATCTGAACTTCGCTAGTGCAGGGCTCTTTGACAAGACTGGAAATAGTGAAGGGGAATTTGATGTGTTAGGGGGGGTTGATATGCTGAATCTAGCGCACAATGCCCCCGGTTCGCCCCAGATCGAGAAAATTGAAGTCGGCGGGACACCGGGATACAGAGCCAGTGGTGATCAAAGTGGATATGTTGGGAACAGTAGTTATCAGAATGCAGTGAGGGTCGCCTCTGCAGACCTAGAGCCTACTTGCTCGTCGTTTTATCAGTGGTTTCATTGGTAAGTTACTCTCTCCTATCTATTATCTCTGGCCAGAAGCGATGACGCATGGAGAATTCTAATATCTAATTAATAAATTGAACCTTAGGGACAACACAAACAATTGGAACTGGACACTTTCGTTTACTAACAACACTGCCAATGTTTCCATTTTCACCAGTCAGCCTGTCGGGACGCTGAACGTTGGAGCGACATGCCAGAGGATGCTGAATAACTCTCAACAGGGAGATCTAGGAGCCTGGCCGGTATTTCGGGGAGATGCGATTGAGTTGTGGACTAATGGAACAGAGCCCGCCTTCCACAGTTGGAATACCTCACAGACATCATCAACGACCTCCTCTCCTAAGTCTCCTTCGACAGCAGTGGTATTTTCGAGCCCGCCATTACAAGCGGTCGTTATCTTCTTTCTTCTAGGACAGATTGGATCATGGATACTTTTGTAACGTGTTCTAGGTTGATTTTGCGTCTTTTAAAGGGGATACACGACTTGCCTTGTGTAACAATGCTGACGTGGATACTCGACACGTTTGCCAATCACGTGATCTAACACAGTCCAGAGCCATGTCCTTACAGGAGGCCTTGAGCCCTGACAACTATTCCATAAGCACCTAATCCGATTATAAAGTACTTAAAATAGTGAGATATAGCTTGATCTTACAAAGTACGTAATTAATAAAGCTAAATTCCGTAGCTAAATTTACAAGCTACGGTTCCCGGCTAGCGAGCTGTTTAAGCCGAGGTCTCGACAACCTCGTCACAGGCAGAGCGTAGTTGTAAACGGAACCATCACGACGACGTGCTTTCAAGCTCACTTTGACAACGACAGCAGAACCCTGGAAATAGTTTCTATTTCAAATGGCTGATCACGTCTCTGAGAATACCGTCGAGACGCCTGCAGATAGTTACAAATACCCCTTTGCAGCTGCGCCAGATATCATTCGATCGCATCAAAAAGATACATACTTCGAGGGCGTCCTCCTAAACCACCTCTCGAATCTCTTACGGCGTCTCTATGGAGCGCGATTTATCCACACTTATACGTCAGAAGCGCGCACATTCTCCGAGCTTCTTTATCTCGGACTTACAACCTTCATTGGAAACCGGACGTTGGGAGAGGAATACTGCGACATAATCCAAATCGAGGATGATACCCTCAAACTCCCAGCGATATCCCGCCGAGCGGGCTATATCATCACTTCGATCCTTCTCCCCTACTCTCTAAATCGAGTCCTCCCCTCATTCCGAACGCGCATTCGCACCAAACTAGAGGCCAATATCCGCCGACTATCCCGAAATGAACAACAGAAGTCAATATCATACAAACTCCAATCCTATCTTCTAGAGCACCTATCAACAATCACCTCACCCACGCCGCTTCATGCCTTAACAATTACAGTCTTCTACTTTACGGGGTCCTATTATCAACTCTCAAAGCGGCTCTGGGGCCTCCGCTACATCTTCACTAAGCGCATTGCGCCATCCGAGGCACGGGTAGGATATGAAGTTCTCGGCGTGCTACTGGTATTGCAAATGGCCGTTCAATCATGGCTTCATTTAAGCTCTACACTCCGGTCTGCAGCATCCGCGAACGCCCCTGCGATGGTGGGCAGCTCAGCTGTACTTGAAGGCGGGGTGGAAGTCCCGCTGGACCATAATGCTTACTCGTCGAATAACGAAGAACTATTCGAATCTTCGCAGCGCGCGGATATACCTCAGCCGTCTAACTCTGAATTGGGGAAGATAACACATACCCCTATGTCGGAAGAACCGAGGATTAGCTTGAGGAAGGAGGAGACGATGAAATGGATCAAGGGCGAGCAGCAGAGGAAATGCACGTTATGTTTGGAAGAGTTGAAGGATCCGAGTGCCGTTTCTTGTGGACATGTGTTTTGCTGGGTTTGTATAGGGGATTGGGTTAGGGAGAAGCCTGAGTGCCCTTTGTGTAGAAGGGATGCACTTGTCCAGCATATTTTGCCGCTTAGACACTGACGTTCTAGCTAACGGGAATAATACTGTTATATCTAGCAGTAATCAAATTTAAAACTACATACCCACTTATCTCCAATAGCCACTTTTTGGGTTTAGCATTACTATGGAATCTTGCAAAGCAGAAACGCTTAAACGGTGCTTACGGCACAACGGAACTAATGAGAAGCGTATGCTTAATATGACGGCAATATTGTTGACTAAGGCTGGTGGACCTTATGGGTTGGGTTTCCGTCTGCTCTACTTGCTATGGCAATATTTGGTGCTTTCTCGAGGATCCAACAGATATCGACATTGAGCGACGAACTTCTTTGGGCAAAGCAATGATAGACGAGCTCCGTGGCATCCATTTATGTTGGCCACGGGGATTTAACATGTAGTAATATGCCCTTAGGCGGACAACTTACCGCTAAATCGTCTGACTTTAGTATCTCCTCCATATACCGATCCCGTCTTCTTATCGTAGTAACAACTAGGTGCCGATGCCCTAGACCCTCCCTATCTATCCAAGGGGATATCTCCGTATTTGAGACTACCTTATATCAGATTATGCCGCGAGTTGTTCCTCCCCTTCCTTACCATGATTTGTCTAACAAGTAGATGAAAGATCGGTATTTGAAGGGTGAATTTCCTGAACAAAGTCTCTTGCATCAATTGGAGTTATTATTTTGGATTGTTGGTCAGTTAATATAATAGCTTTGATACTATTATCGCAGATATCCATAGTATGTATGTGTCTATTGATTATTGATTTGTAGCTAATACATGTATGCTTTAGAATGTTATTCGGCCGCAACCTCACCCCTGATGATGGAGCCGAGAATGGAAGTACAGTAAATATTTGTTATACCTCCATGCCATGTACCGGGTATAGTCCATACAAGCTATGACATTTGCGATTTGTCAAACCCCTCAAACTTGAATCCCCTCACCCGCTCCTCACCTATTTCGAGTAGGGTGGATCCGAACCTCTTATGAAAGGTATCCGATAGGAGAGAAACTTCGGAAGAGCTTCCACGCTCACGGGATTACATACGATTTTCCCCTCCTCCAACTCGAAGGTTCCCAACAGCGTCCCCAGGATGACGGCCATCTGGACCACATCTAGATTCGCATCTAGGACCTTTCGCAAATCTACCGGGACGCCATCAAATACCTCCTGCCAAAATCCCCTCTCCGACTCATGGAACTCATCCGGCATGTGGAACTTCTTCTCAGAAAACTCTCCAGCAAGGGTATGAATTCGGTCAAAGCCCATTCCGAAAGGGAGGGGCTTCGAGAACTCCCAGTCAACCATGCCCGATACCTCACAATTCTCGTCCAGCATGACATTCAACTCATTCAAGTCAAAGTGTGACATGAATAGCGGAAGTGTCTTCAACTGATCCAACTTTCCAAGTAAATCTGTGATCATATCTTTGAATGGGAGAATTTGTCCATCGTCGGAGGATAGAAGCAATTCTAGACGGGGGCGGAGCTTGTTGTCGACAACTTCATCACTGCTGCCCTTGATATGTCCTTTCGAGAGGATTCTGCCTAATGACTTGTTGATAGTGACGAGCGCCTTTGGGCCTTTCCTATTTCTGGCTTCAAACCACGGTTTGCCGGGAATGCGCGTCATCCAATAGACCCAGATGTTATCGGACTCTAGCTCTTTATCCTCGAGGAGCTCAATGTCGGGAACGAATGACCCGAATGCCTCTCTAGCGAGCTTGAAAGGCTCCATATCTAATGGTTCAGGACGAAATTGGATGACGACCTCTTCACCATTTTGCAAGGTTACTATCATAGTTCTGCTAAAAAATCCTTGGATTGGCGGGCCTTGAGCTGTCTTCGCAGGAATGCCAGAGTGAGAGTGAGCCAACTGCATTGCCTTTTTGACTTGTTTTGATTCTGTATCCAAACATTTCGGAAGGTCGGCGTTGGATGTGATAGAAATTGTCATTGTAATGATTCGGAATGTAGAGGCCGAATAAGAAATAAGAACTGAGTTTGTATACTGTTGAGCTGGCGATGGAGAGGTAGAGGAGCGGATGGGAAGTAATTGAAGGATGTGTTGTCACGGCGACGTTCATGCAAAGCGTGAAGTATTGATACTCCTCTGTGATAGGCTTCATTTGCACCACCAACAAAGACCTGCAGGGTTCCAGCCTAACCAGTTATAGCTGACTTCCTTCATTGCTCCCAGGCTTAGGCAAGGTTACGAATCATTTTCTAATATCCTGAAAGGTCATAGTGACATACTTGAGCGGGCTCGTTGGGGGTGGATTTTATATCTGAACGTCGAGAATAAGCTTCCCCAGGTGATGCAGGGCCATTAACCATCATATTGCAATCCCACTTTCCCACCAATGTTTACCGGTGTACCAGCCGATACCGATATGATCGCCCCAACACCACCATCCATCACCTTTTCCTCCAAACCCTAGTCCCCTCAAGGGACTGAATGGAATTGGCTCGTAAAGCCAAACTCCGCCTCTCGCAAAATCATCCGTGAGCAGCCAACCAGTGTAAAACATCCATCCCACAGCGAAAACTAAATTCCCTGTCCGTCTTACAGTCTTAGGAAGGGCCTTGAGGGATGGATGGAAGATGGTGCAGAATATAGCTTGGATGAAGATGCCTAGTATCTGTGACATGAAGAAATACATTGGATTAGAGGGATGTGAGTGCGGGAGTTGCGTAATTGAGCCACCAGCATGGAGGAGCCCGGAGATCCCGAATGCGAAGAAAAGAGCAATGAGCTTTGTAGCCTTCGATCGAGCATGAATGTAGCCGTTGCTTTCAAGAGAGACTGTCGGAGCAGCGAAAGCAAAACGGAAAGTCTGGTGCCACCAACTTCCCCAAAGACCGTTCAAGCCTTTGTCTAAGACTATGGAGAATGATCCCCATGTTGTTGGGTAATACCATGCTTCTGCACGTTGACCTAAGACCTTTGGCCCTAGAAGAGAGGACATTCCTAGAGGAGCTAGGAAAAGTAGCATTTCGAGAGTGACAATAATCACACAGGCGCTCTCAACTTGACGGACAAACCTCAGAGCCTCAGGGTGTAGATGCTGGAGGAGCGGAGGCAAATCGTAGGTATTTGGGCCAAAAATGAAGTATGGGTCTTTCATTAACAGGACTTTGAGGGCGTCAAGGACGAAGTAGCCAATTATAAATTGTGGGAACCGTGCCCGGAATAGCTCTCGACGTGTGTTATAGCACTTAAGACCGGTAAAGGATCGTCCGGTTCGAGAAGAGTCGTCAATAGGGCCTCCGAGTTGCTGACTGATATATAGAGGGGGGAGGGGAAGCGGGTCAATCGCCCAGTTCCATCCTGGTCCACGGAAGTTTAGAACAAGGTCAATGACCCATGAAATACGTTCTCCCAGCTTGTCCGGGTACGATTGCCAATAGTATTCCTCCACTTCAACGCCCTTTCCTGGGACTTTCCCGTTTGAAAGACTTCTTCCCAAAGTCGAAGAGCTTGTTCCGGCATCCTGTGCTCGTCCATTTGCCTCCACGGGAGTTTCGAGAATTTCAGAGCTTTTCCGGAGAACAGCTCCATTTTCCTCTGCCCTGTGGGAAGGTCCCCCTCTTCGTTGTTTAAGAGTTGAGTCTCCGTTTGGCCGATCCATAACATGTCCGTTCTCTCGCGATGTCGAGATTCCAGCAATAGCCTCACTTCTTATTCTAGAACTCGTCTCTCGTCTCTGTACCCTCTTTGACTCCGATTGCGGGCGGTAAAATATCAACCACACCCAAGCCCACACCCAAATCCACGCTGCCACCAAGCCCGCTGCAAAGCTTATCGCTGGACTGGCGCTACTGGTCTGCCACAATGTCTTCCACTGGAAAGCGGATATCACCCCTAGCACTAGCCATCTCGCTGTATACAGCCAGGGCCGCTTTGTATGAGGAATGCAGAGGTAGATCATAAGCAAGACATAGCCGTACATATGATACGGAAAGACAAAGGGTCGCAGAGTACCCGCCTCGACGAGCTTAGAGAAGGACTGCCGGTACACAAAGGCAACATCACGAGCAGATGGAGGGGGTCCCGTTGAGGTAAGGTGAGGGAAGGATGTTAGATTCGGCATCTTATGCCTATGAGGCCGGAAGATGAAGATCACTCGTACTGCTCTCGAGGGGAATAACAGTGCTGCAGTGGTGGATGTGTAATTGCGTCCATGATGTGAAGTTAACGACGACGATGTTTTGGCTTGGACGTCGATCACCCAAGTTTGCCTTCGGTCTACGTAGTACCAAAACAGGAAAGTCAAGGTACAAGTATTCTTTGAGTGACCGAGTGGCGTCAGACTTCGAGATCCATCCAGTCAGAAATCGTGGACGCCGAGGCATCGTAAGCTAAATCAGCGCGACCCTTGTTCCACAAATTGTGGAAATATGGACTTGTACAACGCTGCGAGTAACAGGTCACCAAAACCAATGCACCAAGTGTATATACTCACAGATTATCTAATAAAAAGAAAGTTAATTTTTCTGAGTTCATTAAGCCCTTTTCATTGTTTCGTGATGCTTCTTCCCAAACCCTAAATTTCTAAGTTTAATCAAAGAACCAGTGTAGCATGTGATAAAGAACTCTGTGCCCAGTCACAAGGTTTATATTACCTCTATTGGTAAAAAACCCCCCCCCCCCCACAACATCAACATCATTCATTGAAGATATAATGAAATTGACAGCCTCATTAAGTGGCAATGGAACATCAGAAATAAGCCTATAGTTCACACATACAGAACTTAATTTAATTGAGGGGATAGATAACATTGTGCTATGCTATAGATCATCGATGAGTTCGTCTAAGCACCCATGATGTGCATCATTATGAGGACTTTTGATCCCCCAACATATGATCAGATCCCGACGTCCGAAAAAACCAAACGTTAATGACATGCGACGGAAAAATCTACAACATTCACGGCATAATCTCCTCAGACTCCTCCACGATTTCTTCGACAATCTCTTCGATGACTTGATCCTCGCTCTCATCCGTCTTCTTAATCAAGCCCTCGATTGGATCCTGTGGTAGACCTCTAGCCTCCCGCTCCTCCTCGACCTCCTCTTCCACGCTTGCTCTCCACGCCATCCACTCATCTAGCAATCTTCTCCTGTGCTCGACAACAGCAAGATCGGCTGATGCGTATCGGTCTGCATCTTCTTGTTCGAAGATCTTGCTAAACTCGCGCAGATTTTTGCGAGTTTGTTTTTGCTCTTCCTTGGTAAGCAGCGTTGGTGGTCGTGGGCGCCAAAGCCATTGCTTGAACTTCTCCACGGGCTCCTCACGGAGCTGCTCGCCCTTGAAGTCGTACAGATGGTAGCCATTTTCCATCTAATATACATGTTAGCTGGGCTACAAGACTCCAGGTTCTGAATTTGGGGGGGGGGAACTTACAGCATGCTTCCAGATACTGGCGCTGGTGGCGACAAATCGGCCAGTAGGGTCCCAGTCAATATCAGTAACGCCATAATGGTCAGCAGTATTCATGAGTTGCAGGTTCGCCGTTAAGTCCTTTTCGCTCTCTGGTTTCTCTCCTCCTTCAAAGTCCATATCGAAGAATTCCATATCGTAACTTTGCTGGGAGTGGACTGTAGCAACGATGACAAATCGACCCTTTGGAGACCAATAGATACCGTTGCTATTCTTCTTGTCATAAGTCCGGATGTGCTTGAAGTTGCCAACACCGGGACCCTTGACCTTCTCCGGGCAGTAAAATGAAACGGACGTCTTTGGCGGAACAGCAGACGGGGCAACCACTTCAGCCGTAGTAATGATGACAAATCTGTCGCCCTTTGGCTCCCATGCGAAGTTGATGACAGTGTCCTTGATGGAATCGACCACTTCGACTGGCACTCCCTTTTCGCGGACACGGAAGATTTCAAGACTGGTAGCCAATGACTTCTTTGATTTGGAGTGTCGGTCAACTTTAACACACAAGTACGAGGCATCAGATTGCCAATGGAGTTTTGCGTCCGTAACACTGAAGAGGTTCATGGTTCTGACGACTTCCTTTGAGGGGATGCTCATCAGGCCCACCTTCGCAGGGTTACTACCGATTTCAGGGGTCCAATAGCACAACAACTGCTCATATGTCTTCACACCATCTCGGTGAGGCGTGGCAGGTGCCCACTCGAAATCCATAACGCCCTCAATCTTGATCGTAGTCTTGTCGAGAAGAACCATATTGGGTAGCTCATAAACGGAGATTGCAGTACCTTGCGTTAATCGGGCAACATATTTATCATCAGATGACCATTTGAACGCTGGCCAGATAATCTTTCTCTTGATGGGCTGGCCTGCTTCATCCGTACTATTGCTTGGAAGCTCGATGTTTGCGAAGGAGCGTAGAGGTTTGCCGGTCTCGATATCCCAGATAACATAGTTCTTGCCATCATCATCGACAGATAATGCTGGGTGGCCTTCCTCAGGGATTAAGATGGGGCGATTTGACCAGGTAGTAAGGTACTTTTCTCCGGGAGAGAAGTCTACCAAATTGACAAATGGATGAGCAAATCGCTTTTGTCTAGTCCACGATGGACCTCCCCAAAGTTGCACACCCTGCTGATGCATTGAGGTAAGATATGTTCCTTGTGGCGACCACTGGACAAATGACTCGGTCCAGTGTTGGCGATCCACGATGGATTCCGGGGCGTCTTTTTCGCTGTTCCAGTACACTGCTACCCGGTCGTCCTTGTACATAACAAATTGATCCCGACCACGGCCACTAGGATCAGCCAACCAGGATCGCAAATGCTCCTTCTCACTAAATGCGTCCATCTTTGGAGGCGTGTATTGTTCATCGACACGTCCTTCCCGGCCGAATCGCTCAATATCCGTCAGCTTGTTAACTCTCAGCTGATGCTTCTTGTCGAGTTGGACTTGGTCGAGAGCCTTGCAAGCGGCAACTGCTTCGGCTGCAGTGGAATATTCCACGAATGCGAATCTATTCCAGTCAGTATCTAAGCAACTAGATTGCGGGTTTTCAATGCTCACTTGTTGGACTTGCCATCCTCTCCGATAGGCATGTATATCGAGTCTTCCCGAGTCCTGCCCACGGCATTCAACTTCCGTAGCAAAAACTTGATAAGCTTTGGTCTCGTTTCCTCCGTGACCTCTGGTAGGCCATCAATCACAACAAAGGTATCCAACCCTTGCTCAAGTTGAACCTCGTAACGTTGGTGTAGATCGCTGAAGTCGAGCTCCTCCTCATCATATTCATCCTCCTCTGGGTCTGGCAGATGGTCAAAACTGGGCGCCATGATTGCGGTTTGATACGAATATATCTGTCGCCTTGCTTGGCTTTGACTTTAAACGTTGCGCTCTTGCTCAGCGGAATGTGGGCGACCGAAATTTGGGATTTTTACCCCACTTGCCTCGTGGCTAGGGTTTTCGAATCAGCCTGGATGTTATAAAATAGCAGAAAAGCCGGGCAGAATTTTGCAATATTCAAATTTCTCTCGACAGAGTAGAGAATCGTGGGAGGGGCGTAGGTGGCTGTTGTGTTCTTGTCGCCTTTGATGTTTCGGGCTGCTTTTTTTGATGGTGGGAGTTTGGCGAGCCTGCCCTACTAGCGTGGTTTTCCAAAAAATCGCGTCGTCCATCGCCGTCACCAAAAGAAGCTCGCGACGTTGAGACTGGCAGACTATCCCTTTCCTACGAGAGCAATAACACATTACCATGGCATCCTTCAACCCCACCCAAATCTTTGATGATGGCACTACAGAGGAGAAGGGCGAGAATGCTCGTCTTTCAGCATTTGTCGGAGCTATCGCTGTTGGCGACCTGGGTAATTTAGCTTTTTGTCTACCTAATATTCCTCTATCTAACGAATCCTAGTAAAATCTACTCTGGGACCAAAGGGTATGGATAAGATATTACAGTCTGCTTCAACTGGTGAAATTTTGGTCACCAACGATGGTGCTACGATTCTCAAGGCTATAGCTCTCGACAACGCTGCCGCAAAGGTCCTCGTGAATATCTCGAAGGTTCAAGACGATGAGGTTGGAGATGGAACTACTTCTGTTACAGTCTTAGCTGCCGAGCTGCTACGAGAGGCGGAAAAGTTGGTTGACAAGAAAATCCATCCCCAAACGATCATCGAAGGCTACAGAATAGCGAGCCACGCCGCTCTGGCAGCCTTAGAAAAGTCTGCCGTTGATCACAGCAACAACACCGAAGCCTTCAAAAAAGATCTCCTAGCGATTGCAAGGACGACCCTGAGCTCCAAAGTCCTGTCGCAAGATCGGAATCACTTTGCGGAGTTGGCGTGCGATGCGGTCTTACGACTGAAAGGTTCTGCGGATCTCAGCCACATCCAAATCATCAAGAAGGCAGGCGGAAAGCTCAACGACTCCTATCTGGATGAGGGGTTTATTTTGGACAAGAAGATTGGTGTGAACCAACCGAAACGTCTTGAGAATGCCAAAATCCTGGTCGCCAACACGGCTATGGATACTGATAAGATCAAAATATTTGGAGCCCGTGTGAAGGTGGGGTCTACTGGGAAGCTGGCAGAGCTCGAGAAGGCCGAGAAAGACAAGATGAAGGCGAAGGTCGATAAGATCAAGGCACATGGCATAAACTGCTTCATTAACCGACAACTTATCTACAACTGGCCTGAACAACTCTTCGCAGATGCTGGAATTATGTCAATCGAGCATGCAGATTTCGACGGCATAGAACGACTAGCATTGGTGACTGGGGGTGAGATTACATCGACATTTGATAACCCAGAACAGGTGAAGCTCGGCCACTGTGACCTGATCGAGGAGGTCATTATTGGGGAAGACACTCTCCTCAGATTTTCTGGGGTTGCAGCTGGTAAAGCTTGTACCATCGTTCTCAGAGGAGCCACAGAACAACTCCTTGATGAATCCGAGAGATCACTACACGATGCTCTAGCTGTACTATCACAAACCGTCAGAGAGCCAAGAACCACATTAGGAGGTGGATGTGCCGAGATGCTGATGGCCAAGGCTGTTGAGGGTGCCGCATTGAAGGTAGATGGAAAGAAACAGATTGCTGTTGGAGCCTTTGCGATGGCTCTCCGACAGTTGCCCACCATCTTGGCAGACAACGCCGGGTATGACTCCAGCGATTTAGTTGCCAAGCTTAGAACTGCCATCTACGATGGTATGTCCACTTATGGACTGGATTTGCTCACCCCAGGGGGTGGAATTGCCGATATGCGAGAGTTAGGAGTAATTGAAAGCTACAAGCTGAAGAGAGCTGTGGTCTCATCTGCCTCCGAGGCAGCAGAGGTAAGTGACCCCTCCGTCCTATTAATTTTATAACCCAGCTAACTGTCTTAAGCTTCTTCTCAGAGTAGACAACATCATCCGGAGTGCACCAAGGAAAAGAGAGAGGTGAGGGACTGGTGGAAACGTGTCTTAATACCTAATGAAGGCGAACGGCTGGGAAAAAGAAATTTGTACCATACCACACCATACCATGATTTGTGCCAGCCTTCGCTGCGGCCATCCTAGCCCACTTATAGACCGTCATGATTACACTACACTGCACTTCATTTCATGATATATGTACCATCTAGACTATGATGTTGCTATTACTCTGTATGGGTTGTCTCTACCTACATGTCAAGGCGGTCACTGACTTGGCAGTATCTGAAGTAAAGCACTGCATTATGAGTGCTGCGAACCTGTAAATGTAATATGCCTCGAACAGCACAATAACACGGGCACACATTGACACAATTAGATTTCAAGTATCGACCGTGGCTCGTGGAAGAGTGAAGTCCCTGTAAGTTCCGCTGTTTCTTTCATCAGGTAACAGCGTGGCAGGTAGCATGCAAAACTACCCAGCTGCACACCCCCGAACCGATCCCTAAGTTAAATACCAAAATAAGCAGTTTCGGTTTTTAAGGAAGATAAGGGCGGCCACTTGGCTAAGTGGTTCTGGTCAAATTGTCTTCTGGAGAGGATCGATTAGGGAAAAAGCGACAAACCGACAAAACGACAAAATCGACAAGAGATGTAGGCATTCGACATCGGGCTGAACTCTTTTGCCTCCCGCGACTCCTTTTCTGTTTAAATATCTCCCTGGTATTTTTATTTTTATTTTTCCAAGTGTTGTAGCTGAACACGTGGTGATGTTCTTTTTTTACTTCTTCGCGTCGCTAAATCGGGTTGGTTCTAAGCGAAACATGAAGGAGAAGCGGAAGCGGATGAACTGAGAATTCGTAGGTGATATAACCTCGTTCATAGCGAAAGGCTTTTTGTAGTCTATCATTATGGCTACACTCTTAAGGCTGTTTTTATATATGGGAGTTTAGTAATCCAATACCCACGATTAGAAAGACAATTCTGCTTCTGGATCACATTTGCGCGGGTGAGATCGACCTAATAATAGCAGAATTAAGGTATATATGCCTAGCTATTCAAGTCACGAATTCAAATTTACGTTATTACACAAAAAAGATAAATGAAAAAGGCTCATGGATAGTAAAGTAATTCTACCTTGAACATCGACGTTGAATGTAGTTGTACCTAGACCAATCAGACTCGCATATTTTCTTAGATCACTCACATGTGTTAAGCGCGCGAAAGAGACGCGATATATGAAGCAACAAAAACTCTATCAAAATCAGCTAAGCAAAGACCTGACAATAACCTCTCTTTTTAAATTAAAAAAAAAAGGGTTTGGTGACAGAGGTCACTAGTACAGGAGTACCGTATTATACCGTCAATTTCGGGTTGCCCTGAGCTGACAGGCGTACGTTTGTTTTGCTTAACGCCCGACGGCTACCAGGACCCGGCGCCCAACGAGGCTATGGCTCTAACCCCCCAGTTTCCCACTAGGCCATCCGGCCAGTTTATTTTAAGGGAATATGCGTATTCCATATTATGTATTTACGTTTCGGTTTTTACCCGCATTCACCTACAGTTAGATCATGTGACCTCTATATGCTTACTCAGCACTGCCCATAAATCCTCTTCACCTATTAGGCTTCTCCTGTTCAGATTTAATACTATCAGATACTTGATCCTACACTTACTCACGCAAGCAACGATGTTCTTATGTCATACGCCCCTATATTTCAGGATTTCAGAGTCCAGCCAGTCGTTATCGAGTATCCGTCTAGTGAACCAGCCTTGGCAAACCATAAAAATAACGACAATCACGAGGCATTGGTAGATTGTCTCTATTCAGTTCAACATAATATATTTTCTAAAATCGAAGGTTTTTGTAACGCCCACTTCTACATTTGAAGCCCGGTAGTCATACCACTACAGTATCTCGTTTAATTCATAAAATGCCCCTCTCTCTAATCTGGACTGGAAAGTCGAAGGTTCTGATTCGGAATTCTTCACGGCTTGACGGCGAAGATCTTGTACGAAGCTAGTATAGCAACAATATTAGCAAATATTGCTAAATGAAGATTCTGCACTTAGATACTCACCGGCCCATTCATTGAGATTAATATCACGCGGGGTGCCGGCCGCGACGACAGTCTTCTTCTTTCCGTCGCTTATATTTGCGCAGCAACCAACAGGCTGCTTGTCACCGCCGCAGCTCGGTTCCTCGAGCATGTCCATATAGACATTCAAGTCGCTGTTGGTATCGACGATCCGGAAGCCTTTTTACCACATTAGCTATGACTTTAACTCTCCACTTGAACCCAAACTTACTATCAAACCCAGCCTCACGCAGATATTTCTCGTAGCCCGAGACCTGACTGGCTCCGGCTACACACCCAACATACAGTGACATGTCCTGTACGATCTTGTCGGGGAGCGGCTTTTTCGCTAGGATATCAGAGATTGCAAGACGTCCACCGGATTTCAAGAGACGGAATATCTCCTTGAAGACAAGCGGCTTTTCGGCCTCGGGAACAAGATTAACAACACAGTTGGAGATAATGCAATCAGCTATCCCGGATTCGAGATTGATTTTTGTAATTTGCGACTCGACAAACTTGACGTTGTCAGCACCGGAGTTTTGCTTATTTTTTTCTGCCCGAGCGAGCATTTCCTTTAAATGTCAGTCTTTTGTATGTCACTTAGATATGAGCTGAATCAATATACCTTGTTCATATCAACACCGATGACACGGCCGCTGGAGCCAACTTTCTTTGCAGCGAGGAAAACATCGAGACCAGCGCCAGAGCCAAGGTCGATGACTGTCTCTCCCTATCTAGTATATTAGTACAGTATGAAAAGTGTATTGCATAGGAAAATACGATTCTAATCTTACCTCTGATAGACTTGCAATAACGAGTGGGTTACCACAACTCAGTCCCAGGTTTGCCTCTTGTGGGATGTTGGCCAGTTCCTCCTCGGAATAGCCAAACGATTTTGCTACGGATGTGGAATATTTGGCATCGCCACTATTGGCAGCGGAGCCGTAGTGGTCTTGGACTTGCTGGTAGATGTGGGCGGAGTCCATGGTGTTATCGACTGGTGAAAGAGATGTTAAATAGATTGATTGAAGTTTGGGGCGAGTAATTGAATTGAAGAACGGTATTTGAGTTGACTGGTTATAATGCTGTTCTCCGCTCAGAAATGCCCCAAGTTTTATACCTGAACGGCTCTTGAGGATCTGTCACCACTTCGATGCCGAGTTGGGTTAGAGTCTTCTTCGCGACTTATTAGCACCACGGTATGGATCTGATTGCGTTGCCAAGACGCTGTTATAGTACGGGCTAAGCGAGATCTAGTAATTTTTCGATATGTCACCGCGTGGTCAACCAATGTAATTCTCTCGGCATGCATTGGTCCGCCCCCACAGCTACACATCCTTGATAGGGAATATATACTTCGTACTGAACATCAAATTCCACTCCATACTGTGCCATGAAGGATGGAAATCAAATCATGACTGCCGCGAAGGTACCTACCAAACTCTCTGCCATGACTGGCAAATGGTCAACGAAGCCACCGGACCATGCGATTACCCGTGTGCGGAACAATCAGCGCCGCCACCGGGCCAGAGTTAAAACTCACATTTCCGACCTGGAACAGAAGCTGGGAGATACGCAACGGCTCCTGAGCCACGCAGAAGCACGTATTGCCCAACTCACAGCTGAGCTCGACAGCTTCCGAAATGGCCATCTTCCTAGTCCTCCCTGCGAGGAGCCAGGCCCAGAATCGCCGAATGGAGACTTTATTGCCTCTGCTGGTGGCGAACTAGCCGATTCTAGTATGAAGGAGCACATTGTCCCCTACGGAACTCATATCTCTCGCTGTTCCAGCGATCCCAGGTCCATCTCGATCGAATCTGAAGCCGAAGCGGTCGCTGGTACCCAAACTGAAGACCATTTTGCTGTCTCCCCATTAGCATCAAGCATAGGAAGGCCCAGATACTCATCTGTGGAATGTACTGCCCCTATCGCAGTCGACGAGCCGCACCCGCTATGTTGCTCATCCGGCCGAGTACAGCCAAGTCAGCGACCGGCGGACGAAGCTTCTGGCTGCACATCGCAGATATCAGCAGGAGCAAAGGATGCTTTGGAGAAGGCCTTTTTGTCGTTGCCGATGCTCCGCGGAAACAAAGAGAGCGTCGATCAGCAATATCCTGATCTAGATCCTGAGCAACCCGATGAATCGACAACTCTCTGTAGCAACGCATTTGTGCTGATCGAGCAACAGAATGTCCGCGGCCTTGATATTTCGGTCATCTCTGAGCGACTACAACAGGGCTTCCGGCGGATTGAAAGCGGGCATGGCGACTGCGGGGTAGAAAACCGAGTTCTGTTTGCTTTGCTCGACCATATCAGCAGTTCATGAATTGGATTTCCGTGTCAGCCAATAGAGGACCAACTTTCTTTGATGGGGTGGACGGCCGCATTCTTGCTGCTCTCGATGGAGAGCATCCCACAACCGGGTTTCGTGAGTGGCGATAACGAATGGTCGATTGTCTACGGTACGGCGGAGGCGCTGGGTAGCCGCGGTCCACCGAGATTGCCACTCTTCTTAGTGTTGCTGAATACTACGTAAGTACCACGTACTACGGTTTGAGAAGAGAAGCACTCGAGTAAGAGAGGTACGAATAGTACGAAGTACTACGTACTTAGTACAGCGAGGTTTGATGAATAGGAGACGAATGAGCCGAAGTTAGGCCGGGGACCAGGGGCATCGTGGGCCACTAAGCGAGAAGTCGGTGAAAAAGTCGTGGCGCTGGCTTACCTAAGTACGGGGTATTCTGCATTATTAGCGGCGGATGACCCGATCTGACAGGGGAAACTTCGTAGAAGGATTGATTTAATTGATATCTGATAATTGGTGATGGATACTTGATGATTGATACCGCTCTATGCTCTACGCTCTTATACTTCTCTCTCTGCACAGTACAGTACACTCCGTACAGCTCAGTCCAGCACAGTAATCCTCGCACAACCACGGCAGATCCTGCCCCTTGCTGCCAGGGAGACGACTCGGAGGTGTCGGAGTGTCGCAGAAAAACGCACGGCATCGGCGATGCTGCATATAAACGGACGATATGACGAATAAAGAGCGCGGAGGGTGATGGGTGATGGGTAATAGTGATAAGCTGACGGCGCAACTCTTCCTGGACCTGACCTGGCCACAGAAAAAAAAAATGAAAAACAGAAATCCGTGCGTGGTACTACGTGCTTCGTAGGGAGTAGGTATGGTGAATATCAATGTGAATATCAATTTATCAGCACCATTGTGAATCTTTTTCTTTGCCGTCCGCCCTCTCTCTACCCCAAACCCGACGCGGCTGCAAAGAACCTCGTGGCCCCCGCCCAGAGACGCTGGATGCTTCGTGCTCTGTACTTGGCTCGTTATACGTGGAACATCGTTCGATCCCTTGCGAAGTAAAACGTTCCAGCAACCTGTGCCTCCTCGCCCTCCTCGCCCTGGTTCTCTCTCCTCTCTTTTTGCGGAGGCGGAGACAGACGGAGGCGGAGTGAGTGGAGCGGCGGACAACCAGCACAGCGTTCCACGCATTTCTAAATCGAGACCCCAATTATAATACGTGCTACTCGAGTACGACGTTCAACGCGCAATACGACAGTACAAAGCCCTGGGAACGCCAACCTCCAGCATCCAACATCCAACATCCAACCTCCCCGTCCTGCCACCACCAAACATCCTTCTCCCCCATCCTCCCGAGGGCATTCGATCTTTATCATTGTGTTGTTTTTCTCGCGTTGCTTTCGCATTTAGCAAGCTATTTAGCACCCGATCTACAAGCCTATTGATTGTCGCTTTCGTGGGCTCTGCTCGCATTACCGCCCGCTACTAATATCGTTCCCGCACACGTTCATTGCGTCCGCTCACACACACAAAGACATCGCCTTGGCGACGTCGCGATCCAGCCAGCAACGTTGAAGGCGCCAATATGCCGCGACGGCGGCCCCCTCGAGATGGCCCCGTCGTAAATAATCTAATTATCTTTGCAGCAGCCATACTATTTCTCCCATGGCTGGTCGACGCTCAGCAGCAGCAGCGACCGCTCCGCCAGCGACACGAGTCGCCCCACGAGAGCCTGGAGGCAGAGGCCGTACACACGATCGGGGCCACCAAGATCCCCCATCCCATCGAGACTCCCCTCACCTCCGGCCGGCGGAAGAATACGCTGAGCGTGAACAACGAGATTGAACATCAAAACCGACACATCAACATCAAGAACGATGCGAGCGCCATCGCAACTTTGGCTCCGGCGGATTCCGCCGTTGCAGCACCTCCTGCAAGACAGTCCACCACCACGCGTGCTGGGCTCTCCTCGCCGCATATTGCGCGGAGTCTTGAGGATTGGGAAGTGGAAGACTTTGTGCTTCTGGCGACCGTCGATGGGAAGTTACATGCCAGGGACCGGAAGACTGGCAAGGAGAGGTGGGAGCTGTCATACGAGCGTCCCATGGTCGAAACAAAATACTTTCGACGGAATAGATCGGAAATCGAGGAGGATTATGAGTCGATCCCGATCGATGACTTCCTCTGGATCGTCGAACCGAGCCGAGATGGAAGTCTCTACATCTACAGACCCGGTGGGCCAAACCCCGGCCTTGTGAATACCGGTCTCACCATGAAGAAGCTCGTCGAAGAAATGTCTCCGTATGGAAATGAAGATCCTCCCGTCATGTATACTGGAGAGAAGAGGACCGATATGATAACGGTGGATGCCAATACAGGCAAAGTTATCAAATACTTTGGCCCGAAAGGTGCTTTGGTCGGCGGCGAGGGTAACTGCGCGAATAGGAACTTCCCTAGTGAGGAGTGTACTAGCGCAACCCTGACAATTGGCCGGACGGAGTACACAGTTGGTATCCAAGCACGAAAAGATGGCCATCAAATTGCTACTCTAAGCTTCTTTGAGTGGACACCCAACACCTACGACCAAGATCTACAACGACAGTACCACGCGACGCCCGATAACAAGTACATCTACACAAGCCACGATGGTGGTGTCATTGGATTTGATCATGACCGAAGCCGGGCGGATGAGCCCGGGAGGCTGTTCAAACATAAGTTTGCATCGCCAGTCGTCCGGGTCTTCGACGTCGCGAGGCCTTGGAACACTGAAAAGAATGATCCAGAGCTGATTATTCTTCCGCAACCAATGCCGCCTGATCATGATGATGAAACAGCAGCTCAACACCGGGCTAGCAGTATCTTCTTGAACCACACTGAGGATGGCAGTTGGTATGCCATGTCTGGTAGAACATACCCTCTTGCTGTCCAGGGCACTCAACAAGCCCAGGTTGCACAGCAAGGGTGGCAGCAACACCGACCTTCATGGGACATCATGAACGAATTGCAACTTTCAGAAGCGCTTGTTGGGCTGCACTCGATTGAGCATGCTAGAACGGAGCCCCTGTTGACTATCTCAGCTCCCCTGGACAAAGATCAATTGGACCACACCTTTAACGACAATGTTCCTGCATTGATGGATGAACCAACTGTGCTACAGCGTTTCCAACAAATCCCGGGCATTGCAGCACATAACCTTCTTGAATTCGTCAAGAATCCCGTGTTGATAATTTTCTTGATCGGCTTGCTACTTACCAACCAACGGCAGGTCCGAACTTGGGTTGGCCGTTTGAGTGGAGACAAGAGGTTCACTTCATTACCGGAAGGTCCGGTGCGTGAGGATACTCCAGAAAGCGACCAGCTACCCCAAGCCCCGGAAATTCCCGTTCCCAAGGTGGAAGAAGAACCCAAACCAGCGCCCGATGCAACTACTGAAAAGGAAGCTCCGTCCCCTCCAAGAGAAGCTCCAGCGCCCCCACAGGCAGTTTCAGAACCAGATAAGTCAGCCGATAAGCCAGTCGATAAACCGGCAGAAAAACCGGCCAAGAAGGCCCACAGGGGGCGTCGGGGTGGAGTGAAACATAAGAAAGGAAAAGCTGCTGCAGGTGATGGCTCTGAACCTGCTCAGGATCGTTCTCAAGATGGCAATCCGCCAAAGCCGCAACCTACGGTCGAAGATGCTGTTCGTGATGCCCAGAAACTGGGCGAGCAGACAAAGCTGGAGCCCGACATCCACACCATATCTAATGACCCGTCAGAAGTGTCGGGGCCAATTATCCGCATTGGTGCACTCGAAGTTAATACTGAAAAGCTTATCGGGACTGGGAGCAATGGGACAATGGTCTTCGAGGGCAATTTTGATGGGCGCTCCGTCGCTGTGAAGCGGATGCTCATCCAGTTCTTTGACATCGCGTCTCAAGAGACCAAGCTCCTTAGAGAAAGTGACGATCATCCAAATGGTAAGTTATTAGAAATTTCGAAACGGTCGAATACTAACAGTAGCAGTCATCCGATACTTTGCTCAACAACAAGCGGCCGGCTTTCTATACATCGCCCTTGAGTTATGCCCAGCATCTCTCGCGGATGTCGTTGAGAAGCCACATCTGCATCAGGATTTAGCTCGAGGCGGCGAGAGGGACTTGCCGAATGTTCTCTATCAAATCACCAACGGTCTTCAACATCTGCACAATCTTCGTATCGTCCATCGGGATCTGAAGCCTCAAAACATTCTAGTCGCAATGGGCAAGGATGGCAGACCCCGCGTCCTCGTCTCGGACTTCGGTCTGTGCAAGAAACTAGAAGGCGAGCAATCATCCTTCCGTGCAACTACAGCCCATGCGGCAGGTACCTCTGGATGGCGTGCACCCGAGTTACTCTTGGACGACGATGCCAAGGAAGGACCCTCGATGGTCGACGCAAGCACAGATGGCGGCTCAGGTTCGATTCTCGTTAGTTCGGATATAATGCCCAATCGGCGGGCAACTAGGGCGATTGATATCTTCTCGCTGGGCTTGGTATTCTTCTATGTCCTCACCAAAGGCTCACATCCCTTTGACTGTGGCGACCGGTACATGAGGGAAGTAAACATTCGGAAGGGCAAGTATGATCTCGGCCGGCTTGCCATGTACGGAGAATACGGGCTAGAAGCCGACGACCTCATCGGTTCCATGCTTTCACCAGAACCTAAACAGCGGCCCAATGCCCGCGCAGTCATGGCTCACCCCTTCTTCTGGACTCCAAAGAAGCGTCTCAGTTTCCTTTGCGACGTCTCGGACCATTTCGAGAAAGAGAAGCGCGATCCACCTTCCCCTGCTTTGGAGGAACTCGAGCGTTTCGCTCCTCGAGTTGTTCGCGGCGACTTTCTGAAGTATCTTGGCAAAGATTTTGTAGATTCCATGGGCAAGCAGAGGAAATACACTGGAACTCGACTTCTGGATCTCCTCCGGGCTCTACGGAACAAGAAGAACCATTACGAGGACATGTCCGATAAGCTAAAGAAGGAAGTTGGGCCCCTACCAGACGGGTACTTGAGTTTTTGGACAATTAAGTTCCCGGAGCTTTTGATCGTTTGCTGGAATGTAGTATATTGTTTGGAATGGGACGAGACGGACCGCTTCAGAGAGTATTATCTACCAGCTGGTGTTCTCTAATAGAAGGTACATTTGGAAGTAGTATTTCGTGTAGGCATATTTGTAGGAAATAGCGGGCACTTGGTTAATCTTTGAATTTCTGGGATCTTAGTTTACTAGGACGCGATGGGATAATACAATGAATGTTTCTCGATGCATCTCAGCTTTTTATGAAATCATACCTGAAAGTGAAACTGAGATATTAGCTACCAGGCCACGGACCTGATGGCTCTTCATCCGGCCATATGGCCATCAGCGCATTTTGAAACCGGGAATTACCGAAGAGACCAGTGCTTGAAAATAATAACCTATCAAATAATAATACTTTGCTTAGAATAATGCCATTACCCGGGCTTAAAACCGTGATAAAGAGGAAGCTCGTACAGAGTACGTTGTACCGTAGCAGGTCACAGCTTATAACTTGAGAGGATGCAGGCTCCCGAATGTGGCTTGATATTCCCAGCCACATCATCCAGCTCGGCCCAGAACGTTGGGGAGGTCACGCATCCCGGGCGGAACTGACACCTTCACAGTTGCCTTCCCTCTGGATACTTCCTACAATCAATTGTATTTCTTTGGGCGCATGCTTGTATAATATCTATAGGCGCAATCCGGCCACATTCAGCGCTATATTGAAAGCAGCACGAATCTAGCTCTGAAGCAAACATAGCACAGCGACACTTCCCTTCACCTTTGCGACAACCCCTCATTAACACCGTTCAAATACGCAACTGATTAGCCGTGGGTATGCGCTTCACCTTCTCCCATGGGTTCATCCTATCTAATTCCAATAGCTTACAAGATCTTCCTAATCTAGGCACGCACAACTCTCTAAGCTGGACTTCCGTCAGACACTCGGTCAACAAACCGCCCCAGATGTCGGTTTCATGTATGGAACCTACCACGGCCCTCAAAAGTACCCAGCTAATGCCAATACAGTACTACCGGCGGAGAAAGCGCAGTATTCTGCTATCATTGATGGAATACTTGCTTCGAGCGACCTCCAAACCATCTCCGCGAAACAAATCCGGAAAGGGCTTGCGGCGCAACTCGACATTGACCTCTCAGATAAGAAGGTAGGACAAACATGCGCCATTCACACATGTGGCTCCAAATAGCTAATATATAACTCCTACAGAGCGCGGTTCAAGACCTTATATTAGAACGATTCGACCGAGCCTCAAATGCCCACAATATCCCCGTCCCGACTACTGAAACCGCCCCTCCACCTGCCACAAATGGGTACCATTCCGGGGTGAAATCAGAAGCGGAACCTATACCATCAGGCTCAGCCAGCAGTCGTGGCATATCAACGCCATCTGCTATTAAAGATGAAGACTCCGAGGTTGATGTCAGCCCGCCAAAGAAGAAGCAGAAGCGGGCAAAGCCTGTGGACGATGCGAAGCTGGCGGCGATGCTGCAGGCGCAGGAGAATAGTAGGGCGAGGCCTACCAGAGGAGGCGTGAATAAGAAGGCGAGCGTGCGCAAGAAGGCGCCGAAGAAGAAGAGCGAAAAGAAGGTGAAGGCGGAGGATGATAGTGATGTGGAGCTGGATAGTAATGGGGAGGTGAAGGAGAAGGTCAAGAAAGGCGGTTTCCATGTGAGTCTGCCCCTCTACTCCTAGGTGTTGGGGCTGTCGCAAGTGCTAATAGTTTGTAGAAACAGTACCACCTTTCGGCGCCGCTTGCGGATTTGGTCGGTGAGCCTACTGTAAGTCTTATGTTATTTTCTCCCTTGATTCCCATAGGTGCTGCCTGCTTGGTTCTGACTATGATATCTTAATAGCTCTCGCGGCCGCAAGTCGTTAAAAAGATATGGGAGTACATCAAAGGTCGAGATCTCCAAGACCCAGCCGACAAGCGCCAAATCCTCTGTGACGAGAAGATGCAGCTAGTGTTCAAACAGGACAAGGTGCACATGTTTACCATGAACAAAATACTAGGCAAGCAGCTCTATGACGTCGAAGAGGAGTAATAAGGTATCTTCACCGCTCGTCATTCTCCCAGGCGCGACACTATTGATGGGGAAGGGGCTATTTTATTGAAATATGACTGAGGCTCGCCCCTGGAGCTTCTTATGGCCAACTGGGAAACAGGGATGAGACGCACTGGGGTTTGGAAACTGGCCATACGGCGTTTTAAATAACATAATGCGGTATACGCGTTCGGAGTGAGTTGCTTTTTTTGCGTCTGGGCTGCTTCTTTCTGCATTGCATGGCTCGCGGTGGTTGGAAAGCGGCTTCGGAGCACCTGGGTATGCTATCAAATGGGATGGAGATAAATAAATGGTGACTTATGAGCGGATAATTTACTTCGGTAGTTATGGTTGCATAAAAATGGCATTTTACGTTTGCGTTATCTCGGAATGAGTGTTAGAGGGTGGTATGTGCTGTGTTAGTTAAGGAACTATAGCTTTTAGCCTCTTTATGCCTTTAGAGGATAACAGTTGGAGGTGTACAGTACAGTACCAGTATAACTTAAAGCCATTGTTAACATTGGTTAGTAGCATGACAATACAAGTAATGTCTCTCTTTTCAAGTTGTACATGTACGTAGTAGCAACATTAATGTGACTCCTTACCGCCGACGCCACCTATCACCTGGCTGTCCTATGTGGTCATAATTGCACTCATTGTGAGTCGAAGCGTCGATGTTGTCAGCAATCAGTGTGGCGCTGGTGGCTCAGCCTTCCGCGGGGTCGCTTCTGGTTGCTCCCGTCGCATTTATTATTATTGTAGGGAAGTGACCTGGATTTCGCTTCTTGTTTTGCCCCACCACCACTTCCTGGCTCCCCAGTTGCTTTCAACATCAACCCCAGACAGCGAACGATAAAGTATAAAACCCCCATCAGTGCAACTTGCTTTTGTCCAGCAACATCTGTTTTCTACTAGCATACAGAGATTTGGGTGAATAATTCGGGTTGGATTGTGATTCCTCTGCCCTTGTGGCTAATTGAGCTTTTTCCTGGTGCATAACGGAACAGCGGACAACAACGAATCCCGCAAACGCAATGGCTTCTATAGGAACGGACCCAGGAGCAAATGAGCGCCGACCTGCAGACGGTCCCAGAGGCGGCCGAGGACGAGGCAGAGGTAGGGGACGGGGACGAGGAAGAGGCGATGCACAGAATCTGGGGGACGAAATGCGACCCGCCCAACACCAGATGCGACGGAGAGGAGGCGGAGGGGAAGGTCCATCTGGACTATTGTCACCTCAGAAGGCGCCTCGAGTTATGCCCCAGAACGAACAGCTGCCAACGCCCGCCAATGGAAAATTAAAAGCGAAGGAAGTTGAAGCTTCGCAGGAGGGACAGGTGGAGGCTGAAGTATGCTTCATTTGCGCGTCGGAAGTGATGCACCATTCTGTTGCGCCGTGTAATCATCGGACATGTCATATCTGCGCCTTGAGGATGAGGGCGCTGTATAAAACGAAAGATTGTCCGCATTGTCGAGTCAGTCTATCCTCCTCATTTTTCTATGAACCCATGCTAATCATTCGATAGACGGAAGCCCCATTTGTAATATTCACTGATGATGCCACCAAACGATTCGAGGACTTTACCGCAGCGGATATTTCCAACACAGACGAGAATATTGGCATTCGATACGAGAATAATGATATCATGGAGGATACAAGACTGCTCTTGCGATATAATTGTCCCGACGGCGATTGCGATGTTGCATGCTTAGGATGGCCGGACTTGCATCGACATGTCAGGGGTCTTCATCACAGGAAGATTTGTGACTTGTGTTCGCGGCATAAGAAAGTCTTTACACACGAGCATGACCTGTTTACTGATGCGGAATTAACAAAGCATATGAAGAAAGGGGACGATAACCCGGGTGCTATCGATCAAAGCGGATTTAAGGGCCATCCTTTGTGTGGATTCTGCGGGGAAAGGTTTTATGGTGATGATGAGCTTTATGTTCATTGCAGGGACAAGCATGAAAGATGCTTTATCTGTGATCGAAGAGGGGGCCCGCCGCAATACTATCTTAACTATGAGAAGCTGGATCAGCATTTCAGAAAAGATCACTTCCCATGTCTGGATAGGGAGTGTCAGGAGAAGAAATTTATCGTCTTTGTGTCAGAGATGGACTTGAAGGCTCATCAGCTAGAGGAGCATGGAGATAGTCTTTCAAAAGACGTACGGCGAGATGCGAGGATTGTCGATATGTCGTCGTTTGATTATCGAGCTCCTTATTTTCAAGAAAGGAGAGGTGGAGGAAGTCAACGAGAACAACGTGAGAGTCGAGGGAGAGGAGGGAGGGGAAGAGGAAGGGATCCAAATGCGGAAGCAATACCTGCTTCAAGTGCACAGCCGTTACGGCGAGATGAGCAGGCGTTCCAACGACAGATGGCAATCCAAACTTCCCAGTCGGTAGCGCCCCGCACATTCGGAGGCCAATTATCGACGCCTGCACCCACGCGGGAACCAGCCAGCGTTACTGCACCACGGCCCTCTGGGAACGTGGATGCTGTGGCCGAAGGCGTTCAAAATATTGGGATTTCCCAACCGAGCCTAACACCCCAGGAACAAGCTCGCCAGCTTCGCCATAGAGAAGTTATTGAGCGTGCCAGCTCTCTACTCCAGAACGATCAGACAAAACTTGGTCGATTCCGGAGTTCGATTTCTGCTTTCCAATCTAATAAACTTGCCGCACCTGCGCTTATCGATTCCTTTTTTGCGCTCTTTTCAGACACAACATCAAGTGCTCTGGGGACTTTGATTCGCGAGGTTGCGGATCTTTATGAGGATAAAAGCAAGGCAGATGCAATTCGGACAGCATGGAATGATTGGCGAGCTATTAACGAAGATTATCCCTCTTTGCCTGCGGCTAGCAGTGCCACTGGTGGCTCTATTCCACTTGGCTGGGCTTCTATAACTTCATCCACCCCCGCATCTTCCTCCTCCACTCCATCTGCAGCGAAATCAACTCGGGTGCTCAAACTAAAATCATCCACAGCTAAATCCTCGCGGTCATCAGTGTCACAAACGCGATCATGGGGTACAGCTTCAGGACTCTCCTCGTCCAGCAATCCATTTCCCGGTCTTCCAACACCAGGATCGTCGAGTCGGAGCAAAGTCTCGACCGTACCATGGGTCGGTTCCTCATCTGCTCCACCTTCAAATGTATCGTCAGCGCCCACCTCCCGACCTGCTTCTCGTGGTCCACCTCGAGCAGCCGTAGGCGGAAGTGATGCTTTCCCAGCGCTGCCACCAGCTCCCAAACCCCAGAGTTCTATCTTTGGTTACGGCTCCGGAATGGTACGGCGCGATGGAGGTCGCGGTTCAGGCAACGCGGCGTTCTCGTGGGGCGGTGGTGCCGGTGATCAGGGTACTATTAGTGAGAATGAGGCCTTGGGAGGAGATGAGGGCGGGAAGGGGAAGAAGAAGCAGCAGAAGAAGAAGGTTTTGATGAATTGGGGATAAGGTGCTGTGTTGTTTGTGTACTGATTTCTCACTACCTGCCATAGAGGGATTGGCGTGAGATTAACAATGATAGCTAGATATATGTGAGCGGATACGTTGTGTAAAGGAGTATTATAAAAGCGCATCGGTGACCCGAATTTTTTGGACGTGCGAAGATCAATAAAGTCCATTAGCAGTGTTTATTCATGTATTCCATTTTCCCTTTTGCATTCGAAGCGACTCGTAGATTATCGTTAATGGCTAGAGGTACAGGGGTTTCTACTCTTCCGGAGTGAACGATATATGACTTTAATGCCAACTTCTCTCCCCTTCAAGTTAACTACATAGGCAACCTTCTCCACTACCCCGCCTTACTATTTCATGCCATCAGGAGCACGCTTAGAACGCAATTGTGGCGCTAAAGCTTTCTTTCCATCAATTAGCAATGACACCCAACCACGCTTCGACCTCTCCCAATGCTTTCTAATCCCTATTTACCTTTAAGCTACCCCACGGCTCCCACCTCTTAATATGATCTCGGATGAATTAAACTTTGAAAGTACATCACCGGGATGCGCGGAGACTGCTTGGATCTTGGGCTTTTGTGGAGTGCTCACATCAGCAGGATACTCCGTGGTGGTTGTCACGAATTCGGAATTACCCTTCGTGGCTAAGCCCGCTTTGAAATCATTACAAATATAAAAGTATCTACAATCTATAACCCGCATAAGATCAAAGTCCAAATTGCGCTTTGAAATGGTTATAAAACGTACAAGTATCTATAATAAGCCCATAAGGTCAGAGTCCAAACCTCTCGCTTTTTAATTTCATTCTCCATCAAACTATTTCCTTTAAATACTCTAGTAAGGGAAAAAAAGGTAAAACGCATAAAATCATGGCTTCAAAAATCGTTCTTGTCATTGGTGCAGGCCAGAATATTGGCCGGTCTATCGCTACGCATTTCTCGGGAAAAGAATATAAAGTCGCGGTCGTGTCGAGGAATCCAACTAAAGAGATCTTCAATTCTGCAAACTTGCTCATCCGAGCCGATTTATCCGATCTCTCTGTTATGCCTTCCATTTTCTCGGAAGTCAAGGCTAAGCTTGGGGTTCCAAATGTGGTGGTCTACAATGGCACGTATAGGTTCCTATCTATCACCCTGTCTCCTTTTCATAATTGAATATTTTCTCTCTCCAAACGTTCTAACAGATATCAAGCAGCTTATGTAACACTTAACAAACCGGATCCGTTCTCCATTCCTGTGGATGAATGGGCCTCGAGTTTAAATGTCAATGCCATCAGCGCTTATGCCGCTGTGCAGCAAGCACTTGCGGGATTCAAAGAATTGCCAACGGAGGTGCCGAAGACTTTTATCTATACGGGTAACTGTGGGACTCACACTGCCATTCCACATCTGATGAACTTGATGGTGGGAAAGCGTGTCGCTGCGCATATGATTGAGTGTGCTGTGAAGACGTATGAGAAAGATGGGTTTAGGTAGGCCTCTCGCTTTAATCTTTCTTTTCCTCTTCGAAACGTGTTTGAAAAGTTGGGATGTTAATCGACTTACTGGGAAATGGGCAACTAATGCTGAAATAGGTTCTATTTCGCTGACCAGCGGCACGAAGATGCAAGTCCCATGTATACGGGTCTGGACGGGCAGGCCCACGCTGAAAACTACCTTGAGTTGGCGGAGAAGGCGGAACAGGGACCGTGGGAACATACTTTTGTGAAGGGGAAAGGGTATGTTGATTTCGAGGGGAGGACTGGATAGATTCCGGAGCTTTGATGAAGGCTAAATAGGGAGGTAGGGGTAATTTGGAGTCTCGTATATGCGTTGGTACTGTAGCGTGAAATACCCCTAAACACTAAAATTATAGCAATACCAAGCTATATGTATATTTGAGATCTATGTTTTAAAGCTCAAATGTTATTATTGTGGTTGACTCTGTTTTCAGGCGCTACTAATACTCGCTAAGGGGACGGGGAGGAGTCGAAAGAAACAGAAAGAGAAAATGGAAACAAAAGGAACGGAAAAACTACAAAACAGAAATGAGGAGTAAAAATACCAAAAGAGTTCATTGCCCACAGCCAATTAATCTCTGCCGTTTCGTAGTTGTCGCTAGACCTAGTTATATTTCTCTCCGTACTGAGTGTCGTGTGATGCTTGTAGGGAGCATCGTAAAGAGCTAGGTTGTCGTTACAATATTTTCTTTAATTGAATATATATACCTTCGTTGAGGTCGTAGCGAAGTTATCCCGGCCGCCGGCAGTGAGCCCAAAAGGGATGGGGCTGCTATAGGCGGGATGGAGTGCGGTGAAGTCTTTCGGCTTTATAGTTTCGTGCCAAATTCTCTCTTGAGCTTCTTACTCATTCATTCTCAAATCATTAATACCTCCACAGAACGACTATTTCCAAACAGAGAAATCAATTAAAATACAAATGCAGCTCGACAGTTCAAGGCATTGGCCCGATACAGTCGACTAAACCAGTGCTACTAGTGCGCCTCCGCTCCGGAGTCTCAGACTCTTATATAGCTATCTTGTCCATGACGAGCACCTCAAGGAAATAAAGACCATGTCATTTCAAGCGGAGTTTAGAAATGGAGACAGTGTACTTGGCATAATTTCCCATGCATAACATCTTTAAGGGTAAGGTTAGGGGAGGACATAAAATATAACCTCACTGCTAGGCTGCAACTCGGGGGCCGGAATTCTATGGGATGGGCCCAACTTAAGACGAATAAAGGCAGCGGGAGAAAGGTGGAAGGTCGAATTAGAGACTCATTTCAACATCTAGTGCGATACCTCACACTAGCTCTGCACATACAAAGTACCTCTAGAACACTGCTCGGGATTTGAGGAAGTTTGGAGGTTGAGATAGAGATGAAAGATGTCAAGCAAGGAATGTCAAATCTGGATTGTAGTAGCGCCGCACAAGGGAAATGAAGAAGCTGGTACTTATCAGCGTAAGGTTGACAAATCTCTATGTTATGGGGGTATACGTTATCCATAACTTATTAACTCCTGCCCAAACGTAATTTCTCATATAATTCAAACCCAAAATTCCAAAGCTGCCCTGCTGTCTCGTCAAACCCATGTCCTTTCGGGCTTGACGTTCCAATGTGCTGTAGCAAAGCCGGCGTTCTCGCCCATCTAACCCAACCTTCGTCGTCTGCAATGTCCTCTATCATCATATCCACGAGCCAATCTGTCTCCAAGTTGGTCCTTTGAAGGAGAGGAGCAACGATATCACGCGGATAGACGTAACCTTGTGAGCAACAGCCGAATTTGTTCATTTCATGGATTCCAGGCGTAAGTGGCCAAATCGAATTCCTACCAGATGCGAAGAAAAAGGCACCCAGTGCCGGGATGCACACCCCGGATATCGTCAATATAGCTGCATTCGACAGAAAGGCTTGCATAGATCTTAATCTGCTTCTCACGGCAATTAAGGAGCTTGTTATAATTGCCCAGCTCATGAATGACCAAAACACATATATTGGCCAGTTTTCACTATTCCATCCGAAGAGCTCCTCTGTGTAGAAGAGTCTCAGAAACACCCATTCCACTCCTGCTCGGCGTTCCATTTCCTTTTCGATGTCTTTCAGTGCCTCTAGTACACGTGGATACCAACCCTCTACCGCGAGAGTGTCATCTTCTATCATAGCAATATAACGTGCACCTGTCGCATAGCAATCGTTTAACAAGTACGTGTAGTCAAATATCGTCTTGTTCCGGTACCATCCTCCTTCCTCCCATTGTTGTATGCGAGCGATATCCGTCTTCCTGTATTCTAAAACCTTGTCCGGGAGGGTCTCGATCCACTTCTCCCCGGAAATCGGATGTTCCGACGGCTCTGCATGGCCAACAAGGATGTTAAGGTATATACTGCGTCGTTCCTCGTTAGGAAGGCCTTCCAGAAGAGACCCGATTGTTCGCCGCACGTATTGGTCCTCTCTTCGTTTTACTGTTACGACGCCGATACATACTACCGGTGGTTGTTGCGAGGGCTCTGGGCCGGCGGATTGTAGCTTTGCAGATTGGATGAAAGCATCGGCTTGCTCTATCCTATCTGTCGAGTATATTCGCTCGTACGCTCGGGCCGGGTCAAAGAAGTAGGACGTTGGATCACGGTAGTTGGCTTGGCGCAAGTACTGTACTAGGAATAGGTATAAGATCGAGAAGCAGGCCAGAATCGTGACTGGAGGTCTGGTCACCAGATATTGGAAGGATAATGACCCATCATTCCCAGCTCTTCCTAGTACAATCCTCGGGCGCAAACGCATGGCCAAGGGACCAGGATATATGTGCGGGTGAGACTGTCAGCGGATTCTTGTTGACGGTCTATCAGGATCCGGAGTAGTTCATGCTCCGTAGGAGTAAAGATGTTACGAGTGGGCTGGGGGTTTGCAGAAGGGAGAGATGTGGTATCGTCATAGGGATATTATATAATCAGGACATTCCAAGTGTAGTTATATGAGTATAAGGATTCAACTTTTTAAAATAAGTATCTTTTTTATTGACAGAAGCTTAATCTTTTTTGTTTGCGTCAAGATAGTTTTATCGAGTTAGAGTGGTGTAATTATATTAATGCCGATACTTTATACTATACTGAGAGGCGCCTTCTGTTACAAGTATGATTAAACAGGTGTGCGTATGCCATCTGCAAAGTTGAAACAAACAAAGTATTACGTCTAATAGTAAGGCTGTAATATTCTCTTCTAGACCTTGCCATTGGCAGCGTCCTGGGCGTCAGAAGCTATAAATGTGCGCACGATCGCTCTACCTTCTTCATGGTCTTCATCCTTATAGACTTTGAGACCATATTGTTGCAGGAGGTGATATTCATCTGTAAAATGCTCCTTAATCCATGCTTTGTCAGCAGACGTGTACGGCGGTTCAGCAGAAGTGTACGGCTCGAGTTGCTTGGTGGCTTCCCAACGAGCGTCTGTTTCGCAAAAGTCAGTGGCATTAATTTGGTAGGTTTATTAATGTAAAGGAACCGACGTTCAGAGGGGTGCCATTCGGCATTGATATGGTAATGTCCATCTGGATCCGCGTCTTTTAGAAACAGTGAACGTGCTGTCGAGGGACCGACTGGAGGTCCGCTGAGCTTGAGACAGAATAATCTCTTCTTATCATCGAAGTAGGCAACGGTACGACCATGCTGATCTTGCAACCCGGACGTATAGGAGACGCTGTACTGGTCTAGAATATCCCTGCCTAGGATGTTGCACATAGCGGTGGGCACATGAAATACATCGTCTAAACGAATGCTTCTTGCCACTCCGACTAGAGCGCCGCCTGACGGGAATTTCGACGGTACCAATACCTACGACAGCCAGATCGTTGCTGAGGCGAGACATAAAAGGGGTGTATGAAATGAACCACCCCCGGTCTTTCGCAATGGAGACGTTGGAATTGTCGGAGAAGACCCAGTCGGGGCACACTGGCTCGTCGGTGCTCATTGCTAGATAGGAGCTCGTAGGCACAGTGAGGGCACGGTGACGGCTTAGGTGTTATAGCTGGAAGAGAGTAAGTTGAGCTGGAAGAGAGTTAATAAGTTGAGCTGTAAGATGGAAGGGTTGTTATCAGGATATGGTTACATAGTAGGTTGGTGTTAGAACCCAGGAGCTAATTCCAGGTGTCAGAATACGGGAGTTTCAAGCTGAAAAGTGCCGCTTGGCACTCGATTTGCCACTTACCAACACCCCTTACGAACTTTGCCTCCACCATTATAGCAAATGGTACGTGCATATCCCAGATGAGATGAATATCAGCTGTTATTACTCCTTATAGTAATTAGTAAAGTAAGCTCAGCTGTCACCCGGGTATCACCGGACTTATTTCATTTCAGTCACCTGACTTATACACTCATTTACCTAGGTGTATATAGGAGGCTTTCACCCATAGTATTAGACTCTTTAATCAATACAATCCCTTCAATTCCATGACATATTTTGACCAATCAACTGCCGAGTTTTACGTGTGCCAGTTTAGTCTCAATTATGAATAGTTGCCGAGTCGGGCTTAGAAGCTATCTAGTCTTGTTTAGCGCCACACTTTTGTGACAGACATGAGAATGTGTCAGTGTTTTGGGGCCAAATTGGTGCATAAAAAGCAAGGTAGTTGATTGGTGACAATAGGTCATGGAATTGAAATGATTGTATTGATTGACGTCCCTAATATTAAGGGATCAAAGTCAGTGTATATGTAGGCAAATGATCCTCGGTAATTTCAATGTCATCGAGATGTTCGATAAGCCATTCCATAATACCGTGCCGTACAAATTACTCTGGTGAGTAATGCTTGTCTTTGGGGTTATATTACCCCTGGTGGATACGTCAGAATTGCTGTTGATTAAGATTTTCGTAACAAGCAATTAAGTGTTTTTAACAGAATGGTTAGTCGGGCTTGGCTGCTATGTAGGTAATATACTACCTACCTTAGGTATATACCAAGGTATACTAGATTGTATTAATCCGTGACTACCTCGGCTTATTCGTTGCTTATATCCCCACCGTCCTTTGAGCAATCAACGCGTGCCGGTGGGCGTTATCCATTTAATGACCAACATCCTACCTATTCGTCGACAGGGCCTCGGAGCTTGTTCTACCAGCGATTCTTTCACCACTAGGAGAGTCGGATCCAAGGCTCCTCCCACGAAAACATTCCACGGCAAACCTATTAAGTCACAAGACATGTGCCCTACCATTGGAGGCTGTTCCCGGCTAGAGTGCCTTTAGCTGTGAATAGATCGCGGACACTACTTCGAAGTAGGCTTTTACCCCATATCCCCTTGTCCTTCTCCCAGAAAAGGGAACCTTCGGAGCCTTCGGGACTTCGTACATGTGTCCATCCAGATTCCAGTGATGGCGGAGTTCGGGCAGCGTTTCAAGAGAGGTAGGGCTGAATCGGGTCTCTGGATCTGGTACGTTGACGCCAGCAATTACGCGTACGCTTTGATGGCGCAGTGCTCCGATACAAGACACTTGAATCCATCTTTGAGGCGTGCACATCCCTTTTCTCGCTGCCCCTTTGCTCCTTTGCCCGTGCCCTTTTGGTGTGTTTGATTGGCGGATAATAGAGGGAAAGGCTCCGCTGGGCTGTTAGAGGGCGGGAATAAAGGATAATATCGATAACTCCTTGCGGCGGACGTCGATGGCTTTATACTGGAGACTGGAGCGAAGTAGACCACCTACGTAGCATCTCTGCTAGTCGTGTGCTAGATCTAGTTCTGTGCAATGGTGCGGCGCCGTCAGGTACAAGACACGCTTAGTAATTAATTAGCCAGGAGCCCCAGATACTTCACCTCCTCGCCAGTTTTAGACTCAGGTACAAGTATTCAGGAACAGGTTATTCTAATTATTCTACGAACGCAACGCAACCCAGGAACCGCCCCCATTTGCAGATTGCTGCCCATTATCTGGAGTCTTGGGCCTATTTGCAGCTCTAGCCTCTTGCCTAGACTCCTAGTGCGCTTCACCGTCTACTCCAGTTTCCAGCCTCCAGGAGCAACACATTCCATCCCAACCCAGCCCAGCCTTTACGGAGTAGCCGCGCAGCGCCCCCAGTGCTTGCTTGCACTGTAGCTTTCAACGTTTCATCGCCGCTGCTACTGCTGCTGCTACTGTCGCTGCCGCCAGGAATGGTATATCGCATGCATCGCGTTGCGCCGGGTTACAGACACTACTGTGCGAAGTGCTGGACATAGTAGTAGAGTACCGCTTGCACCGAGCAGCTCTCCTTTCTCCCGCGCTTGAGTCTCTGCCCTCTCTGCCCCCCGAATGCCACGCTCAGGGGACCAAGCAACCCCTCCTATCTGAACCCTCAACCCTCAACCCTCAACCCCGTCGCAACAACCGGCCAGAGCTTGAAACATCTAAAACAGCGTTATTTTCCCTTGCCCGCGTCCCTTTTGATTGCAACCACCGCCTTTCCCCCCACCGCACAGAGGGAGAGTGGTGTGGAGTCTGGAGTCGGTCCCTGGATGCAAACAATCCGCATTGTTCTTCCTCAGGTCCCCGCCCACGCTACGCCGTCCATCTCACGATTCTCACTTAAGATTTGTGCTGTAGTTTCGGCATAATAATATCTGAAGGCGGTGCATACGAGACAGCAACTCCCATTAACCTTATCCCTGGGCCAATCTGCGAAGTCAAGGCGCCAGCAACGACCAGGCAGGGCCCACCATGGCCAGAAAACCGAGCCCCCAGCCGCTGACGCTCACCGACCCAAATACCGGCAACCCTGAAGTGAGAGACACCTTCTTCGATGATCAACGATCACCGTTGAGCCCAAAGTCCCCGAAATCGCCCAGATCACCTTTCAGATTCAGCTCCAAGAGAGGTCAGGTCGACGGCGACCCGCCGCTGATGCAAGCGTCCGATCTACACCTCCCGCGAACCACACTTCCACCCTCAACAACCGTCTCTCTCCCTTCATTACAATACGCCTCGGGCGCTTCAGAGGTATACGACAGGCAGGAGCGTGAACGGGAACGCCCTGTTCGAAGCGGCTTCTTCTCTAATTACAAGGCATCGAAGAGTTCGAGTCGTTTGCAGAACTCTGACACCGCCAAACAGCTCGCTGAAGACAGCATGTCTAGAGACACCAGTCGCCCCAGTCAGGTTTCATCGCAGAAATCTGCTAGAAATGGTACGACTCCGATCTGTCTCGGGGGCCTCCCCAGGTATAGCTGCTAACTTTTAATTGTGCAATCAGAGTCTAGTGCAGATAGATCAACTACAAGAAAACCAGTTGGTGGCCCCTCAAAATCCGAACCCTCCCTCGAATCGACCGCCGATTCTCCGCCATCCTCCAATCCCAATACCCTTCGGAAGAACAAGCCCAAGCCTTTTAGCCTTCTTTCTAGGACCAGATCGATACGAGATGACCCCAGCCCGCGAGAGGAATCACCCACAGAGAAGTTGCCGGAGTATCCAGAGCGGACACATGCGCACAGCAATTCCATCAAGACCGCCCCTCTGCGCTCGGACAATGATAGATCGTTTAGGGAGATGATGGGTTCAAATATGCGGCAGCACTCGGAGGATCGTCATGTCAGTCGGAGGAATGGCTCGCGGGGCAAGGAGCCCAAGGAGAGCAGCAGGCTGCAGCCATCTCTGATTAGGGATACACGGGAAGGTAACCGAAGCCAAAATTTCTCCTCTTCGTTCCGGGACGGCACTGGATCTACGTTCCTCAACAACCTTAGAAGTTCTGCGACGAAGGGCGCCGGAGCCATCAGCAAGGGTTTATTTGGAAAAGGGGTCCGTACTGTGAGCACAGTGGAAAAGGAGCCCGTGGTAGACGATGAGCATTACGAGCTGAAGACTATTAATCTGCCATTGGTGGAGCAGACACGAATTACTAGGATTTCAAAGAGATTAGAAGATTCGCGGGATAAAACCGAATTCTGGATGCCAGCATTCCCCTGGCGGGCTATCGACTATCTGAATTATAAGGGTAGTGATGTTGAGGGGTTGTACAGAGTCCCTGGCAGTGGACCGCAGATCAAGAAGTGGCAGAGGAGGTTTGATGAAGGCAAGTTAGGTTTGCTGCTACTAGTGAATTTTGCTGACCATATTTAGAACTCGACATCGACCTCTTCGAGCAAGAAGATCTCTACGATATCAACATCATCGGCTCCATGCTGAAGGCTTGGCTCCGTGAACTGCCTGATGAACTCTTCCCAAAGGCCTCCCAGGATCGCATCTCGCGGGAGTGTGCTGGTTCTGAGACTGTCCCTCAACTACTCGTCGAGGAGCTATCAAAGCTCTCTCCGTTCAAATATTACCTCCTCTTCGCCATTACATGCCATCTTTCCCTCCTCCTTGCTCACTCCGACAAAAACAAGATGGACTTCAGAAATCTGTGCATTTGCTTTCAACCATGCATGAAAATTGACGCATTCTGTTTCAAGTTTTTGGTCTGCGATTGGAGAGATTGTTGGAAAGGCTGCAAGACAGAAACCTATCACATCGAACAGGAATATATGCTATTGGACGCTGGACCCCCGGGCAGCGCGGAAGGACGGAGCAGTACCGCAGTGGAGAGCCATGAGGAACGTAATGTTTCTAGCTCCGATAGCAGCAAGCCTTCGAGTGTCAGCGTAGACAAGGAAGGCAAATGGACGCTAGGAGGAAGTCAACCCAAGGGTCCGAACCAGAGTCAACGAAGCATAAGCACTGTTAGCACCAACTTGACTGTTGTCCAGGAGCGCACGCCTCCAAGGAGAAGTACCGACATGAGACCCTTGAGTCCGATTAAACCATTAAGCCCTATTGGCCTTTGAGAGAATTTCGGGCTGGCTTAGGCCAGTTGCCAGAATTTCTTCGACGATCCTGACTATGGCACGATTCTACAATATCCGTCTAGAGAGTCAACTCCCACTCTAGACACTTCTATGGGTGGGCGGTTTTAAAAATGCAACGCGTCAGATGATCTTAAGGATAAATGTGATCTCTGGGAGGAAACAATAACTAGATCATCTGAGGCATCCAGCCACACTCAACGACTTTCCTGCATACACGGAAGCAAGGCCAACCAAAGTCCGGATATTCAATTCTGATACTGTCTTCTCACACATTTATAGATGCCCTTTTTATTCCCAGGATGATGAATGCCTGGATTTGATTGATTGCCATGCGTTAGTTGAATACCCCAGCGTTTTGCACATTATGATATCATAGTAGCCCGCTCTTCGATCGTTCGCTTTCATTGTGGCTTCCCGCTTCGAAGTTTTGATTTGTCGTCATCTCGAATGCATTGCGTACGAGTTTGCATCTCTGTTTGGGCTGCGATTTAAGCAGTCAAAGCCATTCGGGTTGGCATAGTTGAGAGGTCAAATCGTCTGAAGAATGGATAATTGGAAACGCGGGAAGTTTGAAGTATAAGGAGCGGTATTTCGGCTTGGGTTGAGTTGATGCTATAAGGCAATGGTAGCGGTGGTTGCGTTATTAGTGGGGGACGGGTATAAGCAGAGGCCCTTTCATCGTGATAACCCCAGGGAGGTGAGGTGTTTGGGCAGGGGGATAGCCGTTTGTACGATAGAAGAGACATAGGCTCATATGAGGAGCGAACGTCACGAGCGACGGCACTGGATAACGAAGAGATATTATTATTGAAACCCTACCTAACATGTCTATTGTGCCGTTGTCTAATCGCAAACTCTGTATACTCACCTTCTTTGCTCGTTCTCGCCATGCACACTTATATAACAAAATAGACGATTCCCTGTACCAAATCTCACAGCCTTGATGGCGCAGTGGTAACGCGTCGCACTTGTATACCACTCTTGGCATGTAATGCGAAGATCCCTAGTTCAATTCTGGGTCGAGGCAGAGTATAACATTGAGTTTATTTTTTTGTATTTTTTGTTTTAAAGAGGTCCTTTTGCTTTGTGGAAGGGTAGTTTTTACTGTTTAAATGTTGTTTTCTTTTAGGCTGGGGTTTCTAGGTGGGGTTGCTGATTTCTTGGTATAAGTGGAGTTAGTAAGCTTGGTTTTTTGTTGGCATTAGGAGTTTGATGAATATGTACGTTTAGCAGTGAGATTCTATTATAGTTGATGATAGAAGTATCATCCGTTACAAGATAGCTAATGTATATACAGGTGTGAATCCACCCCATTTTGTAGTACGATGTCGGGAGTTTCGTGGGGGTTATTTACATGAGCAACGATTGATTTTAGGATGTAGCAGTAAAAATGTGAAGAACGAAGGAAGATGCAATTTTTCCATTCTGCAACTAGTTCAGCTACCCAAATAAACGCCTGGCAGTAAGGTAAATCCTCCCCAAACGCCAATTTCCACCTGTATAAACCCAGCCGTCTCACTTTTTAATCTCATCAATGACGAAAACGAGCGCAACTCAACCCCTTCTGGTTCTTGTTTATCACTGTCCATTCTTCCTCCCCTTCCTCTCATTCGCTCTCTGAAGCCGCTCATTCCTCCTAACCTTCTCCTTCCGCTCCCTCCTTCCATCACCCTGTCGTTCCGTGCCCTCTTTCCTCTCCCTCTCCTTCTTCTCATCAACCTCAACAATCCAGTCATCCTCACCAGCCTTGTTCTTGCCCTTGTAACCCCATTTGGGCACCCATTCACCGGTGGCCTCGTCATACACGAGCTTTTTGCGCTGATCAGCTGTCTTGGCTTTTATGCCCTTCTTAGCGGCAAATTTCTCCCATGTTGTTTGCGCTTTTGGTGGTGGCAGAGGCTATTGGGAGAAACAATACGTTAGTATGTGGATTAAAACTAGATGAGTGAGTAGAGGGTAGGCACCTTCTCGCGCGGGAGACGGGTCTCAATTGCCGGAAGTGAAAGCAAGACGCCGTTCGGTGTGCTTGAAATTGGACAGGTAGAGAGCAATTGATTTAAGAGCGCTTGAGCGCCATCTCGGGCGGTGCTTGCGAGGTCTTCTTCGAGGTTTTCGCGGCCGTTGAGGAGGAGCGGATTGGGGTCGGCGGCGAGGAGGAGGCCCAAATCGAACGTGTAGGGAGTGGGTTTGTTAACGGTTATAGGAAGAGGCTCTTTGGTCTCTACCTCGGTCGCCATAGAATCTACCATGTTGCAAATGGTAAATCGAGGACTGAAGTAATTGATATGTTGCGGTGTTGTGGTGTTGTACTGTAGAGAGCGGGGAGCTTATCGCATAAAAAGTTGCGAACGACTGAACTTTTTGGGAAGCCGCTTTAACGAGCGGCCGCATTTTAGGACCCTGGGAACAACAACTTTCTTACAACCTCCCTTCATCACCGCGGTCAGTATTTCATTTCCACGGCCAACTCTGCGTGCACTGCACCACCACAACGGAGACAATATGGCGTCTTCACTCAATTGCTGGAAGTGCCTATCAAGGCCCAATACCTCCTATTCTAAATTGAGCCTCCAACTTGCTCCGACCGCAACAGCCCCCTTCTCCTCCACAGCAACACAGCGCGCTATGCCTGTGGTAATTAAAAAGTCAAGAATAGTTCAAAAGGGAAATAAAACCCTCAGAATGAAGAAGAAGGCGATAACGAAGCCGACAGGGAAACCGCCTATGCCGGGAGAACGGAAGGCGCTCAGGAAGAGAATTGTGCTCAGCAACACGAATGCGATTGAGGTGGAAGGCMTGGAAGATCTGTCTCACGAGATGATAGATGGCATGATAAAGGAGGCAACAGAAGAAGGTGCCATGCCGCAGGTAGAGGGGAAGGTGGTGGGATTACCAGGCACAATGGTGGATTCCCTACGAGCTTCCGAAGCCTTCAAGACGACACAAGGATGGGGTCTTTTTCGACGGCCTGCACTACTGGTCAGAAAGGAGGCCCTGGATCTTACAAAGGCTATGGTTTCTACTGCGGAGCAAAAGAAAGAGTCGTATGCGTTGGTGGTTGATGGGGCCAAGGGGACTGGCAAGAGCATAATGCTTCTGCATGCCATGGCGACCGCGTTCGCTAGGGGCTGGATTGTGCTCAATATTCCTGAAGGTAATAACTCTTGTCCTGTTCACGTTTAAAGTGCTAAAGAATACTGCAGCTCAAGAAATCGCGACTGCCGTCAATGACTACGCTGCTATCCCTGGCACCACTCCAACCCTCTGGTCCCAACCCACTTACACAGCGAATTGGCTAACCCAAATCGCCAAGGCCAACAATACCATCCTATCAAGTATCGAATTATCAGAGAACCACAACCTCCCCATGCCAATTCAGCCAAATACATCCCTCGCGCGTCTCCTCGAGCTCGGATCCCGCGACCCAGATGTCGCATGGCCGGTTTTCCAAGCGTTCTGGGCTGAAATCACCAAGAAGGGCCGCCCACCCGTCCTCATGGCCCTTGATGGGATGAATTGGATTATGGGGAGCAGCCAATATCGAGATCAAGCATTCGAACTCATCCACACACACGATTTCACAATCGCAAGACATATCCTGGATCACCTGTCTGGGGCTGCCAAGTTCCCCAATGGAGGTGCTGTCATTGGCGCGACATCGAGAAGCCACTCACCCTCGGCTCTATCGATGAACTTGGCCTTCACCCAGACGCTGGATAGACAGAATAAAAGGGCAGTTACACCCAAGGATCCGTTTGAGAGGAAGTATGATGAGCGCGTTGAGAAAGTGCTTAAGAATGTACCAGTTATGCAGTTAGGTGGGCTAAGTAAGACCGAGGCCAGAGGATTAATGGAGTATTGGGCTGCGAGTGGTGTTTTGAGACAGAGAGTGGATGAGAAGGCTGTGGCAGAGAAGTGGACTTTGGCTGGGAATGGCGTTGTGGCCGAGATTCAGAGGGGTGCGTTGAGGATGAGAATGTAGGTGTACAAGAGCTGAGGGGTAGCTCTGCTGTATCATAGCGCTGCATGCATTGTTCCTCAGTACATTAGCTGGATGTAGATTATATTGTGGAAATAGAACAGATGGTATGTACTACGTAGTACACTAGTTCCATCCCACTTTTGGCTTTATCGTCCTACCCTCCCGCGATATACTACGTTGCGAATTGGTCTGCACCATCTCGTGCTCCAGGGACGATTGTCATTGGAGGCTGGCTGGAGGATATTTCGTAGTTCGTACAGCTTCAACTAGACCGATTGATATACTATCGCTATTAGTATCGATTAGTGGCCTTTCGTGCGGCGTGTTTAAAATTGAATCTTTTGGCTTTCCTCCCTTGGGGAACGAGTTGGCGCAAGACTCTGAGGGAGCTTGCATATCCAATGAATTGTGCATGTAGTACATGGATTAGCAAAACAGGTAGGTTAAGATCTACTCGAGCACGACTCTTTCCAAAATATATATATTGCGCGTGCTCCTCCACTTGGAAGTTGTTCTCCATCTTATCAATCATGTTGAGCCTCAACTTCATCCTCTGGGTTTCACTGAGCTTGTCAGCGTCTGCTTTTGCTTCCCCGGTCGAGCAGCGAAACGCATCACCTCTCGCGCAATTTGCTCTGCAAAAGGTCTTGAGTGATGCTTCTCCTATCTTTGGGAACTATGTCAGTCCCAACAAGAAGCGCAAAACAGAAACTTGGATGAAGGCGTATCCCGATTCCAAACGCATAGTTCACATGAATATCCCTGGGACCCACGATGCATCTACCTGGAACTACTCTCAAGAGACTCAGGATGCCCTGAAACATGTGACAGCTCTCAATGGATTCGCCCAGCACGAAACTCCTCCTCAATGGCTTCGTTGTCAAGAAAGCTCTATTGCCACTATGTTGAACGCCGGCATCCGTGCCTTCGACCTCCGTTTCGCATTCGATGTTACGAATAGCACCTTAGTATTTTACCACAGCCGGGGGCTACAATCACAGACCACCACAGTGGAGGACCTCCTGTTTGGCCTTTACACATGGCTTGACGACCATCCCTCAGAGGCGTTGTTCCTCTCATTTCAGTACGAAGGTGGAACAACACAGTATGCTTCGAACAACGCCGCTGTCCAAATGGCAATGTTCAACACTTTGACTTCCCCATCGGCCAAGAACTACTTTCTTCAGACAAAAGGAGAACTCGGCACTCTCGGCCAGGCCCGCGGGAAAATCACTCTTTTCCGCCGCTTCGATATGGATCAATTGTCCAGTTCATATGAAGCCGCGTTGCCAGGTCTCCATTTCCCACCCGCGTTGTGGTCCGACAATGGCCCAGATATAACACTCGTGTACAATGAGGAAAAGAATCTTACTGCGTATATTGAAGACTTCTATGAAACTGGGTTGGAAATAGGCTCTTCGGCTGAGCTCAATATTCAGCTGAAATATAACCTCACCGCCGCCCATCTCCTCAAGGCCACCACCGAATCTCCGGATAGTTTATTCTGGACTTGGGCGAGCAGTGAGTACACTAGTAACGTACCGGTTGACACTCCGCGAATTATGGCATTGGGAAATGGAACGGAACTGACGCCATTGGGTGGGGTAAACCAGAGGCTGCTTCCGCGTTTGAAGCAGTTCAAGGGGAAGAGGGTTGGGATTATCATGTTTGACTTCTTTGATACTCCTTCTGACCTCGTGGAGACACTTTTGAGTCTGTAAGCGCGAGATGACAGAGAAACGTTTAAGGAAAGATAGATTAGTGATATTTGCAATAGATGAAGTTGAAGGTAGTTGAGGTAATCCTAATTTCATGTGCTATATTACCTCATGAAATTGTGATATATAGACAGTGTCGTGAGGGAAGTTGGTGGAAGCGGATATACATATGTAAAAATAACAGCAGTTTGCATCATTTCAACACTTTGCCACTTTCCATTATTAGCTTCAATGTACTTGGGTTTGTCACATTTCAACATCTTGTCACATTTCGCAATATCAGCTGTATTTTAAAGTCTTTGAGGTATAAGTCGTATTAGCTATTGGAAAGTGGGAATCTGGGATAACCGGTGGCTACGTCCCTGCTGCTGTTCTAGTCGTTTAAAAACGCTACTTTTCCTTGTATAATTCGACTCGGAAGACTTCCCATGTACAGGATGTCAACGCCAATACTGAAGCTGCCTGGGGAGCTAGCAGCTAAAAACAAAATAAGCGTAAGTAATTTGAGGTGTCTAAAACATAGTTTGCGTAGTGAATGTAATCGATAAAGGCATCACTCACTCTTTATTTTAATTATCGAGAACGCGCCTACCGTCACGAGGCATATTTATATTTACAACCACGTCCCGCTTCTTGCGTACCTTATATACCATATCCCTTATATACATCAAATTTATGTAATCCTCGTGACCTCATCCTACACCTTAGCAGCACTCTTGCTCAAAATTGTAAGATCAAATGCCTCGGCCATAGCCTGGTATCCAGCCCCATTAGGATGCAAGTGATCGCCGCCATCATACTTACTAGCCAGCTGGCTGGCTTGGTTCGGATCCCTAACCGCCTTATCAAAATCAACAGTAGCATCAAAAACACCGCCACTATTCAAAATCCACTTGTTAACTTTCTGTCTCGTAGCTTCCCTGGTGGGGTTGCTATAACTCTGGCCGTTCCCACCAAACGGCGTGATCGTGGCACCAATGGTAATTATGCCAGCCTTCTTCGCATCAGCGGCAATCTGCTTGAATGCCGCGATGAGACTGTCGCCAATTCGGGTCTGGGTGCCAGAATCGGTGCCGCCCCCGCCGATATCGTTAACGCCTTCGAAGATACACAGGTATTTTACGCCGGCTTGGGTGATGCCATCACGAGTGTAGCGGGTTAATAGAGTTGGTCCCAGCCCACCAGTGAGGACGGCATTTCCGCCTGCGGCTTGGTTGTTCACGCCGACGTTTGTGATGCCTGCCGTTTGCATTCTGGCGAGCAGAAGGTCGGGCCAGCTGTGGATATAATGTTAGAGAATAACTCGATTACTACAGGAGGTTGCCATGAAAAATGATGGGAAAGTACCGGTTATTAGCATCATCAGTGCTGCCCCTCCCATCTGTGATACTGTCACCAAGAATAACCAAACTACTGGTGTTTTGCGGAGCCCAAGCTTCTACACCACTGACGAAATACCTTTCAGAAAACGAATTGTTAGCTATAAATTCCACATATACACATCGCCAAAGTGGTCTTACCAGTGCTTAGTATTCGCCCCGGAGATATTCGTCTCGTTAACCCTTTGCCCAGTCTGCATCCAACTCGTCGTCCTACTCCCAGGATGACCTGTGATGCTAGTTCCAGACTGACCCTTGGCAAGGTACATGGTGACGGTAAGCATAGATTGAGGCTTAATAGCAAAATCGATCGAGTCCGTGTACGCCACTTTTCCCTTAGGGATGGTAACTGATTGAGAGCCGCCATTGAATGTCAGACCTCTTATGGTCATCGGCTGGAGATCATTTACACCGGCCTTTCCGCCATTTGGGAGCGCAAGTGCGACGGCGTCAATAGTGAGGTCCGATCCTCCAAAGGTGTTCGAAATTTGGATGCGGATGTGGTCCGCTCCAATTGACATATGGAGTGTTTGGCGAAGTGTTGCACCGGCAAATACGGCATTTGAACCTTTCTGTGAGAGGTTAGATATGTTTCTGGTTTATGTGGTGTGGGAGTGAACAAACATATGGTGCCGGGGGGAGATTGTCAGGCTCTACGAGCTGCGGCATTGATGTCCATGTATCAACCCAATGGTAATCTTCTTGACGGCCCCCAAGTACTTTGGTGCTGGGGAGTGCACTTCCGTACGTTGAGGAAGTGAGCCATAATGTGCCCAAGACAACAGAAAGAACCGATTTGTAATGAAACATCTTGACTTTATTCTACTCCCCTAATACGATAATGCAGTCTTCGACATTGAGTGGAACAAAAGAGGTTGAAGCCGTACTTTATACTTGGCGCCGAGCTGTTATGCACTCGCCAACCCATGATCGTCTCGGATTGAGAACTTTAACAAAAACAAATACCCAAATTACATCCACTCGCGGCTGCGAAACTCCGGACGGGCCACGAATAATGTTCCTGCGTTTGGTGGAATATTCTTGTTGCGCAGCCTAAATATACTATGAACAGCCTGAGCCCTAGGCGAGCCGCCCACCTAAGCAAGGAATTCCGAGATCTTTAACATCAACTCACTCACTCACTCCGTATGCTATCCAATAACACATACATAATAATGTCTTTGCCCGACATTGAAACTCATAAACACGGTTCGTAAACACCAGTTTTTCCATTGGTGATCCATACGAAGCATGGCACTTCGATCCCGATTAAATAGGCTGCGAGAAAACATAGCCACTAACATATTTATCTTTCTTCTTCACCTGCGTTTTACCTCCCGTATTCGGTGTCCCTGTCCCACGGGCAGTTGAATTCCTCATCACCTTTGGACTGGCAATACTATATTGGCTCCCTTTAATACTTCCATCGATACCGGCAATCTGAGCTGCGAGCTGATTTCGCATTCTTGTCGTCTCATCTGAACTGCCAGAATCCGAATCGCTTGAATCGTTAGAATCCGAATCATCGGAATCAGATGTGTGGGCAGGTCTTCCGCTCTTCGAGGCTGGCGTGGAAGCGGGTGCGACATATTTTGTTTGTGGATTGTCCTCTTCTTCCGACGAAGACGAGTCTTCATCACTCTCTTCTTCCGATTCTTCTTCCGAATCGGACGCGTGTGCAAGGGTCTTTTGTAATGACTGAGAACTTTTGACACCGCTATTTGTCGTCGAGGAACCGAAAATAGGCTTCTTCGAGTTTAGTGACTGGAGACTGGCGCCAAACTTTATAGTAGGTCTCGATGCCGTTGAGGATGGTGCGTTCGGCGGAGAACTTGATAAACCGCGTGGCCGAGCTTCGTACATAGAAGACGTCAGTTGTTGATCTATCTCCTCTTGAGTATCTGAACGCTCATCGGCGATATGGTCCTTACTTTTAGGATGATTTGAAATTTTTGGTCCCGGTACTACCGAATGCCTTTGAACAGGTAAAACAGGAGGACTGGATTTTGGAACTGTAGAGCTCGCTCCCTCGGCCACTTCAGACTCCTCGTCGGATGTCCCTTGACTGACTTCGGCCGTCTCCTCGTTTTCGCCGGAGTCATCATTCAATTCCGAGGCCCCGTCTTCTTCTTCTGAAGCCCCTTCGCTTACTTCGGCCATCTCGACATCTTCTTCGGATTCGTCCTCAACATCCTCGTGCGCGACATCACTTTCTTCGGCGGAGTCACTGGTTTTATCCTCGGACTCCGAATCTCTGTCTGATTCTTGTGATGTTGAACGTTGGGGTTTAGTTCGATCAAAGTGCCGGGGGTGTTGACTGAAGACAACAGGTGATCGGCTTTCACGAGCAGAAGATGGATTACTGGCCATTTCCTCATCGTCATCCTGTTCATCTTCTGATGCGGGATCAGGCGTAGCTGGGGATTTACTATGGGTACGAAGTACAGTTGCTGCTGCTTTAGCAGGGCTGACTTTTGCCGGAACGTCTTCTTCAGAATCATCGGACGATATTTCTACAGCTGAAGCTCGTCCTGGTGGAGGTATCATTGATTTGGATTCTATAGATTTATTAACAATTTTCAATATTAATGGTCATGTGGCCATGACCTAGGGGTACCAGTAGATTTTGGGGATTATATAGATGTAAAATCTGCATGTCTTGAACTACCATACCTTTAGCTGGGCTGCCTCGACTAGGAATTTCTTCCTCAGAGCTAGTCTCAGATGACGTATCTGCAACGGAATCTTGTTCGCGCGTTTCCTTTGGAGTTGGAGTTGGAGTTACTAGCAGTTGATCAGCAAAATTAATCCTGATGAATCATTTAGAGTTTGGCACCGCAACTCGGGGTTACGAGAATAGAGAGCGCCAAACCGAACGTACTCTTCTCTTGAGGAGGAATTGGAGTTTGACTTCTCCTAGCTGGTGGAGGGCGCATGGCCGGAGGTCCTCGCCCAACGCTATCTTGAGGTGCGGGTGCCTTCTGGGCTGAAGCGGGAGTAGCGCTTCGTTCCTTGCTCAATCTGCTCCTTCCTGGAGGTAGAATGGGCGCATTCCACTGCGGAGGGAATATTCCTGCAAGCTTATTAGAATGAAAACCTAACTAACGAGGAGGCTAAGCATACTATGGGCTTGAGAAGGGGGTTTAGGAGTCAACGTTGCCGGTGTAGAGGCTGTGCTTGATCGCGGAGGAAGCACCTTGGGAGTTGGTGTTTTCGGTGCTGAGGTTGGTATTGGGGTTGATCTTTGAGGCATCCTGGGAGTCGTCGTTTTCGGTGTTGGGGTAGATGGTCTGAGGGCACTAATTTTAGGAGGAAGAATCCTAGGAGAGGGCTTTATTGGTGTCTCTTGTTTTGTCCCATCGGCAAATGATATTCGCCGGTTCTTGTCTTTGGGCAAAGGCATTACATCCTCGATCCCAACCCCCATCACGGGAGCGTCGGGTGATCTCGATTGAACTAAGGGAGAGCTAGCCACGGCTTGGGAAGAGAAAAGGGGCGTTTTCAAGGCGGACTTTCTTCCAGGTGGTATAAATGGCGTAGATGACCGAGATCTAGAAGCAGATGTTGGCTTGCCTTTGGTAGCTGAAGAATGAGCTGGGGCTTCCTGAGGTGAGGAAGCTACCTTGGCCTTTTTTGCTTCATTCGCGGCGGCCATTTTCTCCCGGCGGATCCTAGCTTCTTCGACCTTCCGTACTCGTTCAGCTTCTTTTGCCTGGGCATGTTCTCGCTCCAGGCGTTCTGCTTCCGCTCTTTCTTCTGCAATCCTCTCCTCTTTCCGTTGTTCCTCCTCTGCTTTTAACTTTTCTTTTCTAAGTCGTTCTTCCTCAGCCAGTCTCTCCTTCTCTTCGCGCTCTTTTTGCTGAGCCTCTCGCTGGGTAGATTCTTCGGCCTTTATCCTTTCCTCTTCTCCCCTTCTTGATTTCGCTTCAGAAATCTGCGCCTCTTCTTGTCTTCGCTGGGCTGCTGCAAGCCTAGCTTTCCTGGCCTCCTCTGCCTCTTGCTTTTGCCGTCGGCTCGCTTCACGAACCTTTTCTTCACGCTGCTTGCTATTTGGCGTCAGCTGCAACTCCCCAGGACTTTCGAGCGGCCGCTCGCGAGACCCAGAGCCGGAGCTCCGCAGATTTCTATTTGGCGGTGTCTTGAGTTTGCCGTTGGCAAAATCCAATCCAGGCAAACCAGATGCACGGCCCTTTCTACTCCTCAAGGAGGCCCTTTTCAAGGCCATAATAGCGGCTGTTTCGCTGTCAGACGGAACATCATCGTAAAGGCTATCCTCGTTCTCTGATCGGCGGCCTCGCCGTTCATTCCGGCGGCCATTTTTGGGCTCAAGGTCTAACGATTTCTGATTTTTATCAGACCCCGCACCATTGCTTCTAGTTATTTTATCTTCACCAGCAAGCGGGGTGGTGGCTGCTGTAGATACGGAAGCTCCTCGCTCTGTAGTTCTCTGAATATGATAGCTCGTACTTTTCGCTCTTGGGGACTTGGAAACCTGGGCCTGTGCTGTCGTTTCCATGTTGGAAGTCATGTCAGGGTCTATATCTAGAATCGTGGTCTTTGGATCCTGCTTGGAAGTAGGTCGGTCCCCACTGGAGGAATCACCCGAGGCTGGAGCAGGCGACGGCGAAGGTGTCTCGGGGATTTGTAGTGGATCGGCGGGTACATGGCGTGAAGTGGTGGAGTGCGCCGTACCTGCCTCCGAAGTAACAGCCTTTTGGGAATCTGGAACAGCGACGGTGTTTGGTATGTCTGGATGTTTTGGAAGGGCGTCATCGTTATCGTGATCACTTTCGCGAGAGGGTAGAGGTCGGTCCGGATCAATAGTTCCCAACCGTTGTCTTTTGTTCGGCTTCCTAGAGCTAGATCGCGCAGAGCTGTTTGGGACAGCACTGTCTTCTCTCTGTCTCTTGCGACTTATAGCATTTGAGGGATCGTATCTTAGAGCGGATGTAGGAGGAACCGAGTCGCGGATGCCTGGCAGGATGGAAGCCTGGACGATTCGTATAGTAGCTGTATTTCCGAACAAATTCCCCAAGATCTCGCTCTGGGTGACATCAAATTGCTCTTCATCCTGGCACTTCTTGATCGCGATAGGACTGCAGAAAAGGGTTGATTAGCAAACGCCTACTAAGAGTGAGAAAAGCTGAGGTTAACAAACGGAATCCACGTACTGGCCATAATTTATCTCATGATATCTTGAGACCTCCTCGCAGAACTCCCGTATGCTAACATCTGGAGGGGTAACAACACGGAAGCATCGAATTGGCTTGTCACTCCCACTGTACGCATTAGTTGCAAAGAGCTGTACTCGGAGCGAAAAGGCTGGAAGCTGGGGGGGGGCCATAAGCATAGCCATGCCGCCGACCGGAATTATAGGTAGCTATGAGTATATAAAGCCAGTATCGAGAGCCTGGGCTTAAAAGTGAGCACACAAGAGCGGCATCGAGAGCCGGAAAAAAGCATTGGAGTCATGAATTGAAGCTTGGCAATAGCCTACTCTAAGTGCTGCAAAATCCACGCGACGCGAATTTTTAAGCTTTAGGGAAACTCCCGGCGATAAGAGGAGCGAGCTTTGATTAGCATTTCTTATCGCCCAAATATACTACGGGCCTGCGAAGTACAAAGTCCCCTTTTAGTACCACGTATGAAGAATACTTGCTTTAAGGCTCTTGTTATATTATTTTAACCTAGCACTTTGCTTTTTAATCCGCGTTTAATCTCTTACCTACATTAAGATATTAGCACTCATTTCGAGGCAATACCTTCGAGATATCTTTCCTAGGTCAGTATCACAATCCTAGTAAAATAGCCCCCACATCATGTCTCGTCTGATGGGTATTTCTCGCTCGTTATTTAAAGCCTGCTACCCATACCCCAATGCCAATCATCAAAGTCTCGAAGGCATACTAAGCAATAGCCCCCATCGTTAAATCGTTCGTCATTTCCTCGTAAGAATTCCGTCGTCCAGTTCACCATGGCAAGTACATGCCGATACCATGATTCTCCACGATCTTGCGTATCAAGAGCCCCCATCCCCACCTGATCACCGTCGCAAGCACCAGTATAGTACCAATTAGAAGCCCAATTAGTACAAGCATAACGCTCCTTCGTAGCCTAAACGCATCATCCATCTCCGCCTTCATCATTTTCCTCTGGTGCGTATGCCAATGCCACGGTTCCTCCTCTCGTGTGCCATTCCCGGCCCCAGAGCTCTTCGCCTCGGGCGATTTAACATAAACATAAGGCGAGGAGATGCGCTTAAAGAATATAGGATGGAGGAAAGCCTTGATACGTCCGAAAATTGTGGTTGGGGCATCTTGAGAGTTGGGATGGGAGTGTTGTCGAAAAGAATAGTTGCGCGAGTCGATTAGCGCGAGAGAGAAGAGGAAGGAGATGAATATCAGAGGGGATATCAGTAGCTATTCGCAATTAGTTCAGTATGGTATACTATTAAGATAGTAAATGGAAGGAAAATGGAGGTACGAACTCTTGTGATAACACTCTCCTTCGGGGCCTCTGTAGCACGAGGCGAGCGCAACTGTGTGCGCCAAGATGTTGATGCGGATGCCATTCCTTTTCTCTATCTCTCTTTCAAAGTCAAAAATTCAAGGTGAATTGAATTATGAGAAAGAGACATAACAAAAAGTTACTTTTTCCATTGTTTACGGGGTGGATGTTGTTGAACTTTAAGACGAGGCTGCAGTTGGGATCGCCGGAAGGGGACTCGTAATTGGAACGTCATCGCTAGGCTGAGCCATCCATGTCAGTTTCGCCCCAATGAGTACGGATGTAACAATGAAGTTAGACATTCTAGGATATGAGCTTGCTCAAGCAAGAGAGAGAAATATTTTGGGAAATAAAAAAATTATTGGAATTTCCAGATCTTGTCAGATTTGGGACGAAGCATGGTTTGCCCAAGGCTGAGATAAAGGCTACCTGTGGCTGTATTGAATAGCTCACCAAACCTTTGCAAGAGATCAGCACAGGAAAGCTTTAAAATTATTCATTGATATCAACTCCAGCCCCAGAAGACCCGTAATCCCAAACTAGGTCGTCTTGTTCTTATCTTGTTCTAGTATCTAGTATTTGTAATATTCAGAACCAAAATATCAGCTGCCCCAGCTTCGGCCAATTCATCCATCACCGTAGCGATCTTCTTCTTCTCCACCATGGAGCTGACAGCCAACCATCCTTCTTCTTCTAAAGCGTTGATAGTTGGAGCCCTTTTTCCGGGTGTGATCTTTGCTGCGTCTGCTAGCTTTTCCCGGCGAATGTTATATTGGCAAAGGACATATTGTTGAGCGGCTAGTTGAAAATTAGTAATGCTTTGAATTGCGAGATGCAATCTTACTGATAACGCCTCGTATCCTTGAAGCAATGAGATTGACTAATTGTGGATTTGACGGCTTCTTTGATTTCACCAAAACTGCAATGCTGGATACTACAGTATCAATTGGCTTCAAGCCTGCGGCCTTCATTGTCTCGCCAGACTCTAATTTATTGGTTAGCAAGAGGGTTAGCAAGAGCATAGGGGTGACTCGACGGCGAACACTTACCAACGAGATCAACAATTCCGTCTGCGACACCTAGAGCACATGCTGCCTCCACGCTCCCGCTGAGCTCGATAATGTTCGTCTTCAGCTTTTTCTCCCCGTTGCTCTCGGCAGCCTCTTTTTCTAGACCAGCAAAGTAATCCGCGGCCAGGTGGACAAAACTGGTTCCGATATTCTTTCCAATCAAGTCCGACGGCTTCGCATACTGGCCCTTCTCCGGTACCTGAACCTGCAATTTGCAAGAACCAAACCCTAGCTCCATCACCTCCTCACAGCCAATGAGGTCCTCCTCGTCGGTCGGCGTCGATTGTCCAGATTCCGCCCGTTCCCGTTTGGCAGCAACTACAGAAGCTGCATGTTCTGCGACCGTATCCCTTCCAGTTATCCCAAGACTAACTCTTCCTTCGCCAACGAACGTAGGGATGTCAGCAGCCGGCAGGAAGACGAGCGCAATAGGGAGATTTTTCACGAGGGCGATGTCGAGCCGCGATTCTCGCCGGAACTGTATGTCTGCGCCTTCGAGCAGGTTAAGAGCTGCTTGTAATAATCGACCCTCTACGGGCAAAATATTAGCGATTTGTTCGGGGGAAAAGAGTTCGGGCGCATGTTGACTCACTCTTGGGCACCGCAAACAGCAGCCTCCCCTCTAAACTTTCCGCATTATTAGCAAACGTCTCATGAATTTGCTCTTCGATCAGGGGCATCTTGAAATTGAAGTCAAAGGATAGTGGCTCACTGATTCACGAGGTCCATTGCGCAAGTATTGGGCGCGAGGCTTCCTTTGTATGCAATGCACAGTATATGCGCAAGAACAAAAAGATCCGATAGCGGGGTACTTTTTTACGTTGAGATAGCTGTGCGGCCTCCTATATTGACTGCACAGGCTGATATCAGGGTGCAGAAAAGGGAAGGATAAGCTGACGTGATCTGCTGAGAGGCCAAATGAACGAGAACCACGGCACCATGTGTGGTCGCACGGTACAAGTGGTAATGGGAATTGGTAAAGTGTAGGATGTATACTTGGAGGATCAAATCCTAGTGGAAGGTTTTCGCGTGAGCAGTGAGCGCCCAGTGGCGCCCCCACGTTCCATGCTGCTTGGGCGGAATTAGCGAGTCGGCGTGGGGCCAGGCTGCTTCGGGTTAGCGTGTAAGCACCATAAGCTTCGGACAGGAACACAAAGTCTGGGTTCTTGAACTACAACAACAACACCACGTTCCCCGATATCACATAATTGTAGGATCACCTATGGTAACATGGACATTCGGAACCCGGCCGCTCTTCAACCCGGACACCTTGCTGCAGTGCCGTTATTGCAACGCGGCTATTACCCGTTTCTCTTGGATCGTCACCTTGCGGTAGCCAAGGAGCCTTGGGCTGATACCCGCGATCTCTACAGGGAGCTCTGCCTGTCTTGAGGCTGCAGAACTCCTAGTCTGGTAATGCTACAATTGTATATTACAGTTGCTGATATTATACCAAGCTACGCAGTAGCGCTACAATAATGCTCTCTGGGAAAGCTATGATTTAGCCACAGATTCGCTGGGATAGCCTGCTGAAAAAGGGGAAGAAGTCACGTGTTTCAGAAGCATCTAACCCGGTTGCATATGAGCAATTGTTAAATGTTATACTCTGTAGTTGAAATCCTATCAGTGACGGGGTCTAGACAAGTATACCTAGGTACCTAGGGTGTCTATGCGACTCTGCAAGGTCCCTCAGCAGCGAATGGAATGGGGATTAGCTCGGCATATGCAAGGTCAGCAGTCTCTCTTCGCACGGGACCCGCTCTAAGCTTCAATATTTACCCTACCTATTACCTAGATGTACTTCGTAAGTGATCATGAGATATGTTGCGGGTTGGGGGGCTTGCAATTCCTGCACGGTAGCGGATTACGCCGCGTATCTATGTCGTGTTCATCCTTGCGGATTGCTTATCCCCCGCCTGTCTCGCCGGTCGCGGCCGAAGTGAACGACAATCGGTTTACAGAATAGCTTTGAAGCCTCAAGGCTTTGCTCGACTATTGTCTCCGTTTGTGTTTAGCCATCTCGACGCAAAGCGCCTTGTCCAAATAGAGTAGAAGTCGTTGAATACAAGTGAGCAGTTGACTTTTATTGCCAGTGCTTACGGTTGAACACGTATATTTTGATTACGAGATATGGGCAAGATACTTCTGTAAGCCCGCAATATGACCATTACACGATAGGATGAGGTTGACAAGGGCATGGCTGGTGGAACTGGCCATATCGGTGGTGCCGTTCTCGATGGTATTTACGGCTACCCAGGTTGGACATCTTTGACGGTACTAGTGCGAGGTGATGCAAAAGCCCAGCGGCTTCAGGCCAGATATCCCAAGATTTCAGTTCTAGTTGGCGACATAGACAATGTCGAGATTGTGGAGGCTGCAGCTAAGGATGCCGATATAGTTATCAGTAAGCCCCATGATAGCTTATTAGGAAAATAGATGTAGGTCGCTGACATCGTGGAGATTGTTGCCCTGATATATCCCACGAAGAAGGAATTTCTGCAATACTTCGCGGCCTGGCAAGCCGTGAAGTGAAAGGATTTTATTTCCATACTTCTGGTGCGGCTTTGATCTGGGACGAGCCGGATGGCTCCAAAGCCGGAACAAAGGTTTGGGATGATATTGAGGACATTGGTGTGATTACCTCGCTACCCGAGGACAAATCCCATAGGAAGACAGACAAGGTATTATTCTTCAAACAACAATCCTTCAATTGTTCAAACTTTTATATAATCGTGTCTTATAACACAAGTCAGTGATTTATTAACGCATATTTTGTATAGTTGGTCTTTGTAGCATCAGAAGATGTGAATGTCGCAATCATTTCTCCAACAATGGTCTGCGGCCTCAGCCAGTCAATCGAGCATCCGTTCCCACTTACTCTGCCCAGTATATTGAAGGTCATTCGCTCACTTAACTCTGGCTTCACCGTCTCTGCCGGGGAAAATCGACTTAGCTATATCCATGTCCAGGATCTTGCCAGCCTTTATTTTACGTTAGCATGTCACGCCCTCAGATATATCGCATATGAAGTCGGATCCACCAATGATGACCCAAAAGAAATTGTCAGCTATTGTGGTCCAAAGGCCTACTACTTCGCCGAGTTTGGCGACACGTCCTTTGGGAGCTACATGGCCGATATGGTGCGAGAGTTGAACTTCCTAGGAGTCCTGGAGAATATAGAGGTGAAACGCATTGATTTGAGAGACGCTGAGCAAGCTAGTGGCGCTATGGAAGATGACGCTCCAGACTCATGGGCAAAGCACATCGCCGCTAGTTACGGTATTGATATGCGGGTGAAGGCAAGTCGAGCCAAGAAACTTGGGTGGGACCCAAGGGTTAAGAATCTTCAACATGACTTGGGCGAAGTATTGAAGAAGTATTCGGAGAGCGAAAAAGGTGTCTAATATATGGTGCAATCCGGGCCTTCAATTATTTTCACTTATACCTAGCTTCCTGGCTCTATTTTACAAACTTCCTGAATTCAGTAGCTACTTTATATCCCCATTTTTGAGTTTGAGATTAGCTGCGATCACTTGGTGTTGCGAGACTTGCCATGAACTGCCACGGAGCATCCTCCATCATCAACGAGGACTTTTAAATAATTAAAACTGGCAAGATGCTGCAGAGATGCTTGGGTAACCAAAGTGCCCTGATACATATGGCACTAGATTCTCTTAATCTCTACTACTAATATCTGATTTAATTATGCCGAATTTTGTCAGCTATCCGCCTTCAATAATAATACCGTTCTTCTTGCGATTAGCTATCCACATATTTTTATGCCTAGTAGTTTTGGATCAGATCATCAATGAGTACTAAGCTATATATACAGCTGAAATTGTATGCACCTATCGCGGTCAAAATGGGTCAATGCTCAAGGGGGGGGATTTACCCCTGGCTTGCTGACTCATCCGTAGTCATATGCACGTCTTCACCATGAACCACCAGCTGAATATTCAGCATGAAGATTTTCCCTCTCTTTTAAGCACCCACTGTGCTTCATTTCCTGCGCTTCCACTGTGGTGGCATCGCATAATTTAGATTATAATCTATGTTTACGAATGATTTAGAGAGTTTGCCACGCCCTGTTTTCTCTATCTGCATCGGAGACGCGAGAAATGCGTGACGCGCGCAAATCTGGGGATATCCAGTAATCAGCCATGTCGGATGAAACCACCCTCTCAGCAGCAGCGCTGGGAATCGCCCTAGTCGCTCTCGTAACCGCCTTCGGTCAATTACTTCAGCAATACCTTGCCACCGCTGATGGCTTTCGACGGTGCCAGAAATCTGTAATGGGCGAATATGCTCGAAAGACGCATCGCCGTTGGAGATGGAGCGAGTTCCGTTTTGAGACTTTATATACTGTCCCTGAGATAACCATGGTCGGGGACGGAGCCCCCAGCCGAGCTGGTCAGGTTGTGCTGACGGGAACTGAGTTGACAAGAGAGAAGTCCCTGGTTCCAATGGGCATCATGATTGGGGGTGATAGTATGATCATTTCAAAGAACACCGGGTCTTGGAATCTACGCCGCGTAAAGTTGGAGGATGGACACGGACAGTCACAGACGGTAGGAATGCTTGGCCCCTTCTTTTGTGTCGTTTCTTATGGAGACAGAACTCTCATATACTTACCTCGGGCATCTTTCTGAAAGGCTCTTCATTGATTTATTAGTCTCTTAGAACAGGCGGTCATGTAAACACTTACTCACAAATGCATAGTGGTTAGTCAAAGCCCCGAAGCAAAATATTGAAGACCGCGGGGAAATGGCCTGCTGGGTTCCTTTCCTACACTGGATCCATGAATCGACCAGGGTGGCACTAAAAGACCACAACCCTCAATTCGAGAGTGTGAATTTCCCTCCTCCCGATACCAGAGCCCCGGCCATAGTGTTCCGCGAAAGGTCCTGGGATTTCCAGCTGCCGGATGTTGTTCGACCGTTGGCTAAATCAACTCTTTCAGACATAGCTGTCATTGCCAGGCGGATGGGAATGAAATGGAAGGAGTTTCGACCCTCAGATGGCATCCTACGAGCTGAGGGGCATTCACATATCATCACCTCGACGATAGTGCGGTCCCTCGGCATTGTGCTGCAATATTCTTACACAGGACAAGACTCGCGTTTAAAACTAGCCGAGAGGCGCGTCAGGGGCATCGTCACAGGTTCTCTAATCTCGGAACAACAGGAGATATATATCCCCACGGCTAGAGCAGACAGATTAGGATGTGGTGTAATTAGAACGCATCCTAGGCTCGGTCTCCCAGACCTCACTGTTTCCACACAAGGTGAAATAGTCACCGCGCTCTTGTACCTCGATAAAACCGGCACATCCTCCGCAGCCTTGAGCAAGATCCTAAAAGAGAACCCAGACTTCTGTTTCCGCGTGGCAGATCTAGTCGCTTTCACTTCGCCTTTTATACGTTTGGTCGGCTCAAAACTCGTACAGGTCCCGGCACCGAGCGAAAATGTGCATGGCGTAACGACGAGTCCCGTTGGACGAAAAGCGTTCCGGGAATGCCTTGAGGAATACGTGGCTGCACGGAATGATAAGATACCTCAAATTACCGAGGTCCTTAATATATGCCATAAGCTCTCTGCCCAATACGCTGCCTGGGACCAGACAGATGAGACGGCCCTACAGGACGAACAATGGGTCATCACGCGGGATCCAGTTTATCTTGACAAGCTCCAAGATACATGGCGCAGCCTAACTGACCAAATATTGGACTCCAAACTGGAGAACAGACAAATCTACCGCCATTTACTAGCCAGCCACATCCGGGTCGTTATGTTTTGCGAAGGGGGGGAGACATCTATGTTGAGAAATTGGGGCGCTGATTATAAAGCTGATATGAAGGGATATTTTGCCGCCTTGCCGAAGATTGTGGAGGAAATGAAGGAGTTGGGTGTCGTTGATGAGGAATGGGTTATTCATGCTTGGTTAACGATGATGCTTCGGGGTCTGTGTTGGGGTGCTAGCCACTTTTTTGTGAGGGGCGAGAGGGTGCCGATCCAGTATTTTGGAAGCCAATTACCGGTCTACATTGGGTAGCCTGGTGTGAATGCAGGAAGCTAAGCTGGTAAATTTTGATGGGGGAGGTGGGAATAACTTGGGATTTCCTAGGGCATTCAGACCTTCAACTGTGACCGAGTGTCACTCGGCAACACCTTCTGGTATTTTTATAGACTCGGGTAGTCTCTGGTGGCTACCTACCTTAGGTATGGAACAACTACTCCTTTCCTCGGCCGTTCTCGCTTCGCAGCTATCTACAACTATTGTGCAGAGGGCCCCTCAGCCCCACCCCACATTTGCAAATCCAAGAATATTGGAGGCATTTTCAATGAATGGGCTTGACAAGTGCTACTCAGCGCTACTAAGAGAGGTTGCCGGGCTGTTCGGTTTATACTCCGTACAAGGAATGGGGTGGAGCCCAAGCATGCTTCATGGCTGGGATATGAGCGGATGGAAATGAATCAGTCTCTGGTGCCCAACGTCAGGAGAAGGATAAGAGGGGGCATGTATTATTATCATCACTATATCACAATTGCCGCTTGGCGCGTCTTCTCGTCAAGCCACTCGGGGCTTGCCTCTTCAAGCCATCTCCCTTCATCCTTTTGCTCGTTCATCGTCCTCTCTCCGTCCCCAAAAGGACGTTTGAAGAATACGTCGTAACTTCCCCACAATCCCTTGAACAAAGCGCCCATGATAGGAACCATCCACGTGGGCATCTTCCCTTTTTTATCCGCTAATATTTTCCCTAGCCCCATAAAAGTCATTACAATCGGAATCCAAGATGTCAAAAATATCGTCCGCCCTATGCGCTGTCTAAATGTGGTGATAGTATAGGGCCGGATATTATATAGATACGCAAGGTATTCGGAAGGGAGGGAATGTTCTTCTCCGCCATCTGTAAGGAGTTTGAGATAGCGAGCGGAAGGTTGAGCGTATGAGGGGTCCTGACGCTGGATGGGGCGTGAGGTGTTTTTCACTTCGATTTCCCCAGCGTCCATCTCTGAATGGTCCCGCGGTTGTAGAAGCGTGTGTGCTTTGAACGGTGTGCCACTAGGTATTGGGGCCACAATATCGTCCTTTGCAAGAGCATAGCATGGCACAACCACCTGCTGATATCCTGCTCCGCCGCCCTCAGTAGCAATTATCGTGCGGTAATCTTCGGGTGTTATTTCGTATACGACTCCAACAAGGCCTTTGTGCCATCGATCTTTATGATACCCGGGGGATTCAGATGGGGGGTCGCTGGAAGGGTCGCGATACCGCGTATTGGCGAAGCATGGCTCGAGATAAGGGATCCCAGGTAGATCGAAGGTTAGTGCGAGGGTGGGCGCGTGGACGTTGACGGAGGAAAGGGGTTTGACGCCGCGGGTCCCTTGGAATGTTTCTCTGGCGAGATTCGAACCGTAGGCAAGGTAGAGAATGGTTTTCTCTTTGGGTGACGTGAGGCGCTCTATGCTGGTTTCTGGCAGCGGGGAGAGCTTGTGATGGCTCTGTTTGGACCGGACATTCCAGATTCCCCGGAGGGAGCTGATGGCTTTTTGGCCAAACCATGCCGATTTTGGCTGGTCGGACGACATGGTGAATGAGGAGCAGAGCAGAGGCTAGAGCGAAAGCGGTATTGACAAAAAAGAAAAAGGAATTTAAATGACAGCTCACAATAGAACTATAACGAAAGGAATGTAAGGTATTTGTGACGGGAAATTGGGGTATTTTACATAAAGAGTCAACAAGAGATGTTTGATTACAAACTCGGATTTTGTCAAACCCCGAGCCGTGTAGGCCTCCAGCCAGCTGACAAATATGTCGCCGAGGCTGACGTTGGGTTAAATTAAGGGAAGAACAGAAGCCATGATGATGTCTGTAAGATCGGGAGAAGGTTTAGAAGCTCTTCAATGTAGTCTAGTCAAAATAGAAAGATCAAACCGTGAAACTTAGCCTTGTGGAAGAGGTGATGTTGTTGAAGCCGATTAACATGCGACAGGAACCAAGGCTGTCAAGTCATTTGGGGCTCCGATTGGCTGTCACTGGAGACTTGTCCCTCACGCAACATCTTGCTCCGATTGCGACTATTTACCTAGCGCACCTCTACTATTATATGCCAAAAGCCTAATCCAACATCCCAAGGCTGAACGTTCTCATCAAATCATGTCTTTGGTATCAGGACCTGGCCGCGCAGCCTCCTCCGCTCTCCCGGACGAGATCCAGCTTGCGATCGAGCCCCATGTGAAATATATCCAAAGCCTTGACTCGGTTGGCTCCCCCTCTCCGGCATCTGTATTTCACCCCACTAACATACCTCCATTCAGCGTAGGAATGAGCTCGAATATTGGCTTACAGAGCATCTCCGTCTGAGTGGACTCTACTGGGGTCTTACAGCTCTTCATCTACTCGGCCGCCCAGATGCCCTTTCCCGCGACGAGACGATCGAGTTCATCTTAAGCTGCCAGAACGAGAATGGGGGGTTCGGCGCTGCGCCGGGACATGACGCTCACTTATTGTCCACGTTGAGTGCTGTCCAGGTGCTTGCTACAGTTGATGCGTTAGACGAACTAGATGAGAGGGGGAAGGGGGACAAAGAGGGAGGAGGAAAATTGGCAGTAGGAAAGTGTGCGTGATTCTTCCCCTGCTGATCTTTATCGTGAATCCGGCTGATTGTGCCCCTCCCTGCTGTTGTAGATATTGCGAACCTCCAAAATCGAGAAACAGGCACATTTGCAGGCGATGAATGGGGCGAAGAGGACACCCGCTTTCTTTATGCGTCACTAAATGCACTGTCGTTGTTGCTTCTCCTGCATTTGGTGAACGTGAATAAGGCAGTGGATTACGTCGTCTCTTGTGCGAACTTTGACGGCGGATATGGTGTTAGTCCGGGTGCCGAGTCTCATTCTGGTCAGATCTTTGCTTGCCTAGCTGCCTTGAACATTGCTGGACGGATCGATCTTGTAAACGTCGATAAACTCGGTAGGTGGTTGAGTGAGAGACAAGTTGATGGCGGTGGCCTGAATGGTCGCCCGGAGAAGCTGGAAGATGTCTGTTATAGTTGGTGGGTGGCGAGTAGCCTTACCATGATTGGGAAGCTGCATTGGATTGATGGGGGCAAGTTGACTGAGTTTATCTTGAAGTGTCAGGTCAGTGTTCGGCTGAAAAGTAGAGAGGCCATTGGTATGGTGTGCTAACAATCCACAGGATACCAAGCAGGGTGGAATTGCTGATCGACCTGGTGATATGGTTGATGTATTCCATACACATTTTGGAATAGCTGGCCTTTCCTTGCTAGGGTATCCAGGGCTAGAGGAAGTCGATGCCGTCTAGTGAGTGATCAATCCAGAGCCGCTTTGCTCTTCATACTGACCCTCTCTTGCGCAGCTGCATGCCAAAGAAAGTTATCGAGCGAGTGCTTGGCCCAAATAAATAATCGGGAGAAATATAATATATAATAGTTCTGTACACGTAAAGTTGTTTTTTCGTTCGATTACCCCCATTATTTTCCATACTAGATACCTCCTGCCATCTAATAACCTGGGACTAAGCAACACGTGGTTCAAGGATACAAGGCAGGAGAAAAGCAGAATTCATTCATCAGCTACGAGAGTAATCATACTTTTTTGATAGTGTGTTTTCTCAAGTGCTGGTGGGACATATGATGTCTTCGAGATTAGAGTTGTTTTATTGATTGGAAATAGTACTATACTTTTCGTCTGGAGCTAGTAAGCACCTGGTGCATCCAGTTTACCGCTTCTCATAGAGTAGCATCACTTCTTCTAAGCTTTCGTACTGTTCCATAGTAGTCTAAACCCATATATTTTTCTTTGGTCGTTGGGAGTTTTCTCCTGAGTGGAGCGGGCGTTTCGACGTGTGATTCGCCTACATCCGGACTTGGACTCAGGACCTCGAACAGGCTCGAATAAACTCCCACGACTGACTATATATTCAATATCTCTGTTCTCTTTGTAATGTTATCTCAATTTAACTTTACATTTCTACATGTTGCTACACGTAAGTCCTTTAAAGGATGGCTAATGTTCACGCAGTTTGTCGCCCTGTGTTGCTGGTCGCTGCCCTGTACGGTTCCCCGTTGGGACGACACTAATGTGTTGACGTGATCACCCTTCGCCCTTTCCCTTTCCTTAACCCCCCCCCAAGTTCCAACTCTCCTCTCTTCCTTTCTTCCAAAGTTCTTTCCCGCAACATCATCGTTCATTTTCTGCGTCCGCAGCACAAGACAGAGCTGTTCAAGCATCTCTCTTGCGTTGTGTCAGCTCCAATTACCCAGGGCATTTCCATCTGCATTTCCACCAGGCATTGGCATTGGCATCCTGCTTGCATTGGGCTCCGCAAAGTGAGTTCCTGCCTGTGCAGCCCTCAACACCAGCTCTCGTAGCTATGGGGAAAGCACCTCCTGACCACAAAGCTATCCAGAAGAAACGGAGAGCATATGTTCGTCTTCAAAAGTAGTGACGATACAACCCAGCTACCCAAGAAGTTACGACGGAAATAGACAAGAGCAGAACTTGATTCTTGCAGCCTCAAACAAGGCATTACTGCTGGACACACGAAATTCTATTTCTACAACCATACAGTAAGTGAATCGACTTTATACATCTATTTCCATACTGCCTATACCGCCCCTCAATCAACAAAATGCCCTGGCATGCCAATGCAGGAACCAACAGTGCCGCCTCGCCAGCTTCAATTTACTTGCGGCGGTTCTTCTACGATTACACAGGAATGGTGACACCTTTCACTGTTCCAAGAGATTAATTTTCACGAACATCAACTTCAGCGAATAGCAGTACAGGCAAAGGGCCTTCTCACAGCTCTGCACGCATAATCGACAAGTCCTGGGAGTGTCGTCTCAGAGATAACAGCTCCGATATAAGTTATCTCGAATCTCGAATCCCGTACTTATATTCAGACATTCTGCACCCACACAGCCTTCTACACACGCGGGGTAGCCACAGGATGACGTTCAATCACTCAATGCCTTGCTATTTCAAGTATTATCACCACCACAAGACTCGAGAGCTAACAAACTGCAAGATCAACAGATTCCCCACCATGCCGCCCAAAGTCAGACGAATCAATTCGGTTCCCCTGCTCTGCAGCCTTTGCGAAAAGAATCCGCAATTCTCCGATGTCTCACATCTACTTACCCATATATCTTCCAAAGGGCATCTCCACAGTCGGTTCAAGCTGCAGATTCGCTCTCAAACAGAACTAGAAGCCAAGTGGCAACTCGATAATTATGATTTATGGTATCGTAGCTATGGCCTAGATGCTTTGTTGTCCGAACGACTTGCTGCTAAAGAGCTCAAGCAAGCAGCCAAGGAAAGGAAGAACAGAGTTTCAAATGTAGCAGATCCTGTCAGTGAAAATGCCCTCTCTCATGCTGCTCATGGTATGGCCCTAGTTAACCTCAAGGTTTCTCAGGTAAAGAAAGAGGAAGAGCGCCAGAACGAAAGCACTCTTAACACTACACCTATTTACCGGGCCCCTATTCCCCGCATGCACCTTTGGCCTACCACAGGAAGTCGCACATATTCTACGCCGGCTGCTGACGATTGGGTGGGCAATTCTATCTATGAAACGCCGTCTGCCATGCGTCGGCTTCCGCATTTTCCGCTGGAGACTCCGGCCATAAACATGCTCGATCCTGAGTATCTCTCCCTACGCCTTTACTTGCTTACCGCAGCTAATCGACTTGACAGGCTCCGCACACCGCTTATGAACCGCAATAAGAACAATGAAAGCGGTCGAGAGAAGATTGCGGACAGTGCCACCAAACTGAAGGGCGTCTTGTGGCCGGGCATGAATTTGTTTGACTCGGCTACCCCAGAGATGAAAAGAATGAGAAACCAGAGAAAAGATATTAATGTTTTAGAGCAGATGATGGCTACGTCAGCAGATGTGGAACCATCTGAGGTAAGCTACTTTGCAGATGGTCAATTTAGAGCCTCGCGGGATATTTTCGGGCCTCCTTCGTGCGAAAACAGTCCGGTATGTATACCACGCTCTTGCTGCCATCGATCACTCAATGATTACTCTTTTCCGAAGTATATTCATTTTTGTAGCTCTGATGTCCAAGCTAGTTTAACTATTTGGAAGGAATTGAATTGCTAACTTGTGTAGATTATGGAAAAGGAACCCTCACCAAAAAAACGCAAGGCTCGAAAACCTACATTCTCAGATGTCAGTGTTAATGCTCCTCGGTCTAAGCCTTTGCGGGGAAAGGCAGCTGCGCCCAAACGCCCAGAAAAGAGAACTCGCCCAGCATTGGTGCAAGATCAAGCTCCTCGTGGGGCACCACAACCCAAAATGGCTCCCGAAACCAACCCGCTCTCTACTATGGCGTTTGGTCGAGGCATTGCGTCGACTTTAGAAGAGGATGAAGAGTTTAAAATGACCATTGGAAGCACTAGCAAGAAGCGCTCATTCGGTATCTTTCGCGAAGGAACTGACGATAGTCCCGAAAGCTTGTTTGGGGAACATCGGTATGGATTTGATCTATTTCGAGGTACTATTTCCAAACTAAATTTTCAAGTAGATTCGACTTCCCAAATCACGGTTTGCATATCTATCCAGCCAACACAGCACCTTCCCGCCACGTTACCCCCACCCCAGTCTCTAAGTCTTCGATGGATATTTACGGCAAAGAGAACTCCAAGCCTGAATTCCACCCTGGACTTCGCCCTCAGAGACCTACTCCCTCCTCATCGTCCGCATCGCTTGTCTTCCCATCTCAGGTGCTCCACGATGCGACATCCAACCCACTATATAACGAAGCCTTAGCACGATCGTTCGTATATGGCGACTATCATTCTAGCTTCACCAAAAGTATGAAGCCTTCTCGCTCCACCTCTAGCTTCAACGGAGACTTTCGGCCTCTTCACACGGTCACTCACGCTGACGAGCTTCAGGACCAAGCTACAAGCTCGAAGAACGGATCCATCTCTAGGAAGAACATGCGTTACGGCATGTAACCAGCCGACTGTGGCACAGATTCATGACGGACCACCGAATTGGGACGCTTTTGTGTCAATGGCTTATTTAACTATGCGGATTCGGGAGGAGAGTTTCATTTTCTTCGCATTCCTTACACATGGATTTGCTATATCCATTCGGTCCGTTTTACCCACTTGAAACACAGGTATGCCATGATAGGATGGGTGGTTCAGTAGCATCATTACATGACTGCATTTTATTTGCTTAATAGCACTTAGGAAGCTTTGAAAGGGCAGTTGGGCGAGGGGGCATGGCTACACGATTGAATTATTCTATGGCTTACTGTTGCATTTTAGCCGTATCGTATTGCAAGAAGATCAAGAATTATAACTCTTCAACTGTGCAACAATTATAACTCTTCAACTGTGCAACCTCGTTTACCCAACCCGGTTCTTTCGGTCTTTAATTAAACGTAATTGATTTGGGAATCAGTTACTAACTAGTATAATTAACGCAACGTTGTAAAACACACTGTAGCACTAATCTGCCTCGATTTTAACAGTGCCACACTACTTTGGGTTTGAAATTCCCGGGAACCATATGAGCCTAACTCGTAGGCATGTATTTATGAAGCATCTTTGTTGACTAGTAAACCGCAGACAACAAATCACGAATCAACTACCTTACCTAAGTATATTCATCATCTAACTGTGTCACTGTTGGTAAAAATAGCAGTACTCTTTAGCTTTCTACAGCAATATCTCAAAAGCTTATTACCTATCGCGAAAAATATTCTACTGCATTAAGATAGTTAGAAGTATATTATGAATTACAACTCCTCAATGCCAAGGACCAGCTGATCCAGCTGGTCAGTATCATCCTTCAATACATCGCCTATAAGCTTTGAGAGCCCAAGCAGCTTCTTCTGCTTGATCTCCATTTCTAACTCTCGTGATTTTAAAGCAGCCGTCTCTAACACTGGTTTAGGCACCCTCGCTAGCCGTGCAACGTTCAAACCGTACGAGCGATGAGCAACTCCTTCGCCTACTTCATACAAGAAGGTAATTTGCTCATCACCATCACCCTCCCCAACCTCGCCATCGGAAATCTGTCGCCCGTCCTTGCTCTGGGCCGTAAATCGCATATGCACATTCCTTAACTCTTTAGCCTTCTCGAAACCCCTCGCTACACCCGCCAGAGTCTGATAATGCGTGATAAATAAGCAGAGGCATTTTGTTTCCCGTACAACCCAATCCAGCACGGCGCTCGCGATGGCCACGCCGTCATGTGTGCTTGTTCCCCGGCCTAGCTCGTCTAGTATGACGAGCGAGCGGGAGGTTGCGCTTTTCAGGATCGATGCCGTTTCACTGAGTTCTACCATGAATGTACTCTGATTGGTGAAGAGCGAATCAAAGGCCCCCATACGGGTATATATCCCGTCAAGGAGGCCGAGACATGCAGATTTGGCGGGGACGTATGAACCGATTTGAGCGAGGATGGATATCAGCGCTACCTGGCGGACATATGAGGATTTACCGCCCATGTTGGGGCCTGTAATAAGGAGAGCGCGAGTGTGCTCGTCTTCTGCCGAAAGGGATGTATTGTTGGGTATGTAGGAGGTGGGGAGGAGCTGCTCCACCATTGGGTGCCGACCTTCGACTACTGTTATCTCGGTAGTAGTGGTGAAGGTTGGCTTGGTGTAGCCTGGAAGGGAGGCGATTGTTGCGAGGGAGAGGAGGCAATCGAGGAGAGCGAGGGAGGCGATGCTATCCCGGAGGACGGCGTAGTGTGTTGAAACTTGTGAGAGGAGGGAAGAGAATGCTACGTCGCAGGCCGCGGAAAGTGATTCTTTATGTTGATCGCGTTCGCGGAGCAAACGGACTACATCGGGGGTGTGGAAGCGTGACAGTTTCTTTGTACCTGAGATTTTGGTCCATGAGGCGGGGACATTTTTAAGGTCTGTGTTGGGGATTTCAATGAGGTATTCGATTCCAGCGACAGTTACGTATGTGACGGGAGATTTCTTTTTCAACTTCGTGGCTACTTCGGAGCGGTGGACGTCGAGGTCTTGTTCGACAGCTGCGATGCCCATTTTGTGGTCTCCTATGGCCCCGGTTTCTTCCTCTTCGCGGAAGAATGCATATTTATCGTCACTCCGCGCGGCTTGCGCATTGATCTTGTCGAGGAAGGAAATTACAATGTCGCCGATGGTGGGTAGTGAAGCTATGGCTTCATTGATGAGTGGAGATTGGAAGCCAGCATCCGCAGGAGATCTAACATGCGCGAACTCATTTGCGATCCTCTGCATGGTTTGTAAGGCTGTCAATAACTCTGGGCGAGTGCATTTGCTGTAGTATATCCGGAGGAGGCTTCGCTCCAGATCCGTCTTGATATTCCTAAGGAGGGAGCGCAGTTGATCGACCTTCAGAGTTTGAGTACCTTCTTTCAACTCTTCTACCGCCGAGACTCTTTCCTCTAGTCGATCTTTATCTAGAAGTGGCCTCCCAACCCATTTCCTCAAAAGTCTCTGACCGAAGCGCGTGCAGGTCTTGTCTACCGTCCAGAATAAACTTCCCTTCTCGGTATGATCCGTCTGATTCTGATAGATCTCGAGATTTGTCAACGTGTTGCCATTTAGTAGCATGTGTGACCGAGCACTGAAGGATTGAAAATACTTCGTCAAGTCAAAGACGTGCTCAAGCCCATATTCTGTCATATGAGTTATCATTGCAGATAGGCAAACAGTGACCTCCTCTGGAAGTTTGAGAACTTTATCCAAAAGATTTTGCTCTCGTTCATTTTTATTTTCCTCGTTAGATGTCAATTTGTCTGCGTAGAACCGAGCAACGTGGGAATAAGCTTCAGCAGCCGTCGTCTTCTTCTTTTCCACACGCTCAACTCGGATCTTGTCCCCAAAGACATTGGTGCTACTTCCCGACAGGTGTTGAGCGAGCTTTTCTGTAGCTTTGGTAAGTTCTCCGACAATCAAGAACTCGCAAGGCGCAATATGTAACAAGCGAGTCTCAATTTCGCCCCTCATGAACCCGTCCTCAAAAGTATCATAGATAATATCTCCAGTTGCTGGTTGGACTGCCAATATTCCAACATCCACCTTTTCGTCAGTGCCCCATCCTTTGGCTTTAGACTCGGTAAGGCATAAAAGATAGCCAGTAGCGGGAGCACCACCGGTTGGAGCGGCTGTAGGCTGGTCAAGTCCCTCCACGTCGTCTATATACGTTCCCTTCGTATAGACATTCGTAAGTTTCCGTATGAAGGGAGTGTTTCTATTGTCGCCAGCTTTTTTCAGGGCCGCCGTTTCAATTTGTCTAACAACCCCAATCTTGTGCCCAGCCGCAACAAGTCTCTTTGCATGTACTGACAATCGATGTACAGGAATACTTGCGGAAGCAAAGCGATCAAGATGTGCCTCGGAAATATCTATACATAAGTTAATTATAAGCACGAGTGGGTATATTGGAGAACTTACGCTCATCGTATCGAAACTTGCCGGGAATACACACTATGCCCAGTTCTTTGGCAGCTATCCTCGCATCCTCTCCAAAGAACTTGAATTTATATCCCACCTCTACGATTAAAATCGTATCCATATGCTTCCTCTTGATATCTAATACCTGTAGCTCTAGAGGAGTCAACTTGCCCGTTTTGGCCCCCTTCCTCCTTGACTTCGTAGGAGGTAGAGCATCATCCTCATCGTCGTCCCCACCACCCTCGGCCGGTTCCTCCGTCTCTTCGCTGGCCTGCCAGCTCCTTTGCCGAATCTTTGCTATGCTATCCGGATGGCCGAGTTTCTTGACGAATTGCCTATGTAACTCCTCCTTTCTGGCCTTCGTCGCCGCATCGACCTCCTCACCAACTGCAGATTGGCCTGAGGAGCTATACATATAAGTTTCGGTTCGGGCAGTGATAGGAGCGATAGGAGTGATCTTCGAGTTTCCAGAGGACGGTTTGCGCAAACCAGTGGTCGGAAAGAATGAACTGTGGCCGTCCCCATCGTTGTCGTCTCCTTTCACCCGTTTGGATGGTCTCCTAACTACATCCTCCGCCAATGATCTCTTCGAAGATCCATTCGTAATGGACTGCAGCGGTTCCTCGGATTCGGAGCCAGTCTCGGCATCGTATAAATTGTCGTTACTTGACTCCAGCCCTTCTGGTGATGGTTGTGGTTCCTGGGGGGCTTGTGACGGCCTTGGTTTGGCAACACCATTGGCGGTCTTTGGTGTGAAGAAGCTCGAAATCGACTGCTGCTTCCCCTGGCTGGGAGTTGGTGTGGACTTCCACATAACTTGTTGTCGTTGTCGTGGTGGGCACTGGAATAGTTTGGGTGGGCTTCGTTGGGTTGGGTTCACGTAGATTTGAGTTTGGGAGCTTCCGGGGGATGGATGACGCGCCGAAGACGCGTTAAGTGGTGATGCGCTCATGACCCCTGAACACAGGTGGCATCGCTTGTTTCCTCATACTTTCAGACTTTACATTCTAGAGTATAGTACTCACAGATCTTTCCAGGTTCTCTCTATATATATTGCTTATGGATGCTGGCAATTAGCAATTGGCAGCTGGCACTGTAATTGATTGACCATATTATATCGCTTCAGTCAGTTGACATTGTCCCTCCAGAGGCACTGAATGCAAGTACTATTCTAGGCTCGACATTATCATTCTCTCCCGCTAAACCTGTCCTTTTTTTAATATTCAAATTGCTTGCCTTGCCGACTTTTCCCCTCTCTCTCAGAAACGCTATACTTTTGACTGTTTATTTTCCAAGGTCATCGCTTTTCGGGTCTGTTCTGTCACGAGAAGAGGTAGTTTTCTCCGCCATATTGTTCACGGTACAATATATTTTCGCCCTGTAGCTACAAGTATCGGTACTGGAGTACCTACACCTGACGTGGTGAACTTGGTTGCACGTCTGTTCCCTTCTCACCAGAGATACCCAAGTTCTCCTCCATCCATGTTACCACTTTCAGAAACGCCTTCAGCCAATCATATTCACGGTCATCATATGGTTTGAATCTTCTGGCAACACATCGATGTATTCCCACGGGGATATTTTGAGAGTGGCATCCGGCATCAATTAAGAATACAGGGCTCTGGTTTCTCCCTGATGATTCCAAGGCTTCATTCTCTGGCCACTGAATTCGAGGGACAACCAGCAATGGCGAGCCGGTATAAACATACATCAAGCCATTCATAACCACTTCCAAGTTAGCAGAAATATCTTCTGGATACTGAAATGGTTGGGCCTTGTCCCCGTCCTCTTTCAACGCGATTTTCTGGAGCCGGCCAGAGATATCCAAATCAGGACTCTCTGGTGGATACTTTTCTAACGTCTCCAAGAATAGCAACAAATACCGATCATATGGGATCAGCTCGATAAAGTCAACCCCGCGGAAGCATTTATGGGGACGCATGCGTGGATACCTTGTATTTTTCGCGGCGCGTTTGGCGTTTATCTTGAATCTGGTTGACATATGGGCGGTGCTAGGCCGGGGACTAGTCTGCGAAGGATCTAACCGGCTTTTCAACATAACCATTCCAGGATACTCAGATATGAGGTCAGCCACCGTGTTTAACTGCCGTTCTTTGGCCTTGTTCATATTGGTGATTGCTTTCTTGATCCATACCCAACGCGCGACCAAATCTTCGAGTGGGTCGCCTAGGCGTATTATCCGGTATGGACTAGGAGTATGTGCGAGTAGAACATCTCTCTCAAACGGGTTTAGATGCACGGTGGCTTTTATTTGGCGTACGAGGTGGTTTCGCACATCTTCAGGTTTGACTTGGGATGTCGTTCCTAATGTACACGACAGGGCCGAACTGCGGCTGGGCGAATTTGGGCCTGTGAGAGCCTTGCTCCTGAATTTACAAATCTCCTGGTGGAGATTGAAAAGCTCGACGAGATTCCATGGATCTGTTTTCGATGGGAAAATCCGTTGATATGCGGCTTGGGTGAAAATACAATCATTGAGGTACTCGTTGTTGTAGGAGACGGTTTGGAGGACTTGGAGGAGACTCAGATCGCTGATAACCTTCCGGACTTCCACACGGGGTAGCATCGAGAGGTTACAGAAGGGGGCTGGCAGCGGTTGCAAAGCGGTCTTTTCCATGCTGAAATATCTGCTCCCTCGGATTGGAGAAAGTGTTTTTTTGCCCTGTTTAGATATTGCAGAGCGGCGGCGTTAATTATCACAAGATGATATATACGGCGCGTAGGAAGGAACGAAGTCTATGGGGTTTTGGAGAAAGCTTGCTGGTGACTCAGGAGTCAGCAGTCGGGACTCAGGATCAGCAATCAGGACAAGCCCGGACTGGAGTGTGAAGCTTGGCGCAAAACCAACGACTCGATCTTCACGCGGACCAAAATTATCGCTCCAGGTTCTGAACATCCGGGCCAAGAACTCCGTACAAAAGCCAAATTCGACACAAGATACCAAAGTCATCTTCAGCAATTCATTACGTTGTAGTTGAAGGGACAATATGCTGGATTCAGCAGCAGCCTGCAAAGAGTATCTGGAGACTCAGGATGCAGCATCTATTGCCAGTCAGATTATACGAGATGAAGCTCTCTGTAGGGCGCAGAAGCTTCCAAGTCTGCTTGCGTTTTATCTTCCTCCCTCAAACACAAGTCTGGCAGAAGCTATCGCATCCGAATTACGTCCTGAGAGTGCACAATACTCGAGATCGCTCAAAATGCTCCAGTATTCGAGTATTGTTCAGAGCATCAAAGGATATCTGGATCAGATGAGTCACCAATCTAGACTGGAGAAGTTGCCAAGTGACCCTGAACAAGAGAATTTCACCAGGCCTTCAACAGCTGATATTGAAACAACGTTGAAGGTGCTCATGTTCTACATGAAAGGAGATACCAAGCCTGAGATCAATGCTACAACATCCCTTGAAGAAACTGTTGTAGCTTTGAACAGCTATATGGAGGCCTCTTACCCCGGTCAACCAGACAACATCCCAAAATTTCCAATCCGACAACCCATCGGTGTCTCTAGGCGGACAAAGAAATGTTACATTTGCCAATTTATACTTGTTAACCCACATTATCAGTATTCATCACTGTGCAAGGCATGCGGGAACTTCAACCTTGCATCATCCAATCTTTCTCTTCCCGAAAACCTACAGCTCGACGGCAAGACCGCGGTAGTTACTGGAGGGCGAATCAACCTAGGCTATCATACTGCGCTTCGTCTCCTTAGGTGTGGCGCTAGGGTGATTGTATCTAGTCGTTATCCACGCGATGCCGAAGTTCGATATCTAGCTGAGAAAGACTCAATGGTATGGAGCCAGTCATTGAAGATCGTAGGTGCAGATTTTAGAACCGCGAGCGATGTTTTTTATTTAGTCGAGATGGTCAGGGATATTTTGAGAGACTGGGCCGACAATAATATTGCAAAACTGGATATTCTGATCAATAGTGCAGCTCAAACTTTGACCGATCCGGTTGAAAAAGAAATGCAAGCTCTCCAGCGAGAAAATAAATTACTCATTCAAGGATCTGGATCAGATTCGAAACTTCTCCTGGATAATTCGAATTACCAGCCACGAATAAGAGGTGGAGTTCAGAGTTCGAGATTGCTTGCCCCCAGCCAAGAGGAACAGAGTAGGAATACAGATGCTGTACATCGCCCGAGTACCTGCGCCGAGGAACTTGACAACACCACCACCCGTCTTCCGAATAGCAATAAGTCCTTGGAATTTCATGATGCACCTCAAACCTCCTCTTGGATGCAATCTCTCCATCAGATTCCGTATGAAGACGTCATATCTGCCCACTCGGTGAACACGTTTGTTCCTCTGATATTAATACGGGAACTACTTCCACTTATGGGCTCCGTCACCGCACATACCAGCGTACCTAACAAGCCCGCTATACCGCTCGCATATATCATCAATGTCTCATCCCGCGAAGGCATTTTTGAATCCTCCTCTCCACTCTCACGATCTAAAAATGGAAAACACGTTCACACGAACCTCACAAAAGCCGCACTCAACATGTTAACCGAAACTGAAGCAGGTCCAGCGTGGACTAAACGTCGTGTTGCAATAAATTCAGTTGATCCAGGATATATGAGCGCTGCTCCTGAGATAATTGCTAGAGGATTAGAGTGCCCTATTAGATGGGAAGATGGTACGGGGAGAGTTTTATGGCCGATTGCTGTCGGTGAGAAGGGAAGGCCTGTTTGGGGTCGGTTTTTAAAACATTTTGGTGCGGCCGAGGTGGATGTTGGAGTTGGAAGGTGAAATGATCGATGTGATTTCATATTGATATGCTCCATTTGTTTTACGACAATTCACATATATCATTTCGCGACGAAGTAAAGTTGGAGCACTGTTTATGCACACCACACATCCCGTCCAACCTACCTTACAACCAGAAGAAGAGATTGTTGCATGGTCGTGGTAGTACAATACAAGATTTTGTTGGCGATATCTGGATAGCTGCTGAACTGCTGTTCAAGACAAGAAGTGGGGAACCAAGGTTGAACACTGAACACGAGACGGCAAAAATTGTTCGATTTTATGAATAGAGAAGTAAAAGAAACTCATACTGCGCAAAAGTGCCGCAGTCTCTCCACCACTCGAAGTGTTGTTCTCCTTGCAAACAGCCCAGCAGAAGACAATTATCTACTATTTATACTGTCTTAGAAGCGTCTATTCAGAGAAGTCTCGACATATTCCTTGATAACGGGAGTCAGCGGGTTCCGCTTGTTGTTATGGACCAAATAACCCCCATAGCCATTCGCGGGGTCCTCCACATTCGGATATATATGGATGCAAGTGTGTGTCTCCCTTGGGCAACGTTCCCATCCCACCGAAGAGGCAATCATGATAGTAACATGGTCAAGCTCGCTCGGAGTAAAGGTCGAGGCATGATTGCCGGAACTAAATTAATATGTAAGCTGAGTACAATAATAATCGGAGCCATGGTCAGTTACTAACGTTACCATTGCTACTCTAATAGGCGAACCCAGTGCCTTCGTAGTCCTGCCATTGACATCCTACAGCATGTAAGTAGTCGGCTGACTTTGCAATCCCATGGGGGGTAGTTAACTTGTTTCTGTTGGTCCAGTCGTCCAAAAAACATTGTATCAAGTTCAATTCGTCGGGTAGTTTGCCTTCGATGGGCGCCCCGTACAGAAACACGACATCAACGGCACCCGGATTTGTTGAACCTGCTGCCTGTCGTTCCATTGTCCTAAATCTTTGTTAAAGGTGAGATAGCAAGTTATCAGGATGGACTAAAACCTTGAGGATTATAAGTGAAGGCAAAGGTGATATTGCAATGGAGGAAGGCTCGAATGAAGTAAGTGTTACTATGCAGGCGTTGTTAAAAGTAACAAACTGGAGGCACCATAAGGTAATATTGAAAGGATTTAAACGGATATAAAGCAATGCTGCTATTCAAGTTTGGAGAATCTGCCTGCCCGTTTACATCCTCGAAGTAGGTGCTACGTTTGTAGCATGGTAATAGATGCAGCATTTGCACTATCAAAGTGGAAGCTGCGTTTGTAACATCGAAGTAGATGCTGGATTTGCACTATTGAAGCACATGCAGCGTTTGTAAACTAGAGTAGAAACAGCGTTTACAATAGCGTAGTAGATGCTGCCTCTGCAACATCGTGGTAGAAGCTGCGTTTGTAACATCGAAGTAGATGCTGCAGTTGCACTATTGAAGCGCGTGCAGCGTTTGCAATATTAAAGTAGAAGTAGCGTTTGCAATTGACTGCATCAAAGAATTACCTACATGCAAAATTATATTAACAAATTGTTAGTCCTTGCTGCTAACATGTAAGCTCCCTTAAGGGACGTGTCAATTCCGTGCCGGCCGCTTCCGCTACCTATCTTAAGATAGGTAGCTTAGAGTGACTGCCATTAAAAAGTAGCAACTGTAGACGGGATTCAGGGGTTATTAGCTACAGTGTTGGAGCAACCAGAGGGACACCTAGAGCGGGGTCTCGGGTAGACACATAACGAAGTACCCGTATGCAGGTCTCTAGGCCGGGGCTTGATAGCAATATCAATAGCAGCAAGAACAGTAGCAGCAATAGCACGGCACCACTACAGCGAAGACCCTGAATTTTACGTCAGATGTAGAGAATGTAGTAGCAAGAAGCAATACCTATACAGAATACAGTAGCAAAGACTGATTATGGTGATAGGCTAGGCACGGGAATAGCGATGCTAGCAGACTCTGCTCTCTTGCTGTTGCTGCAATCTCAAAATTTCCACCACCATGACAATCACAGGCTACGTAATCCCTTATTAGCTCAGCCACCGGGCCAGACAGAGTCCAGACTCCGAGCTCCAACGGATCAACAGACAGTTAGTCAATCAGACAGCTCCCGTGGTTGTGTTGCCGACCAGCAGGCGACGGGAAGGTGCAAATGGCTTGAGGTGTCGGGTTGTAGCAGGACCGGGAACAAATAGGTACCTTAGTAGGAAGTAGGAAGTAGGAAGTAGGAGCAGCAAATTTGGTGGTAGTTTTTTGGTGCGGTGTGCGCAGCATGCCTGATCGGCCAGGCGGCCGTTTCCTGTAATGGAAATGTCACCTACAGCGACATTCCTTTGTACGGAGTATAAAGTATAATCAAACGCCTTTGCAACAACAGCGGCTTGTAGCACTTATTTGCCAACTTTAGGGCGCTTCCTTGGAGCACCACTTCTGTGTTCAGTCATGGCTACTAGCGGCAGCTTCTTCTACGATACTGATAGCATCACGGGCAACGTCGAGGACGTCGCCAACTACAAACCTGGAGGCTACCACCCGGTCCATCTTGGCGACGTCTTACCCAAGAAGTCGGGCACTCGTGAACCAAGATACAGAGTCCTTCAAAAACTTGGCCATGGTTCCTTTGCAACAGTATGGCTAGCGCGTGATACTCATGGCGATTAGTGAGTAGCGCCTTGCCTGGGGTCCTCGACTGGTCGCTAATCGATGTACAGTGGTTTCGTTGCCGTCAAGATTAGTGTTTCATGCACCACCGGCACAAATAACGAGACTAATATCCTCCGGTGGCTAAGAGCCAACAAACAGGATCACGCAGGCAGCGGCCATGTCATCCGGCTTCTCGACGACTTTGCTATTCAAGGTCCTAACGGAACCCACGAGTGCCTGGTCACCGAAGTGGTGATGAACATTTCGGATGTAAAAAACAGCTCCACCCTTCAAGCAAGAACCAAAGACATTTCATTTCAGACCATGTTAGGCCTCTCATATCTACACGAGCAAGGAGTGGCACACGGCGGTAAGAATTCCTCACCCCTTATTCCACGAGGAGGATGGTTATCAGGTCTGCCACAAGCCCATCAACCAGCTGCTAACGTGTTCAAGACCTTCACTCGGGAAATATAGCAGTTAGCTTGCCACAGTTGAATGATTGCTTGGAGCAAGATATAATGGACAACGCTTGTCCTGAATATGTTCCTGTGATTGCTCGAAACCCCATGCACCAGACTGATTCACTCCCGGCATATCTGGTGTCAGCCTTCAATATGATCTATTACTTCGCCGAAGAAGATTTGCCTATAATTACGGAAGACTCATGTGTCAAAATCATGGATTTCGGAAATTGTAAGATTCTCCAACCCTACTGTTATTCAATCAAGCTGACCTAGGTAAAGCATTTCGACGAGAAGATGAGCGGCCACCTCCCAATACTCCAAGTTATATCCGTGCACCTGAGGTCACTTACTGTGAGCTTTCTAAAGGTGAGGTTGGATCTGATTGGAACCATTCCGTGGACATATGGCATGCTGCTTGTACTGTAAGTAGATTGCCAGACTTCTCATTTCTTTCCAAGCGGCAGGTAAACTGATCTTGAATAGCTCTATGAGCTAAATTTTGGCACGGACATGCTTGGTAGAATGGCTGGGGAGAACTATCTTATTTACAACATACTTCAGCTATCGGGGCTGCCACCGCCTGCCTGGCAACAGTATTGGGATATGGAAAAATTCTGCAAGGAACAGGGTGGTGTGTATTATCAGCTGTTCTAATCCCCAAGATACCAATTAACGTCTGTCTAGTATTGTCCACAATAGATCTCGAAGCTTCCTGGACTGAACGACGTGCCAGACGGAATAATTACCTCGCAAAGGTATCTCCACGTTCAGGTTTGGAGCAAGATACAGATCAGCTTATTGATTTGTTGCGGATGATGCTAAAGATCGACCCGGAGGAGAGACCGAAGATAAATGGCCTGCTATGCCACTCATGGTTCGCTGAGTTAGATCGTGGAGATCCTAAATCCTCTCCACTGCCCTTGGCAGACCTCGCAGATCCATCAGCAGACCCAGTAGCTAAGGATTGAGATTGGAATCCAGCAGCTGAGGATTGAGATTGGAATCCTTGCCAAAGGTGACCCCCCTGCAGTCGTTCGCTGGAGATTTCTATATGCGTGGACTTATTCCTTTTGCCATTCTAGCTGACCCAAGAAGAAACGCATCCCAAAAATCTATGCCGAGAGTTTTGTGACATGAATAATAAGGTGCGAGCGGAACAATCTCCTTACAAAACGATCTAAAGCCACCTAGTTTCAGCCAGATCAGACCTGGAATCCGCAAACCTCAGCTGGCAGCATATTTTAACCTCCTTCATCATACTAAACATCTTCCACCCCCTGGTAAACCCATTTTACCTCCTATACACACTCCTAATACTATAATCTTTCGCGGGTCCTTTAACGCTGTACTCAAGAGACCACTCCCTCAGTTGGGCACCCTGGAAATAGAACTTATACGCCACATCATACAGATCCTGTATACAGAGATGTGATGATTTTGCATTCCAGGGTTGGTTGGCTTGGCGGGGTTGCGCGGGAGGAGGGACGAATTCGAGTTCGTGGAAGAGGTAATCGACGGTTTTATGGTCTGGTTTGGTAAACCAGACACTGAGGGTATCAGTGGCTGAATTGTAACGGTGTGCGTAACTATTTCGCTTTAGCTTTGGCCAAAAATGGGAATGACTAGACTATATGCGGGCATTTACCTCCGTTTTGCCTGGAATTTGAATCCGTTTGTTGCGTTAAATTCGCCACTCTCAAGATACAAGTATTCCAAATCATACCCCCTTTCCGTCGGGAGCCGGGGCTTGAAGTATGCGTTTCCGGATAGAGTACCAGAGGGGTAGGAGTCTATGCGACTTGCTATTGTACGCTCAAGTTTCCAATCACCCTGCATGGCTCTAAAAGCTGCTTTTGCAACGAATTTGGCGCGTTCTGTAGAATCTTCGATTGCTTGATCGACTATTCTAAGAGCTGTTGATGCTTCTTCGCGTTCTGTTTCGCTGGCTGTATTGGGTAGATAGCGGTGTGGCAGGACAAGTCCTGTTCGTCCCGTTGAACCTTCAGGCTCTGCGCGTTTGATGTCAAGGATATCGCTGAATGACTCCATCAGGTAGGCATAATCGCCCATAGGGAACTGTGCGCAGAGAGGATCATTCCGAAGTTTGACCATTGATTCTAAAGTAGTGTCTTCATTCATAGCTTTGGCTGCCTTGCTATCGCCGCTCCAGAGTCTCCCGAGATAGCGCGCTTGCATTTCCATTATGCCCCAGTAGGGACTGCGGTAGAACCCAACAAAGCCGAGAGACGGTATTTCTTTGTTGATTGTGGAATGGACGTTTAGGGCTAGTGGGAATGCATCACTCGTCGGTTCGAATTGCAGAGTCTCCAGAATATCCTCTGGGAGGAAGTCCAGGGACGGGCAAGCTTCATACCCCGTTGCAAAAACGACAGCGGCAACTCCTTCAATCGAGGATTCAATACCATCATTCTGTAGAACGATAACATCACCGTCAGATCCCTGACCACGAACAACTTTACCTTGTACAGTCCGAATTTTGCCAGAACGAACATATTCGCAATAGCCATCGCTGACAGAAAGCCATGGCGTATCAGAGCGGACATCTCCCTGCATTTCTAGATGAGGAGTTCCTAAATCACTTTGATCCGTCCCAATATATGTATTCATGAAGCCATGGGTAATCTTCGCTGCTTCCGATGAGATGTGGCCCGAGCTATTTTGCAGTGGTCCTGGTGGTCGCCATCCAATGTTGTAGGTAACGAGATCTACAGGCAAGAAATATGGAGAAGGATTAGATGCCTGGAATATCAATTAGCATCCATCGGAAAAATAGAAGCCATGACAGTAATAAATCATGCCATACATACCTTTTCACCTTGGCTATTAGGGTTTTCGAGAATGGGGTTCTTCGGAAAGAACAATGGCATGACCCAAACCGGGCGTTGCACAACATGCGTTATTACATATTCAGCTGCATTTGGAATATCAGATTCTCCAGGCAAGTTCTCGGCGGAGGATAACTGGAAGGCAATCGATGCCCCAATCTCGACACCAGACATTTGCCCTCCAACGACTACAATATTTCGACCAGCAGGGAGTGCCCTTTTACCGTTATCCGTGAGGAGACCCTTTACATCTCTGACCTGAGAACTATGGAATATAGGAGCTGGAATACCCTCAAGAATCTTAGGAATTTTAGCTGTGCCAAAAAAGCCAGAGGAGATGATCACGTGATCAAACTCGTGGATTTCATCTGCCCCTTCGATGTTTGACTTTGAATTGGATTGTTTCCGAGTATTGATTTCCCATTTGCCGTTATGCAAACGGGCCTTGACAACGCGACAATTTTTCCGGATTTCATAGCCGGGGTACTTCTCGATGTATCGTTCCAGATATTGGCCTACTTGCCAAGCTTTTGGAAAGGAGTGAGCATCCGCTGGCCAGGCCAAACCACTGAAGCTCATGGTGTGTCGGCTCTGGTTCGTGCACATGTCCGGGTTGATCATGCCATTGCCATTTTCTGATACCGGCCATAGCCCTCCTATTCGATCCAATGCCTCAAAGACCGTCACGTGGAATGTATCTTTGGGATGGTCATGGACGAGTGTTTTCGCGGCCACCAGTCCAGACGGTCCGGCGCCTGTCTTCAGGATCAGTTGGGTGACAATAGGCACTGCAATACAAGGGGGGTTTACCAATGACACACACAGTCTTCGGCCTGGCCGCCATCGCAGCAGAACTATGTATACGGATGGATTTTGGCCTTGAGAAGATCCCAATGGCGGGTCCGAAAAAGGTGTTGACCGACCGTCAAACCAACCGGGATATTGTTGAGGAAGGCATTATTATGGACGGGTGAGAAAAAAACTAACTTCAAAACGCTGGTAAAGTCCAATATTCGAGTCCAACTCTAAGGATCTCCTGGGGCCGCCACGCGCATCAGTTTATAAGCAACAGGCTCAAGCTGTGGTATTATTGTGTATGAGGTGCTTCATCGTGAGCTGCACCAAACGTTATCGCCGAGAGGTGAGTCTATGGGAGAACGGCATATTATACTCTAGCCACACCTGTGTCTAACCACGTGGCTGTGATTTTTGCAATCAATTAGCATTGCTTTTAAGTCGGTCAAATGTTCTATTAGTTTGTTGATTGCCATATATACGGCTGTAATAAAGAGAAGAACCTGACATATGTTGTTCCGCTAATCATTTTGTTGAGGGAGAGTCTTTTGGGGCACGATTATTTCTGTGGTGCTAGTTGAAACATTAGCCGTCCGTCCGTCCGACACCGGAAAGAAGAAGTTTGTGCACGAAACAGTGGAAGCCAAGAGCAAACAAGCCTGGTCGGCTACTCCCGACCGCCAATAGCGGGCTTGGGCTTGGTCTTATTAACGTACTGTACTTCATACGTCGTGCCACTCCTCTTGATTAATAGGGGTTACAAGGATAAAAGCCCTCTAAGATCTCACCAGCCAGGTGCAACGTTGTACTTCGCAATCATGAATCATGATTACAACAAGAACAACAGCAAGAACAATAACACGCAGTATCCTGATCAAAGCGCTCTTTCAGCACTCTTCTATCCTATCGTATGGTGCAACTACCATCCTATACGAATGCGGCTCTAATTCGAGCTGTATCAAACACTCTGGAATTGTTAATTGAGCGACCAGTTGGCTGTGATTGGAACGTGCATCTTGAGTACAACCTCGGCATGGTACTTGGTTGGGGCCTGTTCAACCCCGCGATTTTCGACTTTTCAATATCATGATCTGCTCTACTTCTGGGACTGCTGGTGGGGACATCCCGCACTGTATTCCAGAATCCACACCTCAACACCGCCACCGGCTTGCCTTATCCGGAAATCACCGGGCTAACATTATGTCACGGTATCAATGTTAGTCGGCAGAAAGCCGATTATTGGCAATAATAACCTACCAGGAGGAAGTACCGTTATAATGAGGAACAACCTCAACATATGGAGTATCAGGTAGTAAATTGCGCGCCTAGAAGGCGTAATGCATAACGCTATGTGGCCTTCCTTATCTCCATTTTTATGTACCTCTCCTGTACCGTCTAGACTCTAGATGCGTTTTAATCGACCCTGCGTAGGAGTTCTTGCTAATGTATAGCTGCAACTGCCCGGGTAATTATAATGAGCTGAGCATGAACCCTAATGGCGGGCAGAAGGAGGCGGCGAAGTGAATATTCATACGGCCGGTACTGATATGAAGGATATGATATGGTCTGTTTCCCCACGTTCCCAAAACACCACTACAGTATTATCTCCTTCCTTTCAGGGAATTGCCCCAGCGTGCTTACCAAGTTCAAGTTACCACCGCACACTAACTGCCGATCTGCACTACATTGGAGTTGCAACACTTCATTGCGCCCCAGTTTCTTTCTCACGGATGCTTGCTTCCCCGCAGATCAAAGTTCGATCTCTCCCCGCGATTGATAGATAGCAAGCAATTATAAATTCCTTTAAAGCGAACCCCGTCATACACACATGCACTCTATAGATCTTTCGTCACAGGCCACAGGTATAAGAAATTTCCTCCCGCCTAATTTTTGACTGCGCCAACGACAAAATGATGGATTCGCAAGATGATGTTAGCAAGGAGCGTGCTGTCTCACACTCCGAAATCCACGGTCTTCCTCCTGACCCCGATGCGCACTTGAGCGAGGAGGAGAGGGCCGCGATCGTAAGCAAAACAATCAGCCATTGGGTCGACTTTGGCACCTCTCCAACATATATGTAACTAACACTCCAAATCTAGGACCGAAAGCTCTTATGGAAGCTCGATTTAACCTTGATTCCCTGGGTATGGGCGCTTATTTTCTTGAATTGTTCCTTTACCTTTTACCTGCGCAAGCCGCTAACTTAATAATAGCTCTGTCTCCTCTACCTCTTGGCCTTCCTCGACCGAACCAATATTGGAAATGCCAAAATCGATCACTTGCAGGACGACCTCCATAACATGTCGACCGGGAAATACAATGCTTCCCTCTCTATCTTCTTCGTCTCATATTCGGTCTTTGAACCCCTTACCAACGTCATGATGAAGAAGTTCCGGCCCTCTATCTTCATTCCTGCGATCATGTAATTTATCCCCATTTATTAGTTTAGCTCACAGCTGATTGGCCAAAAGGGTAGCATGGGGTCTCTGCATGACATTTATGGGATTTTGTAATAATTGGTCGGGTCTGATGGCTGCCCGTGTACGTCTCTCTTCCCTTTCCGATTGGATATTCACTAATATTGATGTAGTGGTTCTTGGGACTTGCAGAGGCTGGTCTCTTCCCGGGAATTAACTATTACCTTTCTTGCTGGTACAAGCGCTCGGAATTTGGCGTACGAGCCGCCATCTTTTTCTCCGCTGCGGCGGTATCTGGTTCCTTTGGTGGATGTATGATCTCCCCAGTTCCGTAAACTGTTTATTGTTGATGTCCACCAATGAATAACGACCGCACGACCAAAAATACATGCTAATGCCATGCTCATCTAGTACTCGCCGCTGCAATCGCCAAAATGTCTGGTATTGGCGGTAGACCAGGCTGGGCATGGATCTTCATTCTGGAAGGACTTGTCACCGTGGTGTTCGGCTTCCTGTCAATTTGGTTTGTGCACGATTTCCCCGACGAAGCAACGTTTCTCTCGGAACAAGATCGGGCACGAGTTGTCCGGCGGCTGAAGGTAGACAAGCAAGCATCCGCCGAACATGAAGAATTCAGCATGAAATATGTTTGGATGGCCATGAAGGACTACAAGATGTGGCTCGGAATGATTATTTATATGGGTACCGACATGCCTCTATATGCATTCTCCCTCTTCCTTCCGAGCATCGTCAAAGAACTCGGCTATTCGTCCGATCCTACTACCGCGCAGCTTCTAACCGTCCCGCCATATGCAGTCGCCGCTGTCTTTACAATCGCCATTGGATTTATCGCTGATCGAACTGGAAAGCGGGGTCTCTGCAATATCTGTGTTTCTCTCATAGGAATCGCCGGGTTTGCCATGCTTCTTGGTAGCCAACAGCCCGGGATTAAGTATGCTGGGACTTTTCTCGGAGCATTAGGCATTTACCCCTGCATCGCGAACACGATATCCTGGATAAGCAACAATATTGAAGGAGTTTATAAGAGAGGAGTGGTGTTGGGATTCGTTATTGGCTGGGGAAATCTGAATGGTATTGTCAGCAGCAATATCTATTACCAGTCTCCCAAGTACATCGTTGGGCACGCGGTTGTTATGGCGTATATGATTGTCTGCCTGCTGGGTGGAAGTATTACGCTCCATCTGCTTTTGAGACGAGAAAATCGTTTGCGGCGCGCTGGCAAGAGAGATCATTGGGTAGATGGCATGACTGAGCAAGAGGTTGAGAAGCATCTTGGTGATCAGAGGCCGGATTTCATTTATACCCTTTGAGGTATCTCGTCCACCTTTCTGCATGGGGCATTATGTGGTGCGACTGAGCACTGGAGGTTGACAATACCCATCACGTATTCATAAGACTAGATCGTTTGCCTGTGGCTAGACAGTCCTAAGGCCATAATTCCCAGAAAGTGTCAAAATTCGTGGAACATTCAAATATCCAGCCATCGCAAAAAGTTAGTCGCAACTCCGTAGCAGCCTTCGTCCTCTGCTATTATATTTTGTATAGGAATTGCTTCCAGCCACATCCTCTACACTCGACCGAAATTGGGGTATTCGCGATACTAGCTACCTACCGTAATTAGGTAGGATCTATTAGATTTTGATTCTACACTACTAATATCTGGCTTAAGCAATCTCTGCAACTCAAGACGTATTTATCACCGTTTTGGTAAACAGGTAAAGCAGATATAAAGCAGCGGAAGAACTTGCTCCCGGGGGTCCGAAAACCCCGCAACTTAGGCGGGGCATTGTTGTGTATCGTACTACCAACCTCGTAGGATCGTCGGGCCTTCTTTTGTCGGCTTCAAGCATCAAGGTTAGTCATATATATAATCTCGAGTAGCAGAGAGCCTCGATGCGCGGCAGCGTCCTGGAGTTGGCCCGATTCGCGCGCTTCGAATCAAAGTTCTCCCACGAGCGCGGGGAGGCAACTTATGATATAGTACCTGCATTTAGCTAACCTACATAGAGACGACGGAACCAGAAAGGCCGATTTGTTCATACGTCAGTTGCATTTTTCGTTAACTATGTATCTAGTAGCAATCAAAAGGCGAATCTTTAATGTTTAAAGATGGGAGGATTGCAGCTCTGCTTTTACTTAAATCTATGAGTCCTGTGTCATTTACAGAGCATCATCCCGCTTAGCATACCACTGTCTAAAGTCACCTCGCAAAATATCTTAATGGGCTACTGATTCTCAAGGTTTCTTACTCCCTAAAAGATGTTGGCGTCAGTGATTTTCTACCTCGCCTTCGTGGTCGGGGTGACTAGTCTAAACAATGGCATTGGCAAACTTCCCAAGTTAGGCTACAATAGTATGGCTCTGCTACTTTTAATGGATTTACTTTTAATAACATGTTTAAACAGCGTGGAATGTGTACCAGTGTGACTACAATGCCACAGTCTTGCTGGCTCAAGCTCAAGCGATCGTTGACGGCGGACTACTTAAGGCAGGATACGACGTAAGTCTCCAGGACTCTGACCAACGTTTTATATTATCTTGACTAACCCCCCGGATTTTCTAGACTTTCATGCTTGACGACTGCTATAGCTTGAGGAAGCGAGGTGATGGTGGATCTATTGTAGCAGGTTAGTTTGCGCAATTGCACACTTGACTCTCTTGAACCTCACCTGATTAACTCTCACTGTCAGACCCGGAAAAGTTCCCAGATGGCATGAAGAGCTTTACAAAGTCCCTAAAGGCTTTAGGATTTAACGCGGGGATCTATAGCGACGCAGGATATGAGACCTGCGCTGGATTCCCCGGCTCGTACGGACACGAGGTGCAAGATCTTGAGACATTTTCCGACTGGGGTTTCTCCTACCTAAAGTACGACAATTGCTACATTCCCTTTGACCAAGTCACGCAGGAAAATGTCTACGGACGCTATGTGCGGATGGCAGATGCCATAGAATCCCACGCACAACAACCAGGCTCAACCCCATTTCAACTTGCGCTCTGTGAGTGGGGGTGGCAACAACCATGGGTGTGGGCTCGACGGCTGGGACAGTCCTGGCGTGTAGGAGGGGATATACGACCGGTATGGTCGGCGCTGGCCAGTATCATTAACTCGGCGAGTTTCATATCATCAAGCTCGGACTTTTACGCCCACAACGACTTTGACATGCTGGAGGTGGGAAACACTGGCACTGGAACACCTCCTGGAAACCTAACCTTCGACGAGGCGAAAAGCCACTTCACGGCGTGGGCTTTCCTCAAGTCACCGCTGCTTATTGGTACCGATCTTGCTAACACAATTTCCGACACATTTGAGATCCTAGGCAACAAAGATATCTTAAAAATCAGCCAGGATCCGAATGTTGGAGAGGCTATCGTACCGTTCCGCTGGGGAGCTAACGAGGACTGGACGTTCGATCCCGTCCACCCAGCAGCGTACTGGACAGGCAACTCATCGTACGGCGTTGTTTTCATGCTCCTCAACACACTGGATGAACCGCAAAACATGTTCTTCAATCTCACTGAAAGTTGGGCCATCCGTGCAGGCCGCGTCTACTCCGTCTACGACATGTGGTCACATACCGAAAACGGCACCGCATTACGGAACATGACTGTTACTCTTCCACCCCATGGTGTCGCAGCACTTTTGTTAAATGATGCCGGTCCCGAGCCCGAGAACTATGAGCCGTACTGTGCGGGATATTGGCAGTGCAGCTATCCAAACGGGACGTACTATAGTAATTAAGAGTTAGTCACCTTCGAAGACTACTCGGATTATTACCTCTAGTCATGACTTGACAAAGCTCTTATCATATTTTAAAAAAGCATTCGGTATCCCGGATGGGCCCCTTTTCTACGCTCGTCGGTCGGGGAAAAGGGGAGTTGGTCACGTGAGGACCAGGAAATCGACTTTCAGAGATAGCCATATTTTGTAAATATTCTAAGAGCAGCAATTTGCAGGAAAGGCAATCGTTCACCTGATTTACAAAATCCAAAAACTTCTTAAATTTATACCTCTGATCCGTGTGCTTATTCCACTTCTCTCCTCAGTTCCTTCATTCCTTAAACGACTCAAAAGACGACGCTTAACAAACGCAAGGACCTGGTGGCGGCTTTGGGACAAACGTGGCATTCCTGCAATATGGCAATGCTTCACCCAAAAAGTTAGCTAATATCTATCTTTAACAAAAGGCACTTACTATCTGTGGTGGGCCAATCCTTGTCAAAATAAGTGCAGTTGGAGTAACGCCCGGCCAAACCCGAGGCGTAAAAATTGTTTTCCAGAAACATCCATCGGCTATCAGAATTAGTCCGTCGTGCTTTCCAATTTTATTTTCGAGGAAGTTGATTTGAATAAGTGGAAACCTTTGGGGTGCAGTAAAGGTTATACGTACTCAGGAGCATACATATCATCAACTGCGCACCAAATCCACGCTATGTCTCCTATCTTCCAGGTACCCTGTACGGGGCATGTTGCGTTTGGGCATTTGTAGTAGTTAAGATTATCTCCAACAACCGTGCAATTCAGCGAAGCAGCGGTGCTCTTTATGAAGAGTCCTACAGAAAGGATGACGGAAGCGAGTATCTGTTTCATTGTGAGGAATTGAGAAACTATAATACAAATCGAATATCAGACCAAAGAACGGCTACTTTGATTGAGGTGACGGAGTATATTTAAAAAGCAAGTGTTTGAGCGTTGATAAGTTGTAGAGTTATTTATTATAAAGAAACAAGAGCGGGAGGAGTAATTCCGTTTTCCGGTATATGTTTAGCCTGTGCAAGTACTGGGTTACTCCTGTTGCAGCGGAAGCTTATCCGGACATATCCCATGCAGATATCAAAACCCCCTCTCCTACGTCTGACGCCTCAATTCCAAATAATTTATATTAAGCGTACTGCAGTGAGCGTCAAATTTAGTTGACGTACAGGTGAACAGTACGATGTAATTCATTCACTAAGGGCGTCCTGATATCTAATCGGCGAGGCTTTGAATAGGAAGCCCCACTGTTAAGTTTATTCTCGCTATTAAGCAGAGAGTTGTTTATACCAGGTTTGAAAAGAAGCAATAACGTAAATCAAAAATAAATCAAAAATAGCAAAAGAAATACCGCTATAGTAGCGGTACCGAGAAACATAAATTTTTCGAGTAGTCCCAACCATCTATGTTATCTCCAGCAGATCATCCAGGTTCCTCCTTGGTACCATTACTATGGTGGTCGTTAAACCGGTATAGCCTACTACCCAGTCGCCTGTCTCTGAAAGTGAAATTGCTTATTTCGATTTATAGGCTTCCAGAAGGACGAGGCTGGCGCCACAATTGCCGATATTATCCCGGAGGCTTGCTTGGCGCTCCGCGCCGAAACCGTTTTCTACAGGGCGTAAGCTTACGTGGCGCACCGCCGGCTTTGCTTAGGCATGGCTTACGTTGAACTGCTTCCTTTGTGATGTATCCTATCAGATATCGTCAACTTTTAACGAGGGGACTGAGCAACATAGTATCAAAGTTGATAACGTCTAACGTTTCTCACGCTACTAAGTCCTTCCTAGTGCTACTATCTAGAATATTATCAAGCCCACAACACGAAGTGTCTAAGAACCTGCCTCGTAGCGATAGCTATGCTTTCTTTTGCGAGAAATGCAAAGTTATAGCTTCGAACGACCAACTACATGGCCAGCAAGAGACAACTTTGGACGACGGCCAAGTCGTGCTTGATTACAAAGGCGAGTCCCTTGAGCTCGAGTTTGACCACTAAAATAGCTTTCCAGATTTTCCTAATCTTCAAGCATTAGCTCGAGGAGGTTGCAGCTTTTGTAGTCCTCCAAAAGCTACACCCCGCGAGCAATTTGTAGATGCATTTGCAGCTTTCCCAAGGGTTGCGTCGTGGGCCGAGAAATGTACATGGCACATCTGAAGTATATGTGGGATCGTGGGTACCATCACCATCCGGCTAACTACTAGATTGATAACAGTAGACGAAGGTATCTCTAGCCTGGAATACCAGCTAGCAACGCAGATTAGAGCATCGTTATCGACCTTCCGTTCGGTGTTGTGACCGAGGAAGGCAAGCTACAGTGTGTCAGTAGGTATTTCACTGTGCTGACGAAATAATTGTCGGGACAATTCATGTGACGGAAACGGGCCAGTAAAACTCCAAACTAAGGGAGTCTTGAAGACGAGGACGCAGTAATCTACGAATATGAGATGTCTACCCATTGGGACAAAGTTAAAAGCTTTTTTTGCTCTGGGCATTACATAGCTCGATCGTTGGCTTTAATAAAAACTCTATATGCATTCACAACTTCAAAAAGAGGAAATTTTCGGGCTGGAGCTCGCTTTTGCTCATCTATTGTGAGGATACCCAAGTGCCCCTCAGGGCTACCATAAAATCAAATTACTCAGACAACCCCCCCCTGTTCCTAAACAAAACGCCTTTCAGAGTCAACATTAAATATGATGCGATAAGACATCTTAGCCACGGGGGTTACATGCCCGCTATCCCCACTTTGGCCCTCCTATCCGAGAACAATGAATAAATAGTTCCGAGGAAAAGACAGGTAAGTGACAACATAGTATTGCAGTCCAACCGCCGCGGCAGTGACAGGAAATCGAAGTGCTAGTATTGCAGTCCTACGGCCGATTTTTTCTCAGCCATCCCCTACTCCCCCTGTTCTCCGTTGTCCCATCCGCAGGCGTAGCAAGCGGCAAATCTTGCGCAGTTGCCTCCTTATAGTGCCCACCATCAGTGGCACCAAGGCCCAAAGGAGAAGGTGAATAATAGCCCTCAGCCCCAACACCCTGTGACTTCTCGCCACGTCTCATACTCGATCTCACACTCGATCTACTAGCATCCGCGGTACCATCGACATACGGGGGTGTCATAGCTGGTGATTGGGTTGGGCCCCAAGGGACAGCAGGGGGGCGCATCTCGAATGCCCTTTCCTTCTTGCGGATATAGCGTTTTCGCCAGATGCAGGCCCCAATCCATATCGCCATGAGGCCAAAGAAGATTACGGCGACCATGATTACCCATTGATAATGAGTTGAGATCCTGTTTTAGGACACATTAGCGAGGAACTCTCGTTGCTGTGATCTGACCTGGATTAAGTCCACGGAGAGGGATAGATAAAAAGAGAACGTTGAGGATCATAGGAGGAAAGGAGACACATACCAGCTTTTACCTCCCTCCCCAATACTCGACTTCCCCGTCGAACTGCCAGAGCTCGTGCTCGTTGCGCCTGGTGTGGCTGTCGTCGTGGTTCCCGAGCCTGAGCCAGAGCCCGAGTCTTTCTTGCAGAAACTCTGATACCAGGTCTTAATCGATTGTAAATCGCTCGCCTGTGTACAGCTCGTAGCCCCGCAAACACTACTAACACCCTCTGTGCCAGACGTAGTGGTAAATGCTGCGAGTCGCGCATCGCCGCAGAAGCAAGATGAAGATGCTGTGGGTATGTTGGGTGGCGCGCATGCGCCTTGAACATCGAAGAGGGGCCCGCATTTTGACGCGCAGGCAGGGAGAGAGGATTTGAAGGGGACGATGGCACCGTCTGCTACTTGCTGGGCGTGTGAGAGATATGTGAGGAACGGGAGGAGTGCGAGGTGTAGCAGAGGGAGGGAAATTTTTCTGGAAAACATGGCTTAGGACGATGTTGGGAAGCTTTTCGGTTTCTGTTTCCAAATGCGACGGAATGGATGTGGTCGTGTATTCGGCACCTTGTTGGTCAATCTCAATATCGTCTTCCGATGCAGCATACGTGTAGGTATCTTCTATCTGTCTCCCAATCAACCAGAGGGTCCTCGTGCGATTCGATTCGTTTTGATTTGAACGAACGGCGCAATGCGGCACTAATCGAATCGAGCTTCGGAGTCAGCGTCTGTTTCAATTATATATATCGTCTCTGGGGAAATGATCGAATCGCTCAGTAAAGGTGGTGGGGTTTCCGGGAACAGCGATGGCGATCAGGATAATGCCGTTTCGACTCTGATACGTTCTTCTCTCAGTTCACCAGATCATATCCGCCCAGTCCATCTACGAGACACTATTGATCGTCCGTGGCGGTCGGGAATCGCATAGATAATCGATCGCACGCCTTCTCGTTCTCCCGTCGATTTCTGCTCTGCTTCGCCCGCAAGATTCCACCTCTTCTACAGTCTGCTCTGTGGCTGTCCTTCTGCTTTGCCGAATCTTCACGTGCCTCCAAATCCACAGTAACGCACCGATAGAAGCGCGCAACGAGAGAAGTGACCCGTATAGAGTCAGTAACGAGCGTGGGGCGAATGCGCGTGAAGAAGAGACAAGACCTGGCGGGATCAATTCCAAAACGCGACTCGGAAAGAATTGAAGGTTCGAGGTGTGTTGTGGAAGAAGGGGCAGCTGACGATGAAATTGATCCGGGAATATGTACGTACGACTCTGTACGCACCTCCGGAATGCAGATTTTGGGCTGTGTCAGCCACCGTCATCTCCCTGGTGCATCCCTGTTCAGGAGCATGACCGGCATGACGACAAATAGTAAATTAGCAAATAATCCTCGACGACTGCCAGACTTTTAAGCTCGCAATATCTCTACGTTAAAAGATAAAACAACGAAATGCGTTACCAGCTCCATGATTTTATTGCCATGGAGATGCTTTCTTTCTCCTGAAAATTTCCTGGAGGCTGAATTGCTTCCTATGGCGATGCCGTGCTTGGATACCCCCGACCTGGAATGCCGTTCGTCGAGCTCAGATACAGCAGCTTTTTGATACTGAATTTGTGTGATTTCGACCTTACCTACCTAGGTAGTTATTTAATAGTAGTGGTTCATTTTCCGCCATAGGGAATGTCGTTCTCCCGTTTCTTCTCCTGCTTGCTTTTATTACTCCTTTGCCCCAACAATGCTTGGGCGGTGTCACAGTCGAGCAAAACCCATCCTTTACCTTCACATATGAAACCCAATGTTTATAGCTGTCATTATTGAATGGACTTCCTCTGCTCCTTCCTAAAGTAAAGCTCTCACCATTTTCGCTTTGACCTGAGTTCTGATATTCACCCTTTGCCCACAAAGGCTATTCCAACTTCATTTGTTACTTAGAACCTTTCACTTCCATTATCTTCCCTCGTCTTCGTCTTCGTCTTCCATCGTCTTTGCTACATAATTCACTCTCAGTTAAGCGATCGCACACAGAAGAACTATTTAAACTGTGCCTACCTGGGGTGTTCATACCTCTACTTTCCAACAACAACAACAATATTGACCTTCGCTTTTGAGAATAAATCCTAGAGCAAGAACATACATTCAAGAGAAAGTCCTTCAAGTGTAGACTTGGATCTGAGGACGAGGGGTTGACACCATATTCGATAATATACCTACAAACCGCTTGGGGTACCTACTTCAAGGGCATTCTAAAACATCACCGGGTACGCCTTGAGAGCAACTTCAAGATTTTCAACTCCACCATAGGTGAGACCGCAACAAGTTCCTTTAATGTCATTTTTAACGGGGGCATCTCTAGAGACAAACGTCAAGTTGACCTGGGGTCCTTGGCCGAAGGCAACAGTAACAAGGAGTCCAAAGTCCATATCATACAGCGAACATAAACACGGAGTTCAACTTCGAGCAAACATTCCAGAAGGATACTTACTCTATACAACCAACTAAGGCCCACCTCCAACATGTCTTATCATAATCAAACACACCAAGAACGAGACAATCTACAAGAACAGATCATCCGGCTCAGAATACGCACCGCAGTGCTTGAGAATGAATTGAATATTAAGACCAGAGAGGCGGCGGAGGCAGAGCGGAGCATGATTCTGGTTGCTAAGGCATTTGTTGGCCACCCTGTCGGTACCTCCATTTCCCCTACCTATAGAGAAGGAAGGAAGATTAACCACGAATATACGCAGGAGTGCGGCGAAGAAAATGGAGCATCACTGAGGGAACAAGTTAGGATAATGGAGAGAGAAATCGAAGACTTGAGAAGGGAGAATAGGGCATATAAGGAGAAGATCAAGAAGAGCCGTCAAGTCAATGCCTTGATTCCACTTGCACCTGCTGGAGTTCGGTCACATGAGGGACAGCCAGCAAATACTTCGATTCCTGCCGGAGGTTTAGGGCCTCATACTCCCGAAGCTCATTCTGAGAATGTCTTCTTTTCCTTGGCTGCACCTTCTTCGCCTTTGTTGCCCGCTAACTACTCGGCTGGTGTGGCCAATATTGGCATCATATCGTTGAATGACGAACTTGGACCCGAGGATGAGGATATCCCAAACACTCCATCCCCATCCCCCAAGGCAAAGGATGCAGCACATGCGCCCTTGAGCAAGGCCATCAGCCCCCAAGACTTTCTGGGCGTTACATATGAAGCCCTAGTCAATAAATCAAGTTTAGGTGCTATACAACAATTTCGAAATGTGCCTACTCCAACTGTTCTGAAGACGGGTTTTGAGCTAAATGGAAGCTACCGGGGCAGAACTTATGAAGTGGGAGGAGGTCCTGCCAATTCAGAAGACGATTCCACTCGCCAAATACCTGCTCAGGGTTACCTTGCTCAGTCCAGGTACGCCCATGCTGACGACAATTTACCAGGTGGCGTTAGGATTTGGAAGTCAAGCGAGGAGAAGGCATCGTCTATGTTTAATCAGACCCAGTCCGTTGGTCCCCAAGATCTTCGATGCCCCAACATCTTCAAATATGGCCTTACATATGTGCCTACCAAAGAAGACTCCAACTATATCCGGACAGTTCACATCGGTAACTTGCCAAAGGGCATCCATCTCCGGGACGTACTGATGCGGGTCCGCGGGGGGCAGATTGTTTCGGCCATCCTCGCCGACACGACTTCTATTACCGGTAGCGCGACCGCAATTATTGAGTTTGTCCATGAGACTGCAGCCGAAGACTATGCCCGTTTCACATCGCTCCACCCGATTACCTTCGATGATGATGACAAAATCACCGCAGATGTTACTCACATCCACACGCCGACCTATCCACTTACCTCTGCGAACAAGTACAATTTGCTCAATCGCAACCAAACACGTTGCTTTTGCATTCGCAGCTTCCCGAACAACATGGCGGTATCAGACCTTCAGCATCGCTTCTCGGGCAGGAATCGCCACCGTGCCAATTGCCTTCTCGAAACATATTTTGACGAAGAAAAGAATTTGCATCTGGAGTTCTCAAGTCTCCTTGCTTCGGGAAATGCAAGGGCAGTACTCTCTAGTTGGAGCCCCTACCGGGACATGGAAGTTCAATCTGAGCCTGACCCATGCGCAAGGCCGGTCGAGGAGTTGTTGCTTGACGTGCCGATGAGAAGACCGTTCGTTCCTAAGGCTGGATTTATTGATTCTCGTGAGGTGCAGCGGGGCCTGGGTGGTCATGAAATTGAACTAGATGGATATGATGATAGCGAGGTAGCACTGGGTCGTGGCGGGGTTATTCAAAACGCGGACGAGATCGTGTTGGACATCTAGGCTATGGCGTGAAGGGGGTTTGGCCTGGGTCCTTTGCCTTTATCATCAATCCCCACAAGTATGAACGTAATTAATTTCTCAATTCAATCTCCATATTCAATACGTCCTCTGTCAGGTGTGTCTAAATGGGGGACTCCGTGCCTCACGTCTTGTAGTCTCCGAATGTAATAGGGCAGCGAGGAGTGAGACATTAGGCACGTCAGGTAATCCACAAATCAAACTCTGGGTTCTTTTAAGAACATAAAACTAATATTTCAAGTCATCCATAATAATAATTTGATAAAGAGGCTGCAATAGGTGAGTTTTCACAGACGACACGTTACTTGACGAAGCAGAAAGGCTCCTGAAGATTTTGGCTCATTACGGATGAAAGAAGAATAGCCAATCGTATCTTTCCCCACTTGCACATTCTAGGAAAACTCCTACCCTATAAAGCACCGAAGCGCAAAAACTTGTCAAAACCCCCATCTATAACTAGAAAGAAAAGATGAGCTTAGATTTATGCAAGAAGTTCCGGATTGAGCTTACCGCTCCAGCTTACCCAGGAATTAGCGAGGACAAAATAGTGAAGGCTATGTTCGGGTTATATATATATACTTATAGAAATTATCAGGTGCCCAGTAGTGTTGCTTTTACTGCGCTATGATTTCATGGGAAACCAAATAAACTTCTCCTCTAGCCTGGTGATCTCAAGCCCTGATTTTTGCTCGTGTCCTGATTTTGCTCCCCATTCTAAAATTGAACGTTGGCTTTGTTTAAATATATCCGCCTGCGTAATAAATATAAAAGAGTATTTTGAGGGATATATAAGGCTTTATATCAAGCAGCGTATAAATAAACTGAGGGATCTATACGGAGTATCTAGCTTATAAGTAAGGTCTAAATTCTACCTCCTTTTTTACTGTTAACATTATGCTGTGTGCCTGCAGGATGAGCGTGGCGAAAAAGTGACTTGTTTATGTCGCAAAAGTGCTGATCCAATCCACTCCCAGAGACCCCCAACCTAAGAATTCCAGCTTACTAGTGTTCTGGTGGTTCACCCGCTACTGATGGTTTAGAATTCCGGGAACAGCGAATATTACTGTGTAGTAGTAACTTTATGGCCTAACGTAAAATGAAAATTCTAAAGCAACAGAACTTGTATTTGTAATTAATGTTATACTTTTATAAATTCCCTTTGGGATTAAATGTTGTAATGTAGCCGAAACAACAGATATTAAATTCAAATATTCCACAAATCCCGACTCTTTCCATCTTGGAGACTTGCAATGTGTTATCTTCGAGCTCAGGTGAATTTGAAACCCCCGGTTCGGCCTGGAAAGAAACCCTCAGGGTCCACGCTTTTCTGAATAGTTTTGAGCCGGTTATACCCATCGTTCTCATAGGTCTGCAAAGGCTTCTGATCATACGTTGCGTCATTCATGAATATGGGGCCATACTCTAACCCTTCTAGATCTCCCGATTGATAATGGGTGCTCGGAACACCTACGTAGGTTTTCTTAGCATACTCATCAATTGTTGCTGTAATGTTCATAGCCATTGAATGTGCAGTATCGTCTCCCAAGGGTGTCAACCAGGATAAGTTGTAATCCATCCACATCCTATCGCCATCAGTGGGCTTCATGCCGAGTGCATTTCCACCAGCTGCAACGGATTGTGCTGGAATGATGTATGGCATGGGCTGGAATGCTATACTGAAGATGAAGCCAGGGTAAGGAATGCTCTGGGACTTGACATATTTACTCCATGTCTTATAGTGATAGTTGTACAAGTCCTTCCCGGTCGTACCTGGCAAATTTGGAAGAGTTGTACCCTACATTCGATTAGCCCATGAGTAGAGGTTGAAATGATCTGAATAATTACTCGGATAAGATAGCGCTGTCCATAAAGATTTGTAGCATCATTACTATTGACCTGGAGTTTTAGTGAGCTTAAATAAAATTAATTTGGATAGCAAACGACTACTTACTAGGTCATAGTACGACTGCACTTTGACACCGTCGGTTAGAGTGGGGATAGCATTAAATGCGTCAAAAACACCCGTAGGTGGAGTTGGGCCATCATAGAAAAAGAAAACGACAAAGAACTCAAGAAGAGTCGAAACAGCTATTTCTCCGGTCACAATAACGGCAGCCTTGGGGTGCTTGTCGTAATTCGCGTTGAAGTCTTGGGTGGCATTCAAAAGGGCCGCTGCCTCCGATGCATCATATGAACGGATCCCACCCCAGATCTAAGAAGACAATCAATTTGTTAGTACTTTGGATGAGATGCGAATGGTACGTACCTGGCCAATGACATGTGTTTTCATTGTAAATTTTGTCACGATACCTAGGAAAGGATAAGTGATTGGCGTTCAAGGGCAACAAATTAGACTAACCAAATTGGTTTCCACCTCCTTTAAGAGCCCAGTACAGGCCGGTATTGCTTGAAGCATTGGCATTTACAATAGAGGCATCCGCAAGGACGACTTCAAAATTGATTACATTATCGCAAACCATACCATACTCAGCGCTCAAGAAGCTCAAGCCCCCGCCAAGAGTAAGGCCACCAACTCCGACATCCCCTTATTGCCAAAAGTCAGATAAGGTGGCTGCAATCATAGGAGTGGGGGTATTTACCAATTCGGCCACTAACTACGGTGATGCCGTAGGGGTCTAGAGCTTTGGCAACCTCAACCCACCTAGCACCTGGTCCAATATCTGCTGTCGTGAGATCAGAAGATACCACAGTCGACGAAATTTTGCTCATGGAGATCAGGACGCCTCCATCTGTGGATGAGAAGCCAACATTTGGATTATGTCCCCCGCTCTTGACCGCAAAATTCACACCAGTATTGTTCTGTAGGATGGTGACAATCTGGGAGACTTCGTCCGCAGATGTTGGGAAAACGGCACAGGCAGGGTGCAAGTCTGCATTTGCTGCAGACCAGTAGTGGTTCTTGGCGTCTATGAATTGGGGATTCAGAGCATCTGTGGCTGCCCCGAGGCTCTTGATACCTGCTGCTGAGATTGCAGAGCATGCTGCTGAAGCACTGGCTGAAGGGGGTTGGCCAGCTGCAGGGAGGACTAGGGCTAGTGTTATAGCACTGATCAGGGAGAGCAAAGCCGACATTTTTGAAGCCATTCAGACTTTCTACCGGTCAGGCCAAAGGGATATTAGGAAGACAAGTAATTGATTCGGAGGGCCCAAGTTGAAACAGATGGGCCACAAATGAAAAACATATGAGGCACCTCCATAGTATTTATCTTGAGCCTTGAAAAGCTATATGAAATTGCATGATGGTGCAGTTTGCTGCGCCGCGTCGGCCTCAGACTGCGACGCTGGGGCTGCCATAGAGCGGTCTTTTCTTTTTAATGGTCCGGAGATAGTGGAACTGTCCGTAGCATGGGTCAGCATTAAAAGTACAGTGCCGCTGTATACGCACTATAGTAACTAGTTCCTCCCTCTCGCCCGCAAATTGAAGCTATTCCCATATCCCTATTGCACTTAATGCCTCCTCCACTAATTCCTTATTCGATACGGAGCATTGTTGACATAGGACACCTTAATCATGTGCCCGAAAGTATCAGGGTTAAACTCGCCGACCCGACCAGATCCAATTTTGTTGTGGTACTACAAAAGAAGGACGATCATTCTATGTGCTAAAGGCATTTAAACATGCTCCTCTTAGCCAAGCCCTCGCGGAGTGCTAGAAGCCACGTTGCGCTACGAGCAAGTCTTTGGTTATACTCGATACTTGGTACGTTTGTTAATTTTTAAAGAATGGCAACTGTTGGGCGTAATAGTTGGATTTGGGATTTCTATTATCTACGTATTTATATGCTAGTGGAAGTAGGGATATAGGAATAGCTTTAATTTGGCGACATAGAGTTACGATGCGTAGGAGAAGCAGTATACTATGGTAAGTATGTAGTATACAGCGGCACTGTTATTGTAGCGCTGACCCATGCTTCGGAGCGTTCCACATTTTCTAGACTATTGGAAAAAAAGACCCCATATAGCTCACCGAGCCACAACTATCGTAAAATATATTATGGTACTACGTAGCTGTAACCTTGTGGTCAGAGAGTAGTTGTGATCGACAAAAGTTCTGGGGGATTGGAGAATAGCTTACCAGAAAATCCGTGAAGGCGCGAAGCCACCTCGTCAGATCCACGTTAGTTCAGGGAATAAACCATGTTCAAGCTTGTGTCCCCTGGTTCTATCCCCTGACACTCGCGTCCGAAGACTGGCGTTTAGACTTCTTATGTTAAGCGACTAACCACCTATAGAGCCGGAAATATATCTATCCATACAAGTACGAAGTATAGAGCTAAGATCAGCGGTTAAGGGTTCTTGAAAATACATACGCGACAGTCAAATCTTCGCATGCCTGCAATCCAATTTGGCTTCGATTCAGTTCAGGTTATGTCGGGAAACAGTCGAAGAATACATGCAACCCAGGTTCCCCCGCCTTTACCCCGGGGTTTTAAGTACTTACTTAGGTAGGTATGGGTAATTAACCGCCAGATATGTGAATGGTGCAAGACTATAGAATACCAATATCTAGTCGCTCGAAAGGACGGGTGCACAATCGGGCATTTTCTAGGCAGTAGACCGAATACTAGGCTACGGAGCAGAGACATCAAAAACCGGCTTCGGCAGATAGCTTTCCGATCTTTACGTAGGGTAGATTACCAGAAAAAGACCCCCTGAACATGCTTAGGCCGACTTATCGCCCCGCTCAGGGCTCAGCTCAGATTAGAGCCGGGATTGCTCAGCCACATCGATGGAAATGTAAGTTGGAGAGATTAATATTCGTTTTGTAAGACTTTAGTGGTAGTATTGTGTTGCTATTTTGGCACTTACTTAACTACCTAGGTCACGGTACCTTATGTATGTATAGAGACTATCCAGTAGTCGGCACAATTGCACCTTACAATATATGTTCGTGTACTGGAAAAGGGGGGAGATAGCGTGACACGTGACTAATCATAGTCACGTGTGGAATTTGCGTTGAATTTTGTTGCAAATCGCACCCGCGAAATCTTTGTATCGCGCCAATGTACACGTCGCCCTCGACAGTCGAGAGACATCGCGTGGCTCGCTTGTTTTGAGTTCCTTCAAGACTCAACACTCAAGAGCCGCACGGAACCACCGAGCTCTATTGTTCTGTACCTCTAATAAGATTTTAGTAATTGGCCGTTCACAGCACTTGATGCCTCGTTACAAAACCTGTTGTGCCATTGACGTCCGGCAGCTCCTTGTCGAGGCGCTCAAGGAAGGATGCCAATCTCCCGACGTGCCCTACCACTGCTCTGTCTGGGTAGTGCGTGATGGTAGCAAACAGGGCTGCGAGCTGTGCTGGTGGGGTTGGAAAGATATAGAAGAGGAGATCAACGTCATACGCGATTGAAGCAAAAGGGAGGAAAATGACTTCGGCCACAAGCTTGGCAGCCTTGTGCTTAGTGCGACTGCAACATCGTCGTTCAAGGCCATCATCAATGTGAGCTGGCCATGGTCAGACGAGATTCGGTCGTTTGGGAGATTCTTGTCCATGTTCCAGCCCTCAAGCCGTCGGTAGGGTCCATTGAGTCTATCCCCTCATCATAGCCTCAACATGCTTACATTGAGGCATTGGGGTCCTGTTTTGAAGACTGCCAGGTCAAACGGTGGTGTGTACAAGCTCGATTCCCTTGGTTAGCGCCGCGGTAGATTTCTGTTGTCTGAAGGAGATTTCGAACTACCATGCAAGACTACAAATTAGGTATGGACTGCCCCAGACAAGGAAAGGTATCTATTTATAAACGAACCCTCAGTAGAACTAATGAAGCTGGGCTTTGCTTGAGATTGGTTAAATCGCATTTATTATCCCAGGCTTGACTTTCAAGTACTAACGGTGCTTCTGGAGTTACCAGTCTGGTCAAAACTACACAAATAATTAAATACAGCATCAATCCTTCTCAGGCCAACTTTTTCGACCATGAATACTAAAACTAATGAGTGACCCAATTAACTAATCTGCGAAACTGGTAAACGGAATGTGGCAGGTCCATTGTGTCTACATACGGTGGCTCAAACGCACTCTCAGTGGCGGCTTCTCCCTCATGATAAATACTCGTTGCTTCCCAATCTCAAAAGCATCATCCATCAGCTCCAGATTCAACCGGAAAAAAAGCCGAGCTAGGATCAGTTTCGTCTCCAGATACGCTAAATTCATGCCAATGCAATTCCGGGGCCCGACTGAAAACGGTTGGCAAACCTCTAGATGATCATTCTTCGTCCAATCCGGCCGCTCATCGGTCGTCAACCAGCGCTCAGGGGTAAACCTGTACGGTTGTGCAAAATTGCTAACACTGTCATATGCAGCGAGTGCGTAGACGCTGACAATTACCCCACCTGGGATGAATTGGCCGCTAATCGTGGCGCCCTCAGGGGGCACTTCGCGGCGCAAGTCACCGGATAGAGGCGGGTACATGCGTAGCCCTTCGTTGACAACGGCTTTGATGTATGGAAGACCCGAAAGATTGACCATGGTGATTTCGGATTCTGAGGTGAATTTCTCCGTGAGCTCTATACGGAGCCTGGCGAGGGTGTTTGGATTCTTAAGGAGGAGGTAGCAACAACCGGCGAGGGTGGTGGCAATAGTGTCGCTCCCCGCGGGGATCAAAATCGCCGCATTCACCTCCATCTCCCTGATAGACATGGAGCCTTGTTTCTCCTGGTTTTGGCGAGAGATATAAGTCCAGAAGTCATGCCGCCTATCATTGTCGGGCATCTTCAAACGTTCCTGAACTTTTTGAAAGCTCCGTCGGAAATGCTCTCTGCCTTTAATAAGATCCCTGATCGGACCAAAGATAATTAGGATAGGAAATAAGATCCCGAACTTTTTTGCCGTCAGGAAATAGTGCACTGACTTGAAGAAGTTCATGAGGAGTGTCACCCAGGGGTGGTACCGCTGGTTTTCTAAGCAGTGGAAGGAACTGCTAAAAGCCAAGGTGCCAATGATATCAAATGCGAGGAATTCAAACCACTGAACGATGTTGATGGGCTCCACTTGATCACATCTCTGTTCCATCCTCTCCATGAAGAGATCAATGTGACCCTGTAAGTGATGCTCCTGTTCTCGCAAGGCTTTCTCGGAGAACGCCCGGTTGAGTGCGGCACGCTGTCGGGCGTGATCCACGCCATTGGCTGTCAGCACATCGGGCACGCCTGGACGCAATTGGAGATATCCTGACTTTTTGAACTTTTTGACCGCTGGGTAGCCGTAGATATCCTTCCAAGCTGTGGGTCCAATGAAGGAGACCATCTCTGGACTGACCCTGACCACGGGACCATATTTGTCGTGAAGGTCTCGGACAGCGTACGATTCTCTGCCCTTCAGACTGGCGAAAGCACAAGGAAGATATGAGAACTTGCGTCTTTTGGGCCCAGGAATACCGGCAAGGGGACTCAGAGTGACTATATAGACTGCACTAAGCACGTAGTAGGCCGAATACTGACTGTGTTAGCAATTATCTCTTTAGCTATGGACACAGGGACTCACTAGAATCGCAAGCACCTTGACTAGTTCCGGAACTAGAAGATAGCTCACAGTTGTCCATGGTATGGAGTCCATAGCTCTAACACTGAATATCAAGAATAATTTGAAGCAACCTTTCAGGAAGCATCGGCGGGCTGCGGAAGTAGAGCGACTGGGTGAATGTTTATTCCGTGGCGTTGATAACGAGAGGTACTTGCATATTACACTCAATCGATGCTCACGGACATGCTGTATCCGCACAATCGCGACAGATTCTTCTACCAGTGTGTAGACGCGTGGTAGTCTTGTACAGACTCTCTAGCATGATTTTGATTGGTTGCTGAATTTGACTTCCCGCATATACATCATTCAAACCTCAAAGAAACCCCCGAAACCCTCCGAGCTTAGGAAAATAGAAAATGTTAGGTCATACTTAGTAGACACTCGCCAGGAGAAACCGGGTAACCGTGGCCCTATACCCCACTAAACACAATAGGAGGTGCTTAATGTGCCTTTAGGGCCACGATTACGTCGAGTGATACGTAAATAATCCATCAATATGGCTAGTAACGCCAGAGCGGAATAATATTTTTAGGGATGTTCTGTGCGTTGGTTAGCTATCTGAGGTTGTATCTATTGACACTTATGGGGGGAAAGTGCTCTACTCACGTTGTCACTAGGCACCCTCTCAGCTCATCTTCCTAAAACCAGCCGGCGTCGTACAGGATAAGTGTAATTGTGCCGAAACAGCATCTTGCTAACAACATATCCGACATAATTTTGTAGGAGGGGTCCGATACTGGGTTCGAGATAGCTGATAGCAAGTATAATAACACACTACCACCTAGCCGGCAAGATATTCAGAGTGCTTCGGACCACTCAGATCGTTACTATTATAGATTTAGGATGGGCACCATCGATACTCATCATCACCTCATTCCGCCGAAGTTTGTTGAACGTAGGTTGAAAACAATCCCCAGCAATATGCCTTTTTGCTGAATATCCCTAGTGTGGAACGCGAATATCGAAAAGGCTCGAGGTCTCAGGCTGCCTTCGTGGACAGAGGAAGGCACCCTTCAGCTAATCGAGCAAGTCGGGATTGGCACGGCGATCATATCACTCGGACATCCCATCCACCCCTATGTTCAGGACGCCGCTCAGGTGGCCCCCATTTGCCGGGAGATCAACGAGTACACGGCAAAATTCCGAGACGCCCATCCCACTAAGCTTGGGTTCTTCGCGACGCTCCCGCCGCCAGACCATGTAGAGGCATTTATCCAAGAGACTCGGTATGCGCTAGACGAGCTCAAAGCCGACGGCGTTGTCGTCTTTAGCAGCTATTCCGGGCGCTACCTGGGCCACAAGGACTTTAGGGACATGTGGGAAGAACTAAATTGCCACCATGCAGTGGTCGTCATTCACCCCGACTTCGAGGGAATGGCGCCCATCGAAGAGCCGCGTCTTTTGGCGGCTCCGATCGTGGACTGGACACATGAAACGACGCGGACAGCGATCCATTTGATCACAACAAATACGATTCGAGAAAACCCCAACTGCAAAATCATCCTCTCTCATGCGGGTGGCACTTTACCGTACGTTATCGAGCGAGCAGCAAACCTCTGTTGTCGACTTGGCGTCGTAGACAAAACGGTGGAGGAGTTCGTCGACGAAGCGCGGTCGTTCTACATCGATGTCGCGTTTAGCGGCCACGAACCGGTGTTGAAGCTTCTGAAAGAGTTTGCGAAGCCGGGTCATGTTTTGTTTGGCAGCGACTACCCCTGGGAAACCGGAGAGGTTATTAGTAGTCAATTAGCAGCAACAGAGGCGGTTTTCCAGGAAGAGACGCGTGAGGCGGGCTTGAAACTCTTCCCACGACTCGCGCAGTACGAATAGGGAGCAAAAGAGAGTCCGGAAATGTAGCTAATTGAGACGAGACTTCCGCGTCTACTTCTGCATCGATTGAATCAACTTGACTTGATACCACACTGCCAGTGTATGTAGAGGTAGAGTGGCGGCATGATTCCAAATTCGTGGCCTATCGGGGTGATTACGTGTTGAATTCGATATCGGAGATTCGTTCGTCCGCTTTTATTTTTACCAGTGCTTACCTTAGGTACCTCGGTACCTACCAATATAATACGGCTATGTCCCCATACTTCACTCCAATTCAGTCACTCCTTTCACCAGCTTCAAGCCCCCCCTTACAACGTCAACATCACCCGAGATCTTGGAACTTGATCTGACACGGAGACCCCAGTGAGTGATCCGTCCTCAAGAAGGCAATTGAGAAAAAATACGTATGTAAATGATGCATGGTTTTGGCAGGGTTAGTGCACTGGTGGGAGAAGGGGCGGGCTGCAAGCGGTAGAGTGGTATACGTCGATGTTTAGCTTCTGCCCATTAGCAACTACGGTCCATGTAACTCGAAAGCACATGCCAGACGCTTTCATCTTCAAGATCTACTAGGATATATTGCAAGAGTTCAAACCGCTTGCTTAGGGACAGGCCATTCTGTTGGACTAGACGTATTCCAGTTCGTTGACCTGAAACATAAGAGACCGAAGGGACCAAGTTTTTAATTATACAAGGGGTGCCTTCTTCCATGTTGCCCCAACTATCTAACACTCAGAGGATCTTGTGAGGAGGTTGTGAAGGCTAGTGGGAAGAATCTGGGGGAGTCGGTGGATTTACCGAATGACAATTTGGCTATCCATTGCCAGGGCCCGTAGGGTAAAGCCATTGAATTGCTGATATTCAGCTTTGCATAATTGATATCTAGAGGTACATAGGATGGTAAATGGGCGACAAATGTACCTACCTCAGTTACGCTCGAGTATCAACCCGGTCCCCTCAACATATATACCCTGGTATATCCTTTTTATAGATACTTGCAGAAGGGAGCACTCGATGCTGGAGCCGTGTTGCAGTTGTGGATTTGGTCCAGGGGGCAAATTATAACCTATCATCCTACCGTAATGCGGCTTATTATTCGACCACTTCTCCTGTTATGATATGTCTATAAGCGTTGGACATAACCATGCAAACTTCCAAAAGTCAACTTTTCTATTCTTGTGCTTGGTGTTTATATTTTCCTTTATAGAATACTGAGACTTGTATCAAGCCACAGATTTGTTCCCGGATCAAAAACAAAGAGGTTCTTGTGAGGAAGGAAGGGTCAATGTCCGAATTGCCTCAACTGTGGGATACATGTATCCAGAGCTTGAAAACCCGCCGGCTTCCTGCATATGCCGTTCAGAGATGAGTGCAATTTTGCAAAAGACCCAAACCACCCCTGTTGACGTCACATACATCTTCGATCTGACTGAACACGTTGTCGCCGCGTTCCAAGGTTCCTGTCGTTGCAAAGACTGCTGCTACCAACCCCCGCACTACACTCAAATGCTCTTGGAATCTGTAGCCCACCTACTGGACCTTTTCGACGTGGTATGGTCCAAAATCCATAACGATAAAGCAGCAATAGCATTCAGTCATCCTATAGTCCCACAGCATCCCAGCTACGAATCAACGCCGAGCCATGATCACAAAATCCCCGTGGTGACCGGACACCAGGCTTTAGCTACTGTTGATAAATTCGTCCTAGATGACTCTGAAAAGACGATTCTAATACAAGAAGTTCTTCGAACGTCAACAGCATCAGTGAACAACATTATGAAAGACATTCATTACCGAAGGTCGCAAGCTATCATGGTATCGGGCTCTAAACGACACCCGCCGGCACCGACGCACTTCGATGGGTTGATAGACTTGTCAGGCAGTCTCCTAGAAAGGACTTATTCTGCAGTGGCAAGGTATGGGAGTTCTTCTGTCCTGTGAATAGGGGCGATAGCTAAGAACCGCGAGACTGATTCAAGCTAGAGTGCTACGAACTCAAGTCAGGCTTTTCAATACTTCAATTTCTTTAAAAAAGAAACCGGGGATCTGCTAAGCCCGGTTGGTCAATCTCGCCTATTAGTCAATGGGCCCTCCAATTAGTCAATACACCACCCCATACGTCAATTCAATATATATTGACTTTTGGGCCACCCCATTACTCAATATTGACGTATCGGATATATTAACACCCTATTGGTCAATTTAATATACAATTATTAGGTTCCTGCCCTACCCTCCTGAATTGCCTTAGCCTTAACTGAAGCCACTTTTGTTCTTTTCGCCCGTACAGCCTGAGCCTCCCTTTGAGGCTCTATCCTCCTTTTGCTACTAGTACGACCTGCAGCTTGTTGTACAGAGACAGTACTACGATTATTAAATAACTGAACAGCTTTATTAAGCGTAATACAGTCCTTTTTGTRTACYGCGCCTGTTTTGGGAAAGTTGGAGTATATATCCTGACTATGGAGCTTATTCAAAGTCCCAGGGGAATGAATACAGGTCAGCTGACCCCATTGTGTAAGTAGAATATACCCCTAAGACTTAATTAGTAATAAATAAAATAATAAGAATATAACTTACTTTATACTCTTTTCGTAATACCTGTACAGGTATTCTACTTACCTCATTCCCTACCCTTAGCTTTTTTGGGATCTGTAAAGTAGCTACCTCCTGATCACTATACTCAACTACCTGCCYCTTTTCAGCYCTAACYATACRCTCAGCTGTAACTTTATTATACTCACTTACTCTCTTATTTAATTCAGAGAGTAAGTGCTCCTCCTCAGCCTGARGCTCCTCCTGATTGGCTATACCTAGCTCACCCTCCTCCTCCTCATCAGTACTCTCTTCAGCAAGCTCTCTGTTCTAGTTTTGGGGCGAGATATTCGGCCAATTAGGAGGCTCCTTGCCAAACTATACTTGGTATGGGGTAATACCTTTTGGTAAAGTGGAAGGTCTAGTTGTATTAATTACCCAGGCAATAATAGAGAGTAATTTTGACCATTCTTTAATACCTATATCACCCTGCGCAGCCTGTAGCCGGGCTTTAAAGATCTTATTGGCCACTTCCACGGATCCTTGGGTTTGTGGGTAGTAGGCTCGGCCCCTGATTGGCTTAATTACCTTCTCTTTAAGAAAGTCTTCAAGTTCCCCTTTAAATTCAGTTCCATTATCAATTGCCCTATACTTTATTAGCTTATATAATACTAAAGATAGAATAGAGCTACTTACAGCTTTTTTGGGCACCTATTACTGTCTAACTACGTCCGTAAAGGGGTAGCCACTTCAAGGGCTGTCTTACCCTCCAAGGGCTACAGCCAAATATACCTGGAAAAGTGGCACTTAAGCTGCGCAATCCAGTAGTACGACCCGTCGGCCATAGATCGAAAGTCAATTAGATCAAGAACCATTCTCTCTCCTAGATAGTGCGATTTGATTAGCTGAAGGGGAGGCTTCCCTTTTTGCTGTATAGTTCTATTACATTGAGCACATCTTTGTATAACCCATTCTACGTCCTCCCGTGAGATACTGTAGTATAGTTGCTGCAGGCGTTCAAATGTTGGTTTGACTTCTATTTATTATTAGTATAAAGTTTATATATAAAGTTACAACTTACTATAATGTAATAGTTTTTCGTGTGTAGAACAGATAATTTCAAAAGTATCTGAGTAACAGACAGTATACCTTGCAGGGTATAGATTACCTGACTTATCCACCCCACCCCGACGATAGATTTGACCTTTTTGAAGCTCAAAGTTATCCAAACAATAGTACTTTGTATTAATCTCCTCCTGCCTTTCCTTTTTGGAGAGCCCTTGAGGCCCTGCCTTTGGGTTCTCCAAATACCAACGGTAGTCGTACTACTTACAGCTAGTAAGAACCTTCTTTGATTCTCCTTGAGCAAGGCGCTTATCCCAGGCCTCCTCAATCTCTGCTGACCAATTATCTGCTTTCTCCTGGCCAGCAGGAGCTTCTGGGGAGGAGGGGAGAAAGGAAATGTCTGAGGTATGGACTAATAGATTAGTAATATCAATATATTGATCATGGCGGCCGTATACCCTGTTACGTGGAGTAAAAGGGGGGGTGGAAGTGGAAGTGGAAGCCATATTGGTATGTATAAGTGGAGGTAGAAAATAATTGATTTGGATAAGTGGGTGGAAATGAATTACAAAGTTGTACTTTGACTAGAATTTGATGATAGGTATAGTACTATTTATTAACAAACTATCATTTTCTAGAGAATAAGAGTATTTGGAATTAATCCAAAGGTAAAACTAACTATTTTCCTGGAAGTGCAGATCCCGTGATTTTTGTACATGGAAGTGGAGATCCCGTGATTTAAGCCCCTTAAAGCCCCCCTAATTGACTGATCGCTGTATTAACTAACGGGCTATGATTGATAATCCTATTAATCAATATGCCTTTAATATACTACCCTAGAAGTCAATATATATTGAGTAATAGGGTGGTATATTGGTTAATGGGGAGAAATTGAGGTATGGGGTGGTATATTGACCAATTGGAGGGTCCGATTAGTCAATAGGCGAAATTGACCAACCGGGCTTAGCAGATCGCAATTCCTTCAACAGGAAAAAGTAACTATGGGCTACATCAGAAGAGGCCCGATTGACCGGAAAACCACAATTATTTCCTAGACTTGTCTTTAGAGGCGTCTCAAGCCAATATCAAATTCGTGTTCTAGTGGCTATTGGGAATCGTGATGATTGAGCGACTCATCCACGGCTCCAACAACCCATTATAGCCAAGCCCTTTCAAAGTAGCGCAACTTTGGCGCAGTTTCCAAGGTACATTTACTACGATGAGCTGCTCATTACTTCATCATATGGATACGGCTGACAGTCTGTGTTGAAAGTCTATCGCTAGAAATAAACTATATGGAACTACGAGAGATTCTGTGAAACAAACTTTTAACCCTCCTACATGCAAGCAACCTACCATAGCACTCTTCCGGTGACCCATTCATTGCATCAAAATGAGACATTCAACCCATAACCTTCAAACATTCAAAGCATCAAACAAAAATCGATAACCAGGTGCCACCTGTTCGTCCCATTTACCATTTCCGGGCTTCAAATGCAAGTCATGGATATGATGTCCATTCTTAACCACCAAAAGCCCAGACTTGATCCCCCTCTGACTCATTTCCTTATGAAATTTCGAAGCAGCTTCAAACGAAGCAATGTTATCTTGGTCGCCATGTATAATGTATGTAGGTACATTGTACTGCCCTGCTTGCAGGCGGGCTGTCGGACAGATTGCTGCCTGTCGCTGCAGGCTGGGCGGCTCCCACAAAAGCTTCTCAATATTTCCTTCGGCGCCAGGTTGGCCATTAAGCATCAGAGATAGACCGTACTCCCTAGGCTCTCTAAAAAGCGATAGCAGAAGCTCAGAGCGCAGATCTCCGGACTTGGCCCAATTGAGTTCTGGGGAGTCCCCACCGTTTATACTGTAATTGCTGATGGGTTCCGATATGTTAGCCTTTAATATTTGCTCCCTCGTCATGCTATGAGGGATAATCGAAGCTCCACGATTAGTGAAAGCGTCCTTTGACAGGAAGTCTGTGGGAGCATAAAACGATAGAATTGCTTTCGGTGGAGTTTCCCCTGCAGCTCCGACTGTCCACGCACTCGACATTGCAAGGTGACCTCCAGTAGACCAGCCGATAACTGCGATCCGCTCTGTATCCAGCGCGATTCCCCTGTGGCGTAGAATGGATGGGAGTATACTTCTTGCCCAACTAAATGCATCGCGGACATCCGTCATTGCACCGTCAACAAGGTTGATCTCAGGGCAGAGCCGATAATCCAGGCTGATTGGCAAAATACCATTCAAAAGCAGATATGCCGTTTGAGCGGGGCGGATGGCCGTTCTCGAAAGTGTCATGTGCCCGCCGCCATGAAGCATCAGGGCAATGGGCATAGGCGCTGTTTTTGCAAGTGTTGGTACAAAAATGTCTGCTTTTATTTGAAGGGTACCTACCTCCTTGTAAACCACAGTTTGTTTCTCATGGAGGTTGGTCGCCTTAGGTAGCATGAAACTTTCACCAGAGGGGTCAGTAATCAGACGATTGCAGCCAATGAGCAGTTGCTGCGTGTTAGAATCTTCGGTGGTTCCTTGAGAAAACAGTCCGGAAGAAAATCCAGCTTTTCGAAAAGCAGTCATCCAAGTTTCGGCGGGCTGCAATGGGTAGGACAAACCACAATCGGCTAACCACCAACCTTCAAGCATTCCAAAAACAATGTCATACCAGTCGATAATGCGTGTAACTTCGGAAAGCACCATAAAACCGTCGTTATTGAGCATATCTCGTATCCGGCTTGTCGTGGCAGCCTTGTCACTTGTCGCATGCACGCAATTTGTGCCGATGATGATGTCGAACTTCCCCTTCATATGCGGAGGGACAGACTGTTCAAGATCGAACTTCTCGAACGACACCCAGCTGTACTGCACAAATTTTTTCTTGGCCTTTGATACCATGGTTGAAGAAACATCTGTGAATGTATACTCGACTATAATACCCGAGGCTGCAAGACGATCGACCAGTCTTGCGGTCGTACCTCCAGTCCCAGCACCAACCTCTAGAACTCGCAATGGGGCAGGCTGTGGCCCATTAGAATTACCTAGAGAGCCCATAATAAACGTCACTAGTTGGTCCGTTAGAGTAGAAAGCATCGGAGAATGTCCGTAATATTCTTCGAGAATCTTGCCGGAGCCGGCAGTCCCAAACAGCAGTCTAATCGGATCAGCATCGCCCTTGAGGCATTCTGCCAAATTAGAACCAGTGATGGCCATTAACTGAGCTTCAATTGAATAAGTTGCATGTTGGTTTATGAATTCTTGGTGTAGTTCAGAAGCAGATGGACTCAGAGCTGACTTTGCGCCACGGCAAATAGTTGCATTCTCACGGTTGATAATACCGTGCTTTTCTAAGATGTCCCATAGTCGCTGGACTATTTTCGAGTGCTTTGGCAGATGGGTGATATTTGGCACGCGGTTCCCTTTCTCAAGAGACGAAAAGTCTACTCCAAGAGTTGTGAACGCTTCGAGCACATACGCAAGGACCAACTTGTCCTGCTTAATTGCCACATCATTCCAGTAATTTTGAAAACCCCTATTTCTCGCCGCATTTTCGAATTGAGCATTAGAATAATGCAGTCCAGCTTGGGGGTCCATTTTAATGTACAGCTTCTTGCTCTCTATTGATGAATTCGACTTCGATGACGAGGATTGAGGTATGCCATCGGATGTGCCATGTTTGGATTCGGAATGGGCCACAACGTCCCTTGAGTTATTGGTCTCCCTAGCATCACCCGATACTCCGAGGGCAGCGAGTACTTCTTCAACCCTTGACTGTAGAGATATGTCGTCGGTGTTGAGTGCGGCTGTGGACTCGTCCATAAGGCCTGACAAAATTTCCGTTAGAGCAAGTGAGTCTACTCCTAGCTCCTCCAATGTCGTCTGAGCTTTGATAGATGGGGCAGAAACACCCGTAGTCTCAATTAACAGATCCGTCAACTTGTTTGCGAGGAGTATCGAGCCTCGCTGAGTTGGATCTATTGTCTCTGGGGACGGTCCTACCGAGTCGTTAACCCCACCCTGAATAGCCTGAATTTTCTCCTTGAGGCTTTTCCTCAGAGAAGTGCCATACAATCGATTCTCGAGTTCTTTAACGGTCATAGACAGTAAATCCTGACTATCAAGGATGACTTCATACGAAAATTGAAGTTCCCCTGCCATCTCACTTGCTGCCAATGAGTCCAGGCCCAAATCTGCAATCATAGCCTCGCCAAGTATACTGGAAGCAGCGGCACCGGTGTAAGTCTCAAGCATTTCTCGAAGAGTGTTTTCGCGAATGGAAGGTGGTGTCTCTATCTCGTCGTCACTCGACAAGGCGGTGCTCGTGTCTGAAGTAAGCCCCGGTAGTCTTTCAATGTTATGTGAAGTCGAGCTCGATAAAACACCATGATCGAGCCTCTGGGCTTGCTTACCACTAGTATTCCGGTTGACAGGATCAAGTAATCGCTCAAGTCGAGTTACATCAAGTTTAGCGAAGCGGCACCCGGTGAACGCTGCGGCGATAGTACCATCCTCTGAAAAGGCGAAAACATCTCCAATCGCCTGAGACGCGCTCGTTGGAGTGAACGAGGCGTGGACCGTCCAAGATCGGCAACCCACCATATCACAGCCTTTGCAAATCATTGAATTTTCGATCCCAGTACAGACCATGACCTCACGATCGTCAACCATGTCGCTAGTGTTCATCAGCAACCCAACTACTTGAATGAAGTTATCCAAAGACACAGCATCACAAACCCCGGCCACAGTGCTTTCATCTAAACCAGGTTGATCGGCCGGAATAGTAATTTTTGCAACGGCTTCGGTATCATTCATCAAAATGCTTGTAATACCCTTAAGGAACTTGTCATACGTGACCACCCGGGAGAAGAGGTCGTATGCACGTTTTGACAACATTCTTTCCGCGTCTTCATTTCCGGCAAGGGCCTCCATCCGTTTGCCAAGAAGCCTTGCCATCGTGTCAAGTTTTGAATCCGAAGATTTCATCAGCAGGCCTTTGGCATGAAGAGTAGTCTTCTCGTGGTTTGCGTTGTCTCGACTTATAATAGTGAATTCCCACCATTTGCCAGCGCTCTGTTCCTGAAGAGTTACCTCGACATGTTCTGCTCCAATGCCCAGAGGAGCTTGGATGTCTAGTCCCTCGAAGTCCAAATTCGACTTTTGCAGGCCACCTTCCACAATGTCAAGGGCCATTGCGGCACATTCTAGATAAACTGATGCTGGACACAATGGACGGTGCCTCACTGCGTGGCCAGAGACAATGCTCCTAAAACGTTCTCCACCCACAGAAATCTTGAAATGCTTTTTCTGCCCAGAGTTCGTTGTATTGGGTAGTAACGTAACCATATAGGGTCTGTTTAGTGGAGATTCTTCTCTTGTGGCCATTTCCGGTCGCTCCTTCAGCTGACGTTGTAGCTCAGCAACGCGATCAATATTATCAAGCCAAGCTGCAGTTGGATCAAACTGGTATGGAGGCAGCCATACCTGCTTGGGAACGCATTCAGTTTGCAAAAACGACCAGTGTGTTACATGTAGCGACGATTGCCACAAACCACAGATAATACGCGAAATGAGATTCGTGGCAATACCCTCGTCTTTTGTAGACATTGCATAGAAGAGGTGGCCATTGGACTGCGAAGTGGCCCTCCTTGTCATTGATATAATAGGCGTGTTCATACCGGCCTCGAGCCAGATGCATTGGCCATGTTTATGTTCGATCCGTTTCACGGTGTCTGAGAAGTATACAGGATTCCGTGCATGGTCCGACGGCATGTACATAATGTCAGACGGTGAAGAATCTTGGGCACATATCTCAATAGGAATAGTTGGCTCGTTCCAATCAAGTGAATAACTCACTTGATTTAGGTCTTCAAGGATCGGCTCAACCAGTCGGGAATGGAATCCATGGCTCGTGTCTATGTGCAGATACTTGATTGATGGCGATCTTAGCAGCAAATGGTTTTCCAGATCCGCAATCGCGCTGTGGTCTCCAGACACCACTTGACTTGTCTCAGAGTTATAGCAAGCTACCTCTAATTTGCTATTAGTGCTGGAAAGGTTTGTGCTAGCAATGAGTTGCTGCACGTCAGGTCGACTGGCAAATATAGCAAGCATCGAGCCCTTATCTTGGCCCCATTTCCTCTTCATCAAATCGGCACGAGCAGCAACGAGCTTAAGGCAGTCACGTATTGATAGCATGCCACTAACAGCTAATGCGGTCAATTCGCCCAAGCTATGCCCAACGATAGTCTTGACTTTTAATCCCGCATCGATCCAAGTGAGTGCGCTTGCGTACTGAATAGCCACAAAACCGGATTGCAGAACGACAATATCCGAGACGTTGCCGGTGTCAAAGACGGCCGGTAAAATGGGTGGGTGGCCTAACTCTTGCAGAATATTATCACACAGGTTCATATATGTCCGGAACGTGATGAAATGCTCGTATAGCTCTTTGCTCAGGCCGATAGTCTGTTTACTCTGTCCGCCAAACATGAGCACCACAGTGTTCGAAGTGGGTCTCTTAATCGTTGACTCCTGATCACTTAAGAGGGTCCTTATAAGCTCCGTAGTATCACATGCTTCAAATGCAGCATAGTGGCACTTGTGTCGTTGACGCTTTTCACTCAATGTGTAAGCAATTTCAGCGATGTTGGGCTGGGGAGTTGCTTTAGCAAGGTAGGACGCCAGTGATTTTTTATATGCCTTCAGGCTTGACAATGATGCTGCGCTGATGATAATCGGGTGTTTTAGACCGGGAATCGATACCGTATCGCCCTGTGGGGGGTTCGGTCCTTCGCAGCACAGAACGGCAGCATTTGAGCCAGCGGCGCCATAGGAATTAATCATAGCGGCGCGAATAGGAGCATCCCACACTCGCAGCTCCTTTGCAATAGCCATTCGGTCAGGCGCCAGGGCTGGTATTTTGGAATTCCAAGTTATATGACTGGCCTGGGGTGGTATGGCCTGATGGTCAAGCATGGAAATGACCTTGAGTAGACCCGCTACACCAGCAGCGGTTTCGCAGTGGCCAATGTTTCCTTTGATTGAGCCAATGTGCAATTCATCATTTCTCGTAGAGCTTCCAAAAACAGATCGAACACTTGCAACCTCGAGGGGGTCCCCTGCCTGTGTCCCTGTCCCGTGAGCTTCCACGTAGGTGACTTGATCAGGGCTCAAAACGGCTTTCTGAAGCACCTGTTTGTACATCTTGGCCTGAGCTGCAGAGTCCGGTATGGTTAAGCTACTGGAGAGTCCGCCTTGGTTGGTGGCAGCACTAGGTATAACAGCCATAATGTAATCGCCGTCTGATTGTGCCCTTTTCAGGGATTTCAGGACGACGAGACCAGCTCCCTCAGCTCGGCAGTAACCATCTGCATTTTGGTCGAATGGTTTGCATTGGCCTGTTGGACTCAAGAAGCCGGCTCTTGCCAGGTCTAGGAAATTGTTTGCTCCCGTCATTATGTTGATACCTCCGGTGAGAGCCATAGAGCATTCACCTCCTTGTATCGCTTTACAGGCACGATTAATGGCAACTAGGGAGGAGGAGCAAGCAGTATCAATGACCTCGGCTGGACCCGTCCATCCAAAGTAGTAGCTCAATCTACCGCATAAGAATGCTCTAATGGTGCCTGTTGATGTGTATGCAGTTGGCGGATGGGCATTCGTATTGTCGAGATACTCTATGAAGCTCGCTCCAATGAAACATCCCACGGCGTCACCATTTTCTCGCAAGTGAGATCGTGTGTAGCCGCTGGATTCCATTGCCTCGTAAGACAGCTCCAGCAGGATCCGTTGTTGCGGATCCATGTTGACCATCTCTCGTGGATTAATGCCGAAGAAGCTATTATCGAATCTTTCCGCACCTTCGATGAAATTTCCATAAAATTTGCGATTCTTGGTGAAATTTCCGGTTTGGGAAGCCCGAAAGCTACCATAGAGATCAAACCGATCGTGCTTTAGCTCCTGGTGTTTGTCCACGCCCTTTGAGATCAGGTCCCAGAGCTCGTCCATGTTTCTAGCGCCCGGAAGGCGACACGACGCACCAACAATAGCTATTGCATCCTCGGGGTACGAATAGCCGCCCAATATCTCACTACGCGCCCGCCGAGGGGGCTGGCTGCCCTTTCGCCCACTCCAATTTGTTTTTGCCATCCGAACGCCAAACATATTGAATGGCATTAGAGGAACACAATCTCCGATTCCAAAAGAGACAAGATTATGGGTGTCGATTCCAGTCCGGTTGAGGTCCGCGGCAACGTTTGAGAGAAGCTTAAACCATTCACATCGAGATGCAAGAACTGTTTTGACAATCTCCTCAGTCAGGGAACCTGCGGTAATACAATCGCCAGTCCGGTTTGACCTCACAGGAACTTGTAAAGATTCTGCTCGGGGAAGGTCGAGCAGAGCTGTCTCCCGGCATATGGCTACCAGTTCAGTCGCCAGATCTGCATTTTCTGGATTGTGTACTTTGCCTCGGATATCCATGCTCTGGACTAATAAGCCTTGCTGGTTGGCAAATGCCTGGAGGTCTGCCAATTGTTTCACTGGGCCCACTATGCTGACGGATTTGGGGTCTGTGATGGCAGAAATATAAGTCTAGCAATTATTAGCCAGTGTAAGATGTTGTATCATCAGTGTAGATGAGCACTTGCACGTGGGAACATTCCAACAAGCTCTTCAGCTTGACCTTCTCTTTTCAATCGGACCACTATCGTTGTGGTTCCCGGGATTCCTGAATCATCACCAAGCTCTGCGTACACTCCAATCGCATATGCGAGCCGAATCGCCGTGCAAATCAATTGTATGAGTTCAGGTTCGTTTTTTGCACAAGCAAGCGCGACGGCAGCTGGCAACCCTCCACAATACCCTTGAACTCCTCCAGAATCCCGAACCTGGGCAGTGAAGTCCGCATGTGTCATATCCCGGCTCTCCAGAAACTGAAAGTACTGAGTGATCTGAATGATGACTAGCCGCGGGAGAGCTACAATCCCAGAAGATGTGGAAATAACACCATCTGAGATGCCATCGACAAGCCACTCTATGAGTAGCTTCGCATAACGTGGGCCTTGTGAGAGCTGTGAAATCTCGGGGTTTTCCTGAGCGAGGATGGGCCATACATCCAGAAGTGTCGTAATATTTTGGACGATGTGTTGAAGGACATGATGATTTGTGATAAATGATTGTATCGAGTCAAGGTATGCTTGCTCTGGGGCCCTGCTCTGGGGACAGAAGACTGCCATAGAAACTGCCATGGTTGCAGCGTCTCCTTCGCCGTATGCCGTACGCCTGTATGAAAGCAAACCGGCAAATATAGTGTAAAGGTAGGATGAGGGATAAGGGATAAAGGGTAAGACGGAAGAGCGTCATATTCACCCTATTGCAGACGTGTGGTGTGGCGTTGACGATAACCATCTGTTCTCTCGCGAAGTATATCGCCGAGTGTGACTATCTACCGGAGTGGCCGAGGAACCAGTACAATAACTAGATCAGAGCCTGCCAACGACGATTACGTGCCAGATCATTATAATCGTGTCTTGGAAGAAGGGGTGTACTCCGTGCAGGGGTTGGGAACTGCAGACTAGAAGCTGCCAACACTTTCGGAGGGTTTCTCACACCCAACCTATCCTGTGTTACTGATGTTAACCGGATTAAACCAAAGAACTGTGTGCAGAAACAGCCGTTATCATACGGGGTTAATGACAAAGGTTTTGGCCAAAAATGAGCTTTAAATTCGATAGGGTCTTCTCCTTTACTGGCTTTCTAGCCGTCAATGAATTTCAGCACATGAGTAACTCACTTAGTGATCTACATTCCTATACAAAGTCTTAGTACGTAGCAGATCACCAGCTCTTCGACAACAACATGAAGGCGATGGATAGGTTTGGTTTCACCGAAGTTCGGAGGTTTGATAAGATCGGAGGCTAAATAAGACCGGAGGTTACATTAGTTCGGGGGGTTTAATGGGACGACGTACCAGCTAGATAGTCCGTACTACGAGTGTAACTCTCCGTATCTCTTTGAATTGCGCCCCCCTCCTCCCCTTTTCTTTTGGGCCGAAATAATCGCTTAATTTGGCACTCGCCCAGGTAAAGACTAACCTGAAGGTGTCGGCTTAACGTTCGCACGACCAGTTGCCTGTGAAACTGCTCAGTATCACCATTTATCGTCTATCACCGTCTATTAAAGTAAAGGAACACCTACTTCTGTTTGAAAATGGGAAACTCGAAGTATTACAACCTATACCAAATCATCATCTCTTCTGCTAATAGCTCAGCAGTTCTGAATTCGCCTTACGTCAAGGCATCGTCCTACCTACGCTGACAGTCTTGCAGCTCCCCAAGTTTTGGATTGCAGCAACGATACTGCTAATTTGCGTGAGCATCCTCTGAATAAATATGAAACTAAGAAGCATTTCTAAAGGTTGAATAGGCAATATCTGCGCGATTGGCCTACTTGGCCTTCTTCCATCCTCTCTCACAATACCCAGGGCCGAGATTATGGGCGATCTCACGCCTCCCATGGGCATGGCACGTTATCAGAGGTGATATATGGGAGCCGCTGGACAGATTCCATGATCAATATGGACCTATCGTCCGAATTGCTCCTGACGAGCTGACTTATATATCTCCTGATGCGTGGAAGGAGATATATGCAACACGGCCCCAATTGCTTAAGGATCCTCGCAGCCAAACTCCTCCGCTGAATGGCGCAGACTCGCTCTTCACGGCCGTCGGGGATGACCACAGACGGATCCGCGGAGCTTTTATCAACGCCTTTTCCGATAAAGCCCTGAGAGACCAGTCAACCCTCATCGAAAATTATTCAGGCCAGTTTATTGAAAGACTGAAGGCTGAGCTCGTTGATAACCCGTCTCACGTTGTCAATATTCAGCGGATCATCGGCTATGCTGCGTTCGACATCATCTCTGATTTGACCTGGGGCGAGTCTCCTAAGGCGTTGAGGATGAGCGGCGATCATAACTGGATCCACAGGTTCTTTCTCCATGCTCAGTTCAGCACAGTCCGCAATTGTCTCACTCGATTCTCCCCACTGGACAAGATCCTCAGCTATTTCTTCCTGCGCATCACATCAAAGCAACGAATAGCTAACGCGAAGCTAACTTCGGCCCGAATCGATCGTCGACTGGCCGCAGGCCACACGCGCTCGGATTTCATGACTCCTATCATCGGCAAGATCAGCGAGGATGGTCGCAAAGGTATCACCAAGAATGAAGTGCTGACGAACGGTCTGGCAGCCGTGATTGCAAATTCGCAGCTTTCGACCATCGCCATGACCACGGCTACATACCTACTCCTACAATACCCACACCATTTCCAACACCTGGCCAAAGAAATTCGCAATGCGGGCTTCGAACATGAGACGGATATCAAAGTCTCCTCAACACAATCCCTCCCATACCTCGACGCAGTTATCAATGAGGCCCTGCGTTTGCACCATCCCACGCCAGGAAGCCTGCCAAGAATTGCACCAAAGGACGGGTTGGTAATTGGTGGCAAATATGTGCCTGGAGGGACGGTAGTCGGCGTCAATCTCCACAACGTCCACAATCGATCCGAAAACTTCTACAAGCCACGAGAATTTCATCCCGAGAGGTTCTTGGGCAAGAATGATCCAAGGTATAGTGCGGTGTTTGAGGGTGACCGTAAGGAGGCGTTCCAGCCGTTCTCGATGGGTCCTAGGAATTGCATTGGTGCTAAGTAAGTCATCAGCCATTTTTCATGCACATTTATATTTTGACAATTGGAAGCATGCTCACAACATTTTTTTCTATTCAGAGTCTTCTTAGCGGAGGCACGAGTAGTTCTCGCACGGTTAATCTGGACCTTCGACATGCTGCTAGCAGAGCCGGAAGCGTTAACTTGGCTTGACCAGAAGGCATGGCTAGTCTTTGAACCGAAACCTCTAAGGGTTAAGTTATATGTAAGATAATTGATAAGGCGTAATATGCGGGCAAGCTTAGTTGCCACCGTTAGATGCTGTCTTGTTGAGGGACTCGGGAGAGATATAATAGCATTGTTTCCACGCCCTAATTTTAGCACCGCACCATGTCACCCAGGGCTATCAATGTCCAAGAAAAATAATCAAATCGCAGTGTTTTTGACAAAGGAATGTGCAATAGATCTCTACCAGGACCCGTAGTGAGCCATTATCAGGCCCATAATTTGCGTAAAGGGGCGGACCGAGAATAAGTATGCTACCCTGTAACGTCCTCTGTTTGAGCCAGAATACAAAATATAACGCTCAAAAGTAACGTTTTCAGAGGCTATGAGACTTCATTCCACGGCGTGCAGAACGTAAGTAACGTCTGTGACTTGTAAAATCCAGGTAACAAGGGTAGCAAATTCCCAATTATTTCACTGGAAGTATAATACTAGGGGCAGAACGGAAGTGGAGTAGAAAAGCATTAATAAATATGGGGGATATAGTACTTTCCGGCCATGGGCCAAAGAAAATCAGCTCGTTGAAAAGGATAGACCCCATCAAATACATCACCCATCGCGGTAGAGTATCTTAGACATCGGTCCTCTCTGTCCCCCTAGGATCGCCGTTCTCGTGCTCCTCGTTCCCCTTAGGTTTCTTTGCCTTGATGTTTCTCCACTCAACGGTCAATACACCAATAATCGTGAGAGCTGCCATAATAGTGGCAACCAAGAAAGCGCGATCAAGGGCATTGTTATATGCCAAAGTCACCCCTGGAAGGTATTCCTTGTCAGTCGTCCTTTGGATACTAGTTGCTCCCGTCTGTAATACGATACTGGGGTTAAGAGTTGGCACGTATTTCGCGAGGTCGATTGCTAGCTTGTTGACAAAGACGTTTTGGCCGATGGAAACAAACAAGGCTCCACCCAGAGTCTGTAGAAAGTACATCACCGATGTGCCAATCGGAACTTCAGAGAGGACGAGTACGGTCTGGACGACGATAAGAGGTTGTTGGATCCCGCAGCCTATACCAATGCCAACCTAAGTCCCGATAAGTCAGCTTTTTAGTACAGAGACAGGGCAAATATGCTCCGCATATGACATGTTTACCAATGCTTGGTACCCAATCCACTCAGGATGGCCAGTATTAGGTTGAAAGGTCGTCATTAAACCTACTCCTACGGTAGAAAATATCGAGGCTGCGACCATAAAGGGCGCATCTATTCTGATTAACTATCCGCACGTTTCTCCAGAGATGATAGATAGCAGTAACTTACAGTAACCAACAAGGGTGACAGTAACCCCGGAGACAATCGAAACTATGACCAATCCTAGGATCAATGGCAGACTCATAATGCCAGATTTGACCGCCGATGCGCCTTTGACAGCCTGAAACCACACTGGAAGGTAATAGATCAACACGAGGAAGAATGAACCCATAGTAAAGGCAAACCAAGATGCACTAGCTATTGATCGTTTTGTCAGCATGCGTGGTGGAACAGTAGCAGAGTCTCCTTTCCAGAATTGGATCCCGACCCATGCTACAATCAGGACACCAAAGAGGACGAAGAGGAGGATGATCCTCCAACTAGACCACGCATACGTAGTCCCGCCCCATTTAAGTGCTAGAAGCAGGCAGATAATAGCCGGCATAAAAACTAAACTAGTAAGCTCGACCCTTCTTCGTCGAGTCAATTCTCTTACCAACTGTGCCATGTAAATCAAACTCCACCACACGCTCTTTCCATCCAAGATTATCGACTTTGGCTCTTTCAGGTGACTTAAAATAGACCAGAATAACGAGGACAGCGATAGCTCCGATTGGAAGATTGATGTAAAAACACCACTACGGAAGGTCAGTCAAAATCAAGTACCAGCTTGGTGTTTACTCCATCCACATACCCTCCACGTAACCTTGTCGGTGAAAACACCACCGAGCAATGGGCCAGCAACAGATGCGATGCCGTACATAGCGCCAATGAGGCCGGTGTACATTGGTCTCTTCGTAAGTGGGACGGAGTATGTGAGAACTGGAACCCGTATGTGTTAGCGTATCGTCCTAAAGCGAGATGGGTCTAGATATAGATATTCTTACTAACTAAAGCACCGCTAGAAATGCCTGCAGACCCTAGGCCCGCAATAGCTCTACCGCAAATCAATGCTGTTGAATTTGGAGCCACGCCACAGACGAGCGAGCCTAGCTCGAAGATTCCGATCGCGGTTAAAAAAACCCATTTAATCGAGACGCAAGTATAGAACTTCCCAAAGAGCAACTGGAACGACGACTGAGTCAAAAGGTAGGCTATTAGATATTGATGATTGGTTAGCTTTATTAGTTCAAGAGTCATGCTAGGGGAAGGTGGGACGACGGAGCGGAAGGGAGTGGTGGACGCGATGGACATTTGCTCATATAAAAACAGAAATAAAAACAGAAAAGGCAAAAGGAAAAGAGCAAATTTAACATACAACTTCCATACCATCCAATGTCGGACTGACTGTGGAATTGGTCCGTAACTAAAAAAAAATACGTTAGTTGACGAATCGAAAACCGGCTGGTGTCTATTCCCACATACTCTTTGGAATGGCCTACAACGCACAAGTTAGCATTGTAAAATTAGGACATGACAGGAGAGAACCTCGCGCCTCATGCCTTATGCCCTAAGAAGCCCAAACGGTATATATAGCTAGCAACTCTCTCGATAAAACTACTTACAGTTGCGATGATTGTGTTATCCTACTATTTTTTAGCAAACATATCAAAAACCTTAAATCATGTAATTGAAACTAGTAACATACCAAAGCAGTTAAAAACACCGAAAGGCACAGACTTAGGTTGATCAAGAACAGTGGAATGCCACTAGGATATTCAGTAGCTTCTATTTCTAAGGCGAACTCTCCCGATTTCTCTTCTAATTCGGCATTGGTCCCCTTTTCAGGCTGGACAGGGGGTGACTCTGGCTCATCGCCCTGCTGTGAACCCACCGACCGTGCAACCTCTACTGTGTTGTTTTTGACCTCCATATTGGAAATGAAGGGTTGAGGGTGTTAGCCGCGTCTGATTTAAGGGGGAGGGAAAACACGAACTAACAACAAAGACAACACTAGCTGAAAACTTGAGGACGATTTTTCTACGCCCAGCTCATAGCTCGAGAGTTTCGGGGGCGTTGCTGTAGTCATTATATAAAGACTGTGTGCAGACACACTCAGCTACTCCTACCGTCTTATCTCCGTCTTAACGGCGCCAATCGGGGCATTTAGTTGGTTCATGTGGGTGGTTGCTCGCGAGATGATTCATTCCCGGGAGAAATGTTCCAACTAGTCAGGGAAACCGGGGATCATTAATTAATGATTGCTGATACCCTTTCCCTACTTCTTATAAAAAGACAAAGGTACGCGATCAAATTAAGAGTGCACCAGTCGTACTAGGCCGTGCACCATTTGGCTCAGTTCAGCTTGGCGTCGTTCGGCTCGGGCCGTAAAAACTCCGATAACGACCTAGGTACCTAGGTACCTACCTAATACCCTTTCTGGTTCTGCTATAGTACCAGCAGCCTTGACCAGCGTAAAGCCTTTCTAGTATCCTCCATATATTGCTTCCACGAGAGTCTGTCTATACGGCGGTCCGAGGAATTCAGAAATTGGTGTATGCCGATTCTCAAGGTGCATTTAATAAGCACCGACAAAAGCACCTCCGAAGCAAACGTATAACCCAAGGGATAACAAGGGTTTTGAGCCAATGAAGCTGAACAATTTTAGTTGGCCCTGTACATAGTAGCGTCAGATTGCGTAGGCACTTTCGAAACTTCCTGATCGACATTACTGAGGCCAGGGATCTGCACAGCCAAGCTCCTAACAGCCGCGCCACCAACCTTCAGCTTTCAAAACAGACCTTGTTACACAGACTCGGGAAGGATAAAGTGATGCCTCGTGCATATTTTAACGGAATTTTCCCAGCCCGAGCTTACTATAGTCTCATGAGAATGTCAATGGTGTCCGCCCCATCGAGGGTTTGTTAGTACTGAACCACCTACACATCCGCTCGGCTATATATAGCGTCTGCGCCAGATATTGATACTAATATTCCATCATTTGCACATCTCGAGGCGACGAGTTTGCTAAATCCAGGTATGTTCTTCAAAACGCTTAGAAGAGAGTTTTCGGTCCATGCATCCGATTGTGATGCTTGAGGTGACAAGCCATTAGCCACTTGAAGAGGACTATGATTTCCCAAACGAAAGAGCCCGGTCATGAAGGAGGCTCTGGCGACGTCGCACCGTTGTACGGGTTGAGGAATTCCTGTGATCCATGCCACTCTTCCAAATTGAGATGCAGTCGAGAGAAGCCAACATGTGCCCGCTGCAAGAAAAATAGAACTGTTTGTATTTACAGCCCAACGAAGCCTCCAGGAAGACGGCGTAGAGTTACGACCGTGTCGAGTGCTGGCCAAGGTGCTATGGCAAATCCATCATATTTAACAAATGCGACGAGGGTAGATAAGACGGGGTCGGATCAGACAACCTTAGCAGACAGCCAGGAGGTAGCAACCCCAGCCTACGCCAACTCACATCCCACGAACCCGGCATCACAATGGGATGCCCTACACACCGTGATGGACAATGAGGATTTCGAACGATACATTAGCGGTTTAGACTCTCTTGACCCATCAGCAATGCTAGATACCCAACTATCTAATGTCGACCTTTTGGCAACGCCAATCAACAATACTGCTCTTGATATAGGTGGGGGTGACGGGGCTCACACGACAAATGAGGATCGCTGGCTGGCACTGGATCCTACCAGCGAAGGATTCAATATCCCGGACCTCGTAACAGCGCCGGGGTCCAGCTCTCAAAGTACCGACCAATCTTTCTCGACGCCAGATTCTTCCTGGCTTTCCAACTCGATGCAGTTTTCGGCGGAGTGTGTCTCCCTCAAGCAATGGGCGTCGTCTTCTCGACCGCTGCTGCTGTTCAGCAATGTCTCTGAGCCGCAGGACTTGACCGATGTCCAGTGCCTCTGCTACTCTGCTGTGGCGAACCTCCAATTTCACAGCAAGAGCGCGTGCAACATGCAACCTGCTGTAGGCCTAGGGGCGTGTCTACATATGGAAAGGCTCCTCCGCTGGACCTGGACCATCCATAAGGGATGCCAAGGTTGCCGCAACGATGAGTTGGTCAAATTTATAGTGGCCGGCGTTACCAATCAAGTGGTGGGCACCTTCCGAACCATCATCGACGACAACGCGAAAGGGCTGCATGGAGGCGTGAGAAGCGTAGCCCACAGCGTGAATCGGCCACTAGACATGAGGCCGCAGGAAGAGACGCAGCGGTCTCTGTTCGATTGGACGAGTCTGAACTTTGGTTCGAAGAGCATCCATGGCGCTGCCAAAATAACTTTTCTACGTCGCTTGATGGGCCTAAAACTTCGTCAGATTGGCCAGTTGCTAGAGGACCTCGTGGATGGAAAAGGCTCGGAGCCAGGCAAAGAATTGGCACAGGCGCTCCGAGTGCTTATTTCCGGCATCTCAGAGCGTCTCAATGTAACCACTGGTATGTTGTCGACGCTAGAATGAATGCGTTTTGCCTATGGAGTACGTCGGTGTATTTTCATGCCCAGGGAGTTGGGGAGTTGTGACCGTGAGGTAAGGTACATACCTAAGGCACCTAGGTAGTCGGACTGTAGTAAGATTAACAAGGGCGCTTTAGGAGAAAGGCGGTGTGTACCAATCACTTGCCCAAGAACATTGTCACACAGTATCTTAAATTGCTTATTCGCGCAAGCCCCCTTCAACATCGCGGTGCTACTCGTACATAACCTCAAGTGGATTGGGGGACGTGACAGTACATATTAGTCACTTCTTTGTGCGACATTCTTGTTACGGCAGTTGGGATATCAATTCCAACGCCATACGAAGTACTCGGTAGCGGAGTATATTAGTAGAGTTGACGTGTCAACTGCAATCGTATCATAAGTGTATAGGTAGTTGCCGTTTGTTGCAGCGCTATGAGTCGTATATAGAAGTGACTCATAGTCCAGGAAGAGTCATGGCAATATAGAGAATGGGAGAAAGAGCTCAGAAGCGGGAGCTGTCAAAGTCAAGCCAAATTAATGTAGGGACCAATGGATTATCATCCGTCGTCGTCGACATCGTCTGCATGTCTCGGGTTAACCCTTAACCTTTGACTCGGTCTTAAGTTTCTCCGTACTTTGTCTCCAGGCTCCTTCATCACAAGACGGGGTTGTGGGCGCTGGATTGGATCATCATTTTTGCGACATGCAACAAACTTGTTCACCTGCAACCCTTTCGCACAATGTGGGGTCACAATACGCAATCCGATTGGGCTGGGCGGAAAAAGGGCGTCAAGAGGGCGATGTGCGATATGCGACGAATTATGCACGTTGGTATAGAGCACGTGCAAGCTTGATAATAGAGGTACGAATTACAAAGTCTTGCCAGAGAGCAAATGCAAAAAAGAAGAACGCCAAGCGCTCGGATAGAGAGTAAGAGAAGCTGGTAGTATACACTTGGCAAGTGGAGGTTTAGAAAACTAGATTTTTAGGACGGGCCATTTTCAGAGCGATGACGAGTAAATCGCGGCGACTGTTTTACATATTAATGCTATAGCATGCTAGTATCGTTGTTATCATGATGCAAAATATCTTGCGAAGATACATTCCCTAGAATGGTCCTTCTGAGAGAGATGCGCAACTAGAAGCCTTCACTTCCTTAGAAGCCATCTAAATCGTCTGTGCAATCGCTCGTAACAACCTGACCAGGGGCTTTCTGCTCAGTCTCCCTGTGTTCTTCCTGTTTAGCTATATCCCGAAGCTGGTTGTCGCTGTCGAGCAGCAAATCCTCTTCGGTGTTTTGATCTTGGAGGACCCTGCCTGTAATTCCGCTGTGGTGTTGCTTTCTACTTCCAAATATTGGGTCATCGCCAAGCTCGTCCTTATCGGTACCACTCCTACTGCTTCCATTAACTTGATTTTCCTTCGTTGTCCTATGGCCACCACCATCTCTTCTAGGACCAGGTATATTCTCATCGCCATCCAGCCGGACCGCCCTACCCGTAGCGATTTTCTTTTTATCGTATTCCTGAATTACGTCCTCGCTCATATTCTCAGCAGGCTCCCAGGTATTATCCCAGTCACCGACCCATTTGACGAGGTAATATTGTTTACCCTCAAGGATTGCGTCGTCCAGAATGTCATCAACTGCCCATTCATCACCTTCATTTTCGTTCTCTAGATCCTCTCCTTCTTCCTCTTCGGAGCCAAGTCCCCCCTTGGAGGCGAATGTACCGGGCGTGAAGTGAGATCTGATATCTGACTTGGAGAGCATGGTTGGGCCGGGCCGGAAGTTGGAATATCGTCGCGCTATAGTCTGCCCTTCAGGTTTCTTGCCAGACTTGCTTTGAGATTGCTTACTCTTGCGCTCTAGGCGTTCGATAGCGTTCGATGCCTCCCTACTAGAGACACGAGCGCCTGCATCTTTATTAAAGAAACTTGAGTCGTTCCCTGTTTGCTTTTGTTTGCTGTTGGGATGGAAGGAAGCTCTTGCCCCAGGCCGTGAGGGTAGCGATTCAAATTTTGAAGATGGCTCTGGTATAGCACGGGAAGTATGTGGTGGCATTGGTGTAGTTGTTGTAGACCGAGAAGACTCATTCCTTGAACTAGAGAGATGACCCATGGCATTCAGCTGGTCCACAATGGCAGCATCAGTATCATATAGCTCCTCGTCCATCCCACCAAAGTCCATCATTCCAACAGCCATTAGCCCTTTGACTGGCGTTGTAAGCGAGGGGCCTTTTGATTTGTGGGATGTCGTTGGCGATGCAAAAAGAGGCTGGTCAGCTACGGGCTTCCTTCTCCTAGTCGGCCCAGCTATAGCTGCTACAAGAGGGACAGACTCGGATCTTGTAGGTCTCGGCCGTGGAGTCCGGTCATCCAGGGTTTGGCGCTTCCTCTTTTTCCCAGTTGTAGGTTTCGTACTTTGACTAGGCTTGGTAGTGGAGACGTTTTTCCTCCTCTGGTTCTGACCTTCGCTGTCTGTACTTTTCCTTCTCTTCGTATCACGTAATCTGCTGATCTCAAGTTCAAAGTTTTCAAAAGTTCGTGGGGAAACCCAATCTAATATATTCTGTGGTTTGACGCCAACACGCAACTGGGGTTTTGCCTCGTATCCGACGAGGTAGAAGAAAGGCGCCCCGTAAGATTCAACTTTCTCAAGAATAATTGCATCCTTATCGTGAATAGGCATGCCTGAGATGGGTGCAAGTGGCGGCCCTGAGTTAGGGATATATTTCGGTCGTTCAGCCACCACAAAGTCGAAGTACGAAGTACCCGACTTTTCTCCTCCCCAGCCAGGTCCAGCCTGGTCGAAATGTTGGGTTATAGGCATAACTCCTTCGAGCGAAAACGGGACGAGGCAGTTTCATGCCATTTGTCCTATTTGCCGATAAAAAGGATATGCCGGTGAGTTGGAACCTACCTTGAAGGTTGATTGAATGAATACCTTCCAAAGTATGCGGTGGCTTTACTACGGTGTACCTTCCGAACCGTAACCGCTGGAGGTCACGTGAAGCAGCCCAAACAGTCCGTACGTCGAAGTAAATGCTTTTAGCAGCTGGTAAGGAACCTAAAGTAGATATGGAAATATTGAATAAGCTAAATAAATTTTTGGAACTAAGCTCCTTTCGCTTTGTGGGAAGTGTTATTTTGTGGAAGAGTTGTAGGAGGACACAGAGTTGGAATTAGAGGAAGACGAGGCCTAACATAGGCAATTACCCAACTGGTTCCATTTTTGAAAGAGATCTTTTATTGACATTTAGAACTAAATAATCAATCTTTATTTCCTTTTCACTATATTTTCAAGATACAACTAAATTTGGCGATGATGTCAGTTCGAGTCATTATTGGCCAATAAACGCCTAAACGATACAAGCGCGGTTGCTATCGTGACAAGAAAGCTCCTACTTCGTAGAAGCTACATCGGGTCCCCAGCGCCACCATCTCTACCACCTTAACGACCTTACGACTATCGCGGCATCAACCACAATCGAAAGTCAGCAAGATGTTGTACATAACCCCCACTCTGCGTACAGCAGCAATTGGCTGCAGGATGCAACCGGGGCTCCTCACTACCAGCACATACCATACCACAGCTCCCCCGCTCCAAGCACAAGACCGCCCATCCACAGCATCACGACGACGAGTATCTCTCCCAAAGCGACATGTATCATTCAAGACATCCGGCCTGACAACTCCTACAACCCGCTCCAACTCTTCAATCAGCAGCTCCCCTTCCGCCGAAGCATCCGCAGGCACAACTAGCTCACAACCCCAGCAAGACCTTCTTGACTGGAACACTTTCTTCAAGCTCCGCAAGACGCGCCGCTGGTACCAGCTCGGCTCATCCATAGGCACCTCGCTCAATGGCTTTATACTCGGCGCAGAGGTCCTCACACGGACGGATATGGAGAAGGTTGTTTCGCAGATACCTCTCGATCCGTTCATCACCTTAGGCATGATAACATTTGCGTGTGGAGGAATGGGATGGCTGGCTGGCCCAATTTTGGGCACAGCTGTGTTCAACTGGCGAAACCGCAAGTTTAGGACGCAGATGGATCTGAAAGAGAAGGAATTTTATAGGAGGATCAAGGAATACAGAGTTGATCCCAGTGCTAGCTCCATGGCGAACCCAGTACCTGGTAGGTTTCGCATGCTCCCTTCTTTCATATTTTGTTAGTATCTGCGGATGAAAGCACATTGTTCTGACGTAATATATAGACTACTATGGCGAGAAGATTTCGAGTGTGGCGGGCTACCGGCGATGGTTGAAGGACCAGAGGGCCTTCAATAAAAAGCGACAAACGTATGTAAAATAGGGCGAGACCATTGAAGTGTGCAAGGAGGAAAGCTTGTCGGACTGGATATTCACATATCGTTTCTTTTGTTATGGAGGGAATGGAAACTGTTAGCTATACGATGCTAAGCCACTGGCGTTGCAAACTCTCCCATTACTGGGATCATTGAAGAATATCAAACCCTCTTCTCAGATGCATATCCATCCCGTCAGTATTCGGGCCAGGAGCTATCCACTTGTTGTTTCCACGCCCTTAATCCCCCCTTTATATCTCTGATTTCCCGGGTTCCATTTTTGTCCAGTCCACTGTCTTGCAGTTTCTTCGCGACCACTTGACTGTCATTGCCAAGTCTGCAAACAACGTATATGGGCGCATCTGGAGAAAGGGTCATCGACAGCCAGCTAGGGCATTCTCCAGCTTGGACCAGTGCTCGATTCCCTTGAAACGTCGAGAACGGAACGTTAAGAGAGCCGTCAATACTGCAAATATCAAACTGAACCTTGTCCCGCACATCAACCAAAAGGTGTTGCCTTCCCTCCAATCTCATTCCCTCGTATTCCCTTGCCTCGATCCTCATTTCTGGCCCCAAAATACTCACCGGTGCCGCAACACCGCAGAAAAAGGCATAATCCATAGCTTTCAGCGTTTCTAAAGTCATAGCCGCATTTGCTGAACAGGCGAGACATTTTGGGTTCCTGCCTCGCATTTTGAGACTCCGGAATTGAGGATTACCATTTGCGGCGAATAACAGCATGGTATTCGATCGCTGTTCCGCCCTCATTAAGTCTCCTCCCAGCCTCCCTTCGGTAATCACTTTAATAGCTTCCAACGCTTGCATCACACCCATAACCCCCACCACGGGACCGATAATACCGCCATCACCACAGCTTACGACGCTTTCTGCTGGGGGTGGCTTAGGGAATACGCAACGGTAGCAAGGCCCTCCTTTCTCGTCTCCAGAAGGAAGAGGGGGGCAGTTTAGGACGATTAGTTGCCCTTCGGTCTTGAGTGCAGATGCGGAGACGAGCGGCTTTTGGAGAAGCACGCACGTATCGGAGATGAGATAGCGAGATGTAGGATGATCAGTGCAATCAAGGACAAGATCATAACTAGATACAATTTCCGCTGCGTTCTCAGGCGTGAGGTGCGTGGCGTGGGCCGTGTATTTTATTTGGGAATTTAATCTATTTAAGTATTAGCTATTTCATCACGCAAAATAAGACAGAAGTATAAGGTAAACTTACGATTTAAGATATGATATCACGCTATCCACTTTCTTCATCCCAACACTAGATGTATTGTGTAGAATCTGGCGGTGCAAATTAGATGTCTCTACGACATCGCCATCGACAATCCCTATAGTGCCTACGCCAGCGCCGGCAAGATACACTGAAGCAGGGCAACCTAGTCCTCCGGCTCCTACGAGTAGAACAGAGGCAGATTTCAAACGTAATTGGCCTATTCAATTATTAGCCATGAATATAATCAAAATAGAAAGAACTCAATTAAATTTACCTTGAATCCCAATATTAGGGACAATCATCTGCCTCCCATACCTCTGATATTCCTCTGCGGACAACGGCCATTTGCTCTGAGTCACGGGGCCATCTTGCTCAAGGGCGGTCTTTTCTTCGACTTTTGAAAGCTGGTCTTTAAGTCTCTTCAACTCGTCTTCTGTTTCCAGAATTTGGCGTCGAAGAGCTTCTGCGCTATCGTTGGCAGTCTCCATGTCATGTTTTGCGTGGTGGGGGAGGTGGGGTTTGTGAAAATTGTGAAAGCTGCTTCATAAACCCGTCAAGCTTTTTGTGGAGTGTACGAATTAAGCTTATCTCATTGGCTTGAGCTTCGAGATACACCGCGAATTTCCTGCAAAACACAACCACCCGGTACAATTACATTTATAGCATTCAAAGCAAAACCTTTCTCAATCCCAAAATACGGCTCTATTTCATAGCCAAAACTTCGAAATACATCAGTCATGGTAGGGTTCCCGCCATTCCAAACACCTAACTGCACTCTGCAATGCTAATCCTTTCCCCAGGCCCCAACAGTCCCCAAAAAGCGGCCCTCAATCCGCAACAAAACGCAAAAGTCTGGCTCAGGCTTGATATCCCGCCCTACCCCAGCTCACCGTGAAGGCGCAGTCGTCTCGGACAGTTTTATATCCTCGAAAAAAGACAAACGCACAATCAAGCACTCGGCTTTCGTGAACCGGATCGAGAAAGCACATATGAAACCCCTAAAGCGTCGGAGACCGGGCAAGAAGCTGGTCACTACCATGGAAGGGTTGGCAGATTCATTGCCGGAGATTGAGGAAATATCGAAGGCGAGCAAGGAGGGTCAAAAGATTAAAATGGATAGCTTGACGAATGGGCCGGGATTAATGAAGCGGAGGGGCAAGGTGGAGAAGGTCGAGAGGGAGAGATTTGGAAAGAATTTGGCGCAGTTGATGGGCGCGCAGAAGGCTGCTGGTGGTGAGACCGTGGCTGAAGCACAAACCGATAGTCAACAGCCGTCTGCGACGGCATCAAGATTTGCGGCTTTGAGGGCTTGGATAGGACAAACTATGGAGAAGGAGAAGGCATTTGAAGAGAAATCGTAGGGGATGCCTTCATTTGCTTGTCTAGCGCTCATTTCGTGCTCCCCCACCACGCTGAAAGAGTATGACCTCGGGGTTAGAGAAACGGCCCCGAGGAGGCAAAAGCACAACAAGACGGCCCCCGTTGTGCAAAACGTTAGGTCGCTATCATCACAGCTAGATGATGCGGCATGCTGCAAGTATGCACACCCTGCCTGGTGACACTCCTTCACAATATCATCCAGCGTCTATCATTGCTAGGATTTTGCTATTCTCTCATCAGGGCGACATTTCCCGCTCGTCCACTAGGCTACATAGCCTCCGCCTCCTTGCGAACGGCGGAGTTGACTTCTAATGGCCAGCGGGCCAAAATGCCAGCGCTTCTAGCGGCGCTTGATTAATGGCGCCTCTGACGAAAACGCACCAAGACTCGCCGGAAATTTTGGGCATGGAGATACGGAGTTAGTTCGATGGGAACGCTTTGATTTGGGCGAATGCTGGAATGGAGTTGATGAAGCAGAATGGGGTAGGAAATACTTTCCCAGAGGCTATGAAAGTTACTAAACACGGTGAAAGGCCGATATAGCTGAATCAGTGCGTTTCGCAGTATACATAGCTAGCTGTTCCTCTATTAGGAAGCATAAAATAGTCATGCTTGAGGGGTCTCAATAATATTAGATACCATTTGACGATTAATTAAGGCAAGCCCTGTAGGCGGTTGAGTCCTCTAGGAAACCAATTTGCTCTCTGCAGTCGTCTTTTCGAAGCTAATCACATGTTTTCCGCGGGCCTGTTTTGTCACGATACTTCTGACTTAAGCTTTATATATATTGAATTAAGCAAATAGCTGTCACATACGACCATAGACTGAGGAGAAATGGGCATCCCGTCCGCTCTGCCATACACAAGCCTCAGATCGGCAGATTAGTAGTTGGGTGGGTGACCACCAGCGAATACCTGCTGTTGTATGTTTTTATTTTTTTGGTACTTTATAAGGTATGGTTAGATGTGCTTCTTTTGGATATACGTCGTAGTGGAAGCGAGATAGTCGGAACCAAATAGGAAAGGACGGTCTTTATAATTAACTAATACAAGATACGAAAAGGAATAAGCTCTAAGAATACCGCTGTTACACACGTAACGCTCTAAGTTGGAAGAATGGTACATTCTGGCATGGAATTCTATTGAGTAGCTCCACGCACTACTTTCTTTTAGCTGCTTTCTAAGAAATCTTCCAGCGGTACGTCTGCAATCCTTCCTCTAGTCCTTCTAACTCCCGGATCCCCTCCTTGCTCACTCTATCCTAACCCGCTATACACCCTGAGCTCCCCATACGCGATACACCCCGATCTCCCTATACCATATCAAATGCGATCAACCTAGCCGGACGATATAAAAATATTTACAGACGTGAATTCATAGCCCCGTACCCTCCCTGCCTTGTGGTAAGAAGTCCGAAAGGACTAATATCCCGCTCCGGCCGTTCCGGTCACTCAAACAGAGCAGCGCCTTCATCATCACATTAAACGAAGGGTTTGAGGAATAAAACAAAATACTCCAAGCGCCTCATGCTAAAGGTATAGGTCGTGTATCATATGATAACGAATTGCGAATGCGTGGATCTAAGAATCGATTCTGGGCGGACTCCGCGAATCATTACTCTTGCCTTTTCGGAAGGGGCTAGAACTGCGACTTTCTTCGGTCCTATAATTCCGAAAGGAAAAGAAGCACAGTTAGCATTCATTCATACTCTAGCGATAGAAACTAAGAAATTGCGTAAAGGCGACAAGAGAATGGCGGGTATGGAGGGGCACATGACATACGATCTTCTCCTTTCGCCCTCCTTCCTGAACCCCTCGATAATCTTCAACATCTCCTTCCTCCCACCCGCCGCATCTACAAGTTTATTGCCCATACTCATGCTAACCTTCTCTCTCGAATTGGCGCTTAGCAAGCGCGTCAGAAGCAGATGCCGCATCTGTATACACACATACACGCCACAATCACTGCCATTTTCCTGTTGAGGCGAATCTTCTAGGTTCACGAATCGCAGATTCCTTCCTAGCAGTGCGCCAAGCTGCCGCGTTGCATGGTTCGCCTCGTGGAAATTCGATGGGGATAGGGAGTCGTAGTGAAAGGCGACGCCATCGATCACTGATACTAGAAGTAGGGACCAATGTGAGCCGCCTTCTGCGACAGAAGCGTTCCGCGCATCGTTTATAGGTAGGAATATGTGTGTTGTTTTGGAGAAGTCAGGGAGGGCCTCTTTGAGCGTGAGGGGATTCGGCGTTTGCATTAGCATAAACGCCATCGACGGACGTAGGAGCACTATGTTCGAGTTCGGGTATTTTCGTAACTGTTCACGTTCGAGATACCTACAATGGTCAGCATATCATACTGCAGAAGTGGCCGAAAGCGGTGCGATGCGGTGCGTACTCTTCCCAGAATGCTATGGTCTGCTGCGCATTAGCGGGAGAACAGCGTGCCAGAGAAAAATGGGGCGCTTGCATTATCCGTAAGCCAGTCGTTCTTGAGTGTATCTACATCTTCTTTCGTGACTATCCGGTCATTAACACATGCTTCATTTCGTATATGTGATCTCAAGGGAACGAACGCCGTATATCATAGTCTTTGAAATGGTCAGAGCAGTACTTCTAGAGGGTCCCTGATATGGTATACTCACAGCTCAAGTACGCATCATCGGGTGCCAGCTGAATAGTGTCCACGCGGCGAGTTAGCTTTCAAGGTTTACAGTATGGTAATCCATCATTTATTTGAGGAGAATGCCACGGAGGTCTGAGCACGGCGCAGACTGTAACTATGAAGTCTAGGGATGGAACGTACGGAATCGCCAAAGTGCCTGCTAACGCGTCCTTTAAACGGGTGGAAACCTCCTTTGCTGCCCATCTTTATTATCCTATCGCGTCCGAGGCGATCTGGGTTGTCAAGAAGGGAGGCGGGGTCCCTGGAGTGGGAAAGTAAGGCTATTCGACCCTATAGGAGAGGAACAGAGTTCGGACGACGAGTTGAACTCGCAATCAGTTGCTAGTTGCGGCCGAGGGAAGTCCAGAGGACGAGGAGTGTCGTGTGACTCGTAGCTCTCTTGGCCGTGGCCGTCGTTGTCTTGGACGTCCGCTTTGTTGATTTAGGGTGTTTGTAGCTGTATTTTGGTGGTGATCGGGGCAGGGGGACGTGAAGTGTTCTCGACCCCTCTACTCCAGTCGGTTAGACGTCATATTATTCGGTCGCTCGCAGCCAAGGAAACAACACCACGATTGTCCATTTCTCCCGTCGCCCTCGGTAGCGAGACCGGGAATCACAGCACAACACCACCACAACAGACGCAACGTGCTAGGTATGGAGTTATGAGGAGATAGAAAGCTCGTTGCATTTTGCTATCCGTTTACCTCGTACTCATCAACCATACATCTCCTTCACTGGCCAAACAAAAGCAATCAAGTCCCTCTACACAGACCATTAGACTGGACCTACTCCCAGCTTCAAACTTCAAATCAAGCCAGCTATATGTACAAGTACAGTAATAGCAACCTAAACCGCTATATCTATTCTCGGGAACCGTCCAGCAAATATATAGCGATTCCGGCCCTCCATCGAACTAGCTCACTACAGTCATGGTCGAACTCCGGAGATTTCTTCCCGGACGAGATCCTGCTTCCTCTGCCAATCCTTTTCGAATGCGCAAACCGGTTGTTCTTTCAAGTCCTCCTTGATTTTGATGATAGAATCCTTTGCCCCTGCATATGCAATGATCATTGAATCCTTCTTCGCTTTGAGGCTATTTAGCATGTTGGCCTTCACTTGGGCACGCATTTCTATTGCATCGTTACTAATGCGACCTCCGTTCTCCTTGTACTGGCCGACGAGAAGGCCTATCCGATCCTCTTCGCCGGATAATTGAATAATCATCTCCTTCTCCTTGTCAGCAACGGGTAGAATAGCGTTGAGGGGATAACGACTTGCATCTGCAATTTGATGGACGGCATCTGTCACCCTGGTGTAATGAGGTCTCAACGCCACATTCCACATCTCCCTTGGTGTAATATCCTTTAAAGGGGTTTTAGAAAGCTCACTGCCATGAGATTCGAACGTGCTTCCACTAGTCGAGCTAGGAGTGGACTGGACAACCATTGGGCCATATGCGGAATCGACCAGCGTCTTTTCGAGATCATCATGTAAAACTACGGCGTATCCATTATTTATACCGCCCTCTGTACCTAACCTCTCTCTACGCCTAAAGCCCCTTTGAAGCTGGTCTTCAAAGCCACTCGACGTTCGGGTTACCCCGACAAAAGGATCGGGCAGTGCTGTCAGTGGTTGGACAATGTGGTTGGTGGCAAGCTCTTCGTATTGCCCATTTTTGTTCTTTTGGTGAGGAATATATCGAGGCTCGCACTTCTCTGGTGAGGCTGGACGGGCTTTTGCTTGACTTTGAAGTCTCACCCTAGGCCCAAAAATGTCGGAGCCTCTTCCTCCGCGAACCTTGAGAGCTGGATCTTTTCCATGAACCTCAACCACCTCCTCATCATTTAGCTTTTGTTTCGCCTTTGCAATATGGTCAACTCTGCCAGAACTCGGTGGGGCATGAGGGCTGCCGTTTATATCCACCCGAGCAGCTTGCGAACTGGTCCTGGGTTGTCTCGATTGCCTTGTCCGATTCATGGTTGGATCATGTACCTTATTTAGAGGGCTACTAGGGACACCGGGAGCATCATTCTGTTCGTATTCATCCACATCACTACCTTGGGCTGGAGGGCTGCTTTGTCGCTTTCGTTGAAGGCTATTCGTGTCACCAATATCGATTTGTTCAAGCTTCCTTTTCTTCTCCCCCGAATCTTCTGCCGACCTAACCGGTGCAATCGACGGCTTCATGGATGTCCTAAAATTACTTGGGCGACCTTGGTTTAAGGGCCCTTTTTTATCAAAGCTGATCACTGGAACTTTTCTATGCAAACCCTCGTCGATCAACACCTGGCGAGAAGGTTCTTCTCCCTCTCTCCGCTGTTCTTCTTCTGGATGCTGTGGACAGGGCTTCAGCAATCGCCCCTTAATGCCTGATTTCGGTTTTGCCTCCTCGTCAGGCTTTTGAGGTCCAGGAGGCTTCGATTTCGAAATCTCCTTCAATCGCTTCTGCGACTTCTTTTGAAGCTGTGGGCTGTGTCTAAGTGGCTCCATTTCATGTATCCACGGCTCCAGCCTAGCCCGTCTTTTCTTTGGGGACATGACTTCCTCGACTCCAGCTTTGCGCTTTTTAGAATCCAATAAATCGCAGCTTTCTACGTCTGGTGGGGGTTGTTGCCTGACCGGGGTGCCTTTGGCCGGAATTCGGACAGTCTCCTGCTGCTTTAATTCGTAACCCGCCTGGGAATCTTTAGGCAGTGCCGTGTTATCAACCTTGATTTGTGGACGAATCTTGGAGGATTTCAGGGCTACTGGCATTCGGCTCGTGTCTACAACCTCCCCGTGATTTGGGTCAATGGAATCTAAGATGTCGCCCAATTTGGTTGAAAGCTCTACCCCTCCGTTCCTTGTAGATTGCCTCGCCCCCTTGTGGAGCCTCGCCTTCGTCCGCTCCATGGGCGAAGCGACGAGACTTTCCTTGTCGACATTAGGGCTCGCTGCAGCAATTTGGGTTGGGTTCGAAGCTTTACTGATATTATCCTGCATAACTCCCGACACAACTAGTTTCTCGTTTTGCACCTGGGACGGTTGGACACCTTGATCCAACTCTACTATCGCAGCCTTAGCGACTAGTTTCCCCCTTGAAGTTCTCGAAACTGGTCCCCTTTCAAGAGGTGCGCTCCTCCGAGTTGTGTTCAATGAACCAGGTGTTATTTGAGCGATCTTTGGCGCCACTTCGCGCCTCTGATTCTGAGGTTTTCCTTTTGCACCTGTCTCCTTACTAGCTGATTTGCTTGCCGTTGGTGGTTTGGATGCCTTCTTTGAATAAGTCTTTGTTATGGGCTTTGGCGGCCTGGCCGACATGTCCTCATCTCCCTCCGGGGGTAACTCGTACACGGCGCTATCACTAGGCTCGTGCCCAGGCCCCTGCTTGGTATGAAGATTTTGGTCGGCTTTTTCCCCCCTGAAAGTTTCTACAGCCGAGCGGCTGTCGGCAGGCTCCTGGACTTGAACCTGTGTATAGCTGATATTTGGTTGAGTCTCATTACCTCGAGCACCAGTGACTGGACTTGTCGTGCCCCTGGGTGTTGATGTATCGTCTTCCTCTAATCTCCAGAGAGACTCCGGTTCGAAACTGTCTTTGATCTCGATCGATTCGGTTATAGTTGAAGATGGAGCGCTGCACACATTTATCTCGACGTTCATCTTCAAAGCTCCAGCATCAGCTGAATCATTATTCTTCTGCATCTCTTTCGAGCTTTCCATTTCAGTGCTAATCCTAGCACGACTCCGCAACCGGGATACTTGAGGTACCTGGATTGGCGGTTTGGCTTTGGGCCGGATATTCTTTCTCACTTTCGGAATTACTTTCTGAGCCTGTTGCTCCCGCTCCGTCTGTAGCTTCCAGTCAGAAGGGTTGGTTAGTTCATCGGGCATTTCCCGAGTTAACTGGCTCTCGTGTCTTGTGTCCGTTGGCGGAGGGGATGCAGAATAAAGATCTGCCGAACTCCTATGGATCTGCTTGTATATCGTCGATGTTGAAACCCCTTCCACCTCTCCTTGATGCCTATGTGGATTCGAAGTTGCTTCTGTCGGGGACTGTTCACCATGAGTCCTTGGGATGGATATGGGTGGCTTGCCATGCAGGGTTCTATCTCCAGCTGACTCAATTGTTTCGAGTATCTCGGGACGGTCTAAGGATATAGCCTCACAGCAGGACCATAGCTTAGCGCCTTCCAATAACTCCTCGCCGCTTCCCCTGATGATGCTTTTAAGATCGTGATATTCCTCCGAGATCTTCAATTCCGGACATATTCGCGGAAAGGTCTCTTGCATGGCTTTAATCATCTCGAGCCTCGTGGAAATATAGACCCCTTCCAGACTTGCCGGCTGGCCATTGAGATGACATCCAAGTCGGTGATCCTTCTCGAGCTGAAAGAGTATATCGCCATTGCCTTGCTCCTGCGAGCAAGTCTCAAGAATTATTTTCATATGGCTGATGGAACCCAAGGCAACATCAAGAATTTCTCCCTGGCAACTTTCGGTCGGTGTTGTCATAATTGTTATTTCATCACCGACCACTAGCATGTCGACGTTATGGTCGGGAGGCCCAAACAGCTGAGACGGTATTAGGCAGCACTTATGCCCAAAATACAAATCTCCAGTGCTATACCTTATTAGTACACGGTCAGCATTTAGCTAGGATTTTACGTACGCTTCTGGCTTATCCTCTTCCTCTAGGGTTTCGAATACATCATCAATATAATTTTGGAATTTCTGCTCCCAGCCTGAATCCCCGAGGGTCTCCGGGAATCCCTGGTATACTTGTTGGTTGGCAGTAACTGGCCAGAGGTCGCCCAGCTCTGTGCCATACTCATGCATGACTCGTATCAACCTGCCGCAGATTATTCTAAGAATCTCATTTGTCTCCTGTGTAATAAGCTGCCCTATTCTGCGGCTGAATCTGAAATCAGCCAAATTCACATTCATTCTGAAAGAGTAACTTACCGGCTCTCTTCAGGACCTAGTTCCATTCTACTGCAGTTCTCTTCACAGCCATCAAGAAGCTGGATACATAGAATTCCAACCTTGCTAGAGTATTAGCAAGTATAAATCAGCGCGCAGTAATGGCAGTGCCACGTACCCATCTTCTCAATTTGGTATGATTAGATATGTTCACGAAATAGAGTACCAACGAGTCCAAGCATCTTAAACCAATCAGCAACTGTTTCTTTTCTAAACCCTGTTCCCTTGCTTTGTTCCCATTGCTTTGTTGCAACGCAGCCTAGATATCATTAGTAAAATACAAGCGGATTGGGTCTTGTGGTAGCTTGGTGCTTACTGCCAGTAGGTAGAGGCCGCGTTCACTTTTTAGACAGTAGTCTGTTTGCAATATTGTCTCAACTACCAGAGCGAACAGCGGCACCCCAAGACGGCTGCACATATCATTTTGGCCCTGTTCTAGTATCGATATTAAGCCTGTCACAAATTTTGACTCTAATTTGGTTGACGTTTGCCTTTTTGCCTTCAAAGAGTCCTTGAGCGTGTTGACAAACTCCGGGCAACTACCACCTCTGTCAGATGAAAGTTCTTTTAGCAAGGAGTATATTTCTTACTCGATCTCTCCTTCGGTTGTCTGGGCTTTGTGGAGGTGTTCGGACAGCTTTTTGAAGGCAGTTGTGATTGATTGACGAGAATTGGATACGCGTTGCGTGGGCTTTTTGGGCTTGCCTTTTGGCGGCATTGTCACGAATCCACGGCGCAGACGCTTGTGGCTGGAATGCAAGAGCAGAACGTACCCTGCTGCTCAACGTTTGCTAACGCCTGTTATATTTTTGGCGTGATATATTTCTTAGTCTATCACGGGCTAGACTCAAGGTATGTAAGGTATATTGTTGTGGCGCGCGGCAGGACAGAAAGGGTGATGCTGTGGCTGGCTGCCTACCGTTTTACCGTGTATTTTCTGCTCTAGAAGAGGAACCTGATCAGCAAATATTCACAGAGGAAGGACTGCGTCTTTCGCTTTTTGTGATTGAGGCTCGGCAAAGTCGATTTGCTGCTCCCGAACATTATAATTTTGGCCTGGATCTAGGGAAACAGCGCGCTCGACAAGTCATCTTTGCCGCAGTGTGGAAAAGGTGTCACGAAGCGGTGAATTCGTAATGCTTACCGCCGCTGCAGGAAATTGAGATTTCAGATGATCTTATCGCTCTCCCTTGGAACCGGGACTCAATCACCTGAATATTTTGAGAGGCTTCGATGCGTCCGCACTTATTTTCCCCAGAGCTGCGAAATCGAGTTTGACGTGTCGTGGGGAGACGCGACCTCGAATCTATCAAAAGGGGCAGGAGCGTTAAGCGAAGACCCTCCACGTGATCTTCACTCAACATCAACACTCGGGAGGTAATTTATTTAGTAATTTTCTACAAAGCTAATCTGCAGATAGGAATAGATTATTTGAGAAGTCTAAGTGCCCTTCTCCATATATGCAACCTATCGCCTATAGTACCGAGGCCGTTTCTCGCCGGTACACTGCTAGTTGAGCCCCAAGGCCATCATATCATCACTTTATGTTTCTACCACAACTAGGAAGAAGTTACCCATAACCCTCATATTAATAGCCATCAACTAACTTATCGGGTAGATAAATTAAGATGACTATTTAATATAGATATATATATATATAGGGAGGTTTTGTTAGTCCTACCACTTAATCTTCCCTTTCGGAAAATCATGAAAACTGCATGGTACGCTACTCCATCCATAGTTTCCCCTTTGCCATACACATTAGCTACTCACTTCTTCCCAAGTCCTCCCATAACATCAGAATTTCCACTAAACCATACCAGATCCGCCTTCAGCATCGAGATCCTCCACGGATTCCCATCATTATCAGTTCTCACAACCTCGAACTCATATCTCCCCTATAATATAATCAGCGTCGCTCTTGGCCACAATCCAACAGGCCAAATCCCAAATCAAAAGGCTAATTAGGTAGATCAAGAAATCCACAAAGAAACCAGACGTACTCCGTTCCTAATTTCTGAATCTCCCTTCGCAGATGCCCTCTTTAAATTGACAATGCAGTTCGCAATAACCTGTGCAGTTTGAGGGGTCTTGCTGGCCGCTCCTGGCTGAGGGAGATCAATCAATACGCTCCTATTTCTCAGAAAGCACAAGTATCAGCGTCTACCTGATTCTGCTTCTGCTAAATATTTCACACTCTCACAATGAGAGTCAGCACGGATAACAATTACATACGTAGTAATATGCTGCCAGGAATCCAAGCCCTCCATCTGCTCTCGCCACATCTCGACTTGCTTCGCGCCGCTAATCTGATAAGGTTCTCCACCAAATAATGATGTATAATCAATTGTTACTTCCTCTGCAAATGCTTCTTCCGCTAATTGGGAATATTTCTTCATGTCGAGGTAGAGGGTCTGATCAATACGGTTAGTCTCGCGCTCAAATGTTTCAAGTTTTGCTTGGATGGAAGAGGGAAATGGGAAGTGATCCTCATCCGGAAAAAATAGTTAACATCGTAAGGGACGGGGTATGGGAATGGGAGCACACCATTTTAGTGACAATATCATGAATATTTGCTCGGTCCAGCAAATAGAACTGTATATCATAACTGGTAATTGTTCCCACAGCTTTAATAAAGTTAGATGAATGCTTTTTGTGGACGCTAGCTGTGGCTTGAAGAAAAGGAACAGTTCTTTAGAAGATACAGTGAAATTTTCTGAAGTCTAAAGATAGTGGAGGCTTCTCTCTGTTATATATTTCCTGTGCTATACGGCTACAGGCTTCTAGCTTGCTAAAACAAATTATAATAAGCCCATTCAATAATCTGAATCTATCCTCATAAGCAAGATTAAACCCAAAACGCTACGGCGAGCTCCCCCTGACACCTGCAGATTTTTCCACACCTAATACGACTTTTGAAACACCTGATGTCCGTAAGCTCTCATTCGGCCAATAAAATATATCATTGCCCCCACGAAGTGCAGGAACTAGTAACCTCTTTGGGGGTCGGAGGTTTGAGGTGAAGAATGCGAAAACCTAAAGCCGACGTCGCCTCCTATTTTGCTATCTCCGAGAGTAAAATCCGAATGTTGCATAAGACTAAGTACAGAGTAAAACTAAATTATTATTGAATTTAAGCCAAGCAAGTCTCTGGAGGAGATTGAGTATATTATTTGCGGCGCAGGCTATTTGACGTTTGGATTGTTGATATGCAGGATTTCTCTCTTGACTCCGTTAACCCCGATTCGTGCAGGAGAGGCACAGTTACATCGATGATCTTGCATATCGATCATTCCGGTACTGTGCAAAGCTTGGATGAAAAATTGCCGTTCTTTTACTTGCTAATTCTTTGTGCTCCCCGAAAAAGCAGATTTTGGTTCCACCTTCGTGTTCCTACCGCTTACTATTTCACCTTGAAGCAGGAGCTCGCTCACAACTATGATAATATTCAGTTTTTTATACAAACGTCTTGCGAGTTATAACTCCATAAGGCCAGTCAAACTGGCGATGGCCGTGCATCCATACTCTAGGTACCTGTCCGAATCATATCTTCCCCTTGGCTCCTCAAAACTGAATGATTCGGTGGGGATTGTCCCTGGCCCTGTTCTTCGGGGTTCTCCGTCCCGGATCTGGGATATCTCGAAGGACGTTTTCCTCCAAAGTGTCATAATAATACAAAAGGTGACCTCACCAAAACCCATTTCCGCCTGTCGGCCCTGAATATCCAGCTTGAACATCCAATCCACAGAGTCATTATAGCATCTCATCCAGTCGCTGGCCCAAATCTTCTCTGGGTTATACCGCAAAAATGTCCCAGGGTACACCAATTGGTGGCCATACTCCTTGTTGTGGGTCCCCCCGTCGCCAGATACTCTGCTGCGTTTGTGATGGCCAGCTCACGAGAAATATCTCGGTCACAGCAGAACCGGGAGCAGTCAAGTTCGGATATTCGTAAAGAGTCCAAGTTGAAGCGGGAGCGAATACTTTGCCGTCCTCAACTAAAACATAAGCGTTTCTACTAGACGTCTGTGCGAATACTGCTGACATGACTTGAATCTTTTCCATATATTGATTATCCACAGGCTGGCCGTTCTCATTTACAGATTGGAAGTAGACCCAATCTGGTTCGGGAAGTGCCTCATTGTATAGAACCCCCCGTTCGCATCCAATCACATCTCTTTTATAAGCTCGTCCAGCAGCGTAACCGTCAGAGGGAGGTTGAAACCCGTTCCAGAAAATCGACACCTTATTGTTCATGCGGCCTCCAGCAATAATCTTTTGGCGGATGTACGGCACAGACGGCACCGTAAGTCTCTTAGCGAGACCATCCCGTCCGTTAATTAGTTGGGTCGCGGTAGTTATAATTTCATCTCCCACGGAAGAAACTGCTATCGCTAATGCAGAACAAACATCCTGAAAGGCAAAAGCAAGAGCGAGAAGCTGAATAAGGCTACTGAGAAGGTTGCGTGTATAGTAATAATGAGCCGAGTAGGGTTTCATGTCGAATGAGGAGGCAGTTGATTAAAGATGATGTTGAATTATTCTTTTGGAGATCGGATTATGAAAGATTGCAGAATCCAATATATTTGTAGTAAAGTTTTAACGGCAGAGGAAGCAATGTGTAATTTCAAGGCAGGGTTAAAGATACTTCATCTGCCTCTTCAGCCAGCGTTATATAATTCCTTTCCAAGCAAGTCATTTCTAACAATTTCCAACAGGGCCGTTAATTCTTAGGATTATTCCTCCAAGAACACAGCCCCGGACATTTATAGTAGTATGCTAACTCAAGGCCAGCCATGGCACAACGCATAGCCAACTTACTGCACTGCAATTCAGGCTTAATCCAATGAGTAACTGGGTGGATGACGTAGAAATAAACATAGTAATATCATTTTTATGTTCATTTATTCTTCTGAATTCTTTGAAGGAAAATAACCGACAGCTTGACATTGAGCGTGTTAAGTCCCTAGACAACCAATCTCGTGCGAGTTGATCAACGAAACTATCCCATCATGGCCCATAGCCCTCGCCCTTTCCATCGCAGTATTGCCCTTCGTATCAAGTTTGCTAGAATCCGTGCCATTATCCAACAAGTATTGAACCACTCTCTTGTACCCCCTCTCCGCAGCATAGTGTAATGCAGTCTGCTCAGTTGGAGAGAATCTGGCATTCAATGGGGTTGTCGCTTCCACCATTCCATTAACATCCGCTCCAGCCTCAACCAACACACGCACCATGTTTGGTTTTCCATACCCAGCGGCAAGTTGGAGAGCCCCAGTACCTCGTAAAATGGCGCCATGTTTCAACAACAGCCGAACGTTTGACTCGGAGGATGAGTATGCAGCAAACTCCAGCGGCAGCAGGGTGTAAAAATATCTAGTCGATCCGAATGACCTTCCCGGGTCGGCACCACAGGTCTCTAGGAGATAAGTCAACAGTTCCACGTCGTTTCATGTAAGAGCCAGGCAGACTACATCTCCCAGGCCTTGCCATTCATACTTCAAAATACTCGGATTCTTGGCTAGATACATCTTGTAGATTTTAAGCCCTGCCATGACAGCGGACAATAGCAAATCTTCGGGAAAATCAATATTTGTGGCCTGCTGAAGCAGGAACTCAACAAGTGCCTAGTGTTTCTTCGCTGTTGCTTCCCTGAGCAGAAGGAATATGGTTGCATCACTGTCCTGCTGGGAAACCTGCTGGGCGCTTAGGAGAGCGCTCAATGTTGGTATATCTCCGGTAGCACAAGCAGCCATGAGTGGCGCTGATACGGCCTTTTGGGGATTCGCCGCACCCATTATTGATCCTTTGAATCCTTTGTAGTTGGTGGCTCTTTTTGAGGTGTTTGATAAATAGATGTCGAGCAGCGCGGGGTTTGTGGCCGAGTTGGTTGGAAAGCCTGACAGGCAGGATTGGCGAATCATTGTACCTTTGTCTTCAATTATGGACGAAAGTCCGCCACAGGATGATTACAACGCCAAATATACTGCATAGCGCCTAGGTACGGGATGCCAACACGGCCGATATATTGTCGCTGCGTCCCGCTGTTTGCCATTATGCAAGGCAAATTAGGGAGGTTGGTGGCGTCTAGATGATTTCACCCCTCTCGACGGATGAACAAGTGGCTGAAGTATGAAGATCCGCCGGCGGGCATCACTGAGTATAACTACGCCAGATGAACAAAAATAGAATGAATACCAACGGAGGCTGTGGAGACGTAGGATTGCCAACATGTCGGGGTGTCTCAAAAGAAGTAAGAGATTGTGCTGGCCCTCTGGGGATCTGTAGTTGCATAAACTGCACAAACTACGTCTCAATGAGCCTCCACGAGGTCAACAAAATAGTGACCAGACCTCCAGGTGAATTTACCTATTTTTAATCAGATTTTTCCCAGCGTTGATATTGGGGGTATGTCATAGGCTTTGCTTTCTTGCACCTCGCACACCTTCAGCACCTTCAGCACCTTTAACTAAATCCTCACGTTCAATCCTAGTTGCTGTTTGGTCCTAATTTTATTCTGCAAATACCCCCATGCTTTAAGGAAGAATATAAAATGAAGGCTTCACTTTTGTGGCTCTTATGCTCTTCGGTATTGACTGTTAACGCTGCCTTCTCGCCGGATAGAAGGAGATGCGACTATGGCATAAGTACTAGCCCCATCTTGATGTCCTAGTCTCCTAGATTGCTTTCTGACATTCTGTAGGCCAAGATAGCACCCAGTCCAACTTTGTTGATGGACAGACTGGTATACCGCACGCTGATACTATGATAACAGTGTCGTCTTCTGGAACGGCTGCTGTTGAACCTTTCATGCCCGCCACACTTTCCCTATCCCTATTAAGCATATCAGACTCTAAAATTTCCACTTTGGGTAGAGATAACAGGAGCAGTACATTTACTGCTCTAACTGGGGCAAGTGGAGTTGGGTCGGAAGCACTCAATACACCCTCAAATTTCCCAATTGTTTCTCCAATGGCGTTTTCATCAATGGTGCCAAGCAATGGTACGGGTAATAATACAATGTCGGTGGCCCAGGGCAGCGGGATGGTAGCAACACTAAGTGTGGCAAGCTCGTTGTTGATATCGTCCAAGTCACAGGTTTCGCGGACAGGGCTGGCGCCAATCCCAATACCAACTACAAGCACTACTACTACCCCTGTGGCTGGCAAACTTCTACCTCTTCCATTCATCACGCCACGCCCTGCGACTGTTTCGGTGGTTAGTTCTAGCATATCGGGAGTAACAACCAATGCAATAGTTACGGTAAAAAAGGGTTCAGGTCCAAAACTTGTCATACCATTCTTGTTGTGAGTGTAAACTATCTGCCCTATTTTCTGGACAAGTGTGCTGATCGGAAATAGCCACTGCATTATCTTTTGTCCCGCCAAAGATGTAGGGCTACTACTTTTCGGAGTTGGCAAGAGTATATAGCCTTGGCGGTCATGTTCAATTAGCTGATTTTACAATTCAGGCCCCGGTCCAGGAATATATGTCTTGCACTCTCCGCTGTTTTACTAACTGCTCATCCGGAGCGAGCATGAGTTGCTCAACAACGTGTACGACTGTCTCTGGCTGCACAGCCACAGTGACGAATACTGCTACTACTTCATCGTGCGAATTTCCGAACACTTCTGGTTTCCCTTTCGCCTTCGGACCCGACGGGTTAATCCCCTTACAGGTCATGAACAAGTCAGCCACAGCTTCAACTGCCCAAGGAACCTCGTCGGTAGTGTCTTCAACGAGCTTGATAACTTTAGCATCTACATCTGCTATTATCCCATCCACGCAATCTCTATCAGTAACAGTACCAAACATAACGCTGTCATCTGTGCCAACTCCATCTGCTACAAATGAGCGCAATGGTGTCTATTGCCTTCCAAAGTAAGCCATGGGTTGTCTAGTAATACGAACCTATACTAATAGTCATTCTTAGCTTCATCAATCCCGATCAATGCACTTGCACTAACAAAACAATAATCGCCAAAGACAATATGGGAAATTGTCCAGACCCGCTACCAGCGGGAAGTTGCGACATGCTCTTTATCTGGCATTATTACTATGCTTCGGATAATAACAACCATACGAATGTTTACCAAGTATCTCAAAACTTCAATGTAACTAAGCCACTCGTCGAATTACATAAACAAGCAGTTTTCAGCTCACCGACCGAAGACAATATTTATGGAGTCCCATTCCAGCTTGGACCATTCAAAATCGAGGACACCACGGCCGGGATATGCACTTACACGAGAACGGCACCTGGAGAAGGAAGGGTGACGTGCGGCAATAGCTCGGTGATCAAATGCCATAACATTGCCCCTGGAGACCCCGCTCAAGCAAAACCGAGATCTTTCTTGGTCGAATTCGGCCGTCTATTAATAATATGCTCAAACTTCTTATAAACTTCGGATCGATAGATAAAGGTCTTGCTATCCCGCCATGCCTAACCCAACTTCTTTGGATCCACTCTCCTCAAATTCATGAAAGACATTCCAAGTTCCAGGATAGATTTTAACAATCATTTCCCCAGCGGCTATCAAAACTTGATCCCTATCGCGGCAGAATTATTGAATGGAGATCCGCTAGTATTCAAAAAAAATGGCTTTTAGTATTCTACGACGGAACTATAGTCTTAGGTAGCCGTGGTGGGATACAGAACTGCGCTTCATTTCCTCCATTTTCATACTTCGGAATCAAGCGTCTTTTGGCTTTCTCATGACGGTAGTTTCTCAGTGTTATAGGTACCAGCTATGGCGATGGTAAGAACTAGGGTGTCTACTTTAGTTTCCGACTATCAAAATTTGAGTGCAATTGAGGGGCCCGGTCACCAAGAATTTGGTCTTGGGCCTAACTAGCTGGCGTTCACTGGCTATCGGGAATCTTGACTTACTCCGTAGCAAGAATTTAGCCCCTTCCCCCTCGCTTTTACCTACCCCTATGTGTACGCCAACATTATCTAAACAAATAACTATACCCCGCTATCTGGGTAAGTAGCTGGCAGATAACGAAAACTCTACGACTAAAGAAAGATACATGCCGTTCAATTTGCAATTGCATCCCGATGGCATCCTGAGACCCTTGTATTCTGTGCTAACCTGAATCTCCTATTTACTTAACATCCGTTTTATACATTTAAGCCATTCAATACGTATAAGTGAGTCAAGGCTCCACACATTTAATTCCATATCACATAAGAGTCGTCCTCCCACCAACATCCCTCGTCCCCTCCCCATTCTTCATCTCGCCATTTCTCCCCACCACAAACTCGTTATAAATAGCAGCTAGCCTTGCCCTGTCCTGGGCACTAATGCTTGCCCTAGTAGTCTGAATGCTCTTCTCGATATGTTTCCATGCAATCACCACCTCCTGCTGCTCCTTCTCCTCTCTGTGATCTTTTTCCTTTCCTTTGCCTTCCAGTTGTCCTCGCTGGACAGCCTTAGCTCGTTTTTTCGTCGCCTTTATCTCGTCCAGTTTTGTGGAAATAGCGGCACGCTCGGCAATGAGCTTGCTTTTGTTGTGACCTCCTTTTTCCCTTGCTTCAGCTTCGGCGCGATCTTCTTCCTCTCCATAGCGGAATTGTACGAAGTTTTTATTCCTCATGGTAGTTCCATTAACGCCGTTGGTGCTTTTTGTGCCGACTTCAGTGTGGTTTTGGTCTCCAAGAACATCGTGGATAGCTTCCAGATGGGCGTTGTATATTAAAGCTTGAAGATCAGCACCACTATATCCTTCTGTCCTACTGGCAATTTCAGGTAACTCATCGATGACTTCTTCGCTGAGCTTTAGCTTCTTCCCTAGTGCTTGGAGGATGTCGATTCTGTCCTCACGATTGGGGAGATCGCAAATAAGGCTCTTATCCAATCTACCAGGGCGCAACAGCGCCGGGTCAATTAAGTCAGGTCGTGAGGTAGCAGCGAGCACGTATACTCCGGATAACCCCTCCGCACCATCCATCTGGGTGAGCAATTGGTTCACAACGCGGTCAGTGACACCAGTTGAATCATGTCCTCGTTTAGGTGCGATTGAGTCGAATTCATCAAAGAAGAGGACACAGGGTCTGGCAGCCTCAGCACGGTCGAAGAGATCTCGAACTGATTTCTCCGAAGCACCGATATACTTATTAAGAATTTCAGGTCCTTTAACGGAAATGAAGTTTAAGCCACATTCCCCTGCCACGGCAGAGGCTAGCATAGTTTTGCCGCATCCAGGATAGCCGTAAAGAAGGAGGCCAGAACGCAATCGAAGAGGGCATTGAGCGAATATAGGAGCGTATGTGGTAGGATACTGGAGTGTCTCAAGAAGGATCTTACGCGTTTCGTGCAATCCGCCAATAGATGCAAACGTCGTGGTGCTAGTCTGGAGTGTGACGTTTCGAAGTGAGGCAGGTGTAAATCCTTTTAGTGCGCTATCGAAGTCTCCTCGGGTAAGGTAGATGGACACAGTTTTAGAATCCTTTGGAGATTGAGAGACTGATCGTATTAAAGATTCGCTTCGAGCGCGACCAACAAGTAGCACCAAATCACCAGGCATATATCCGTCCGTTTCGCCGGCCAGATCAAGAAAATCAAGATCAGGAGATATCACAAATCCAGGTGCTTGGCTCTTTGAACTAGCCCTGCTGGGCACGCTTGATCCAACCATCCATCCACCGTCCTCTTCACTTGCGCTGCCATCTGCTGTGGTCGGACGGCTGCCAATTGGTGATTTAGGCCCACTTGGATCTGGATCAGTTGCATTCTGTCGGACGATCATCTCCATTACCCTCCTTCTAGCCTCCTTATTAGGAGCTTTCAAACTCACAATCTCGCGCACAACATGCCCACCAACGACAACGTTGTGCAACGATTCTTTTGCTTGTGCCGTGGCTAGGAGAACCACTCCGCTATCTCTTTGGCAGTATTGCTGTACCAAGCTGCAAACACCTTCGCTGATCTGGCGGCTACGACCGTTGTCATTTCCAACTTCGAGTTCTGTCTCAGCAGGACAAAGCTTGTCAAGATCATCCAAAATCAGAAGAGATTTGCCACCAAGTCGGGCACCCCAAGATGCATCCATAAACAGTCTGGTAAAGGTTTCTTTGATTGCAGAAACTTGGGTTTCGTGGTTGACAAGATTTCGGCAAGAGAAATATGTAGTATGAAATAGGGTATTGGCCCGGAGTCGATGTGCAAGGAGATATGCCAAGGAGCTTTTACCGGAGCCAAGAGCTCCTGTGAGCAAAACGGAGGACATATGCGAGAGGTGCAATTGCAGTTGGGTGATGAGGTTGTCAATCCCAACAAGTGTGGGAGCGGTTGGTGGAAGGGGATCGCCAAGGGAGCCGCCCGAGAGGGATAAAGGTTTTGGTACAGCAGGCTGGACTTCAATAGTAAATTTCCGTTCGGAGCCCATGAACCAAGAGCAAGTTTTGTTTGTAGACTCCGATGTTCGATGATCAAATCGAATAATTCCCCCCTCCCACCCGGATATTGGGGATGGGGGTGGCCCCAGAATCATACCAGAAGTCAGTGGGCCATCAAAAAAGCCACCGGAGTCTCCCTGTTTGCCGTATATTTTCAAAAGTCGCTTTGAGGCTTCTTCCCGTTCAGCGTTGGTTTCACCGCCGAATTTGAGGCCTTCGGAAGCCTTAGCCGTGCTTACAGCAAAAGAATACACCTTGACGATCTGAACATTGGGTTTGGGGGCAAGTTGAGTAGAGTCTTCGGGCCTCTTTGGCGCCGGCTTGTCGACTGATTTTTCCGCTTGTAAAGGGGCAGGCTCAAGTTTTACCACACCGCCAACCAAGCCCTCGCAGGACATAGATGCACAGAGCGCAGATGATAGTGCAACGTGCTGACTATCTGGGGGGTCATCCCATGGCAATAACCTCGCCACCACCTTCGAGGCTATCTTGCCCACATCCCGCAGAGTCTCAGCCTCCTGCTGTGCCCGCTGTGGGTCGATAGGGGGCTCTAAGCTTGGAGGTTTGACCACAGTGACACATACCCATGAAACACCTTTCAATGCCTTAGAGAGCAGGACATCTCGGTCCACCCATACCCTCAGTCCTTGGTCTTCGGCATCCTTGCCCTCGTCGAACCAATCTTTACAAATATCTCTGGATAGCCCTCTAAAGAACATGGCTGGTCGGGCTTCTTCAATGCCGCTTTTCCGCCGCACCGTGCTTGCACCACTCCTAGCACCAGCACTTTTCTTTGAAGTGACGCTGCGGCTTTCTCCCGAAGAGCGTCGTTGTTTCGACCTAGTCTTAGGTGCAACAATAACCTCGGCATTAGGCCCCAATTTTGCAAAGGGGGAACTCGACGGTGGAGCTGGAACCAAAGACGTAATCGTGATGTTCGCGGTCGATGTCGGAGACAAATGAAGGGTAAGTGGGTGGGGTGCCGGCGTTTGCCCTGACGTTGCCGTATAACTCGGGTTGGGCAAAGCCCGAATTTGTGAGATAAGATTGAGCTCCAGATAACTAGCATGTAGTTCGATGATTTCCCAATCATCTGGGGTCAAAGGCTCTATATGGACGGTGTGGGCGATGGGCGGATCCATGTGCACGCTTGCCGTTACTTTTTGTCCGTCTGTTAACCGCAGAGTTCGCGCAAAGGCCGCATCTATCTCGACGAGAGGCACTTCCTGTTCCCGGCTTGCATTCCCTCGTGTGCCACTTATGCCATCTCTGCTGACTATGGGAGCGAGCTTGCGCTTGCTCTGCATGCCCGTCCATCCCACGTATACCGATTTTGTGGCGGGTGCCCCGTTGGCTTGATTCGCGCCTGCAGTAGCCGGCACGCGGTAATTCAACTCTATGACAACATTTTGGGCCGGCTATAACATTAAATCGTTAGGACCCAGTCGGATAGAGCACATAGGCTACAAGACTTACTGTGTTGACATTGACTAGCAACGAGCACAACGACGCCGGGAGGTTGACCAAGCAGTTCTTCAAATGAACCAGGGAGATTTCTGCGGATGTGCCCTGGCCATTGCGTCTCTTGGAATCTGGAGCCATGGCAGCCAAAGCAGTATACGTATATCAAGAACCAACAGCTCTATACTTTTGTGTTGTTGTATGGAGCAACTCTGAATCGCACATTTGCCAATGCCTTGAGCTTGCCTTGAGCCTCGGCAAAGAAAGCGGCGAGGTGCACGGGATGGTTGCGGCTTAACTGCGGCTAAACTTGCCCCCGGCATTGAGTTTCGACGCGAAAGTTCGCGGTTTCGAACACTGTTGGCGCGTCGAACGCGACTTGACAACCGCCCTCCATTTCCTTACCAGCCATTTGCTTACGATCAAGATCGCAATTCTTCTTGCGACAGCCAGCCCAACAACGACGACAACGCTCACGTTCAGCTATCCGACAGAAGATCATCATCCGCAATTGTCGGATATTGTGCTCAGTACATCCTCATCCATCTTCAAATCCGGATACCTATTCAAGAAACGAACTCTAGAGATTTGCGCAAGATGGCGCTCCTACAATTCAGAGCACCTGTCAATTATGAGGAACATCAGAGTATGTCATGCTTGATAGTGCCGAGTTGCGCATATAGCTGATCATTTTGATTTCGACAGAGGCATTCGAGGACTTCCTTCAGACATTCAAAACGACTCCAACCTCTGCAATTACCCATGCGCTGGGGGGGATGAATATTGATCAAGATGATTTGAGCGACGAGTATGACTTTATGGATGACGACGATGTCCAAGGACAAAATGCGCGCCGGCAAACAAGTTCCCAATCAAAGATGCCTAAATTGAAATACCTGGATTTATTGCAGAAGGTCGCAGACAGATATGAGGACGAGATCACGATCGACTTAGATGATGTTGCAAAGGTAGGCCTGTCCAACAGTATTTCTGGGACGGAATTAACCTAATTCCACACAGGCCGACCAGCAATTAGAAGCGAACGGAACCCCAATGAAGCTAATTGAGTCCATCGAGACCAACGCTAAGCATTATCTCGATATCATGGCGAAAGCAGTAGATGCAATCATGCCCGAACCCACGAGAGATATTAAGTAAGACGCTTTCTGCATTACGCCGAAACCACTCTAATTGGATATATAGCTATAAAGATGATGTCCTTGATACCCTCATGACACAGCGAACTGCCCGCAATAATGCCCTGATGCGCGCCGCAGCCGACCAGACGGATCTTACAGTGGAGCCTGAATTGTTCCCAGCTGAATTGACACGGAGATATACGCTCAATTTCAAGCCCCGCACCAGCGAGGGTGAACCCTTGAAGGCATTGGCAGTGCGACAAGTGCGGGGAGAGCACCTCGGCCACCTAATCACGGTGCGGGGAATTACCACCAGAGTCTCAGATGTCAAGCCCACAGTGGAAGTGAATGCATATACTTGCGAACGCTGTGGATGTGAAATTTTCCAGCCCGTTAACTCCAAGACGTTCGGGCCACTTGTTGAATGTCCCTCGCAGGACTGCACAACCAACCAGACCAAAGGTCAGCTAGTCCACTCTACACGAGCATCAAAATTTCAACCATTCCAGGAAGTGAAGATCCAGGAGATGGCCGAGCAGGTTCCAGTGGGCCATATTCCTAGGATGTTGACCATTCTCTGTCATGGTGCTCTCGTCCGTCGGATTAACCCAGGGGATGTTGTGGATGTAGCGGGTATCTTCCTACCTACGCCATATACTGGATTCAAGGCAATCCGGGCTGGACTACTAACAGATACGTATCTGGAAGCGCAACACATAACCCAGCACAAGAAAGCTTACGAAGATTTGGCAATGGACAGTCGAGTTTTCAATCGCATTGAACAACAACTTTCATCAGGCAACATCTATGAGACACTAGCCAAGTCGATTGCGCCTGAAATTTATGGCCATTTGGACGTAAAGAAAGCCCTTCTATTGCTGCTTGTCGGTGGCGTGACCAAGGTTATGGGCGACGGCATGCGAATCAGGGGAGATATAAACGTCTGTTTGATGGGTGATCCTGGAGTGGCCAAATCCCAACTGTTGAAATATATCACAAAGGTGGCCCCGCGAGGGGTATATACGACTGGTCGAGGTAGCAGCGGCGTTGGTCTAACTGCGGCCGTGATGAAAGACCCCGTTACCGATGAGATGATCTTGGAAGGTGGTGCTTTGGTCCTCGCTGATAATGGAATCTGCTGTATTGATGAGTTTGATAAGATGGACGACAGCGACAGAACCGCCATCCACGAGGTCATGGAACAACAAACCATTTCCATCTCCAAGGCTGGAATCTCTACAACTTTGAATGCACGAACCTCGATCCTCGCAGCAGCAAATCCACTTTATGGCCGCTACAATCCTCGCATCTCTCCAGTCGAGAATATTAACCTGCCCGCTGCCCTTCTTTCCCGTTTCGATGTTCTTTTCCTCATTCTCGATACTCCCTCTAGAGATACAGATGCTCTCCTCGCCCGCCATGTCACATATGTCCACATGAATAACAGGCACCCAGACACGGATGGTCTTGTCTTCACCCCCCACGAAGTTCGCCAATACGTCGCCCAAGCCCGAACCTTCCGACCGATCGTCCCGACGTCAGTCTCGGAATATATGGTTAAAGCATATGTCAAGATGCGTGAACAGCAATCGCGAGATGAGAAAAATAAGAAGCAATTCGCTCATACTTCGCCGCGTACACTTCTTGGTGTTCTCCGTCTGTCGCAGGCCCTAGCACGTCTTCGATTCAGCGAGGAAGTAGTCCAAGATGATGTAGATGAAGCTCTACGCCTCATCGAGGCAAGCAAAGAAAGTTTGTACCAGGACCAGGATGGATATAGAAGAGATATGTCCCCCAGCTCGCGTATTTACAATATGGTGCGTGCCCTAGCCGAAGCAGGGCAGTGCCGACCGGATGATGCAGACGACGACGATGAAACGCTAGGTATGGAATTGAGTATGAAGAAGGTGGAATATCGGGTTATTGCCAAAGGCTTTACCAAGGATCAGTGGCAGACAGCCGTTTTGGAGTATACCAATCTCGATGTACGTCCCCTAACCCGCCCCACGATCCACATTCCTTTAACTAGTGCTAACGCGGAAATCAGATCTGGCAAACGGCAGGTAATGGTACAAGACTTATTTTCATCGTCTCAGAGGCGGCGCATCTGGCCCGGGACGCTGAGTTTGAGATGGAGTAAAAACGATCAATGGACATGGATGATGCCGGCGTTACGGGGATTTATTTTCTATCAGAATGGCGTACCTGTTGATACCGCTGTGAGAGTAGAGTGCGCTAATAGAACTACTGCTATTTTTCAAGTCATATTACTCTACATATTACCGAATAGGAAGATCTAGATTGATCGTGCCCGTAGTACTACGTACACTTTATGTGGTTAAACAGGTAGTAGCTTGGCCGACTTGCCCGTCGTAATAATATCTCAAGTTCTTTAGTATTATCTCCACCATACACTACTAATCTTATATTCCACTACCATACATACTCTCCTATTAATGGCACCCTACGATGGTTAACCGAATAAAAGGGGGGTGGTTGCACGTGACTTCGCAACAACCACAACTCCAAAAGCCAAGTCCGCATAAACCAAGCCTATTCGCTAGCTACAGGTTTGAAGGATATAATAAACATATCCCTATTTTCCTTACCTCGCTTCAGGGCTAATGCCCGTATAACTCGTACGATTTAAAAATGACATTTACAAAAAAGAATTTTTGGTCTTGTGGTCTTACTGTTTAGAGGAGATTCGTACTTACCTGGGGTCCTGCTTCTTGCGTCATTTATATGTTCTTGTAGGGCCGGGCGTTATACGCCCAACCCGAGAGTACTGCCAGTGGGCTGCTTTGGATGGTGTTCCCGACCCAACTCCACTTTTTTCCTATATTGTTAGTATTTCTTCTAAAAGCCCGTGGCAAGTCTGTGCCACTCCTGTGTCGTTCCTGTGTCGTTTATTGACCCTGCAATCGCAGAGTCCTGGAGTAATACGCTGTTTTGGTTAGTGGTCTCGACCCAACTCCACTTTTGTCCTATATTGTTAGGATTTCGTCTGGTAATCTTCTGGCAAGTCTGTTATGGAGTTTGTTAGCGATCATTTGATAAGGGAGGCTGGGAAACAGCTAGACCAGAAGACCAATTCTGTTACCCGAGTTTTGTCTATTCTTTTTTATACGGTATTGTGGCGCTTAGGCGGTGAGGCTGTAGTGGATTGAGGTTGAAGGTGAAGCCGGCGGTCGTTGCTGCAACAGGTGACGAGGCATAGTTCTCCACGGCCATTCAATGGCAATATCGGTTTCATCTTAGTAATATTTTTCGGCTGATAATTGACAGAGTTCAAGGAGAGGCCAACTTGTCTTTAATATTCTGAATAAACTTTATAAATTTAGCCGAAAACATAATATTCAAGTTCGATTTATAAAAAAATCAAAACCGCACCCCATTATCGCGGTACTGCCGGGAGCATGTCTTTCTGTGAATTCAACAAACTGCAAAGGCCGAGTTGGCATTACATCTTTCTAAATGGCCAAACACAGAGCGAGTAGTATCGCAAATTGCTCCCCTTTTTTCTTAGGTCGTCCGAGAACGAACATCATATCAGTGACAACCTCTACATAGATAACATATTTTCTATGCACATCGAATTTATGCACCATAGCAACGAGCGAAGGCTTATCCCGTGGACAGAAATTGTCCACAGTCCTATTAGGCATCTTAGACGGACAGCGAAACTTATTATAAGACTAGGGATGTAATGATTATATTATAGGCAATGACAACATTTACAAAGTTGACAGCACTTCCATAGTTGACAATAAACTATACATTGACAGCACTACATAAACTCGACATCGAATTTTCAAACCCATCTACTTATTCCTCTCCGGCACTAGCAAGTTAAAAACACCAGAGCTCCACCTGTGATCTATAAATCTGAGCGCGAAGACATAGACGTGCCTCCCAAGCCTTGACAGAATGAAATTATTACAGCAGGACGTGAGATGCATGCCCTTCTCCTGGCCCCTATGGGATTGTATAAACTCCTAAAGGGGCGAATTAGAGGTCGAGCACACGTTGGAGCCTACAACTAGCGTAGGTTATGGGCATGGAGTAACATGGTGGCTGGAGAATGAGAGACGAAATGCGGGTTTGTTACACTTGCGATTAACACAAGATGGAGACAATTGGGCCTAGCTGGGGAGATTCATTCCACTCCTCTAAACTAGTGCTTCAAAGCTTGGGAGGAAAGCGTCAAGGAAAGATAAAATAGGCATATGGAGGAAACATAGTATCGGTAACCTGGTAGTTGGTGCGAGGAATTCTTATTGCTATCGACGCCCGAGCTCATACCCATCTACTCATTTCCATACAACGATCTCTATTACTCATGACGGTCATCCATTACTATTCCATCTCTTTTCGGTTTTCAGGCATCAGTCATCAATACCCGGTCGATGAGCGAGTAGAGAACGGTGGAGTGGTCTATTAAATGCTTCGAAGGTACAAGCACCCAAGCAGGCTCACGACGATAATTGTGAGACGTCATACTGTGCGGCATCATGGTACAAATCGATCAAGCAGCCAGCGCTCCAAGCCTGTGTCGGCGACTAGAATCACATCAAAATATTAGCACACGCCCCCTACGAAAGCAAAAAGGCAAGAACTCACCGAATCCCCACAAACCTCCCCATTCTTATTCGTCAACTCCGTCAGCCCCGCCCAAGGACTCTCCTTAATGGCTTCCTTACACCCTATCAACCTCTTTGTGATCTGTTGAAATGCCTCGGTCTTCTGCCCCGGGTCATCGCATCTCTTCAAGTCAAACTTCAGTAGGGCTCTGAGGAAGAAACCCGTGGGCCACAACCACTCTGGACCTTGGTGGTAATTTCTTCCTTTGCTCGTGCTGAAGTTGTCGCTATCATCGGAGTTGATGTAGTAGGGGTGGTAATTAAGATCTGAGGGATCAAGGGTCGCCATTCCTGTGGGACCACGGAGAACTTTGTCCGCGACAGTTAGGGCATGAAGGGCGTGGGTGTCATTGAAGATGTCGGGCGCCACTGCCATAGCGATGGTGAAGTTGGGACGTAGCTGATAGTCCTCGTATTCTTTGCCGGATTTATACAGATCTTTATAGACCCCGCGACGATTGATGATCTTTGGATTGACGTCGTAGCTATCATCATCATCGGAGTCAACTGGGATGTAGTAGCAACGCTCGAAATTGTGTTTGATGAGAGCAGACCAGTCACCGAAGGTGATGACCTCTCGATTCGGATCCGAGGTACTGACGCCAGCATACTTATATTTGCCCTCCTTGTGCAATTTTGCCAGCCATACCAGAGTACTATAATGGAGACCTGTGATCTCAATAGCTGCGCCATCACGAGGTGTACCGGGAACGCCTTTGTTGTGAGCTTTCTCACTCTCACCCATCTTGTCCATCCAAGTCCCGCAGTTATATTGGTTGCCACCGAAAATAATCCCGGTACTCCAGTCAACCTTGATATCTTGCTGGAAACCTTCTGGCTTCATCTGCATATCCAAATCGGGGCCTGCATTAGCCTCTCGGAACGACATTCCGGTGGCATGTCGTTGGAGAGCCTCTTGAACAATGTCTTCCAAAGTTGATGATTTCGAGTACGCTCTTGGATCATCAACCTCGAAGTATGTATCATCGTAAGGGAGGAATCGCCGAGGTATTTTTTCCTTGAGAATGTCCAAGCCATTTGGAACAATCTTGGTGTAGTCTTGAATTGTCTGCAGCATGAACCAGATCGCATCTCGGGCGTTATATCGAGGGTTGCTGCCACTGCTAAGAAGATTGGGGATCATCCCATGTTTCATGACACTTGCAAATGCAAGAATATGCTCTCTACATTCTGCGTATCGGCCAGCGCCAAGTAATAGACCTCTGGCAGATATAAAAACATCTCGACCCCAGCATCTTGCCCACGAAACCGCGAAGTGCGGGAGGCCGGCTGCCAATGACGGGACATCCTTTTTGGGATATAAAGACGCGGATTTGACAAATCCAACCTGCTGCAGACTGACCATAGCGAGACTTTGCAAGAACCACTGCCCTTTTTGAACATTATCGTTCATGAGTTCTAGACTACGGTCCCAGGCAGCCATGTATGCAGTCCGTAGAACCAGGCCAAAGTACCGTGGCAGTAGGAAGCTTGGAATTTTTCGAATCGCAGCAAACCGTTCTTTGAGCCACTCAGCAGGTTTGCAAAGCCGCTCATGATTAACTCTCTCTGATATCCTCTCGAGACGTCCCACCATATAATCCAACGGCCATTGGCCATCCCGTAAGTGTCGACAAATAGGATGGGCCAAATTGTTGTTCCTAATAACGTCTTTCATTACACTCCACCAACCCTGCAAGCCAGCATAGACGAGTTTGCCATGTTCTGGAATATCATAAACACCGTTCTTGCCATCGCTGGAGTCAAGTTCTTCGGCCTCGCATCGGTATAGCACAAAATTAAGATCTACAAGATCCAATTCCGAGAAAGCAGCCTTAGCCCCTGAAGTGACATATGTATCAAGACCAGAAGAATGGTCTACGCTGGGTATCCAAGTCTCAAATAACGCGATGCTACCCGGTGGAAATTTATCTGGGATAGTGATAACGGTCTCATTTTCCTTGATCTCCAACCGAACGCCTGGAAGATCGGACACCTTGCTTGGCAAGCCTCTCAAGAACTTCTTATCTTCTGAGGCAGCCTTTTTGGCTTCCTCGCTAGTATCAACCTCAAGCATCCAACTTCCCACGTGGCGAGCTTTGGTACCTGTCAGACGAACTGGACTGAGCTCGCCATTTCCGTCTCCATACCCAGGAAATGCCGTGTGTGCAATAAGGAAATACCCTTTCCGGGATTCTGGATGGACACGATGAACAGTGATATATTGATCCTCATGATGGATATGAGTCTCATCATACCCATCTTTACCCATCAGAGTGTGGATTTGGTTCAGGAGTTTCTTGATCCCGCCAATACCACCTTCACCACCACCAATCTCCACAGGCTTAGTGGATGAGATTGAAGAATATAATCTTGTTTCTCCAACAAGATCGATGAGTTCAGGGTAGATCTCATCATAACCAAATACACTCCCGGTAGAGGATGCACACATATTGACAAGAGCAGTGTTTGGAAGTGTGTCTCGCGCATCTCGCTTCTGTGCAGGTGGCTCGTTATCATGCGTGCAGTCCATGAAGAGCGCATGCACAGGTGTATATTTCATTTGACGAACAATCTCCCGCTTGGCAGGCTGACTACCCGCCAGGCTTTCTGAATCAGCCCCTGAGACTTCATCGGCCTCGAAACTGCCTATTGGTCGACCGCCATGTTGATGCACAAGCCGACTGAGTTCGCCTGTTCCCCATGCTTGCATGGCTTCGCGGATCAACGAGCTTAATCCAAGGCGCTTTACAAAAATATAATCTGTCTCCTCCGACCCGGTGAACAGTTCAGCGACAATGAAAAGATTTGGTCGGACCCTCCTAGCTTCGTCTAGCAAAAATTCGGCTACATGTATCGGGGTTGAATGGCAATTATCTATCCGGAAGCCAGTAAAATACTTAGCCATCAGACGAGCGTAACTCGCCATAAAGTCCCACAAGAAAGGACTATCTTCTCGGCCACTTCCATAGCGAAGTTTTACACAGTCGCCCCAAACAATCACCTCCCGACGAAGATATGCCCGGGACTTTGGACCTGCGTGGTCAACTAGAGCATTAGCAGCCCATATCCAGCCGTTGTTCACCAAGGCAAGATCGTCCTCCTTGTGTTTAGAAGTAATAGAGTTTTTGGGGAGGCGGGTGAAATAGGATTCGATGAGAGGGTTCTTCATGTCGATAGGCCCAAGCTTTGGCCCATGCTCGTCTAATCTGACATACTTGACCCGATTGAATACCTGCTGAAGGAGCTCGGCAACGTCGACGTCATATTCTCTGTACAAGGGAAGATTGAGTTCGTCCAGGACCTTCACGAAATGGTTGCGTGCGGCTGCTCGGTCGGCAGAATCGGAGTCATCCCCTTCAAAGCGGCCATAAATAGCCGTAAGCAAGGCTGCTGCTACAGGAGGGTTGACCTTTCGACGGAAACGCTCCCCAAGGCGGTCATTGTCGAGCATTCCGTGCTTAATCAACAATTGAGCCTGTTCCGCCGGACCGGCGCTTTTTATGGCTTCAAGCCCACCATTGTTGGGGTCCCCGAAACCATCCTTGGGAAATGATATATCGCCTGTCGCCCAGGCCTCGATGGCGGCATCGGCGTTACGCTCGGCATGAACGACATAGAATTCCCAGAGTCGAAGTTTTGCAATCACTTTCTCCTTGATGCTGTCCATAATTTTCAAGAGGTCATCTACGGATGTCAACGTTGTAGGTAGATCGTATTTGGCCATATTCTTGCTAAATTCGAGCAGTTCGGTGTCCAACTCTAATGCCGACCGTAACCACGGTGCAGTCGAAACATTATAACCAGCTTCTGGGTGTTCGTGTAGCCATTTGCTATTATTTGCCGTATGGTTAAAAACAACGTCCGTGAGCGCTAATAAGTTGTATTTGTTTTCCATGCTATCAATTAACTTTTTAATGTCAGCCTCGCCATTGGGGAAGCATTCCGGGTCCCACTTTAGTTGATCGTATATACTGTAGGGGGAATTTGACTCTCCGCGTTGCTGCAATGGTGTAAAATGAACCATGTTATACCCTCTCTCATCGATACCTCGCAAATGTTTCTCCCAGTCTGCGGGGTATTTCCCCATAAATTTTGAGATTAGGGAGAATACTGACACCGCCGGCAATGGCATCTGCGTTCCCCCCAAGGTCAGTCGAGGGGCAATATCGATGTAATATGTGGGAGTGCGCGAAGTTGTACTCGGGGCAATGGTGGTTTCGGACAGGTCGGGGAGGGAGTGATAGGTCGTATAGAACGCAAATGCACCGGCGCCGTGAATGGGAATCGAAATTTCAATCGTTCGATTGAAATCTGGCTCAAGCCTATTCCGTGTCAGTCTGCAGGGCCCCAAGAGGGGGTATCTCCATGTGATATCCTACTTAAACGCCCGGAAATTGTCTCTCCGAAACTCTGCACCCTCCTCTGGGATGTTCACCCACAACCTGCCGTGCCTACATATTGACGATGTGCCCTCGATCTGGAACCGTACGATAATTGGAGCGGAAGTTTTTGGAGTAAGGTAGATGTACTGGTGTTTGTCGGACACATCGGGGCTTCCATCGTCCTTCAATGGAAGTAGATATACTTCGTCGGGCACCATGGTCTTGGGGGGTCGTAGTCAGCTACCGTGTCAACAAGTTGCTTCTCTGGGGGGTTCTAGCTTATGCTGCCTGAGGAGCTAGGAAATGACGATAGCAATGAGCATAGAGGTGGAAATGTTCAGAGAGTGGGCGGGCGATAGGGGTAGGAAAGGGGAATTTTGGAGTACATGGAGGGGCAATATAGAATACCTACCTAGGTACCTAGGTAGGTAGGCAAGGAGTCGGAGCAGTAGATCAACAGGTACGGAGCACAAACATACCGGGAAATCCAAGAACACAGCGACAGTGACGGTGACGGTGACGGTGAAAGGTAAGGTACCTTGTACGACGCAAAAAAGCGTGATAAGCTTCAGGTCCTTGCAGAGCAGTCAGGCTGGAGCGTGGGGTTGAGCCACAGACACACTACGTCATGTTCAGCAGAACAAGTAAGGGTTGTTTACTGTGGCTTGTTAACCTCGCTAACCAAAGCCAACCCCTTACAATCTTTGCAATCGGCGATACCGACAAGCCAAAATTCTAACCAACTGAGTCGATTGGGATCATTGGGTATACAACTGCCAAGGAACGCGGACTGCTGGTCTGGACCGCAACGGGACCTTATAAGTTACGTACCACAGCAGTAGTTAGGTTGGTAGCTATTATTAGGCGTCTAATAGTTCATCGGAGGCTTTGGATAGCCAAGTCGAATAGCTCGGCAGGCTTGATAGACCGAGTACCTAAAAGAGACTATTCAATACGCCGGTGGTTGCACAGGCTCTCATTCCCATGTGAATGCCCCATTATTTGTACCTATGTTTCTACCTAGGTAAGTATATACTTTCCAACATTTAGAGTGCCTAGGTACTGTCTTATCTATATCTCTCCACGGAGAACGCCGTTGTCGCTGTATTTGCCCCTCGTCCTCCCCGGGCGGGCGGTGAAAGCTGCCCCTGCACGTGCTCGGCCCCAACGCCGCGGCAACCCGTTGAAAAGGCGTCGAGGGCTCGAAAGACACAAAAAGCATTGGGAAGCCCGACTTTCTTCACGATGTCTCAATCCAACCGTTTTCTTCCTTGACATTCCTCTCTTTTGGTCAAGCCCTTCCTGTCTCTCTCTTCTCCAATCTCCTCTCTCCTTATATTTGTATAGCCTGGCTCTATCATAGTCTTATGATCCTCCCTACACGGCTTGCACCAAGCCCAAGCCACGCCGCCAGACGCCTTTCTCAGACGTACCGCCACCTGCCTCCAGCGATACCTCAACGTCACAGCGCCAACATGGCTACTCTCGGTGCGCCAACAAAGAAGCACAAGGTGACTGTGGTGGGATCTGGAAACTGGTACGGTTTTACTTCTGCTCATGCTTCTACTTCTGCTTCTCTATTCATGGAAGCTCTCTAACTTTCGTAGGGGCTCGACAATTGCCAAAATCGTCGCCGAAAACACAAAGGCCCATCCCCACCTTTTCGAGGAGAATGTGCAGATGTGGGTTTTCGAGGAAGAGGTTACCATAGCAAAGGACTCTAAACACTATGATGCCTCGGTGGGCGACGGACCGCAGAAGCTGTCAACAGTAATCAACAAGTGCCACGAGAACGTCAAATACCTTCCCAACATTGCCCTTCCGAAGAACGTTATTGCGAATCCATCCGTTGTCGACGCCGTCAAAGACTCTACCATTCTCGTTTTCAATCTCCCTCATCAGTTCATCGGTCGCATATCGAAACAATTAGAAGGCAACATCCTCCCCTTCGCCCGAGGAATCTCCTGCATAAAGGGTGTGAACGTAACGGAGACGGAGATTAGTTTGTTCAGCGAATGGATTGGTGAAGGCCTCGGTATCTACTGTGGTGCTTTATCAGGAGCAAATATTGCCAGCGAAATCGCAGCTGAGAAGTGGTCGGAGACTACTATCGCATACGACCCCCCGGTGATTGATTCACGGGCCGGGACGCCAGCGGGACCTTCTCCTACCAGCTCGCAAATCAACCTCACAGTCACAGATACGGATGCCAAACAGAAAGATGCCCGAGGACGTGTGACCAAGGCGAGGCTGGTGCCCGTTCCAGGCGGTTACCCCGCCCTCGATCACGCTGTTTTCAAGACCTTATTCCATAGACCGTACTTCCACGTCCGACTGGTCTCAGACGTCGCGGGTGTATCTCTCGGCGGTGCGTTGAAGAATATCGTTGCGCTGGCCGCTGGCTTCGTCGACGGACGAGGCTGGGGTGATAATGCCAAGGCTGCCGTTATGCGTGTGGGCTTACTGGAGATGGTCCAGTTTGGCAAGGAATTCTTTGGACACTCAGTCAATTCAGGAACCTTCCTCGAAGAGAGTTGTGGCGTTGCGGATTTGATCACCAGTTGCAGCGGAGGCCGAAACTTCAAATGTGCAAAGATGGCCGTGGAGAGGGGTGTGAGTGTGGATGAGGTTGAAAAGACCGAACTAAATGGGCAGAAGCTACAGGGAACTAGCACTGCTAAGGAAGTTAATTCGTTTTTGAAGTCGAAGGGAAGGGAAGATGAATACCCGTTGTTTAAAGCTATCTATGGTTAGTACTTCCCCGTTTCTCCAATAATGAGGGATTCAACTGACATTCAAGCAGATATTCTAGAGGGGCGAAAGTCAGTGGATGATATCCCTGATTTGGTTGCACGCGCAGATGCGTGTTAGATGAATTATAATGGATGTTCTAATGTCGTGTTGCTTTTCGGCGCGGTTTAGAGGCAGTGGAGAAGGTGGATATTAGTAGATGCTCATGCAGGCAAACCACAACTACCACATGCACGGAATGATGAATATATAATGAGTCTGTTTAACCCCATTAAATGCAAGGTGTTCATTATGTTATTTGGATATGGATGTAAAAAACGAAGCAACTTCTAGTGAACTCCCATGCCAAATTTTTAAGAACCTCGGCGTAGTACTAAGCGCCATTGTGTTACTCTTGTATGCATGAGTCCATAGACCGGAATGCAAGGTTATATACATTCAATTGCATATATGCTGCTTTTGGATGCTATGGGGTGATATTGCCGCTCGGTGTGTCTGGATCCGAAATTTGGTACACCGATGGTAATCGGAACATGTGATTGGTCTCGCCAGCGGCCGATGAACTTTTGTTTTACGGAGAGAGTCATCCTGGTCATCACCCCGCCACAAGAAATCTTACCATTAAGCAAGAACACAACAAAACACAACAAAACACAGCTCTTTCAACAACCACCTGATTTGCCTTCACCAAAACTTTAATTCTTGCAGATATAAATCAATTGGTCATGGCTCCTGTATGTACAACCTTTCAATTGCGCTTGGAGAGCTGCTTGAGCCAAGAGTTCAAAGAGTCGCCTCTGACTGACTCACTCACAGACATACCATATTGAAAACCCCAATTTGGGCAACTCAGCAGATACAGAAGACTGGCGAAGTATGCCCCTAATCTCCTCCCTCTAAAAGTATGCGCTGAACATTTTCTATAGTTCGAGGTTACAACCCATTGACGCCGCCGAACCTCCTCCAACATGAAATTCCCCAAACCCCGAAATCCAAAGAAACCGTTCTGAATGGACGCAACGAAACCGTCGCGATCGTCAATGGCAAAGACCCCAAGAACCGGCTACTAGTCATCATTGGACCATGCTCAATCCACGATCCCGAGGCCGCTCTCGCATACTGCGATAGACTCGTCGCCCTAAAACAAAAATACGCAGATGACCTCCTAATAGTCATGCGATCCTACCTCGAGAAGCCGCGCACGACAGTTGGATGGAAGGGGCTGATCAACGATCCTGATATCGATGGTAGTTTCCAGATTAACAAGGGGCTGAGATTGAGTAGGCAATTGTTCGTGGATCTGACATCGAAGGGGATGCCACTTGCGAGCGAGATGTTGGATACGATTTCCCCGCAGTTTTTGGCCGACGTGCTAAGTGTGGGTGCAGTGGGTGCTAGAACCACGGAGTCTCAATTGCATAGGGAGTTAGCCAGCGGGCTGAGTTTCCCGGTGGGCTTCAAAAATGGTACAGATGGTACCCTTGGGGTGGCTATTGATGCCATTGGAGCTGTGAAACATCCTCATCATTTCTTGTCTGTCACAAAACCAGGCGTGGTCGCTATTGTAGGAACTGTGGGTAATGAGGACTGCTTTGTCATTCTGAGGGGTGGCACAAAGGGCACAAACTACGATGCCGAGAGTATCAAGGAGGCCAAGGCTGCGTTGGCGAAGAGTGGTGTTAATGGTCGGCTCATGGTTGATTGCAGTCATGGTAATTCGTTGAAGAACCATAAGAATCAACCCAAGGTTGCGGCGACGTTGGCTGAGCAGATTTCCAAGGGCGAGGAAGCTATTATGGGCGTTATGATTGAGAGTAATATAAACGAGGGTCAGTATACCGGCTAATTTTGTGGTTGGATTTTATACTAATTGTTTCTGTAGGTGCCCAGAAGGTTCCTCCGGAGGGTAAGGCTGGTCTGAAATATGGCGTCAGTATCACGGATGCTTGCATTGGGTGGGAGGACACGGAATCTGTGTTGGAGGGGCTTGCCAAAGCTATCCAGCAGCGTAGGGAAGTGTTGAAGAGTACTAATAGTCAGTCTTGAGGAACTTTTGTTATTCTGAGGGTAATGGAGATACGTCGTTATGATTTTGATATTCAGCGAGGTAAAAAAAAAGCTTTGCGGGCATTGTTCGAGATAAAATATTCAATCCCTTACCTATAGAATCTTACTAAACACTGCAAAACACCAATTTCACAATATTACAATGACGTTATACTTCTCGGATTTGTTATGCCGGTGGTTTCTACTGTACGGCTAGAATAATTACATTGCACGTGATACCCCATGAACCAGCCGAACAGCCAATCAATTGCGATGCTTAGCGAGCCAAAGAAGTCCCGAATCAAATTCGTAACGACTCTCGATGTCGGCTGCACCATCATCAGACACTCATTCTACCACTCAATTGAGCTGCCGTACCTCCCGCAAATTGATCTCCAGCTGAGGCATTCCGTGCTGAATATGTTGGCTAGGTCATGTCTGCGCTCAACGCGCGCGTTCGGAGCTGTTCGGAATGGCGCCGTTAACACTACCAAGGTACGATCACCACCCGTCAACACCCAGCCCCAACTGCAAACTTCTGGGATTGGCTCTGGAGCTCCCGAAAACTTTGATTGAGATCATGGGAACACCATTGAGTGCTGACGATGTTCTCTCCAGCGGACTGCCTCCTCCTCAAGCTCGTCGACCGCGGACGCTGCGTCTCCCTTCAAATTGAATATGGCTGGTTCTGCGGCTACAGCGGTAGCTGTTGGGTCAATGGCCTGGTACTACCATCTATACGGCCCCGAATTACATGCGATGACTCCCGCAGAAGAAGGGTGAGATACTCCGTTGAAATCCTCGACGCCCTCGGTGGTGCTCCCTCGAGCTTGGAAAGTGGGACCATCATCAAGGGCTGATCGAGGACGACTCATCCTATGAATCCGCATCGGTGGCTGACTCTTAAATAATAGCCTTCACCCTACAAAATACCCATGGGTCCACGCAAAATGGGTGAAGACTTTCGATCATCAAGCGTAAGCAGCCCAGTCTCCAAAACCGATCTTCAACTAACAGGAGCAGCCTTCGTCGAGGTTTCCAAGTCTATCAGGAAGTTTGCGCATCCTGCCACTCCCTTAGCCGGATCCCATACAGAACATTAGTTGGTGTTACTCACACTGTCGATGAAGCCAAAGCCATGGCCGAAGAGAACGAATACGATGCCGACCCCAACGATGAGGGGGAAATTGAGAAGCGACCAGGAAAGCTCGCTGACTACCTCCCAAGCCCGTATAAGAACGATGAGGCTGCCCGTGCTGCAAACAATGGTGCTCTTCCTCCCGATCTCAGCTTGATTGTCAAGGCTCGCCATGGCGGTTGCGATTATATCTTCAACTTGTTAACCGGATACCCCGAGGAGCCACCCGCGGGCGCCGTCGTTCCAGAGGGCCTCAACTTCAACCCCTACTTCCCCGGCACCGGCATCGCCATGGCTCGTGTTCTCTACAATGAGCTGGTCGAATACGAAGATGGAACCCCGGCTACCACCTCACAGATGGCGAAGGATGTAACTGAGTTCTTGAACTGGGCCGCAGAGCCGGAAATGGACCAACGGAAGAAGATGGGCATCAAGGTTTTGGTTGTCACTTCCGTCTTGTTGGCAATCAGCGTGTGGGTCAAGCGATACAAGTGGTCTCCTATTAAGACGAGGAAGATCGTTTACAACCCACCATACGCCACTAGCAAACCCCCAACTGGCCGTGGTCATTAGACGATGAATTGGGCTTTCTTTTGTCAGACATGGGGACGGGATGATGGAAACAATTGTGCTACTAGTCTCATTAGATGCTGAATGGAGATATGTGTTTGTATAAAGGGGCGGATGGGGTAGAACACTCCGGTTTAGGAGCTTTCCTCTCGAGCACTTTAAACCCGCAGCGTGGTGATAGTGAGATTTTAGACTTGTGTCAATATTTTGAAATCACCTCTTCAGTCAGTAACCCTCCTTCGTGACCAACGCTTTGTACAAGTACTTCGTAGAGTCCGGCTTGCACCCGAGCTTCCTTGCTTTGGCCTCGGGAGTCGGACTCGGACTCGGGACGCTTGGAAAGCAAGCTTGCCGAGCGATAAGTGCACCTTGACCCTTATCGTGAACGTCTCTGTTTCGCTAAGTAAAAAATATATTGAGCTTCACTTTCGCTCACACATCGCAAACAATCATTCTGCAGGCTTTCTCTCTAGAATTACTCTCGTTACCACTCACAATTTCTACAAGGAAATATCTGCACATTCTCATCTACAGTCATTTTCCCAATCAACCGCGAACCTCCTCCCGCGCAAACCAACCGCAAACCCCCCCTTCGTACACGAAAAGTCGGCACAAAAACGCGAATGATAGTGGGGTAGGGAGAACCCCAATTAGTGATATGGAGGTTAGCAATGGGGTGAAACCGCATGCGGCTAAGGCTAGTAGCAGCGGCATTGGAAGTAATGGAGTTGGAAACCAGAGGAAAGCTTCCAAGTCGAGACAGCAGGGGGGCACTGGACAGGTGACGCCGAAAGGAGGGCGGACGGGTTTGGCTGCGCAGGGGAAGGAAGGTTTATCAAGCGACGAGCCTGCTGCTAAGAAGGAGAATATGAAGCTAGTGAAAGTGGTGAGTGAGAGATTCGGCTTTGAACAGAGGGGTTTATACGGGAAAGATGTGAAGGAATGAGGGGTTAATTATTTCAGCTACCACAGACGCCTATCAATGCTAAGAAGAACAAGAGTGGCATGCACCCCAAGCCATCCGGCAAGTCGCAAGCCACAGAAGACGATGCTTTCGAAGAATACGACGTCGATCCCTCGCAGAAAGAATTTCTACTGGAACTGCTCAAAGTCGCGCCAAAAGAAGAACTCATACAATTAGTTGGGAATACAAAGATGAAGAGAAAGCGAGATGATGACGCTGAGGATGGTACACTAGATACCAAAGATATGGCTCTTGCGGAAACCGTGAATGCCAGGAACAACGTGGATTTGGGACATGCCGTAGCAGCCGCAGCAAGCCGAGTTGGTGAGATTGTGAGTATTATGCAAACTCAGTTCGCATGTGAACCTCCAACGAAATTGACGAAGAGGAAGTCGAAAAAGCAGAGGATAATAGAGAGAGATTTGGAGTCCCCAAAGGCAAAGATCAACGAAGCACCGCCTAAACTTCAGGAAGCTAAGGTTTGGTATAAGGACGATAACAGCGGAGCCATGGAGGTCGACGTTGTTGAGGGTCTGGAACCAGTTCTTACCTTCGCTCCGGATGATCCCGGAATACAAAAGAAGAAAAAAAATGCCATACTCCCTGGAGGCGTGGTACAGAAGTCGGAGCACAACCAAAAGACTTTAGGGGATGTCATAGTACCGGTGCCCGCCGTTGCTATGGGTTCAACGCCTGCGTCTCAAAAAAAATCGCACATACAACCAGCAACTGGCGATGCCAATATCAACGGCAGCGGAACTCTTTCTACAACGGAGAAGCAAAAACCCCAAAAAGTAGAGAAGCAGGAGAAAAAGAAACCTTCCAAGGGACTGACAACTTCGGAGTACTTTTCGCCCTCACCAGTGAAGAAGCAACCGGCTAAGCAAATTGCTTCCAAGGAGAACGCTACAAAAGATAAACAGGTACAACAACCCCAGGGAAAGAAAGCACAACGAAGAGCTCAGTCCCTAGTTGAAGCAGGAGAGGCAACAAAGAAGCTTGCTTCGATGGCTGGGCTCCCGAAAGAAATCGTTGACATGCTGCGGGAGACCAACCGGGCCATCCAAGCCGCGAATATCGGTGGTGTGGTTAAGAAAGCCGTGGAGCAAAACGTGGCGAGAAATCAAACGAAAAATGCTCAAAATAAGGCTAAGGGAGAAGGAGAGAAGGCTAGAAGCTTGAATGCTACGGAGGCTGCAAAGATTCCGGAGAAAAGCAATAAGAGGGCTGCGAAGAGGGAGAGAGCGAGGCAGCGGAACCATAACCGTCTGCGTGAGCAGCCTGGTGCGCTTGGCGTGGCTATTGACGGTGGCGAGAAGGTGAATGCGGACAGTACTGAGACCAGCAACGCTCTAACTACTGAGAAATCCTCTGCCACTTGTGCTACCAATGATTCCGAAGCCAGAGATTCTGTCCAAAGTACGGAGAATAAGCTTGCTTCATCTATCGCGGCTGAGATAGCTCTAAGTCGGACGGTGAAGGGCATAAGAAAGACAACTGCTTCAGAGCCTACACGGATGGATATTGACCCTAAGCCTGCGAGCCAGGAATTAAAAGCCAACCACTCGTAGACGGCCAGGGCTCTGCGAGTGGTAGTCATTGCCTGGAAGCACATGTTACATATCAAGATAATGGAATCGTCGGGGGACCTGCCATGCCCGACACGACGATGGATGACAGCAGCGGAAATATTGATATTAGTGAAGATGTTAGAAGCTCAAATGCTCCAGCTTCTCAGGAAATGGTCGATGCCCATACCCATTCAGAGGTGGTGGGCTCTATCGACCGAAATGACACCTTGCAACCCAATGAACCTCGGGCGACTGAAGGGGTTCAACATGATAAGCAAACTGTCGGTAATCGCTCCATTGGCAACAACCCTCTGTATAATTCTATGGGTAATGACCAGACTGGGGATGAGCTTAATGAATCTCCAATAACTCCAACGCCTCGGCGACGGACCTCGTCCGCCTCCCAACGCAGCGCTCCTGAGGCCGGTTATTTTACCCAGAATTCCCCCAAGATACAGAGACTTTCTAAATCTTCTCCCAGCTCGCAGCCACTACCTCGAACACCTGCACCAAAGATCCAGCAAAAGTCCATATTAGAGATCATACTTAATAGTCCAGCTGAGGAGGCTAAGCCTAAACTTGAAAAATGGCTAGATCCGTCGCATATGTCAGGAAAGAAATCTCGTGCGGTTAGGAGAGATAGCAACGGGCGCTTCTCCGCCAAGGGTCTTGTTATCACCCCTACTGAGAGTACCAAAAGGCCGTCAGTAGATGCTTCAACTGGCAGCCCACTCAAGGTGGAGGGCGCTGAAGCAGACATGTCAGTGAATGCCTTCGACGACCGTATATTACAAGCAGATTCTTCAGCCACACCCAATAGGCCCATCTTCGATGAGGAGTCGCCTATCTCGAAAACGCAGAACTTGGTAGAAGATGGCGGGCCCGAGAATGGCAGTTTCATAAAGCTAGAGAAGAAGGTAAAAGCGAAACGGGCATCAAAGAAATCCCCATACTTCACGGCCCCCGTCATCTCTCAGCCGAAGAGAGCTACATCTAAAGCTGCCCAAGGAAGTGAAGACATATCCGAAAGAACGCCAAAGTCTACTCCCACGACTCCGAAGAAGAAGGGCGACTTGAAATCAGAAACTCCCAAGAGGCGCTCTCCAGGAGGCATCGTGTCATGCATCCCATTCCCGCCCTTATCTTCTCCACACTTCGGACTTATTCAAGAAAAGCTCGCCCACGACCCTTTCCGTCTCCTCATAGCTGTTACCTTCCTCAACCGCACCAAAGGCAAAGATGCCATACCCGTCTTCTACGAACTACTGACCAAATACCCAACCCCTGAATCCCTCGTGTCTGCGGGAAAAGAAGATATAGTCCCTATAATTCGCCATCTCGGCCTGCAAAACCAACGCGCAGCGACCTACCAAACGTACGCAAAATTTTGGCTCGAAGACCCACCGAAAAAAGGCCGCCGGTACGCAGTTCGCGGCTACCCAACAAAGGAGTCCGGTCGTGATATCAAAAACGGTGAGATCCTGGCTGATGACGATGAACGCGAAGCTTGGGAAATAGGTCACATGACTCAAGGCCCCTATGCCATTGATTCGTGGCGGATTTTCTGCCGCGATGCCCTGAGAGGGAAGGCTAAGGATTGGAATGGGGAAGGTAATACCGAGGAGTGCTTTCAGCCGGAGTGGATGAGAGTTCTGCCGGAAGATAAGGAGCTCCGAGCATACCTGAGGTGGATGTGGCTTAAGGAGGGGTTTGAGTGGGATCCATTCACAGGGGAGAAGGAGGTTGCGGGTAAGGAGTTGATGAGTGCTGCTATTGAAGGGCGAATTGCGTGGGATGATTTTGGCGGGATGAGAATCATTATGGAGGGGGAGGATAGTGGCAGTGGAGCGGGTATTGGAGAACCCCTGAACCATGATGTTGGTCCTATGAAGGATGATGTTAAGGGCAAGGGGGAGCTGACTGAGACGGAGGATATGGATTGGGAGATCTGAGGAGAAATGATTAGGATAGTGTGTTTTGCGCTTGTATACCCCCTAGAATAGATATGTAGACGTGAATAAATGCTGGCTAGATGATAGGCACTAAAATACCAACATACTTGTTAAGAGCTTATGTCCTTCCTCGCCGTAATCGTTGATGCCCTCTACCGTTTATTCCCTTACCACAATGCAGCTCTGACCTAAAAAGGGCCATTGGTATAGCAGGGGCTTTGGGTAAATAATTTATGCAAGCTGAAAGATACAGGAATTCCAATTACTCCGTATGTCGACTTATATCGGGTGGCGAATAATAATACAATAAACTCGAAATATAAGTTTCACTTGGCAATGATTTACTTCTCGCCACGCTTTAAGGCTAGGATAAAGTGAAACAAATAGCCGTTCTAATTACCGGGTTGAGAAGAAAGTTCATTCCTCCCCTCATACTTGAGAAAATCATAAAAGAAAATCTAAACTTTGAAAACAAACATAACATTCAACAATCCTCCCACATCCCGACTCCAGCCATCCGTTCCCCCTGGTTTCTAAACAGAACGCATTCACCAGCTCAATGGAAGTCGTCCGAGCATAAATGTCAAACCACAGATTCAAGACAAAAAGTAATTGTACCGCAAAATAATACCGGGGGAATAATGCAAATGTGAAACGGAGCCAAAATCAAATCATCCTTTCAGTACCTGGGTAGTTGTAGACTAGGTCTAGTTTCATGAGTTAATACATGGTTTGTGACCGTTCCAAGAGCTGGATAAAGTAGGGCCGGGTGGCTTACTGGGAGAGTTGAAGAGGGTGCTTGTTCAAGTGGTGAACATTCATTGAATTTGACAATCGCGCTTCTTGCTCCTCCGGCCAAAGAAAGGCCAACCGCGCCTGCTATCGATCGAATTGGCGCTGGCAGGGCGGGAATTGTTATCGTCATGAATAGGTGCTGCTCGGTCTTGCGCAGTATTGCTGGTGCCACCTGGAGTATGAAGTTGCGTCTGTTCCTGGCCAACGGGACTCTGGGCGTTCGTAGCGGCATTGATCTCGGTTGAAGACGAGTTCCTTGGTCCTGAGATAGGAGGTACGATAGTGTCGGGGCTTAATTCGTATATTGGAGCAGGTCGAGGGTGCGTACGGTGGGCCCTTCTAAAGCCCACAGTTCTCGTTTGCCCACTTATGGTGGGAGGTGGCTGGAACACGTTAGCTGAAGGAGAGCCCATAGCCAGGTTCGGCTGCTCCTGACGACTTGGATGTTGCCTAAGGAGAGCCGTTGGGCCTGTTTGCATTGCCTCTCCTCTAGGGAGGAGGGGGCCGAATCCGTTAACTATTACGCCATTAACTAGATCATCTGGACGTAACGAAAGTCGACCCCTACGTGGGATGAGATGCGCTATCAGGCGTCGAGCGTGGGCAAGCTGATCTACCGGATTGTTCTGGCTTGCAATTGCTGGTCCCACTTGCGTCCTTCGAGCCTTACTCGACGATTCTTCACGGATCCGCGGTACGATTGGAGAGGAACACTGACCAGTAGTTGACCAGTTCTCATGAGCTTCCTCAGGATGGTCCCTTAGGGTTATGGCCTCCTCCCTAATGAACGGGGGATGGGTTCTATTGAAATGTTTCGTGGATATGGAACTTTGCTCCTGGATGGAGCGGCTCTCTCGGGGTGCTGTGATTGGGGTGGCGCATGAGGCGGTGTTGTCTTTGCGAGCGTATTTGGATAGAGACAGTTGCTCCAGGTGGCTAACAATATGACCTATTGCTTCTGCGAGTATGGCGTTGCTGTTGGAGCAGGTGCATTTAGACCCAGAATCATCCTGTACGCGGGCGATGCTCTCCAGGATTTTGGATTGGGTTTCTTCGATCGAGGAAATGATTTGGTTCAAGGTATCGTCGAGCGTAGTTGCTTTCTCCACCACCTTGCTGATGGTTGATCCAATGCTGCCAAGTTGGTCCATGATGGTGCCGGCAAGTTCATGGAAGTGGTCGAGAGGGTCATCGCTGGCGCTGCTGTTTCCATTGTCTGACATGTTTGGCGACTCCTCCGAGGAAAATGGAGAGACATTTTCATCAATATGCTCAGCAGAAGTTGTGTCCGCCATCATCAAGAAGCAAGTGAGCGTGTTGGTTTATAGATGGAGACAGATGGGTATCGGCGTACGAGTTATCGACGCCTAGTATATTTGATAGTGTACTTGAAAGGTGCAGGGGATAATTTAGTAGATGACAGAAGTTGGAATATATAGCAACCCGACCTCTCTTGGCTAGCTGTTTGTACGCTATTGCGACAGCACCAAAAGACAAGATTGACAACTTTGCCAGTATCTTACAAAGAAACACATCGATGCAGCTGTTAATACAAAGTACCATTTTTCAGCAGCAAATGAAGACATGATCGCCACAAGAAGATGCACAAAACAGCAGCATGCTTTGTTGCGATGCAGGCTCCCGCGACGATCAGGTAGCCCACAGGATACGCACCTAGCCATCCAAAGAAAAGTAAGCCCCCAAAAGGAAAGTGTGGGATGATGTAGAATCCATTAGAACATTCACACAACTGCCAGTATGAAATCCCTACAATTCTTTCAAGCCTCTGATTATATGCATGGATTCACAACACCTTGTGTCATGGACTGCACGCTGCCACGGTAAAAGAAAAAGATATCTTGGACATCACGATAGATGCACGTTCCTAATTATTGATGAGAAAGCCTTGTATACCTTTAAGACGACTTAATAGAAGCTACGAGAAATGTAATCTCCCGGTGGTAGAGTTGGTACAGGGTCCTTCCTGGGAGGTCTGTTACCTTGCTCGCTTACTTTGGAGCTGAGACCAAAATTGGATGAGCAACAGCTCCACTTGGGCTTGTGGACGGGAGACCACTGCTTTCGTCTGCCCAGTTCTAGAGAGCTTCTACTGTATATCGAAAGAGCCGGGCGATGCTCACAAGAGGTTGGCATAAGGCATACCAGGTAGAGCTAACCCACTTCCTTCTTCTAAATCCGAGGGCCTACTATCCTGTTTGCAATAAAACAACAATTTCCAATTGACCAAATACCAAATTTTTGGCATAATGATACATACCCATAATGGAAGACTGCAAAAACGCGGACAACTCCTCTAGTGGAGTGCGAAGTCTATTGGTGCTTTGTCAAGAGTTCAAGTGACGGAGCGTGCAAGTCTAGTAACATCCCAGCTACTCCTTAGTAGTCAGATCCATGTTAGGAGGTTCACTTAAGCCCCGCTTACCTCGGTATCAGCAGATAAAACAGAAAAATCCAAACCTCCTCTTCTATGTACATGCTCCATTACCTAATCTATTCCTCTATAACAGTAAGGACCTAGTGTTCCGCAGGTAGGGTATCGTGGTAGATAGGCACCTATATTCCCATTGTGGAGGGGTGAGTTCAGATTGTCTTGTGCGTAGTATCCATGTAGTTCGCACAAAAGATTTGGTAGATTCCACATGTTTAGAAGCTGGAAAGTATGATTGCGAGCCCTTGAGCAGCCTTTATACGGCTAGTTTTATTGGATGGTGTTGCTATGATGTCGGTAAGAGGCAGAATATGATCACATACGATCACTCTCCTTTAATGTTCCCTGGTCGGCTTTGAGTTCGTATCCCCTGTGTCCCGTTGACCCTGCTATATAACCACTTTAAAACTGAGGTAGTAGCGGCCATTGCCAAAGCTGCCATGGTAAATAGGATAGATCTTTGCGTCGTATCAAGCTGTTCAAAAAGGGGGTATGGGTAACTGCCAGGATGTTAGCAAAAGTCTATCACCATTGCATGAGGGTACCCATGACGTACAATCCATTGTATTTATAGCATTGCTCAACCCAAGCCCAATAAGATACTGCAAGCACGGAGCTCAATCCAATTGCAGGCAACACAGCGATAGTCCACGGTGGAGATAGGAAGAGTAGATCAATAACAAGTAGTATCGCGGGCATAGCATGAAATCCAATATCCGCTATGGGAGCAAGATCAATTTCGGGTGGAACCACAAGCTCTTTGTCAATCGCGCAGATGACCCCATATAACAGACTTATCAAGACCGCGAGCGGAGCGCTACATAAAGATAGCACGTTCTTAATGAGGAAGAGCTTCGGAGAAAGAGTAATGTCAGCGAGGAAGGCGCATATGAAGGTCGCGTAGGCGATTGCGAGGCCGATGATTGTGAGGTATTGCATGTGCCAGCCGTAGGAGTCATTCATCTTTGTAGGATTGTCGATCATGTATTTGAAGGAGAGGGTGAAGGATATTATGCCAGCAATATGAACGAGGGCTGAGGTGCTGCGGGAGGGCGAGGGAAGCCGTTGGAGGGGATGGCGGGCCATTAGTTTCTGCGAGGGGGATGCCATTTTGATTATTCGTTATTCTTTAGGAGAAATTGAAGATGGGAAGCTGATGCTCAAAAGCTGTCTTGGAGTGGGTAGGTATTTACTCAGTACTGTACAGAGAAGATGACGATGCTTTATATGTACCAGTACATATGCCCGATTCAGATAAGATGAGCTTGGGGCTGAGGCTGAGGCTTGGCTGACGGCACTGTCTTTCCGTGCCGAGGCTTTGCCGATCGTGCTCTTCTTCACGAGACAAGCGTCAGCAACTTTCTTTGAACGTCCAACATCCTTTTAATTATATCCTCTCTAACCACCCAGTGTCTCTGCACGTCATCTTCCTCCTTTATATATTTATATTGTACTCATTCTAACGATTCCGCTGTGGAGCAAGTAAGCTGCTAGCATCGGGGCTATGAATATTTTGCAGACCGGCGGTTGGTGAACCTGATGGGCCCCAACTTTGAGGGGCAGGACTCCCGGAATTGCACTGTCTGCATCTGAGAAGCAGATAACTGTGGTTGAGACTGGAAACCCCGCGTGGAAACTGTCTGGGGATCCTAAACAACTGAGAGTGCCTCAACGCATTCACACAGCTGTTGGTGCTGGCCGCCGGCCCTCGCCCCCAGTTCAGGGCTGGAGCCGTTCTGGGGAGAAGGCCGGGGAACTGATTTTGTCCGTAGCACTGGTACGCTGGTGATCCCTGCGAGTACGTTGTAGTTAGCGCCTAAGAGCCCGAACTGCCATATTCCAACCTCACCTGAAGGCAGAGGGACGAGAAAACAAATATATCAACCAAACGGTCGCTTCTTTGAACATTTAAACTATTTTTCAACCTCTTTGGATGTGCTGCATTGGGTTTGGTATGCCTCAAAACTCAAATAGACAAATTACTACGCAGCATCCCATTCGTTCCGCGTGCCGCCTTCTACCTGATTATGCCTGCTCTTAGTCAACATGGAAGCTAGAGACTTGCAAAAGAAAAGATCTATCAAATGTGCGTTTTCGAGTAGTTCCATTCTTGCTTAGGTACGATTTTACGGAATTGGTCGGCAGGATATCGATTAAGGGTGAATGGTATATATAAATACCAATTATATAGCTAAGCTAAATATCAAAAAGGCGTTACATCAAACCCCTTAGCAAGCCCACCGGCAATCCATCTGTCGAGTCTATTTTCAAGTTAGCACAAATCTCCGAATCAACCCAAAGAACTTTAAACTTACCGGAGCATGTGAATCCGCCCCCAAACTAAGCAGCCCATCCAAAAAGTCACCAAAGTCCCCATTGTCCCACCCGCCAACATTGCAATAAGGCATTTTCGCCTTATCCCTCTGAGTACTATCCCACTTCGTCCCCCCCGCCGTCACACCCACAACCCAGTTCTGATACAGATACTGCAATGCCCCCGGTGGCGCTCCTCCAGCTCTCCTGTTCAAGCCCCTCTTCAGTGCTTTCGAGGACTTGGAGAATTCGACGTTGAGATCGTAGGGGAGTTTGGAGCCGGCTTTAGAGATGGTAGCAGTTTCGCTCCATTTGACTTGGAAGTTCTTGCGAGCGAGGACAGCGCCGCCGCCGTCGGTGATTTGGAGGCCTACGAAAAAAGGGTTGGCGACGCCGTTGGATGCCTCGAAGATGTGGATGTTGCAGGTGCCGGATTTAAAGGCTGGTGCTGGTGCTGGTGCTGGGGTAGGAGTGGGTGCTGCTACAGTCTTGACGGCGATACTTGTGCCGGTGCCGACTTGACAAGTATAAGTTGTGTATTCGTTGTCGCCAACCCTAGACCCAATTCCGGCTGTCCAACCATCGTTGCAATTACAGGCAATTGTGGCTGGGATGTTAATGTTGCCTGTGCTAAGAGCACCTTGATTTGAGAGAGTACAAGAGGTGATTAGTGGAGCTGAGGTTCTGCTTCGGGATGAGGAGGAGGTGGAAGTCACGTTATGGATCGAGGATATAGAAGTCGTGAGCGTACTGTCTGTCTTAGTTGTACTGTTTGATGATGTTGTTACACTAGTCGTACTCGAAATCGTGGAGCTATTCGAAGACGAAGAGGTTGAAATCAAGGAAGTCTGAGACGACGAAGTGTTCGAGCTTGAGGAAGTTGTGGTGGATTGGCTAGAGCTGGTAGGTTTGCTACTAATTTGGCCTTTGCACGGATTTGGGTGGCCAACATCTCGCGCTACAATGGCAGTAGGTGGTGTAGTATTTGGAACCCAGAAGTCTTGGAAATTAATCAGCCGGTCCTCTACCCATAATCGCCAACGATCGACTTAAAGACCAATACCATTGGGGTCTTGGTCAGCGGCAAAGGTTGTAATCCAACTTTGATAGGGATCAACTTCCAAGATGGCTCTGCCAGCTACGCCGAAGCGTTTAGTAGACTTTGTGGCGTTGGTACGTGTGTAGCCCGTGGTGAACCCGGAACCGCCCGAACCAGGAATGAGTCTAGCAAGCCTGCTAGCCAAATCTTCAGCGCGTGCTTGATATTTCAGTGGAGTGGTGATCTTCTTTACGTCTCGATCCCAAACGGATTATTTTGGGGAGATGACAAAGACTTTTGAGGAGTATATAGCATGTAAAACTCCAGGCTGGGCATATGTTCCGATCAAAGCTGTGATACTCCGGGCATTTGCTGTGCCATCACGGAGCGCGTTGAACGTATTACTGATAAAAGAAGCATCGTCAGTTGGCGTCTGATCATCCCCAGTAACGAATACAGGATCCTCCCAAATGTGAGAAAGATACACACCCAACTCAGATGCGATGACCACCGCCGTGCAACCATAGATGCCATTAACACCTACGATAGCTATACCAGCGTTTGGATAGTTGTACCAGATTCCAGACGTAAGGCCGTGTTGACTAACCCAGTTGGCATTTATACTCAGACTTGAGACATAGTTGGTGTATAGAGCAGCAACGTCCGGAAGAGCGCGTTCAAACAAGGATTTGGAATTATCGACCAGAGTTCCATTGTAATCGATTGGGCTATTGAACAACTCTCTCTTAGAAGCGCCGTTCCCGACGGCTCCGTAGCTAGCAGTTGGTAGAGCGGAGGTCGAGATCATCTTACCGTTTACAGTCGTAGCTCCGATGCCCATACTGGCGCCACTAAGAGGGCCGCCAGCGAGTGGACAAGCATCTCCGCAAGTACCAGAAGCACATACTGTTTGGGTTGCGCTTGGCGCGCTACTAGAGATAGTGATTGTACGTCCGGTGGCGGTGCAACCAGTGGTTGTAACCGTGGCTGTAGACGAGCAAGTTGTAATCGAAACAGCTTTGCCCATGGTCGTGTATGTAGTCGGTCCACATAGAACAGTGACTCGGAATGCTGTCTGTGTAGCGGTGCATGATCCATCCGAAGATGTCGAAGTGTCGGACTTTGAATCAGTCTCGTTTTCCTCCTCTTCTGTAAGTTCCTCAGTCTCTGATTGAATGTTGGACAAAATAATATCAACGCCTTCAATGATACCTCCTTTGATATTCTTCGTGACGTTCTCCAACTCGCTAGTGATACAAGTCAATGCATTGGCAACGTCGCCAATAATGCCAAATAGACCCCGCTTCTTTTTCTGACTACATGGTTTCGACGACGGCTTGGTGCCCAGACTAGATATGAGGTTGTCCACAGTTCCTTTGATCCTGTTGATTTTGTTGAGTGTGTCGGTCTGTAATGGGATTGGGTCCTTTTTCCAGGCAATGATAATAGGTAGTATGCCTATAATTTGGGAAGAAACTGAAGATACGGCAGATGTTGCCTCGGAGCTGACGAATGTCGTTGTGACTGGTGGGAGAGTAATTGGTGCGGTGAGCGATCCGCCAGTTAGGACGTCCTTTGTAATGGTTGTACCGGATTGAACAATGACAGAAGTGATTATTCCTATCGAGACGCCAGTGGGAGATGGTCGAGTTGAGGAAGATATTATAGAGGAAGACGATGAATTTCCTGTTGCAACTGAAGAGGATATAGATGACGTTGAAGTGGTAGCTGATGAAGTAATCGCATTGGAAGTGGTGGTCATGGTTGAGGAACCAGTAGATACAAGCGCTGAGGAGCTGGAGGAGTTTGAAGAGATGATTTCTGTGCCAGTGGATGGAATGCTGATCGTCGACGAAGAGGTAGTAACAGTCGACGAAGAAAACTGAAAAGTGCTAAAGCCGATTGCAGTACTGTTATTTAAGAAGCGCTGTGCAGATGCGTATTGAGCAATGAAAAGAAGAGTAAAAGCCGCTCTTCCCGCCGCAAGGGACCGACGCTTATGGTCTCGCATGATGAAGTGAAAGCAGTTGCAAAAAGAGAGAGGAAAGACACTGATGCGAAGATAGGAAGCAAAAGCATCTTCAGGGCAGGAATCCAGAGAGCATAAGAGGCTTGAACGTTTGGGGGTATGGACTTACGGTTGGCAAGAAGGCTTGTAGCCAGATTAAAAAATAATCTCAAGCTCGCCCAGAGGCCTTTCGACACCTGAAATGTGGTCGGCGCAGCATACGACCATATTCCGGATCAAATTTTAAATTTCCAGGTGAAATGGGGGTTTGGTGAGGCTGCAGGGGAGAGGATGAGGCGGCCGATATACCCGCTGTTGGTTAAGACAAGGCTGTTTCAAGGGAAGGGAGGCCAACAAGTTGTGCCAACATACAATCATCATTCCCTCAAGACTCAAGATCCTGCAATCCGCACTGAACCATTGTGCGTGACACGACATATCCAAATTCAAATCCAAAGCGCCCGTCCTCGAGACCTCTACTCGACCTACAAACTCCTTGTAATCCACCAAGATGGCAGATAGCGACCTACTGTCACGTCACCAACAGCGTCAACAACACGCGTAACAGTCCGTGGAGAACGCCCGCCAGCTGCAAATGCAAATGATGGGTGCTCAGCAACAGCGTCAACAACAGCTTCAGCAACAGCTTCAGCAACAGCGTCAACAACAGGCGTTACCCGTTGGCGAGCCCCAACGGGTACAAGCCATGGAGAACGCTCGCCAGCTGCAAATGCAAATGATGGGTGCTCGGCAGCAACAGCAACAACAACAACAAGCACTTGCAATGGGCGCAAGGCCCGTCACTAACTCTCCATCTCGGACCCCAGCTCAGATGCCAACGATGCAGATGCATCAGATGGGCTCAGCCTACGATGACCTCATCATGGAACCCGCCGACTCGCAATACAGCTCTGCCACCATCGCATCCTTCGAATCCGCCTGCCAACCCGGCCCCCTTTCCAACATCCAAACTCGCAACCCCGACTTCCTCCACCGCTGTCTAATCCATGCCATTAGCACTGGCAATCTCGAAATCGCCCGTGATCTCCTCTCTACAGGCGCGCCTATCGTCCGCCATACACCAAACAGCATCCTCACGGCGCCGTCAGCGCAGCAAATCTCCCTCTTTGAACTCTTCACTGAGTATGGCTGGACACCAAATACACCGGGCTGCTACGGTGCCATGCTTCTTCCCTGTGTCGTCACGAACCTGCCTCTGCTGAAATGGTTCCTCGTCCATGGCGCGAACCCCAATCTGGGCGTACAATCCGACTATCGTGACCGGCTGGGCGGGCCTGACACTGATTCGTGCGCGGCTCTGCAAAAAGCCGCTTCGACGGGCACGCTTGAAGCTGTGCACTTGCTCTTAGACGCGGGCGCGCAAATCCGGAACGGGACGCCGCTCCACTGCGCCGCGGGGGCTTGTCCTCCTGGCACTCCTCTCGGAGCGCCGTTAAACGACGGCGTCACACCGAGTAAGGAGTTTGATACAAGCAGGATTCCAGTGATGGCGCTCTTGGTTGAGCGTGGAGCAGATGTAAATCAGGCCCAGGAATCACGGCATAAGGTTGCCAAGTATCCTATCGTTCACGCCGTACTGGTTGGAGCTGTCGAGAGGGTCAAGTGGTTGTTGGAGAATGGAGCTGATCCAGAGGCGAGGGGGGCGTGGGGAAGTGCTGTTGAGTGCGCGAAATGGCGAAGTAGTGCAGAGATGAAAAGAGTACTAAATATAAACACCCCGTGATTTCCTATATCTTAGTTTCAGAATGAGAAAAAGATTTGCACTTGGTGTTTTTAGAAGAATCGCGAGATTTACGTTTTGGTGTTTTGGCTCGTGGATAGAATTCTGGCAAGCCCTTGTTGGGTCGATCATACTGCTTAGTCATCGGTTCAACGACGACAGGAACGTTGCACAGTCCATGATGGACACTTTTCTTCCCCTACAACAACTATTCCACAATATTCAATTATGATATGTAAGTCGTGTAAAGGGTTCCTCCACTGGGTGCAGAGCCCACCACCGGAGATGCCAGAGAACTTCTACCACCACCAAACATGGAAAGCGTGGAACGAGGGTGTCGCGGACAATTGTTCATTATGCATCTGGATTCAGGAGCAATTCGGTCTCAAGATCAACAATCTTTTGGAGGGGGATTATAGTTCCTGGATTAATTCTGACCTAAATAGCGTTTTGAATATTGACAATACCTCCTCGCGCAAACTAAATCCAACCTGTTTTTGGAGTAAAGGTTACGACGACTTTCCAGCGCTGATCTTGAGTTGCGAAGGACAAGAATTCCACCGGCTCTGGGAACGCTCGGATTTTGACCTATTCGAAGTCAGGCCCGGCCATGGTAGAATCCCCCACATGGGTAAGAGGGAACAGAAACTAAATGAAATATAGATCGACTCGAGGTAGCGGGTTATGAGCCAACAGTGTATACCAACTCAAAAGCCTGTTTTGAACTTGCTAAGCACTGGCTTAGAACTTGTGAGATGAAACATACGAAGTGTGAACGCCCACGAACTGAAGGAGAGAAGAGTTGGAAACCAACCCGATTGATTCGAATATACGAAGATAATGATGATCGTCAACTCTTCGAGGGAGAAGAGATTCCCGATGAGGTCACCTACGCGACCTTGTCTCATTGTTGGGGAAAGATTGAAGACAAACTTGTTCTAACGCTCGAGAACAGGGATGATTTAAAGCAGGCTATTCCTCCATTTGGGGGATTGAAGACCTTTGAAGATGCAGTCAATATCGCGAGACAGCTTGGGCTTTGGTATTTGTGGATAGATTCTCTGTGCATTGTACAGAATTCCAAAGAGGACTGGCTTGCTCAATCAGCTCAGATGAGCAATGTCTATAAGTATTCGTTTTGCAACATTACAGCAACTTCGGCGACCAGCGATCTTGAGGGTTGCTTCTTCAATCGAAGCCTCAATCAAGTTTACTTGAATCCTCTCTATATTGATTTCACGGACGACTTATCCAGCAACTCGTTGGATGAGCCCCACTTAATTATTGCTGTACCAAGTCGTAAGGACTCTCCAAGAAGTCTTGAAGGTAGGTATGAGCTGCTCCAAAAAGGAGCAATATGGGCGTGGCGGGAAGATATTACACTCGCTGCTGTGAACCGCAGAGCATGGGTAGTCCAAGAAGTAAGTCTAGAGAAAATCAACATATTATTTTGCTGTTGCAACAGTAGTCTAATATCCGGTGCCAGAGGCTACTCGCTCCAAGAGTGTTACACTTCAGCAAAACTCAATTGTATTGGGAGTGCGCTGAGCTGCAGGCCTCCGAATCATTCCCCTTCGGCCAACCGATGGAGCAGGAGTCCGACTACAAGGCTCAAACCTCATTTGCAACCGAAGCCAAACAATATATGGCCGGAGACTCAACTGATGCGCAAGTAGCTTCAGAAGCACGGAAATTAGCATTCAGTACCTGGGGTCATGCTGTAAGAGCATTTACATCTGCTGAGTTGACGTACAATTCCGACAAACTGATAGCGATCTCTGCTATTGCAAGGGAAATGAAACTACTCATGAAATGCCGCTACCTAGCTGGTCATTGGGAGACCGATCTCATCCATCAACTGGCATGGATCGGACTTCCTCCGGGCGGTGGATATAGACAACCTTCCACCAGCACACAATCTGGTGGCCTTCCAGATGAATATTGCGCACCATCCTGGTCGTGGGCTTCGAGTAACCAATGCATAGATATATTTCGACAAATGTCAAACGATCCACTGAAACCAGCCTTAGCAGAAGTCATAGCTGTGCAAATTGAGCTTAGTACGGACGACGAGATGGGTCAGGTCAAGGGTGGCTATGTCAAATTACGAGGGCATATGGTCGAATTTCAACTTGGTTCAGTGAGAGAAGAGGATCTTAGTAAGATGTATGTGACTCTGGATAATGACGACGCTGGCGATACACTGGAAATCAGTGCATTATCATCCGTCTTTCCCCACAAAACCATTTGGTTCATGCCAATAGAGGCAGAAGGCTCTCCGCCGTACCCAATGCTCACATGTCTCGCAATAGACAAGGTGGAAGATCAGATTGGTACATTTCGTCGAATTGGTACTGCTCTTTGGTACAGTCCGACGAAAGAGGAGGCCGGTGACTTGGAGGGTCCCGATTTGATCAACAGAGGGATCACATTGACAGATATTAAAATTATCTAAGGTTTATTTGATAATACTTATTTTGCGTACTGCATTGGAATCAACCACGAAACAAGGTAGCACTGGCTAATTCAAGAAGTCTTGGATTTAGTTGAGGAAACGGGAATTTCCCCAAAAGACTTGTCTTTATTCGCTTTTTATTGTTTATATCCCTGTAGTCAGAAATCTTACTGAGCTACCAAAAACAAAAACGCCGCTGACATAGCTTCGATTCAGTTCTCTGTCGTTAGTGCTGATGAATAGTGCACCCTCCTGCTATTATGGATTTTGAAATGTCCACACTACGCCCAAGATACATTGGAATACGCAGCGGAAGTGTGTGAATTTGCGCTATGTAAGATGTCGATCTTCGTACCCAGAACATTACAGAGAGGGTAAAAGCAGAGAAAAGTTCAGTCTTAACTTTCAGGTTTCCCGACTCTATCTCGGCCACGTACAATTATTCCACGGACCTTGCCGATAACGCTTATTCTTCTCTTCGTCTTCCCACCGCAAACAGACTTCCGTCTGTACACAATAAATTCTCTCACCATCATCAGTCTTCGCATCAAATGTGAAGTTGTACCAGCCCTACTTTGTTAGCCAGTATCAAAGTGCACAGCATATGCAGGTCAGGGCAGGAATTTGGTAGTACTGACAGGGACGTTCAAAAACATGGGGAAAACCCATGCCGGCGAACTGAGCAACGCAAATCCCTCTTCAGGTGGGCAAGTTGCCTTCTTGCCGTGCAGAGGCTGTTCAATATTGCTCATCTCGCAGAAATCAAAGCTAGTACTCTCACCAGGGGAGTCTACTGGGGCGCCATATTCTTCGCAGTGAGAGCCGCAATTGACATTGAGTCTGAGGGTTCCATTTCCCGTGAATGACTTTTGGAAGTCTCCGTAGAGATGAACGAGGAACATGTCGTCGCTATTGATCGTCAGTACATGCTTACAAATCGTAGCCGAACGGAATCAATGAGAGGTCAAACAACATACATGTAAACTGGCCGCTTGCTGAGTGAGACAGATGTGATGTCAAAGAGATCGGCCGGGCGGGAAACCTCACAGAGGCTGAATGGGCCGCCGGGTATCGCTGCCTTCAAGGAGATTGAATCTTGGGGACGTTCGTTGCTGAGAATTGGCTTCTGGAGTGCGGAAGACCACGACAGCGCCCTTGCAGCGCCCTCTAGAAATGGGATACGCATCTTCGAATTTTACACCGTGGCTTTCCTCCAATAATTGTGAAAAGATATGATCGTGAACCAGAAATTCTTTCATGAAAAGTTGTTTGAAGTTCAAGTTGCTGATTTTCTAAAACAAGTTGCCTCAAGACTTGAGACTGGCGTGATGTTGGTCTGTACTAGAAAATACGCTAGTCTCAGAATTACCCTCTTACATAGGTCCCTAAGGTATGCCAAATCACCCCCTCTCAGCTATGCACAGCCCCGCCACTTCCTTCCACAGCTACAGTAGAGGTCTTCTAATCTGTTGGCGTCGTGTCGCGCGGAAAGCGCCCTTCCGCGTTCCCGCAGCTACGCGCGCGCGAACAACCTGGGCGATCTACTGGCACAAGTAGGGCTTAGGCTCTTGGCAAGTCGAGGCTTCCACGCTTATTGCGGCCCCGCCAAGGAGCGGCCGAGTCCTGCAGTTGGGACGATACATTCGAGAAAGGTCATCAAGTTCAAAGGGATGCGGATCGTTGTTTAGGGGAGATTAGTTGCGTTGGAGTTTGTTATTATCAGGGGCCTCAAGTGAGGTTGGCCAATTGCTACAAACTTGTGTTGGTTCTATGAGCCACAGAACACACCCTGAAAATAGACCAACCATAGCCCTGTTTCAGTTACCATTTGCATAGAACGTTGCGGACCTTAGAGTCACACCATACCCGTTGGCCTTGGTTGGATTTTGCAGGTTCGGACAACCCGTTCGCCGCTTATGGGGTTCTCTATTACGATGGCAACCACACCGATTAGAGAGATGCTGCCTTGCCGTTTCCGAACTTGATGGTCTTCCCAACTTATTCACACCAACCACCGATCAGCTTCCGTGGGTGGAAGGATTGGGTGACCGGGCCCAGGCCAACGGGTATCGCCCAACGAAGGATTGAAGGATGCTGTTCTGTGTGTTTTCTGTTGCAAGTTATGTTAATTTGTTGGCCGTAAGATACATGGCGGAATATTTTGGGTGAGAGTTGAGGGGATGGGAAGTTGCTTTGTGTAATGAAGGAATAGATGGGATGTTTGTGCCTCTTCCTGATGTTGGAATATTGGTAGTAGGGAGTTGGTAGGGTTCTTTAGAATTGGAGGATGCTGGACGTCAAAGAAGGAGGAGAAGTATATAATGAAGACGGGATTTGGGCAAGAAGAATTCCCAGCATACTTATCAACACTCGCCGTTCTGTTCCTATACCAACTCCTTCTCTGATCTCTTTGCAACATTCCTTATTATATCCAATTCACATAACATTGAAGAGCCACAATGGCGGTCCTCTCGAAGCCCCTAGCTGCGGCGTTTACGCTTTCCATGGCTCTCTCCGGGGCCTTTGCTTCACCACTTGCAACCAGAATCGAAAAGATCAAGCAGCTACTTGGCCGAGACACCTTCGAGTGGACTGCTCTGGGAGACTCGTATTCCTCAGGTGTCGGAGCTGGAGAATACACCCCAAACTCCTACCGCTGCCTACGCTACGATCATGCATATCCGGTTCTGATGAATAGTGATAATAGACTACCAAACGGTGATCACAAAGATCTAACTATGAAGTTCAACAATGTCGTATGCTCTGGATCTAGCACCGAAGATGTCGACGACTATCAATTCTACGACGAACCTACCTCCAATGAGCCGAGTTGGCAATTCGGTAAGCTTCCCAGAATGTAAGAGCTGTAGTGTTGTGTACTGACTGCCGTCTAGGTGAGCGACCAGCGTTTGGAACGCCAGACCTCGCCACACTGCAAGTTGGTGGCAATGACATTGATTTTCCTGGTATTGTATTTAACTGTATCTTGGAAACTTCCCTGCCCTTTGGGGCTGGCCCGCCATACCGCACATGTGACGAGCAAAGACAAATCTCTAAGGACTTGATCAAGGACCCTAAGCTCGTGGACAATATCAGTAACACCATCAAGAGAGTCGTCGACAAGGGTCGCAAAGGCCCAATCGGTGACAAGTTCAGGCTCTACGTCCCTGGATTCCCACAATTTTTCGACACTACCACTAGTGAATGCGACACAGTCACATTCGCTCGAACTGCCAATCCAAACCCGGACGGAAAAGAGCATACGAAAATGACCCAAGCGATCCGAAAGGAGTTCAACGAAATGAGCGTCGGTCTCAACAAAGCCATCGCAGACGCAGTCGAGCGAAACAAGGACCAGAATGTCAAATGGATCCCCATCGACGACCAAATGAAAGGCCACAGATACTGCGAGCCAGGAGTCAAAGAGCCCGATCAGGAAAACGACAAGCTCTGGCTTTGGCACTACCCGTACAACGAACCTGACGAGGATAACGACGTTGATGGCCCGCTACTGAAAGCCTACCAAAATGTCACATCCGATGTGGACTTCAAGACCAAATTCAAAACCTATGCTTCGTTCGAAAATGAGCTTTTTGCAAATATTGAGGGTGATAGCGCCCAGGCAAAGGGAGTCTACGATCCGTTATGGCGCAAAGTCGGAGACAGAGTCAAGGTTTTCCATCCTCAAATTGCTCTGCACGAAAAGATTCGTGATTTGGTCCTCGATCAATACACCGATGACATGGGCGGACTCTCACAACCCCCACCAACAACAGTTCCTGAGAAGAATGTATGCCACGGCATCAATGGTGATACCTGGGTCATGCACTTCAGTACAGCGATCAAGAACGCGGACGACTTCTGTAACCAAGACTCCAAAGAGGTAACCTACAACCAAGGCAGCGTCGACGAACTCAAGATGTCTGTCAAGGCCCCCAACAACCAAGATAAAGGACCCAAGGGGGCGCCAGACTGCGCCAACCGTTTCAAAAACGCTGTTATTGACGGCTGCGATGGTAATGACCCGGTTAACAACCCTCATAATTATAAATTCGGATCTACCTTTACCGCGACCGATGGATGGGAATACACCATGACACCTCTCAGCAAGCAAATCAACCAAGTTTCCTGCGACGTATCTTATAAATTCCTCTGGGACTCCTTTGAAATCCGTGGTAAGAACCTGCCTGACGCCAAACTCGGCGCCGAGGGCGAGGGCCTCAAGAAGCAGCTTGACGGCTGTGGAAAAGTCAGTGAGTATAAGTTTGAGCGGACGCCTAATGATGTGAAGTTCCAGTGGTACGCACATGGTCATCTGCCGATTGGTACTAAAACGTGTGTGGGCGATGCTTTGGTCACTGCTGGCGGATCTGGAGACGGTAGCTGTCATGGGCCTGGGAAACGTGAGGTTGAGGAGAGGGAGATTGGTATTGAGGATTGGCCGGGGTATGGTGATGACAGTAAGCATGTTTTTGGGAGCGCTACAAAGAGGGATATTGGTATTGAGGACTGGCCGGGGTATGGTGATGACAGTAAGCATGTTTTCGGGTCGTCTGGATAGACGGAGGGCATTGGAGTGACGAGTATATCTTCTCGCGGAACGCATTGGTATACTAGCGGGGTTTGGGATTTGCGGAACATTGTACAACGGATCAAAACCCTTTTTAACCCCAAGTTGTAAGAATATCTTACTAAAATTGAGGTATTCAAGTTGTATAAATATCTTACCAAATTTGAGACACTCAAATTGTGTAAATATCCCACCGAAATTGAGGTATTCAAGTTGTGTAAATATCTGACAGAAATTGAGATATTTACGCTACTTAAATATCCCAATTTCGGTCAGATATAGAGGTTACAGTAGGCGAACAAGGCTTAATAGAGATCTAGGAATAGTTTTACTTTGCGACCAGCCAGATATTCGAATAGAGTATAGTCTTATACATTGACTATCTTCATTATATAGAAACTAGAAGCTCGATATCAGAGATATATATAAGTAATAGCTGTAGGTGCCTGATATTTCTAGCGAAAAGAGTTTTATACTAAATTTATATAAGAATGCTATAGTCGACTGTACTTTGTACTTTATTTGTTTTAATAATTAAAGATAAATTATACTAGCGATTAGATCAATTTAATAACTGTTGGGAGAATAATCACGTGAGCGCGTATACCTAGTTAACAAACTAGTCCCGATTAAGTATAGAGAAGTATATCCTCTTGGAGATCTACCCCTCCTCTTTAATCTTACTCTCTTAATATATCGTCGATTAACTACACTACAGCTTACTAGTACATACTGTGTAATACACGTAGTACTGTGCCCTGGGCAGTAGGTGGACTGACACTGATCAGTTTAGTATTCCACAGATCAGAAATTCGATAATATACTCCAAAGTTTTCCAAATTCACTTTTGCTTACTTCAGCTCCTTAAAACTTCACTTCGAGTCCCTGATCAAACTCTACTTGAGTCGATCAAGCTCTATTCGAATCTTCGATCAAACTCTACTTCGATCTATCAAATCTACTTCGATCTTTCGATCTAAATATATACTCGAGTCTTCTATCAAACTCTACTCGAGTGTAACGGTTCTATTATTCTTCTGACAGGGAATCCTAATAGAGGTGTTCTGTTTCGTTTATATAGCGAAGTAATACAGTGATCTCTTTTAATGATCTGTAAGTGATGTCAGAGTGAGTGAATCACGGAGGGAGTCAAGTGTAATCAAAGTAAACTGTTATAATTAATATTCAAGAATCAAGTTGAGTACGAAGCTCCTATCTAGTAAGGAAATTACATTGTTTATATAGAACTTTCCTGCTCCTAGATTATAGTGAATCGATGATCTCTATAATTCTCTATACGAATAGATTATTGATCTTTCCCGATCTATTTACTATCACGTGACTTCGTTATATAATTTTCTGTTGTTACGTGACTTCGTTATATGTTTTCATAGTTCTCTGTAGTAATATAACGTATTACCTGAGTTTCAGGCTATAAAGTTAACGTTCGTAATACTATCTTCTATGTAGCTTAGTATAGTCCTTTAGCTTTAAAAAGTTATATCGAAAATATCGAACGTTAGATATAACCTTCTTCCTTCTTCATTATATTATTCTAATATACTCTGAAATATAAAGAGAGAATTATTCTCTATAATAAAATAAATTCCGATAATATCGAAATACTACTTTGTACGAGTTACGAGAAGTACAAGTAGTCCTGTATTGTTTTGAACGAGACGTCGAAAAAGTATAGTGAATACGTTCGTTGTAGTATGAAATATAACGTGAAAGGAATTTCGTTCTCCAACTTAGAGTCTTTTTAACACGAGGAAGCCTGTCTTTAGTTCGAGCGAGACGCAGTTTTTGCTGTAGTTATAGAGAGTTTTACTCGAGTATAACAGCTCGAGAAATAACAAGCTCTCGTTAAGAGACAGAGTGTTGAGTTAGTCTGGCGCAGGCTTCGCGACTTGAACGAGTTGGATAAAGTAGAAGAAAAGGAAAAGGAGGAAAAAGAAACGGAAGTTTGTCGTGAAGTAAAGTCGAAGTAGCTAGCTGCTATAGCTAGCAGCTTAAATAGCGACTTTTCTTTCGACTTTAGTCTTTTACTAAGTTTTAATAACTTGATTTAAATAACTTTTGATTTTAGTAATAGAATTCTTCAAATATCTAATAACAGTTAAAATAAGTTCTAAGTTCTTATATGTTTTCCGAATATAAATAGTCTAACTATTTGATCAAATATTTAATTGTACTTTTAATTTATTTATAGTCTAATATCTATTCAACTTCGTACTCGGCGTTTAAGTTAACTAGTTCTATTTCGGTTATTAGTACTAGTAGTATACTTAGTAATATTAGTTCGAGGAGAGAAATATAGAAAACTGGAAAGATATTTATTATTTTTAGTAGAGTAAGTTCATAATTCAAACGTCTTTTGAATTTCTTAATTTTGAATAGTTTTAATTTTTTATAGTCTAGTTTATTACTTAGTCGTTTAGTTTTGATATTTTTTCTGAGTAAGTAAACTCTGTCCTTTTCTTTCAGTGTTAGCTCTTGACTATATTTCGAATTGTAGTATAAAGCGCTTTTCTCTATAATAAACTGAAGCTCGCTGTTTAGTTCTTTATATAAATCTTTGATTTCGTTCGTTTAGACTTGTACTAACTAGTTATCGATATCTAATGTCTGAGTTTCGTGATAAACACTGACGTTGTAATTGTAATTAACAAAGAATAGTAATACTTTCGTTATATCTGTAATTGTACTATTATATATAAATATAGTAAGTAAGAGTAATAATATTTAGTTGTTTTATTTGTAATTGATATAACAGTGTAAGTATATTTCGATTATCTGATTTATTCTTTCTGTTCTACTATTTGTTTGTATATAGAAAGTAGTTGATAGTTTCTTTTTAATTCCTAAGTAAATAGTTAAAGTAGTCTAAAACTTGGATATAAAGAGTTTATCTTAGTCGGATATAATTTCTTCTAGTATCCTATATCTTGTTACGACTTCTTGCAAAAAGGCGAATATAAGTTCTTCGGTTATACTGGATTCCAGATATAGAATAACGATTATATATTTCGTAAACTGTTCAATAATAACTAAAATTGAGTTATATACTACTTCTGTTATTAGATCTTTGGAAAGTAGGAGTTTAATAATAAAGTCTTATTAGATTGATTTCTATAGTTGCTCTAGAATAAAAGTAGTTCCTATCTTTCTGTATAATATGTGTTGTACACTTTTGTTACAAATACAAATGTCGTACTCTTCTACTATTTACTTAACCAAAGTGTTAATCTTATTAATATAATAGTGTTGTCTGATTCGCCAAAAGTGTTACGAACGCCAACTTTATAGCTTGAGGCTCGGGTAATGCGTAGTATCACTACAGAGAACTATGAAGGTATATGACGGAGTCACGTGACAGTAGGTATCACGAGACGAGTGTCACGTGATATAGATCGAAGGGATCTTAGGGATAAGATCGCGATTTACTAGATCGGACTTCGACTTTAGATATCTACTTCGATCTAGTAGTAGGAGGATTCTATATAAATAATGTAATTTCCTTACTAGATAGGAGCTTCGTACTTAACTTGATTCTTGAATATAAATTATAATAGTTTACTTTGATTATACTTGACTCCTTCTGTGATTTATTCACTCTGATATTATTTATAGATTATTAGAAGAGATTACTATATTACTTCGCTATATAAACGAAATAGAACACCTCTGTTAGGATTCCTTGTCGGAAGAATAATAGAACTGTTATACTTTGAGCACTTCTTTGCTGAAGTAAATAAATCACTATAGCTCTAGTAACTCTATTAACTGCGAAGCTATTTACTGCGAAATAGTTAGCTGTCGCTAACCCGAGTATTAGTTAGGTGAACTTCACACTGTCGACTAGTAGACTCTAAGAAGATATCGAGATATCTGATTTACTTTATAAGTTCAAAGTCGAGACTAATGAATTAATTCGTGTTACTTTCTCCGACAAATATAATAGTAACCGAAAAGACTTCGAGACTTTCATCTTTCAGGTAGAGATCTACTTCAACTTTAACTACGAGAAATTCGAAGCTAATTATAATTAATAAAGCTTTTAAGTAACTTCTTACTTAAAAGGACTAGTTTTGGAATAAGTTCAACTATTCTTTGAGAACTTCTTTAAGAACGAATCGGAAGACAGGAAAATAGTTATAACTAAAACTATCTTTAAATTATAGAACAGAATGAAAAAAGAAATACGACGAATGTTTAGAAATATCAATATTACTCAAATAGTAGTACGAAAGATATTTGATCTTCGCTAAACTGGAACAACTTTTGTTTATATAACAGAGTTCCAAAGATATAGTACTAAAATAGGATAAGATAGTCTTGTTTTAATAGAATTATTCTGTCGAGGATTGAAAGAATATATCTACAAAGAGATAGTACGATAAAATATAATCTATAACAACATTGTTAGTATAATTGAAAGTATTATCTAACTGGATAATCGTTTATAGGAATTCAAGAAGAGCTACGTTCTACGAGAAAGCTAAAAGGGAAACTACTAGTCCGGACAAAGATATTAGTAGAAGAAAACTAGAACGATTAATATAACTTAGTATAGAGGAAAGAAATTCGTCTCGAGTAAAGAATAGGATAAATGTCGGGAGAAAGACTTATACTTTGAGTGTAGACTTCTAGGATATTAAACTGTATTTTACTATAAAGGGAAATAACTAAAGAATAAACAATTCTAGAAAGGAAAGTCTCGACAAGTCAATATTATTAGCTACCGACAAGTGAATGTAACTGGACGAAGAGATCTGACTGAAGAAGACTTTGAGTTTATAAGTATTTATAGCTAGCTTGGAGTTATAGAAGTTCAGTAAGCTAATAACTTTCTATTATATTAGACAGTAAAGAACTTAGTATTACGAGTAAGAACTACTACTTTAGAAGACAGCGAGACTACTAGGTTCGAGGAAGAACCTAAAGAACTTAGCGGATAGACAACGTCTGACATGAATGAAGAATTGGGA